GATTATTAACTTTTCCAAAAAAAAATTTTGGAAAAAAAAAATGTTACCCTCGACCCTCGACTTGGTACCCTCGCCCTCGGCATGGAACCCTCGACCCTCGACCCTCGACAAAAAGATAGACTTGTGTGAACACAAAATATATTTTTTTGTATTTTGTAACACAAGGCCGGCGTTTATGTTGAAATATCAATGAATTCGAACGATCATTACGGGCTTTGGACATTTGACTTTTTAATCCGTCTAACAGAACAGTCTGTAAATCACCATCTGAGAGGATTCAACATCCCTCAAAAAAACACTAACGAGCTGGGCCGAGCATGACACATTGCAAGGAACCATCGCATTCGCGGACAAAAGAAAATCGCTTTTAGTTATTTGGATCCAGGAGACACTTTGGAGAATAAATTAAACGACCTGAAACCCATATTTAGTCACAAGAAGAGCCTCTTTCAAAATTAAACAAGAATCGCCGAAAGGCGATTTTTAACTGGGCTGCAAAGGGGCTATTTTTTCTGAAGGGAGGGGGCGGCTATACACACTCAGGCTACCATAAAACCTTGTCGGCAACCATTGCATGCGACAGAACCTCATGTGAGACTGAAACATAAACTCATTCAGAACATTGTACCCTTTTGAAAGACTTTCGTAACCACAAAAAAAGAGTACCATTTTTAAGTGGCGGCTGAATAATAACTTTTAAATTCCACCATTATGAATAAAAATAAACAAGTTAGCTATTAATTCTAAGCAGGAAACAATTTGCATTATTTCCACGTACCCCTCCCCCAATCCCTCTGTGCCCCAAAATATAGCGTGACAGTATAACGTGACTAATTTGACGTAACTGGAAATTCCAAAAATTGTTGTCGTTCTACGAGCATAAAATGCGACAGACTGAGCTGATTTACACTTGACAGAAATATTGTATTGTATGAAAACCAGAAGTAAACTAAAACAGACAGATAACTGCCCACTGATCCCACCTCATCCAGGGCTGCACGGAGACTTTACTGCGCTTTTCACAAACATGCGAACTCTAAAGTTCAAAAGCCACCTTCACAATTGTGTCTATCGCTGCCGTCAATCGTAATTACGATCACAAGCAACGAACCTTGAAACAGAGAAACACACAAAACGGATCGAAATCCACGTGAAGTAAAGTTTTGTTTCCTAAGAGGTCCGTTAAGATGATTGACAGCAGCGAAAAACGCAATCGTCGGTTGGCTTCTGAACTTCAGAATTCGCATGTTTGTGAAAAGTGCGATCCTAATTTGCGGTCCACAGTCTACAAGAAAACGCACTATTTTTTCCACAAGATGAAAAATATTCAGTTTTAAGATTTTCCTCATGGTATTTTTCTCTAACTTAATGGAATAAAATCCTTTGCATTTTGAGACCTATGATTTCTCGCTCGCATGTTGCGTTCACCAGCACGCACTTGAAACAAGGTAAATAGATGAAACGATCGATAACATATTTTCTACCCGATACCGATGCGGGTTTAAAATTCGCTCCAGTTCTGTTTGTCTCACCCAAGACGAACTTTTCTTCATGGAAGATAACTATGCCGCTTTATAACTCGTCCGAAGTTTTTGTGCCAGCTAAACAATATGGAAACACTATTCACAGTGACTCCTTGGATATTAAAAAGACTGAACGTGACGCACTATTATGCCTTTGTTTACCTCTCATCACATCTTCAAGCGAAGTCTCTCTTTTCAAGCGATTCATCTCAATGCACAATAATTGACCCATACATTAGTTGAAACCCTATGGTTCATTTATATTAATGCTGTTTTTGCCCCTCACATTGACTGTGTTCGTTCGTATTCAAAACACCTTTACGAAAATAAAGGTCGTATAAGTCATGTGTGTTATGTTTCGAGATAAATGGATTATACGCTTGTTTACGTTTCCATTTTGCGGTAACTTCAGTTTACATCTCCATAAAATGGTAAAAGAAATATCAAGAAACATCACGAGAGCTGAAAACTTTCAAAGGCATGTTTCTGAAACTCGCTAATGCTGACATCAATATAGCGTGCTTGCTGAATGGGCGAAAACACAGAATTGTGATCACAAGATCATGTACAAATTTAATGATAAAAGCATACAAATACAAACAAAAGCAAACCCCCTGAAACCTCGACGTGGGCTACACTTCTGTGCTGTACTCAGTCACCAAACCTTGTCAGTAATAGCTCCTATTTTCCTCAAGTCGCTCTCTGTGAAGCTCCCGGATGGGATGTCCCGGTGAAGCTTTAAACTTGTGTGCGAAATTCTCAGAGTCCCTATTTTTGTCCGTGTCTTCTTTATCCTCAGTATCCGAAATTTAGACCTCCAAAGTAGCGTGTGTTGCATTATATAGAAGGAAATATTTAAAGGAAAAGCCAGTCTTCTAACATGGCAAATTTGTCACGTCCCTCGCTCATGGACGTGCGTAGTGCCATTCATCGGCAACTGAGTTGTTCGTTTCACTGACTACGAAGGCTTACAATCAAGTCTTCAGCCATAGTGCTAGTGTCGTCAACTGGTGAAATACCTTGCTCATAAATTGTGCTTCTTAATTGCTCATGTACTACATCGATCGATAATTCTCTCTTTGAGTTCACGAAGCGGCCACGGCGTTCCAAACCTGACGCTCACGGTCATCTTTTAGTGTGAACCTACCGTGAACGGCGTGTCGGTTTGAATGCAACGCGAGCATTTCTCTGAGTTTCCCAGCGCCAACATCATCTAACTGACTTAAACTCGAACAATGAAAAAATTATAGTGACTCCCATGATCGAATCGCTTCGAACAACGCAAATAGCCTTCTTCAGGTTCGCAACGCTTTGTGGGTTTTTCAGGGGGAGCAGAGACGAGGTACAAAAAGTATCCGTGCAAGGGTTCGTGCAAGAGAAAATCATATGAAACCATTTGTGAGAACATCGTTTCTTGGTACCAGACCCTCGTGTCTTCCCTCCCCCGGGAGGCCGTTTTTCGCCGCAGACGACGGAAAGCCCATTTTATGACTGGGCGCACAGGCAGCCCAGTAAGAAGTCAAAGAAAATGCTCTTGCCCTGGAGGGCAAATCTTGCCGACCACGTGTCACGTACCATACCGTCCTCGCAGTATGAAACAAACCTTTGATCGACACATGTCCACATTGTTTGACTAGCCGAGCCAATCAGGCGCTGCGTTCGCTGGCGAACGCAGGTTTTCAAAATCGAGGGGTTTGTCTGCAAGCGTTTCCTTCCTTCCCCTCCCCTCCCCCCACTTTCATTTTTTGGCTCTCGTTTCATTTCTCGCGGGGCCAAAACCGAGAATCACGTTCCTCGGTCTTTCTTTTCTCCGAAACGCTTGCTACGCAGGCTACTGTCACTTAGCACGATTAATTAGCCCAATGGGATCTTTATAAATCTACTGTAAACGATTTCTTTGTTTCTTATTTGACCCAGATCGACTTTTGAAAATCAATAACCGCAAGAAATATCCTCGCTGGCGCACGGCACGTCGCCCGAAGGGTGACCGAAGGGCGACCGAGGCACGAGGTGCCGAGTAAAAGAAAGGACATCGGAAAGGACCGCATCACTCGGTGACGGAAGTGAATGAGGGTTTAAGAACCGGTTTGCTCTGATGACTTCTTACAAAAGCTTCTAAAATTGGACACATTGAATTCTGCAAAGCTGATCGTACTATGTGAAAAATAACTTTGCAAGACATCAATACGACACCAAAAGAACCCAAAACAGAGTGGGGTTGTAGCCGTCAACAGAAAATTGGCTTAGATTGCAACGTTAGTCAATAGGGCTATTTTAGAAGGATTTACGTGGAATCATCGGAGGGGGTTTATTTTAAATGGAGGGTTTACAATACAGTAAAACCTGTATTAAGCGGACACCCTCAGGGAATGCTGTAGTGTCCGCTTAATACAGGCCCGGGGGGTACTTTAGGAATTTCTGCCTAATACAGGTTTCAATAGATAACGTCATATGAGGTGTCAAATGCCGTTCAAATAGGAGAATGTTTGCACACTGGCTAGGCTGGGCTATAAATTAAAGGTATAGTGAAAGCTGTATTAGGCGGACACCGTATTAAGCGGACACCCTCTATTAAACGGACAGTTTTGGATATTTTTTTTTTTTATTTTGGAACAATTTTCTATCAATAGGAAAAATTTTGAGCTTCTAGTAACTGATTGTTTTCTTCTGAGCTGCTGATTGGCATGCAACCAACTTTCTTGTAGTGTATTGTTATTTACGGGTAAACCAAATGATTAACTTTATCTAGGTAAAGATATGTGTAATCCAAACAGTTAACTTTATCTAGGCATAGCCCCAGTTGCAGCACTGTAGTTCCTCTGTAAGTTTAAGCTATATTTTCTAGCACTTGTTCACTTTTTGCTCTTGAAATCTGTAGTATTTTGGTTTTGGTGTTCTAAACCCATTTGCTCCTGGCTAGAGATGATAAAATAAAAAGCCTTGGATTCCACTCAGGTCAGCAATGATCATGGATTTTTGTGGGTAAGAAGTCTTGAAGGCGGGGACTTATTTTGTGTATAAACTTGCGACCTCATTTTGAACTCCCGCTCCCCACCCCCAATTTTTTTTTAAAAAAGGGAATTTTGTTGAATTTTGACTTACGGAAGGCTTTTTCTAAGAGTGGAAAGGTTAAAGGTCATACATATTAGGCTTTGCTGTTGTTTTCTTCCTTATGAACAATGGTAAATGGATTATTAACCAAGACTGCATCCAGTCAAGATGGCGGGAGATTGGCCACGGTTTTTTTCTGTTTTTCCTTTAAGAGATTGCCGAAAAAGGAACAAGACCAATATCCAGCTATCACGAATGAAAAAATGACCAAGTTTGGTCTTAAAAGAAATATTGTATGGCTAATAAGTTAGACACAAAGAGGGTAATCCTCAGCATGCAAACAAACAAACAAACAAAAAATAACCATCAATTTCAGAAAATGAAATTCAGAAAATTTATTGCCTTCATCTCCCTTCATACATGATAGTTTTCCTACTGCATACCTCATATTATAAAACTAGCAAATATTGTCTTCCCACTACATAAGTTTAATATCAAGATCAGTCACCTCTGTTGATTTTGGAAAATATATTTTAAATTAAGTACACATTGAATGACATTGAATTCATAACATCATATTTTTCTTACAATACCTCCAGTTGAATTATTGAAACCTACCTAAACATAACTTAAACTTCCTACAGAAGCAAGTAATAAAAATTAATAAATTCATATTAGACATGCAATAAATACAAATGATAACTTAGTAAACTACTCTCCATTTGGATGGTTGTTCACATTTTCCAAGCTCCTTATCACCACAGAGACAATTAAAGGTTTGGTCACCATGGAAACCTAATATGTCTCTTTCTTCATGAATGCGAAAAGAAAATGTTGACTCGCACGTCCCGACAAAATACTTTGCATGAGCACAAATCCACTGATCAATGATAGCTACCCCTCCATCACCATATGTTTGTAAAATCTTTTTTGGAGCATCATACTTGACCAAAGGAAGTTTGTTCTTCAAATAATCTATTTCTGAAATGGGAAAAGAAATTATAAAACAATATAGTACTGTTATAAGTAGACTGATAGAACTGGATTAAATCTTGAACATTTATTGCTACTCAGAGTTACATGCCCCTTGTATTGTGAGGCAATCATCCGGCATACGTTCATTATACGTTCGAAATTATTCATGATTCGCAACTGTTGGACATTGGTTAAAGAACAAACAAATGAACAGAACATGCTGAGGAAAATCAGTCTGAATAAAACTAATGTGCAGAGTTGACAGTAGTGTCAATATCGGTGTAACTACAAAAATGTAAAGAAACTTAGTTATTAAATGATGAATATATTAATTTCATATATTTCAAATGCAGGATGAAGAAGTAAATGCAGTGAAGATCATCACAGTTAAATACACAGCTTATGCAGTTGCGAAAAGAAAGCCTGAATTTTCGTAATGCCAGTGCAGCGCTCCAACCAATATTGAGCTAGCAAGCCAACTGGGGGCTGGCCAATTGTAACATACCCGGGGAAGATGAAGATGAATATATTAATTTCATGTATTTGAACTGTGGGATAAAGAAATAAATGCAGAGAAGACCATCACAGATTTTTAATATACAACTTAAGAGCAGCTGGAAAAAGAGAGCCTGAAAAAAATTCAAGCTTGCTGGTATTGAAATCCTGACCTGCTCTGCGATACTGGTCCTGAGTACCATTACCAACTCAACCAGCAAGCCAACTGGGACCATCTCCAAACACCAAAACACTTTCTTTCACTCCGAACTTTTTTGCTGTCCTTGCACTGAAGTGTTAATTAGTATGCAATCCTCAACAGTTCTTTGTAAGACTATTTATCGGTAACTGAGATATATCATCAATGGTATCAAATTTCAAGGTCTTTGACAGTGTTGAGCTTGTTGCTGGTTCTCGAATCTGTGATGGGTATTTCCCTAGGTTCTAGGAACAGTTCCATATCTATTCAAACAAGGCTGTCACTGAGCTGGCTGGGGGTCAGGATTTCCCCAGCTTCTGTGAGCATAACCCAAAGGGATTTTCACTGGAAACAAAAGGAAAATATAACCAAAAGAAATTCCACTTCTGTTCAATTTCCTGCCTAGCCCACTTAGTTTCATATGCCCAGTAGCCTGAGAAAACAGACAACATTTTGTGACACCATCACTGGTTTCCCTGCAAAATGACGTCTACAGAACGACCACAGAAATTCCCACAGGAAAAAATAACGGATTCCCATTTTTGGATATTTTAGGGTATTTAAAGAATACCCATAAAAAATCCCAAATTTGGCAAAGTGAGACAAGTCCCAACCAGGGAATTCCCAACTAAGTTCCCAGATTGGGACTTGTCTCCCTCTTCCAACTTTGGGATTTTTATGGGTATTCTTTAACCCATTCGCTCCTGGAGATTTTGCCGAAAAACACATTTTGAAGCTAGTCGAGTGGTTTTCTGGTCACTGTCGTGCTATAAAGAGCTAAAACTTACCACAAACCGGTTTACAGGTCGTAGACTTCATGGACTTGCTGGGCATTTAGTAGGCTTCATTTTGGTGGGAATAGTTTTTAGGAAAGCTTTTAGGATCTTAGGATTAGGTGAAAGGAAAGGTAGGTGGGCAATGAAACAAGATTTTCATGGAGATTTTCAGGTCAATGTTACATGGTTTTTTGCCTCTTTCTCCGGTGTCCTTGACTGAATTGTGCTCATTCTGGTATGGTTTGAAAGATCTCTTCACTCTGCACAAGTTAGCGGACAAAGTTGTCCTTGACCGTTAAACCTGATGACGTCACAAAGGGTAGAAAGGATGTGGATCTGCACGGGCAGTTACGGGCGGGTCAGGGGCGAATGGGTTAAATACCCTAAAATATCCAAAATTGGGAATCCGTTATTTTTTCCTGTGTCCATACTGTTGATGGTCTGGGTAGTGTTTCTGATTGGTCATGCTGCATGGGAAATTTGCATCAGCCAATCAGAAGCACTACCCAGATTTAGGTAGTAACACATCATCAGTATAGAATTTCAGCTGACTCATTTCTCAGACGTCATTTCACGGGACAACCAGTGGTGGGATCACAAGATGTCGGCTGTTTTCTCAAGCTACGTACCCAGCAATTTAAAAACATAGCAACAGCCTTGAAAAGGTAAAGGTATTTTTTTTAAACAATACTTTGCATCTCACCTTCTTTGTCAGCATCAGTAGCAAGAAACACCATGTCAAGCTTTTGCTTATCTAGAATCTCCTTGATCTGTTTGATAGTGTTATCTAATGATGGTACATCATCAGGATGTGCATAAAGAAAATCAGCTCTTCTCAGGTGAACAGCCAGGTATGGGCCACCCGTAGCACTACCCTCCTTTTTGTGGTTTTTTGTCCAGTCTTCATCCATGACAGTGCCATCTTTGTTGTCCTCTGATTTCAGTATCTCTTTACGGAATTTGTCTCCTTCTGCTGTCAGGTGCTTGGCAAACACTAGGCTTCTTCTTGCCTAGGTTTGAGACAAGTACTGATTAGAGTCATTGTCAACTCAGCTCCCTTTCAACATTAGACATTAGAGAGCTTAAACAACAACCATGGCAACAGCAACAAAAACAAACAAAAAAGCGATAGGTTTAACACTATTTTTTGACTACACTTTTTGGTACTGTAAAACAACATATGAAGTTTCCTTATTTGATATAAATTAATTTTATGGACAACATAAACAAATGCCAAGTAATTCTCTGTTATTAAACTTGGGTCTTGTCCCCAAGGGTCTAAGTCCGGGAAATTTCACCTACATATGAAATTTTAAGCAAGTTAGAATATGTAATTTAAATCACAAGATTTGAAAAAGTGCAAACTGATTTTGAAAGTGATGTTTTTCCAGCAATCTCTGTCATCATTGCTAAGGCTGCCTATTATCAGAGCTAAAGACAATATGGATCGAAATCAACCAAATTATTACAACTTGCAAACATGACCTTTTGAACCCACTGAAGAAAGCCTTTGTTTCCTAAGAGGTCTGCTAGAATGATTGACAGAGGTGAAAATTGTAAACATCAGTTATATTTTTGACTTTAGGTAATATATATGTTACTTCAATGTGTGGCAATGTGAGCAACGAAATTGCTGGCAGACAACAAAATAATGCACCTATCAATGTAAATCCCGTGGGGGGTGGGGGCAAGGGGCGGGGATTTGATGCCTGAGACTATCCCCCTGTCAGGCTTTTGATCGGCGAAGCGACCCCAGGGTTGGGACATTTGACTTTGACTGACAGAAGCCTGGTATCAATTCAGAAGCGGTTACCAAATCCGTCCTTCGAGGCTTTCTGAAAGTCACTCTGTTGGAGAAAGGTGTGAAGTTTTCATTTGTTTTAATCGGCTCCTGTCGCCATAATGCGATACTTTAAACTGTCATCTAAACAGATAATGTCTATTTTGAGAAAGTTTTTATCTTCAAGTTCCCATCTGATTATAAAATGCGATTGAAATCGAATTCCACCATGAAAGTCTGAGGATTTTTTACCGGTCTCTGATCAGACCTGTTCCGACATGTTGAGCAGATGTTATAAAGCATTTTACGTTTCATTAATATCATAATAGCACGGTCAATCTTCCTAGAGTGATTTTGTTGTTCAAAATAAGAGACGCTAGTGGAGAGAGAAAATACTTAATTACAGCGAGTAATTTAACGGAGCTTACGTTTAGTAAGGACGTACTTTTGAAATGTTCTTTTAATTTGTTTTATACAGTATTATAGTATTGTTTGTTTAGATTTTTTCCCCTGGGGTGGGGGCTTTTTTGACACTTTTGATTGACCTTTCGTTTCCCACCCTGGGGAATTTGATCAAAAAATTTTAAAATTTGTCAAATCCCCACCCCTTGCCCCCCCCCCCCACGGGGTTTACATTGATAGGTGCATAACATCTACTACTGTCGAAAATGTATTTCCTCGGCATAATATATAAAGTTTCAGATCGAAATGTTTTACTATTTTGGAACAATTTACGATCACTATATAAATTTTGAGCTTCTACTAACTCCTTGTTTTTCTTATGAGCTTCTGATTGGCCCACAACCAACTTTCTTGGAATGTATTGTAATTTATGTGTAATACACTTTAAGAACCAAATTTATTATTGCATTGGTTAACTTTATCTAGGTAGCCCCAGTTGCAGCACTGTAGTCCCTCTGTACGTCTATCGGTTGCTCAGTTTTTGCTCTTGAAATCTGCAGCATTTTGGTGTTCTAAACCCATTCGCTCCTGGGAATTTTGTCCAAATTGCCCCTTGAAGCTTATAGACAAGCTGTATTCTGGTCAAACCGCCCAAATCACTTGATCTTAGCTTGATTGTTTGAAGACATATTACCTTCCAATATTCCACCTGACCATAATGGATGTGCAAAACCTTTTCAAATCTGTCAATCATTACTGATCTGAAATAATGAAAACATCAGGAAAAAAATGAGGCACAGTACCTCCCAGTAATCCTTCTGTCCATACACAATGTGCAACACTTCTTCAAATCTGTCTACAAACACTGATCTGGAAAGGTGAAAAAAATGAAGTTACTCTGGAAAGAAGAGCTCCAAGAGAATTACTTCACAAGGTAGTTAAAATTCTCCCCCAGATCTCTTTTTCATGGTTGACTAAAAACGTGACGGACATGCTTTAAAGGTATTTTTTCCAAGACCAAAGCCTGAGCCAAAGGATGAGATTGTCCGGTGTTTACCCTAGAATGTGCATAACAAAAAATATAGGGCCTGAGGTAAACAACGTGAGTCGGAGGACTGGACATTCACAAGGAGTGAGATAGTGCCTGCCCGTGAGGCCAAAAAATTGCTTTTTTTGTGCTTTGAGAAAGAGAAGAGAATTCTTTTATCTATAGCCTTCCAAGAAATTCAAGTCAACTTGTCAGTGAAAAGTAACACAAGTCAAAACTAGCAATTGAGAAGTAAGAGACCATAATAATATATTTTACAAGAAGGAATGGTAGAGCATTTTGTTATTTTTTTTCCCTTTAATCACTTATTTCAGAGTTGTTATTTTTGTGAAATGCGAGAAGGTAGTCCAGGATCAGGAAATAGGTTGAAATACAGGATTGACCTAAGAATGATCTCATACTGAGTGAGCAAGATAAAATTTCCATATTTCAACAATCTTATTTCTAGATTTCTTTCTTCCACAATAATTTTAGATCTTGTTTTTTTTCATCCTGAGAACAGTCTGCCTTCTAGCCATACATGAATGGTATTATCCTGGATTTCGGCCTTAGCTGCATGGGCTTTTTGTTCCATTTAGAGACAACAATAGTCCGTGAAAGTAAGCAATATGATTTAAATTAAAATGTTGATTTAGAAATCACATGACATTAAAATTAATTAAATAAACTAAATTTATATCTGAAAAGATAGTTTATGGTTATAGATATAATATTCTTTATTGTTGAAACAAAGAATAAAAAAACTCCGACTATTCGTTGTACCAGTTGTTGGTGGTGCTTTATGGCAGCTATGACTGTCAGACAAAACACCAGCCATCGCACTATGGATTACACGTGGAAGATGAATAAATTTCAAGTGCTATTGATGCTCATAAATAACATTACAAACTAATTCAATTCAAGGTTACCTAAAGCAAGCGATGAGTTTAAATAGATGGTATTATAAAATAAAATAAAACAGAGCTTACCTGGATTTGGTTTTCTCCAGTAAAGACACTAAAATAGCTGAAGTGCCTTGCACAGATACACATTTAAATTTACGCGCGAATACATTATCCATTCCCCAAAAATATCCTCGATAAAAACCGTCTTGGTCTTTGTAGTAAACAGGTCTGTCTATACAATCACGATCATCGACTTTTTCTTCCCAATGCCCATCCTTCCAGCCTTCTGCGTATCCCTGTAAATAGAGAATTTCATCTATACCTGATTCGCCAGTTTCTTTCACAAAGTCTTCGAATTCAATGACAGGAACATATCTGTTTAAGCTCTCGAGATCGAAGAATGTTCGCCATGGAAGAGCATTCTGCTCGATCGGTGATCGCCAGTGATATAATTTTCTCCAAGGTGGAACTACAAGCACCCAGTTTTGTTTTTCTCGAAGAAGTTTCATCATATTTGCCACTCTCATGTAGACATCCCGCCGTAGATTAAAACCCTCTCCTGGATTAACATCGTAGATGAGGTACCTTTTGTCCAATTTCGTTTCATTTAGAGCAGCTTGGAAGGAATCTACGTTGAGACCATGTTGGCTAGAAGTATCAAATGCTACAGATTCATCATCTACATCTTTGCTAACAACAACTGAAGCAATAGTTATGGGTGCAAGGAACAAAGCAAGGACCTTCCACCCAGTCGCCATGTTGATATTATCGCGGGAAAATATTGACTGAGCGACTTACACAACATTTCTAAAACGTGATTGGATCGGGAAAAAATGGTCTTTCATTGTTCTCATCAAAGAAAACCAATGATTGGTCAACACGAATTAGATCTAATAGCATTCTGAACAGGATTGTTTCCTGAGACAATACAATCCCATCGAAAAATCTTTTGCGTAAAAGTAGATTTAAGTATGTCTACAGATAGACGACAAATTTTCGCAATTAATTATCTGAGTGAAATTTAAAGTAAAATTAGTAAAAAAAATACTGTGCACATATATTATACTGATGCAAATCAGAAAATGGAAGGTGTGTAAATAGAGTACCGGTTATAGCTACGTTTTAATAGCCTGCGAGCAAGCTAAACCCAAGGATACGCGAACAATAACCTTTGTTCTGCAGGCTAAAAAATTAAAATTTCACTGAAGCAGGATCATGGGTTCCTGTTCAGAAGGTGTACCCCCAAATATTCTTCAAAATGCTGGGTCGAGCAAACCTAAACAACGTTAAACCACCATCAGAACAAGAATATACAAACAAGAATATTTCTCGTGGCGTAGCAAATGAATTTTAATCGAGCGATCGTATAAATGAAGGAACCATTTTCAGGTTGATTCAAACTGTTTTTAGTCCGAAAACTGGCCACAGTGAAGATAAAGTACCACTTCAAACGATCTCTGGTGTGCAAGGATTGTCAAGATTCACTTCTGCCTCTTCCAAGCCAGGTTTGTTCTTCGTTCTTTTTTTGTTTTGGCTTGTTAATTAAAACTAATTGCGGGCAATAAATCTCGGGTATAAATTCTTAGGTATAGATAAAAACGGTGTTATCAGTCGTAAATTGAACGGTTCTTACTGCTCAATTCAATTTCCCGAAGAAAGCTGTGATTCTTTTAAACTTTACATAGCAGATAAGAGTATCTTTGCATGATTCATTTGGAGTGTTTTAATAAATCCCTTGTCCGATGTTTTCTTAATAGTTGAGAAACCAAAACATTAAAACTTGCTAAAATGGCGTTTATAGGGCAGGAAAAAGTAAGAAAACAACAAAGACACAACGTTTTATGACGTATGTATACTTTAATAGCTGTTTTTGTACATTTTAACCGTTTTATCGATCTTAAGATAAATTTCCATACAAATCCTTATAATTTGGCTTCCAGTATGCTGTTGTGATTCTGGGTGCCCTGTGGTAAAACAACCAACAATTACATCAAAGAGTAAAAGTTGATACTTGCATGCAATAATTTAAAATGGCAGTATTCACAACGCGTGCTGATAAAACTTGTTATTATTTTTTTTTTTACAGGTATACAGAATTATGCGAAGAACATAAAACTCCATGCAAGGAGGCATTCAAAAACAATAAAATATTGATTATTTTTACATGCTAAACCTGTGGTAAGTGTCCTTTCTTTGCATAAAAGCAATCGGCGATAAGCGAAAAATATATTAATTTCTCGATCATTTAAAGAACTCAGATTTTTTCAATTTGATATCTCAAATTTTTTTTCCCTTAAGACACCACAGGTTTGGTATCTTTAAAAAAGGATACCGACAAACTTAGACATTAAAGATGTAATGCACATTGCACAAGGTAATAACTATTACTATTTGTAGATGAGTGGAACTATCAGTTATTACTCCAATTATAACCTATACTTCAACCTCGGAAATTAATTCTTTCGGATTCTGTTCTATGTTTAACACATATATTTGCATAAAGAATTTCGATATGTAAATATACCACAAAAAAAAAACAAAACAAAACAAAACAAAAACCTGATGAGGAACGAAGAAGGTACGTAAACGAAAGGTAAGAGTTCTTTCAGCTACAGGGGACTAAGGGTGGACCCGGTGAGGGGAGCGCCCAAGCGGCATCCATTAGAGACGGAAGAGGCGTCTAATACAGACTTAAAAAGGTTTAGAGGGCGTTTTTAGGTCACTAAAGAGCCGTTTACATGAGAGAGAGCCCCTTCTGATCATTATTGCGGTTACAAGTTTTAAATTAAATAGCCAAATTTTTCATCAACTCACATCCGTCTTCTGTTGTAAAAAATGAAGAAAAATTGCTTCGGTATTCTTGAGAGAATCACATGATATTTTTAGAGATCCCATTCATAAGAAAACTGAGTTTGACACGAAAAAATTCCGGCTAGCCTGCTTAGGTGGCATTTTTTTCGTTGGTAGTTCGTAAAGTGCGAAAGGTTAACCAAAGTAAAAAAAAATTGAAATCATTTACATTTTTTTATCCTCTTTTTTTCGTACAAATTGAGACTGAAAGATTGAAATTACTTCTAGCTGTCGTTATACGCCTTCCTGTTTTCTTTGTTTGCTTTGTTTTTAGACAACAACGTGCTCGGAAGACACTTCCACACTTTTATGAGAGTTTATTGGAATGGCATTGCCATCGACGCATATTACTGAATTTCCTTCAAATCTTACTTATATAGGGTAATCATTTAGACCTTTTAATAAATGTAGCACTAATGCCAGTTAACTTGATATAAATAAAACAATATTCTGAGCATATTGTCTGGGTCAAAGACAACCTTTGCAATTTTTGAAGTAAATATACGGTACACGGTTCTCTACTTACAACCGATTTCTACTTTTAATATTTATTTTACTACGAAAAATATTCCAGTATAGTACGTTGTCAAATCCTGGACACCTTACTTTTTCGATGTTTTGTTCAGTGACAATTACAATTCTCATACACTGTAGTTTCATTTTGCCCATCATGTTTATTATCGAAGTAACATCAGTAGCTTGAAATCTGGGACTGTTTTCCAGGTTCACAGAAAACATCGAACAAAGGATTTATTAAAACACTCCAAATGAATCATGCAAAGATACTCTTATCTGCTATGTAAAATTTAAAAGAATCACAGCTTTCTTCGGGAAATTGAATTGAGCAGTAAGAACCGTTCAATTTACGACTGATAACACCGTTTTTATCTATACCTGAGAATTTATACCCGAGATTTATTGCCCGCAATTAGTTTTAATTAACAAGCCAAAACAAAAAAAGAACGAAGAACAAACCTGGCTTGGAAGAGGCAGAAGTGAATCTTGACAATCCTTGCACACCAGAGATCGTTTGAAGTGGTACTTTATCTTCACTGTGGCCAGTTTTCGGACTAAAAACAGTTTGAATCAACCTGAAAATGGTGCCTTCATTTATACGATCGCTCGATTAAACTTCATTTGCTACGCCACGAGAAATATTCTTAGCTTGTTTGTATAAAAATATGACAATGAGTCAGGAGAAACGCTCTAATAAGACTTATCTCAGTACTGCGAGAAACGCACGCACCATGAGTTCAACGGCTGGTAATCAACACTTTAATATTAAAAACTGGACACATTAAAAATTTGCCGACTCGCTCAACTTGCGCCTTGAACATAGGATACGAGCGCTATAGAAAAATAAAGTTATTAACTTAGCTCTTGGGAAGACAAAAAAGGGTGAATACGCATGGGACTTCTAAACTGCCTTAATTATGAGCGCTGTTGGGCTTTGGCAAGAGAGGATAAACGGCACAGAGAAGGCATCCCCCATACACACCCTATTCCATAGGTAATTCGTCTCGAGTTATTTTTAGAATCGGGATAAAGTTACCTCGCGCGCTGCGTGGATGTTTCGCATGACTAAACGCCATGCAAAACATGTCGGGCTAAAGGCAATGAAAGCGTAAAGAGATCGAGAGCATTTCTGAATATATTGACGCGAAATGAGTCGGCGCTCACCTGGGAAAAGGGAATCGCTAGACTCTTTGACAACCCGTGAAATCAGTTTAACTCGAAGTTGTTGTAACCTCAGTGCTTTAATATAATGAGAAATTTCGCCGGTCTACTGAAACCGGTCGTTTGTACAATAAAGCAAGTAGGACGCCAAGTGTTATTTTTGATGAATAATAAAAGACTAATTGCTCTCTTCAAACTGTAAATTATAAATGATCCTGAGAGAATGTTCAGTGTGTTAATTTCCCTGCTGCACTGTTAGCTCACAAGAGAGGAAGGGCGATTGTTTTTTGATTTCCGTTTCCCTGACACAGCTTTAGCAGAAATCTCTCTGTAGTCGTTTTCGTCGACAAAACTAATAGCAATATCGCTCTCCGCGTCTTCCGCCATTTTGTGCTGCGTCAATTCGTGAAGGACGCGTGGCTATGAGCGTGGGTCATCCACGCGGAACACATTCGCGCTATGTGATTGGCTGTTGTCTAATCCCCCTTAGGATCTGTGGTCTTAAAAATAACTCGAGACGAATTACCTATGGAATAGGGTGTGTATGGGGGATGCCTTCTGTGTCCCGTTTATCCTCTCTTGGCTTTGGCAATGCAATGGGAAAAGGCCGCACTTTCCTGCACTTTCAGTTCACAATAAACAATAAATGCTTGATTGGATGCATTCACAAAAGCAAATTTGCCGACTCCGTATTAAATATAAAACCTTGACATGAAAACTCGTGGATGAGTTTGCAACTTGAAAGAAAAGTAGCTGCGTTTCCACCACCTTCTGAACAAAGCAAAAAGTACATTCAAAACTTCTTGGTGGACATTCATTCTCTTATTACGGGTAAAAAAGTCACAGAACTGGTTTATAACAATATTTAAGCGGAATAATGTAGTTAAAAAAAAAATGGCCGAGAAAGACTCTGATTCTTTGGATGTATGAGGGACGGACCATTAGAAACGTTATGGGGGGGGAGCGGAATGTTCGAGCCGCAGGAATTTTTTTTCGTTATCAAATTCCTTGTATGAATTTTTTTTAGGCCATAGCATGAATATTTTTTTAGGATTAATTGGCGTGCAAGAATTTTTTTCATTCAATTTTCCGTTGCGCGAATATTTTTTTTGTACTTCGCCCGCCCCCCCATAAGTTTTCTAATGGTCTGTCCCTAACCTTTCCTCTTGGTAAAGTTCAGAGTCTCTGACAGTCAGAAAGAATATTCGCCGTGGCCCAGAGAATTTATTTATTTTTTATTTTCAAACAAAAAATTCTCTGATAAATCTAACGGATTTCCGTAGAACGGAGAAATTAGACTGCGGGCAGCCTCTCTTTTTCTTCAGTTTTAGTAAAGGGAGTGCACGCGCGCGCGAGCGTTTAGCGGCGAAGCCGCTAGACGCGAGAAACGAGGGCGGCGCCTTCAGTCGCGCGTGGTCATTTGCGTGTCTCGCGCGTTTTGCTCGACTGACCAAGAAAACAGAGAGACTGCTCGTAGTCTACTGATAATTTATCTGCTCAAAAAGTCAAGGAATCTTGTTGGGGTCAGTGAAAGGTTCAGGTTAACTATTGTAACAGTGATAAGGAAAAAATGAGAACCACATCAAACATAGTCTGCTACACAGCCGTTTTTAGTGTCGTCACGCAACGCTCCTCCCCACAAGCGTTGCGTGACGACACTAAAAACGGCTGTGTAGCAGACTACATCAAACACAGCTCTATTAAATACATTTATTATGCATGCAACAATCTCGTACTATTTCCCACAAATATTTTACATTTGACATTTTTTTACCTTGAAATGCAACAAGGGCCTTAGCAAATAAATATAAGCAACAAAGCCTTACTATTTTCCAGGCTTTTTTCAGCGGCCACTCGGAAACTTGATTACAATCAAATTCAAATAACAGACGTCGAGTAACAATTTATTTTAATCATGCGATTTTTCAAGATGTTGACCTCGATCATTGTCTGGGGCGCTTTTTCTAAATGTTGGAAAGTAGTAGTCTTTCGAAGTCTCGCAGTTTTTTTTTCGGAGACCGTGTAGGGAAGGGTGGGAAGCGCTATTTGCGCATATAGTGATGACATCATGTTTACAAGGTTGCTTCGTACGTGTGACGATCGAAGAAGAAATCGAAGGCAGGTGTTGTTGAGTGGGTGAAATCTCTCGCAAAATCCTCGAAAATGAGCTCAGAACAGTATTCAAGCACAGCGCAGTCTCCACCACCATATCCTGGAGGACAGGAATATCAAACTAAACAACCCGGAGCTACATATCCACAACAACCTGGCTACCCAGTTCAACCCAGCGGCCCCACAACAACTACAGTGGTGTATCAACAGCCTCATGTCATGATGGCCATGCAGCAGTTCAATGAGTTTCCAGTATCAATGAAGTGTCCTTACTGCCAAGCAACTATTGTTACCGCTACTGATTTCACACCAGGTACTTTGACATGGCTGTCCTGCGGTGCTACAGCTCTTGTTGGGTAAGTATACGTCGAGGATTATCGGGTATTGGGCTAATAGCCACAATCCTCGCCAGCTTCGGTGTTTACTGGCTAAAACAACTTTGGAGAAGGGAGGGGGAAAGATGTTTCATTGATTTCGTCTGAGTCTGTAGTTGCTTCAATTAACTAATTAACTTTATTTCACCCAGTCTGCTTTTTAAGGGTTTACCTCGGTGTAAGAACCTGTGAACTTTTTGTACCTTTTGTTTTTCTAGGTTTTATTGTGCTGACTTCTTTGTTTTCTTTGTTTTACGTCACCGGTGGGTTCTTACACCGAGGATGAGCCACTTTTATCTAATAATTTAACTTACAAGACTATAGTTTCCCACCCTGCGAGAGGCTACATTTTCGCTGTGTGAGCCTGTTGTGTGAAAAGTAGCCTCTGCCGACAACCGTTCAAATCTGTCTAGAAAACTGGACAAATAAATTAAAAAACTGGGTTTTTCCTGTTCTTGACAAATTTAGAGCATTGCGTGAGTCTTAAGTGTGTCTTGCGTAGCAGAATATCAGAGTTGTCAAAATTTTTTTTATTCCTGTGAAACTCGTGCCATTTGATGACAGACCTGCTGATGATTGATTTTGCTTGGGAATCGCATGACGAATTTCGCACATGCATGTTAGAAAATTGAATGGTTGTCAGCAGAGGCTTCTTTTTGCACGTGAGGTCACCCTTCGAAAATGTAACCTCTGCTCACAGGGTAAATGTTTCCCATCTCGTCTCTCGTATAATTTTCAGGTCTGTCAACTCTCCCGGGTAATCCAGGAGACGTACTCCAGGTTTTGAACCATTTCTCGCGGTCTCCAGATTAGAGTCTGAAATCTCCCGGATAATCGCTGAAGTTTGTCATTTCTTGTAGATTCAACAATGAAATTTCAAATATTGTACGGTTTTTTGAGCTATTTTACTGTTGACATTGAACGTTTCCTCACAAACTCCGGTATGCCATTGTAATATAAGCAATAATTTGATTGGTGGGAAGTAAACCAATTAGGTCAAATGTTACAATTCCAACAACATCTTTTTCTCACGTTTTTTTGTTCCCCAAATGACATCATGTGCTGTGCATTATGACGTCATCTATCACCCCTTTCCCATCAATTTTCAATATTTGAAGACATGTGGGGTTGACAGCCCTGAATTTGTACTAGATAAGACTTCCACACAGCCCCATACATTTATTTTCCATACATGTTTTGATGCATTTCCTTTTCAAGTTAACTTTGTGTGAAATAGTACGAGATTGCTTGAATGGTTTTATGTGGAATTCTTACCCATTAGATGCTGAAGTATCTACGTAAAAGAAGTGGATTGTTCCATAGACAGCTTTAATTTACAAGGGAATAAACATTTATGCTTTTGCAGTTGGCAAATTCTGGCCAACTAGTGTTTTTTTCTCCTTGGCTATCCAACACGCTATCTTGATAAGGATAGCTAGTGGTTTAATTATTAGGAAGCAAGACATTTGAAATGGCAGCTGAAAATATCCTCCAAAAACTGTTTGGAACTTGCCGTGTAAATAGATGTTTAGCCCGCTTAGCTGGCGCAGTTAGAAATTGTATGCGACTGTTCACGGCAAAGATCACAAAAGCACCTTAGCCATAAGAAGAATGGATGAAGCAAGTTGAGATCCCGCTTATCGTTAATATTTGGGAATTATGAAAATATATTTAGTCCAACTATTTGGTAAACAGAAGTCTTGGTGATGAGATGTCAATCAAAAATTATGTTAGTTGATTTGTGTTGTCAGTCCAAGATGAGAAAACAGCCAACATTTTTGTGAGGCCACCACTGTTTTCCCTGCACAATGACGTCTAATACAACCCATCAACTTTTGTTTGTTTTTCATTTGGAGTCTGCAGTGTCGCACTAATTACCAGGAAAATGTAGCAAAAGTTAGATGATGGCCCACCATGAAAAAAGGCAAATTTCGTTGAAAGTGATGGAGCTTAGCCAAGACCATAATGTTATTGATATAGGCAAAAAATATTGTCCTCCTTCATGCCTGCCTTGTGCTTGCCTTTGCTTGCCTGAAAAAAGCAAAAAGATAATGCCTGTTCTGCAAGCTATAATAGTATCGATCACAGATTAATAAAGAATGACCGAGACTCCAATTTGTGTGTGAAATCATATGTTTCAAGGCAGGGGAGAACCACAGGTACCCCAAGTTCACATGTAAGAATTGTTGTTGCATAACAGAAATATTATAAGGGGTTTGTGTGGGGATTTTACCACTTGTTTATTAGGAATCAATAAATAAAAGTGCATAAGAACTCCTTGATTTTATTTACGGTGTGCTGTCGTGTCACATCACGTTTTTAATGTGAAAAAGAGCCTATTAGCTTGCATGAATATTGAGTTAAATGTGCCTCACAGAAAAAATAATCGCGATTCTTGATTTTTTACCCCATAACAAAATTAGCAAGCATTCTGTTGACCCGAGTTTAATTTTATTAGCTCTAATTAATTGTTGACTTAGGCTTTTTGTTTCATCTGGTGTATTTCTGGAAATAAGCTTTAAAAAATATTGTGTAAACATATAGTGGTATTACATTGTTGAGAATTTTAATCTGGATTCATGGAACCATTCAAAAAGTGAAGATGTCTGGCTAGAATCTGCTGACACTCACTCCTGTTTACGAGGTTTATATAGTCTTTTATTATATAGACACGAGTGTTTTACTGGAAAATATACCACTCGTAAAATTCATAAAAACTACATCCGGGACCCGAGTGGTTTAGTTTCCGTAATCTCCTATGTGAGTTTATCGATGACGTAATTTTGGTAATTTCCCTCTATTATTTTATTGATGTCATTTTGTCTATATAATAAAAAGAACATTACACAGCGGCTTGAAGATTATAAATTTTATTTTCTCGTGGCAAAAACAATATTTTACTCACTCGCTGCGCTGACGTTTGTAAAATATTGTTTTGCCACTTGAAAATAAATTCATATCTTTGCGCCACCGTGTAATATCGTCTATATAATACTGGCTGATCAGGAAGAATTAAATAGTGAACTTTTGCTTATTTATTTAACAACTACATGGATGTACATAGAAGTCTAATGTAGATTTAAACATTAAGCTCATTCTAATGGTTAAATTTGTTTATACATTTATCCAGTTGTTGGCTCGGTTGTTGCTTGATCCCATTCTGTATTGATGCTCTCAAAGATGTCATCCACAGCTGCCCCAACTGCAAGAAGCAAGTGGGTGTCTTCCGTCGCATGTAGACTGATGATGCTGGATTTTCAAAACACATGCAACATATAACTCCTTAGTGTAGGCACTGACCTGTTATTCATTTTTTTATTTTATTATCCACCATCCAGATTACCATGTTCATTTTGTATCAAGTGCAAAGATTTTATTTACCTACTACATGGTAGTAGTGATAGGTGTAGTGATTCTTCTATGTGTCATCGTGTATATTTTATTTAAAATATAGTTAAGCAGTGAACTGGACTTATAATTACATTTATTAGTTCTTACAGGATTTGAATTTTGTTTATATCCTGCTTATTCATATACCATATTTAAACTACCTGTGAGACATCTGATATTTGATTTTCAAATTTCATATTTAATATTTATTCAGTGTGTGATTGTATATGGACCTCAGTGGTCAGTGCAATATGATGAATCATTATTGTGATTAGCTAAATACTGCTTATTTGCTGAGTACTGACAGAGAAAACGAGCCTAATAAGATGTATATTATATTATATGCTGCGGGATAAAATCCCGCTCATGCTGATGTGAATTATTTTTCCTTTTACATTGACTTAAACTTTGACAATATTTGTTGAGCAGAAACTAGGTCTCTGAGTCAAGGTATTTTGTGTGCTTCTGTCAGGAAGAGAGGGCTGGGTTATGCTTTTCCTCAAAATCTAAGTCTGACTGTTTTGTGAAAATGGTAATTACCAAACTGGATCTAGTATCTGGTCTCTGAAAATGTTTGTGACATTATAGTAGACCAACTTTTTTTGTTTATCTCAATGAACACTGTTTGCACCAGTATTAGTTCATTAAAATTGTTTGTTTATGCAGCAGCGCGCAGGAGCGAAAAGATAAGGAAAGTATGAGAGTTTTATAGAAAGAGCTTCATATGAAGACTGCACACATGTGCATATTTTAGTATTATGTTGGTATGGTCTGTAAATATATATATTATATGGAAAATAAAAATGTCTTGCATCCCGTTAAAAACAGTTATTTTTCTTTGGATTATATTTCCGGTGGTTGCTCCCATATATTATGGGCTGTAGGGTGATGGTCCACCCCCAGGAGGTGGGGGGTACTCCGGATTTCAAGTGACCGGGATGATCAAAGGTCATGGGCTCCTGTCAAAGGATTTTTTGGGGTTTGAAATTTTTGATTTTGGGGTAGCTTAAGCAGGCTTTTTTTTTAATAGTCAAAACTTATGTTTCTGTTTTTCTGGTTATATCATTTAATGCTTTCTGGAAATTTTTATTGCTCGGAAATTCGGCATGGGATCTTTTTGGGTTTTGATATTTGCCCCCATTCGATCATCCCTGTCGCTTAAAATCCGGAGTACACACCCGTCGTGGGCAGGGGCGGATAAAGGTTATCATTTATCCACCCTGGTCGTGGGGTTCCACGCAACAAGCTATTCTTTTGGCATTAGATTAACTGCAAAAACCGTGGACGAAGATCCCACTAGTTATAAACGTAGACCAAAGAACACAATTGAAAATAGCCTTGCAATGGTCTACAATTGTTGATCACGTTATCAACTTTCTGTAAACACTGCTGAAAACAATAATTACCGTATTTATTCGATTAAACGCAGCGGCGTTTTCTCAAATTTTTAGCGTTTTCAATGCGGCGTTCATTCAAGGGCGTTTATTTCGAAATCACTTTTTTAAAATCGCTAACAACAGTTATTGTAAATCGTTTGTAAATATTATGTAACTTAATGGGTTACAATGTCCCCCTGCAGTTTTGCTGAGATAGACTCGTAAATGTCTGGATGGTGTAAATTACCAGGTTGTACCGAGGTTTTTTGAGCCTGTGTACAGACGTCCCCCTCCCTTAGAAATCTCCCGATTTTTTTCTGAGGGAGTGGGGCGTCTGTACACAGGCTAAGGTTTTTTAAAGGTATCTCAAAAGAAGTGATCAATTGCAACTGTATGAATGGGAAAAACTACTCTTGCCACCCAGCAACGGTTGAGTGGTTTTCAATACAAATTCTTGTGAATTTGAAATTTTCGTTGAATGTTTCCCTTATTCCTTCAGGGCTAGAAGATTGCTTGAAGAGTTTCAGTGACAGAGGAAGTGAAATAAGCGCGTTCCCTTCCCGCTTCGAACAACAGCTCACTCACCCCTACCGTATTTACTCCATGAAACGCCGCAGATGGAAGTAAAATTACAACATTGTTTACAGTATTCAAACAAAATTACCGCGCCGCACTTGAATAAACGTCGCATAGGAAACAATAAAAATTTAATCGAAAATATACGGTATGAAGCATGGGCGGTAAGTGACACCGCGTGACGTATTTTCTATTAAGTGTATGGAGAGTGATGACATCATCTGTCCTCAAAGCGAAAACAGCGGCTTGGAAATTGAGTTTTGTAATTTGTTCCGCGCCTGAAGTGAAAGGTTTTCTACCCTAAAATGGAACAGCCGCCTCCTTACCCCGGTCCACCAGGATATGGAATCAAACAGCCTCTGCCCACAAATCAACAGCAACCAGGCTATCAAGCCACCACTACCACAGTGATACAGCAACCCGGTCCTGTCTTCGTTGGGTTAAGGTTTCTTGAGAATCCTACGGCTATGATTTGTCCTTTTTGTCAGGCCTCAATTGTTACAAGCACTTTATACACACCAGGAACACTGACTTGGATAGCTTGCGGTGGGGTAGCGCTGATGGGGTAAGAAATCTCAAATGGATTTTCTCAAACTTTTTAACCGTACGCAATGAGGCACGTTTGATTTCATGCAAGATTGCAGTTTAAAAAGTTCAGATCATTTCAGTGACCCTTATTTCCGATTTTTTTTACTAAATTAAACGGTTTTAGGTCCGTAGTAACACCCATAAGTTTGATTTCAAGGAAATTTTACGAATAAAAAAGCTAGTAATTTCAGAATTTGACGATTGGTGGTAATCATGGTCAGCGTAAAGTGGAGAGGACCCATTGTGGATTGCGGACTGCGGAGAGTGCAGACCCTTTGATAAGGTGGGGGGGTCTCCCTTCGGGCCTCAGTTTGGTCCAAAAATAAGGGGGAGGGGGCAAGCCCCTACCCTGGATCTGTCCCTGTAACCAGTGGGGCAAGGTAAAATCTCAAATGACAAATGCACCATACATCACATTCGCACTCATCTACTGTAGTTTAAGAACAAAAAAAGTAACAGGCTAATAGCTTACTAGGTCAATGAAATTGACATGACACAGGCATTTAAATTTTCCTATTTCAAATGAGTGGCCGTATTAACGGGGTGAAATTATAAAAGACATCTACTGGTAGGGATTTTAAAATGTGGCCGTTGGCCGTATTGGTGGTAGCCTGAAATTCATCCGATTGCTTCGAGTCGTTTTCTCCTCTCAACAACTGAGGGAGTAATAACGACTCGAAGTAATCGGATGAAATTCAGGCTATATTGGTGGGTGACTGCATTAATGAGGGATTTTTGTACAAAAATGTATGGCCATTTTGGTGACCGTAATATCGAGGTGGCCATAAGGTGGCGGGTTCCACTGTTGACAGATGAGGTATTCTGAGGTTTAGCCAGTTGAGAATGTAGCCTGCATAGCAGTCGTTTCTGTTTCCTTTAAGCCAAGCAGGAGAAACGAGATGCGCAAGGAAAGGAGCAAAACAATGCCCTGGCACGTCATTAGTGCTTGCCCCACTTGGCTTTTTAAAGGAAACGCAAGTGACCGCTATGCAGGCAGATCGTGACAGAGAATATTAATACTTCCAAAAATCTGGGGGGATTTGGTCTTAGATCTATATAATCTTAAGTTCAGGAATGTGACTTTGTTGGTACCAGCCAACGCACGGAGCCTACCTACAATAATGGTGACCGAGCATATTTTCAGTTGGTGGCTCTGAAATTGTGGAACATCTTCTGGCAGAGATCCGAAACATTCAGAGCCTTAGACCTTTTAAAAGAGCTCTCAAAACGTCCTTTTTTAATTGACTTATTTATTTTATTCAATTATTTATTTATTTAAAATATAGCTTTCAATTGACGTACATTTTTATGATAGCTTTTAATTGACTTATTTTTATCTTATCGTCTGTAATGTGCATATGAAAATATTCCTATTGAATATAGGCAAGATAAGTTTCATATTTATTTATGATTATTATTATCAGAAAATTTAGTTAGTGTCTCTCTTTAATTGTGTATGCTTGTTACTTTCTCTGTCCACAGTGGATGGCTTGGATGTTGTTTGGTGCCATTTTGTATGGACTCACTTAAGGATGTCATCCACAGCTGCCCTAACTGCCAGAAACAAGTTGGCGTCTACCGACGAGTGTAAAAGGCCACAAACAGGTCACCATGATGACACAGCTTGCTTAAAATTAATATGCTGTACATAATACTTTCGTAACTTCACAGTTATAATTATTTCCAGTGTATTTCATCGATACAAGAAATACATAATCCTACGTGCATGAGTACCCATTGTATTCTGAAGCTAATTATTTTATAAGAGCTTATACTTCCGATCAATTGCACAATGATTTTTTTTAATCATTTAAATATAATATATGCATTTAATTTTTCTTTGTCTCCCTGTAACCTTGACTTGGAAAAGATCCCCTCCACCTCAGTCCTTTAAATGGATATTTTACAATATTGATTCAGGGAATTGACTTTTTACAATATATATTTTATTTGCATAAGACAATGCAGGGCTCGAAGCTTGTCCTCTGGGCAAACAGCTCTCACATTTGCTTGTTTGTGACCACTTCTTGCTCCTCTAAATGATTTTGTTGGAGGATGACTTGCTTGGACCTGGCTTGCCATTGGACAAGAAAGCTTTAAAATAATAACTTGCCGGCAGCAAGAAAATGTACTTGTCCCAGTTTTGGTTTAAGATTTATAGCATAAATAATAATGTAGGTAATACCATGTACTCACGTGGGAATACTGAAATAAATAAATAAAGTTGGTTATGTAATATTAATCACTCTTTTGCTGTCATGGTATTAATGGTCTTCTTACATTACCAAGAAAGTTGTTGATCTGTAAATAGATTCGATTGCACAGAAACATAACACTGACAGTTAACTTTCATGATTAACATGTTATTATTTTTCACTTTAATTATATAAGTGTGCTCTTCCAGTGAACATAAGTCAGTTTCATTCTCTCAGTTTTATAATATGCGAAAAAACCCTGCAACCTCTAATTGAAGCCCCTACCAAAATGAGTGCTATTTAAAAAGCGACGAATTATCTTTCAGGAAAAATTTCAATCATATTTCCAGTCAAAATGTTGAGCACTTTGATGTCGCTTCTACAATCTATACGTTGGAGCAAAAGAGGTGTAGGTGAATTTTTGACCAGAGTTTGACCACCCTAGTGAGGCCATCTTAGCATAGTGTGGGGCCTCCCTAGTCCCTAGGCATTTTAGAATATTTGCCAAGACTCGCCCACCCTTTCACTATCCGCTGGATAGTGATTTATTCGATGGATAGCGCTATCCAATGTTTGAACAACCAGGGCCAGGACAATAGGGCAAGAGAGTACACCTATCGACCAGGCTTCGAAAACACAGCAAATTGTTACAACTCTGTAGTCATACTCAAAATATTGTTTTGCCCATTGTGTTGCTATGATCACACAGTACCAGACAAATTCATGCATTTAGGTATTCTGTTCACACAATATCATGCTTGATCAATGGTGCTTTATAGCCATTTAAAAAATTTGAACACCAAACTTCAGGTCAAATTGTTAGCTGATATGGTAGAAAACTTTGGTGCAGTGTTGACACCAAACATCTACTTTTTCCCACACGAAGGCGTGGATTGATGAATGGTTGGTAACTTGGCTAGAAAATGTTAATAACGTATTTCCATGAGTAAGCACCTGGGCATTTACACACAGGGAGCAGAGGTTTCTCTCTTGCATGACTTTTAGCGTTTACGAAGTCGTTCGCGTGGTTTGTCTGTCGCGTAGTTGGTTTGTTTACGTGCTGTGAGAAACGTCACAGGGTAGGGTGTCTTTAAGTTGTGGCTAAAAGGATGGGTGCTTAGTAAAGGGAGGGTGCTTATTAAGTTCTTCTGTTGTACCTCTGTACCTTAGTCCCATTATATGGTTTACACACAGCGTTATCAATAAAGTGGCAATAGAAACAGGTTTTTCTTGTATACTTATTCGAGAGGGGTGCTTTTTTTGATATTGGGCACTCATTAGAGAGTGGGCACTTATTTCGGGAAGTACCAATGGTAATTTTCATGCACTTTATGTGTATTAATTTTTTTGACCAGTTGTTTGTAAAAATCAGCATTTCATAACAGTACTAAGGATAGCATGTGTGACACACATTTGAAGTCGAGGGAAAAGAGGGAATTAAGGTGCAAGTCAACACTAAGATCTACTCGCAGTAACTAACCAGGACAAAAATTCCCAAATAAAGTTTATTTTTCTTAAAATGACTCAATGGGAACTACGAAAAAGCATTCTATGGCAAATATGTTCAATGACTACAGGGGCGTAGCCAGGATTTTTCAAAGGGGGGGTCACAGACAGGGACACCATCAGAGGATCGCCGACTATATATATGGTTTATACCGCGGCTCTCCCTTGTGAATCAGCGGCATGAAGGCCCACATTAACTAAAGACAAGAGCCGTTGACGAAAATACTTTACAAAAAAACAAATTTTAAAAAAGTGGGCTTGTCAACAATGGCTTTTACAGCCAAGATATTGTCATGGCGTTTTCGCCACCTGAATATTGTAGGTTGTTTTCTCAAAAGAAGGCCTGCCAAGGGGGGATCACGGGCACCCCAGGACCCCCCCTAGCTACGCCCCTGGACTAGCTATGGGATACCATTATTGTTACCATAAAATTAGAAGTACAGTAAAACTAACAGAATATGACAATTATGGTAACAAAATTCTCTTTGCTTATAGGCATGCACATTAATAATAGTATTGGTTATCCACTGATTTCCCATTAGATGTTTTTTATGCGACAAAAACCAAACATTAAAAGTAGTGTGTAGTTATTTATTTAATATATTATATCCAACACCCTTGATTAGAATTGATCTTTCACGGTAGGAAATTTCATGAAGTTTGGAATTTTGGGGACTTATTGGACTATTGTAACAATCCTCCAAGTTAGCACTCTAAAGGAAAATATGTTAAGAACAATAGTTGAAGATTTTTTTTTCACGAAATTTTGGTGAGACCACGACAATGAGTATGTTGTTTCCTCCTTTTAGACCTCTAAACAAGCTAACATTTTTTTCTAAAAATACACACTTCATGAATGGAGAAAAATATACACAAAGATACATTATTTTTCAAAGGCAATTGTGTAGGTGGTTAACTAAAAACATGTAACCAAAAAGTGCTGAGATAATAAATAAAACATTCACTTCTTTTTTCTTTCCAAACAATTTATGGTAAATCTCACGAAATTATTGACCTAAACACAACTCTTTCTCATGACCTTTTTACAAGCAGCATTATAAATGAATAAATGGAAAACCACTCCTGACATCTAAAAAGGTTGCCCTATGCTACAATATTTACAATACTTTCTTACTTTTTACAAATATATTGTAAGAACCCTGCACTTGAATGTCCTCATCAAATTTCAGCACTTTTTAATTTAAGAAGACAGGAAAAAATCTATGATTATTATAATAAACACATCAATGAAAGTAGTAGGTGAGCTTTTGCACAAAAATATGATAAATAACATTTTATTTTCACACTATGAAAAGATCATTGTTGCTATGGTTACATAACAGAAGCATATAACCCCGGGTGCTTCTGTTACATAATGAATGGTGCCTCTCACAGCAAAAAATATTAAAGTGAAATTGTTTGGTATTTCATCGGTGTTTTAAATATATTCGTAGAACATTGCCTGGCTGCATGGAAATACAGAATTTCTCTCCTCATGTTGAGGAATATTGCACCAATACTTAAAGAGAAACTTGGTAAGTCCATATGGCCATATAATACCCTCCATATTGTACCATATTGTGTAAAAATTGCTGTATTTAATCTACACAAAAGCACTGGTCAGAGACATCAAATTCAAACTTGTAGAAAAGAAAAACAAACAAATGGAAACGGAAACAAAAAAAGAATAATTTATAAAATTAACGTCCTCATAAACGTACAGTCGAACCCATCTGCCATAAGTAACAACTTCAGACTAGGCATAGGTGACTGTAATGCATGCAGTGAAGGTATCAATAAACTATGGAGGTGTCTAGCTGAGGTTCCATTCTACAATTAACTAACATCACTTTCACGTCCTCAAGAAATTGGGACTGACATTATTTCACATATTGCCAGTAACAAATCTCGTCCAAAACTATAATTCCCACAATTTGTTTTTGATAATTTGTTTGACTAGTTAGAGACAATATCATTCAAGTATTTTGTCTTAACAGTTGAACTTAATACTGGACATCATCTATTATCAGCTATTTACTTCAAGGTTATTTAAATTTCTTCCATAAATATGTTTCTACAAACGTTATTTACTATATTCTTAGTACTGACAATATTATTGAAATTGAGCTTTTACTTTTTGGGTGAACAAAATATCTCCACATCATCTAATTGATTTTTTTGCTTTTGCATTCTTTGCCTTGCTGCTCGTTTTGCCGCTGCCAACCGCTGTCTTGCTGCAGCTCTCTGCTCTGCTTCAGTAGCCTTTACTTCTTCAATAGATTTTTGCCGTCTCACTGATCCTTTACCCAGTGATGACTGCCGTGAGAGTGACGACTGACGTGTTAACGATGATCTCTTTGACGAATCAGTCTGTGTTAATCAAGTCAAAATTAATCAACTTATTAATTCAAACCTTACAAAATCAAACCCTCACTTGACAGATTATAAGGCAAAACATATTTGAATAATTATTATTTTAAGAGTGAAAGACAATACTTATTATATATACCTCATCTTTGGGTTGTTGTGTTTGTATCCAACCATTCTTGCGTAATTCGTCAATGTTACTAAACATGTTATTTACGTCATCAACCTACCACATCAGAAAAGAATAAAGTGTATTAACCTTGAACTAGCTAAAATGTGTAACACACCATGAAATAACAAGAGGTAGCCAAAATTACAACGTTCTACATGTAGCTGACACACCAAGTCTCCCCTACTATAGGTAATAATGTTCTGATCCACTTAAGTCCAAGAATCTGAGGGGTTCATAATTTGTCAACTTTTTTTATGAGGGTTGAATGCCAAAACTAATATAAAATTAACTTGAACTTCACAGTAAATTTATACTGAAAGGTATTGTGCAAAAGTAATATGGAATGTTTAATTTGTATGATCACTAAATCACAAGATTCTAAGCTAAAACTATCCACTAATTTTTATATATCTGTACAACAAACAATGAATATAGTTGTACACTGTTACAACTGTATTCTTAAAAATGTGGTAGCCATTACTGGCACATACCTGGATCATAACCATATCCCAAAATCCGGCTAGGTCAGCATTAGTTGGTCTCCTACCATTGGTTTCCCCAATACCCTGTCAGAAAAATTCGCTCGCATTAAAAACAGTATTATAACACACAGAACATATCTGATGCAACTGTGACATGAGTTATTGGAAGAAAACTTTGCCAACATCTTACACAGCAGTACATGAGCAGGACTTTAAATAGTGCTACTACATCCTTTTTTTTTAAAATTTGTTATGAGCATAATTTGCTGCTGACAAAAATTTTTAATTCCTAGAAAAAAAATTGTTTTTACTCTCGTAAAAATAAATTCAATATCTCCAAAGTAATGTTGTTTTACTGAACTGTAGCAAGCACAGGGGTGAAAAGGAACTTAATTGCTTGCCAAAGACTGCAAAAATTTTGCAGAACATTCCCAGCACCATACCAACCAGGGGGCAAGATAACAGCAAAGAAGTGTTGTTTGGAGTGAAACCAGAACATATTATGTTTGAGATAGACACTCTTGCTTCTATAAAAATTGTCAAAAACTTAATTCAATAGAAAGATGCTACTGACCTATAAAAGAACTTATTACTTTTTGTACATTGCTGAATGGATGAACAACATTTACTTAGTAGGTCTGTAAAAAGAGGCAGGACTTTCCTTTCCTCTCCCACCCCTCCCCCCTTCCCAATAAAAAGAAATGGCTAGTTTTCTGCAATTGATGTTTTCAAGCATGTTCCATGCTACAGAAGTGAAATCTACTGTAAAGGGAAGGTTTCACAGTTCAGTGCATGCTCATTAATCAAAATGCTGTTTCCTGCTGGGACATGCTGTATTGTCTATGCAGGCAATATGATCATGTCATAACACTGTCAAAGAACCAATCTGCACACTCCCCAGGCAGTCACTTGATCAACTTAAATCAAACTGTAAATTCATCAACTATGGAATAAAACCTTCCCGCCAATAATAAATTCAACATTGGTAGTGTTGGTATAATCCATTTTAGTACTCCTCCATCCTACTTCAGGTTACTCTGAAATATACTTTTACTCTGAAATACACTCTGAGATCCCCGAGATACATGTGAGTGGGATTATTAACCGATAGAATTAATGATAAATTTTTAAAAAAGTAATTTAACTAATGGGCATGCACTGAATGGGGAACCTGTCCCTTTAATTTTAAGTCCATATATAGAGGCCACCTTTGTGGGGGCAGAGGGTGCAAGTCTGAATTTCAAATGCCGTTGTTTCAAGTTTTGAGGAGTAGGCCATGCAGTCCCTGTGGGTATCAACCCATTTTTATGTCCTTTGTCACCATTTCATCCTGTGCTATGTCGCTGTTTATAGGCCATGTAAGGCCGCTATCTAAGGAAGATGATGTAAAAGAGACAATATTTTGCCAGCAACTCACCAAATTCATATCACAGAGTCCTTTAAATTGTTTGAACTTTTTATTCACCAAGAGCATTGCCTTTCCAGTGGCTGCTCGGATTTTACCGCAAGCTGTAATGAACAAAAAGGCACAACTTACATTCTGCTTTTGCTGAAAATAAAACTCATTACTGGAGTAAATTGATATTGATAATAACATGGCTGTATATTTAAAAACTAACATCAGAAGCACATATTAAAATAATATCAAATGAGTGGCTACTCTTGGAGTTTTGAAGACTAAACCAATATTTTGACTTTGTTAAAATAACTTAGAGCTGGATGAAGCAACAATAAATAAGGAAATTGAATAGTATTTCAGTGTGATTAAAAATTGAATTTATAAAAAAAATTTAGAAAATATTAAATGAATTGCCATTTAATGATAGAGAGTATGATAGCCATACATATCTCTTTAAATCAGTGGGAACAATAATAGTTGAAATATTATGTGAAGACGAACATCCTGTATGTGCATTCCCTTGAGGAAATGAATGAGAGTCCCCTTGGAAGAGGTGTGCCCTGGTGACATGTTTAAAATATTGTGAGTCTATGTAAATGAATGCTGTAGATACAGTATCCACCTAGAAGTGGCATCTCAACAATGGCTAAATAAATGAAAGACAACAAAATCTTTACCCAGCTCTTTCTTGCACTGCTTTTTCAAGTCACCAATGAAATTTGAGCAGAGAAGCACACTTTAAAAACACCGAGTTTAAGCGGATTGAGCCATAATCATGACAAACATCTCCTTTACTTGGGAAAAAAGCATGTGTATGAAGGGTGTAGGATATTGTGAGGGTGTGTGGATTGCGGCACAACAAAGTGCCCACTTAAAAGTAGTATCTTAATAATAGTAGAAGCACGGCAGCAAAAGCAATAAATATCTGGTCATCTATGGTCAGTTCTGTTTTACATGACTACATCAAGCTCCAAAAACAACACACCCCTGAAAGGATAATTTCAGCATCCTTAAGAATATTTTACTAAAAGTCCATTTAGATCATCTCATAGAAATCTGATAAAATTAAAAATCAAAGTCACAAATAATAGAATTTGCACCTCTTTAATATATTTTACTGTGCAAGAGCCATTAACATTAACTAATACTGCTACACAAAAACTGTCTTGGGGGTAAAATAAAATAATAGCTCTAACAGGAAATTGGTAATAATAATCCTTATGATTCCATAGAGATTAGAGAAATAATTATTATTTCTCTTATCTCCATGGCATCATAAGGATATCAAAAAAATGTCAAGAACAAGCCTTGAGTAATTAATGATTTTAATAAAAATTCCAAGAACTCACATTGAGGCTCCCGCCTTAAAAATACTAATTATATGGTGTAATATGGTAAAACTATATATTTTCAGGACATCAAACATGATCATAAATAATATTGGACAAAGAACAGAACAAATTAACCCTTTTTGTTGGATTAATAACAGACAGATAACCCATTAAAACAGTCCTGGGTTCACATCCATAAACATGATGTTATTTGAAACACAGCCTGCCTTTTTTTAATTCCCTGAAAATCACTGAGTAAGCAGTCTCTCCTAAAACAATCAACTTAAGCATTTCCTGCACTCAACCTACAAAAACTTACAAGAAGGATTCTTTCGTGGCAGCTAGGCACTCTCGAAATAAACTTGCGATTGCTGTGGGCTTAATATTCTTTTCAATGGTTTACTTGAGAATGGCTGGAGTCAACAGTCAGTGCATGAAGCTTTTGGATCAATAGGATTGCAGGAAAAAAGGTGTATCACGTATGGAAACAAGACAAAAGAAGTTAACATGATTATACAGTGATCACCAGAAATCCAAAAAAGACTCCACAAAATGGCCAATTGGTCAACACGCATATTCACAATCTAGTGAGGCCTTCCAAGGGGGGTAGCTGTGTCGCAATGTCGCTTGCTTTAGGAGACCGTTGTCGCCTAATCTACAGCTGCAAATGTCGCTGTCGTTTTTTGAAGTGTACATAACTGTACCAGTAATTTTTGTTTTGCGAGAAACTGTTTCACAACAGGGCTATAACAGGATTTTCATGGTGGTCAGTTGGCAAAACTTTGTGAGCGGCGAAGGATGAACGCTTCTTCTTCTTCTTTAAGGCTGCGGGAAAATTTGGAAAATCTGAACCCTCAGAAATGCAATTTCCTGTATTCTGAGTCACTTTTATTGATAAAATGCACAACTTTCCAATGTCACCGTCGTTTTTCACTGTTTAGTATGTCGCTGTCGCATTTTAGCAGCGTAGGCATGTCACTTCTCGCTTTTTAAAAATTCCCATGTCGCCAGTTTTCAGGGCCGTGTCGCATGTCGCTTTTACCCCTTGGAAGGCCTCTCTAGTGGTCTCAGATTGGAGTTCTACTCTGACCACTAGCTACATTTGTTTTGGGATAACATCTTGAGTTCAAATCTTTGAAAATGCTTGCACATGTCCATAGCCTACTGGTTGCATCCTGCCAGTTGGAGCTTTTAATCCTGTTTTGTTCTGTCTGGACTAATTGTTTTTAATTATTTGAGTGGTCTTTATCTAAACACTAGCTGGAATTAAAGCTAACTGCACTTCCACCATAAACAAATCATTATGTTTTTCACCACTGCATAAATGGCTGTATGGCACTTATTAATAACTACAAAAATATTAATGAACTGGATTGTTCTGAAAACCTGCACGGCTCTCAATATTAATTTGACTTTCTTTGACAGGGAACGTGCCCCATTTGATCAAATTTCAGCAACTTCACAGCTTTGGCTCTTCATTGAACACGATGATTATCTGGGTTGCTATAGTCCTGTACAGGACTGCTGTTGAATTTGACTGACATTTTGACCTGTGCGGTAGTCATCTTCAGCGTCAACAGTTCGTATTCCACTTAATTATGACATGAGCACACTGCAAAATTAAGCTCTAAACTTCTAGTTGAAAATGGGTCCAAAGTATAATGAAATGGCAAATTATTTTAGAGAAACAATAAAAATTGCTTCCACACATCTAGAAAAAATATAAGACTGAACATGAATCAGAAGTCAACTTATTAAAAAATACACAGGTCCTAAAAACTACCAAGAATGCCCTTAAATGCATTAAATATTGCTTGCTTGGAGATTAGATAAGAAATGAGGAGGTGATTAATTCTACGAGAAGAAAGATTTCCTCATCAAAAGTTTTTCACTCCTACTTTATCGACGGTTGAGTATTCTTCAGGATATTTACTTTTTATACTGTATTTGACAATTTGTTTCTGAATTAATTGCGTACACGTGTATAAATACATGAAATTAAGGGCCTCGATTTGAGAGAAAAAACATCATTGCCAGAGAGCAAAAACGTGATGAACATGGTGAGTCATTTCAATCAGCGCCGAAAAATAAACCGCATGCTCATCACAAGAATCATTTGTATACAATAAAAGCTTACAACACGCGGCCAGTTAGCCTCTCCATCAAAGTTTTGCTCACTCAGTAAAGACTCTTTTCTTTTCAACCACTGAAGTATTCACTTGTTCCAAAGTAATCAACGCTAAAAGCGATATAATTTGTGGACCGAGCAGTTCTGAAAAAATTCGACACATCTTTCGCATAAATCTCTCCTACGCTAAGTTTCTTCACAAAATATACATGTGCTATGACATGTTGTGATTCTTATCTCTAGTTTCCTCGGTCTCCGCTAGGAAAACCTGGGATCATGACTCCGCCCCCCTTTTTGGAGCACACACACAAAAGAAAAAAAGTTGCATTTTTATAGCTTGCAGCTAAAGCAAGCAAGGACTAATAAAGAGAAAATTTTTTGTCATTAATCCATTTGAAACTGATAGATATAAAACACACTGGATCATTGCAAAACTTCCACAGCCAATGCCTTAAAATGACCTTGAATACTATGGATAGTGATAACTTTGTTTAAAAATTTTCACAGCCCTTTAGTTCTCAAATGTTCCTTTGTTTCAGTCTATGACCGAGGAAAGAGATCATAAAACTGGTTTATAACATTTTAAAACCAAAACAAAATTTAAGCCATAACAAACCTGTAATAACAAAACACAAAGTGATTACCAATGTCTGGTAAAACATTTTTCTTTCTATACTGCAAGCACTCCATTGGGTTTCAATTTTCCATTTTTGTGTCCATTAGATAAACAGCAATCGATTTTTCTTCATATCAGTTGTTTAAGAAGTAGGTTTAGAAACTGTCTTCTAAAGATTCATTTGACGGAAAAGCACGACCATTTCCATCAGGCACAGTCTGGCTGATGATAATAAAGTGAGCATGGGTCACCTTGTAGAAAAATACTATGCCTACCTGGCAGATAGAACTTAAGGTTTTGTCACTTTCTCAAGAACTTGTCTATAACTGATTATAAAGTTATTTATAGATTCTTGGTGGGAAAAGTCATATTTATCAGTATAAGAGGAGTTATTGATTATCATGCTCTGCTGATCAGTAGTTCATAATAATTATATAGAGGAAGTAAACACTGAAAGACCTCAAGAAATGTGATTAAAATCTTAACAAAATGGAAACGTCTATTTTGCAATCAGAGAGAATAAACATCGAGTATATAAATTTTCCCAAGGTCATAAATGAACATGTTCTCAATAATACATGTACTTGTATCATTTAGTTTAATTTCTAGAGTTAGCTTTGAAAAATGTTTCATTAAGTTTGGTTCTTGGTATTTTCGATAATTTTACCAAAAAGTGGTTTTTGAGCCAAAAATGTTGCAAACCATTCTTTCAAATATACTATGCTTGTTACTGGCTGCTTAAGTATGCACAAAAAGAGTACCAAGAGCTCATAATATTCTAATTTCCTTACTACGATGCACTGATGTTTTTCATGTAAAAAGTTGGTTACACGGCTGAATCCCTCAAGCATTTAAGCAGAGTAAAAACACATGTATGAAATGTTTGTTTCAATTTTTGGTTGAATTTTCTATATTTCAGTCCAAAAAACAGTTTTTAGAAGAAGAACGTGTTGATGAAAGTGATTTCCATAAATCTATTGCCGATTTCCCTTCTTTATTTGTGCGTAAAATTTAAGACCACACTAGCAAAAACAAAGGCTTTTAACAAATGCAAAACAACAACAAACAGCAGTAAACATTCCCAGTTGGAACTCTGGCAAGAAATTAGGGTGTGGATCAGAGCCAGGCAAAACAGCTGACTAAATGTGCTCATTTTCTTTCATCCAGTAGAAACTTAGACTTACACAGCTGTATTGAGAAGCAATATCTACGGCAGGATATGCTCCTGTCTCCATCCAAGTCATGCACTAAAATAAGCATGGTTAATATCCCCTAAGGCCTTCAAAGAGTGAATAAAATATAACCACGGACGAGAAAATGTCCATGTTTTTGGAACATAATTATATGAATGTACATTCTGTTAATGCCCTAATACATTAAATGAGAAGACTGAAATATGCTGTTGGTCTATGAATTTCTTTTTTGCTTTGAAAGGATTATAAGGCTACCCTCCCACCCCCACACTAGCCAGGGTTATTACCACAGACATAGGAAATAACCACTGGTGTTAAAATGAAAGTACACATGATAAACATGGAAGTTAAATTTCATTAACTTGACTTGAGAGGTCTTCCCCATTAATGGGTTCTAAAATCGAACTACAATAATTGGGCAGACGAATCATCACGTCTGCGAGCGAAGTATGTTTTATTCACTGTACATATTTGTAACCATTCATCTCCAAAAATAGACTTACCATCTTCGGGAATTGTATTTGCCGTCATTTCCTGTTCTGCTATGTGACAAAGTCGCGTAAATCGCTCGGTTTCTTTCTCTACTAAGTCCAGAAAATAGCGTCCATCATTTTCTTTGTGGCTCGAAATCATCGAAAGGTTCTTTTCAAAACTGTCTGACAAACACTCGATTTCTTTCTCCGGAGAGACATTTTCCTTGTTTGCTGGAACAGAAGCCATTATGGATCCATGCCTTTTTTCTTTAGATACGAATATTACCAGTTCTGATCTCTGATTCCCATTCACGAGTATAGAACTACTCATCTTTTTACAAAAACACAACAGAAGCTGTACGATTTGTCGTCGAGGTGCTTTCGATACCACACAAGATGACAAAATGCACGCACAAATATTCAAATGGAGATTGTTTCGCAAGAAATAATATGAGTCAACTTTGCAAATGTCTTACTCAATCCGGTGATCCAATATATTGAGACGAAAATTTAGAGCGAAGCCAATAATATGTTTCAAGTGCGTTCCTATTGTCCAACCACTCTCAACCTTCGGGCGTTTCGTAAGTCGTACGTAGTGAAGGGAGATCTATGGAATCCGGCGTTGCGGTTTCCGACCCCTGCAAGTGAGAAATGAGATAATTCCTGTGAATAATTTATCGCTTTGAAAGACGTATGGAACTTCAAAAAAGCTACTGACTACTCAGTTGCGGCAGTAAATACCACCGGACGTTTCAAAAACAATCATATCGCATTAGATCTCCGAGAGCTCACGCACAAATCAGAGCATACACAAATAAATAATATTCAAGTGAACGTTTCGTGATTCAACGATCTCCGCGGGCCGTTGTTTAAACTACGACCACAATAAGCTCATGCAAACGCACCAAAGTTCCATCTTATGAGTTTTATAACCTAGTAACTACAAAAAAAAATTGTGACCAATTTGTGTGAACTATGAACATGTCAACGTTTTCGTTTTCGTATGTTGCAAGGAACTTGCACTGTCGTTCTCTTCCCGCGCAAAGAAGGCAAAAACCGGCACCGGCAACAACTCAACCGACATTTACACTCAAAAACCATAAAAAATATTACAGTACGATTCGTAGGTGTCGAGGAAAATATTGGCGGTCCTTAAGCTAGCCTATTGTCCTGAAAACTACTCACGCAAAAATTGCAACGCTCCACTTACCGAACGAGCTACGATACGTTACCACCAACTGTATCTTCACAAGACTGCATGCCGTCCGAAAAAACCGCCGCTTTTAAAGCCCAGGCAAAGTCACGAAGTTCCGGTACTGTTTACACAACCGTTTCATTCATTTGACCTCCCATAGAATAGAGCAAATATGCGGTGAAAACTGGTGATTTGAAGACACAGCACGATGAGATAAACGTACTTCAACCAAGCGGAAACTCCTGTGGGAAGATCGAGGGAACAAGAGAAACTGGGGCGAGCCACAGTTTTGGATTGGGGGAGGGGAGGGTGGGAAGAATTGAAGGTAAATCCGCTGATACGAAATATTGTAGGCCCTTTTCACATTTACAAAGCGAAGTCCCAGAGCAGCGAGCAAAGCTGCCTTTTTTAAACCATCTTCTCTGTAAATCTGATCATTTATTTGAATTTTTGGCTTTTATTCTACACCTAAGAAATGCTTTCGCTATCACGTAAAATTGGAAATCTAAAGGTGAGTTGGTTTTTAGATGGTGGAACTTCTATTCGCACAAGTCCAGCTGTGCAATGCAAGCGAGGCCTTGTAAACGAAATTGCGTAAGCTGGCTGAAAATTAAACAGCTCTTTTCACAGGATAATGATACTTGACTATTAGTCATCATTTCTTTTAGAATATGCATTGTTTGGACTTTTCATCGATTCTGCTTTTGAGTTAATGTCACTTTGTATTTGTTATATTTTCATAAGCTGGAGATTTCTTCGCTCTGTCTGTGTTTGTGTCTGTACCATATGCTGAGCTCTTTGGATCTAGTTGCCGATAAATGCGGCTAGTTATTACCATATGATTAGCAATAATTGCTGATTTAGATACTTGTCAAGGAGGTTCAACCCGTTAAATCATGTTATTTGTGAATTATATTAAATTGTGGCGTACGGAATTGAACTAGGAGATGGGTGGGTAGGGGGAGGGGACACTGAGCTGGGAATGTCTGGTTTATGTATGGGGATGAGGATGGTAAGTGAATTAAAACAGGAAATTTTCACAACATTGCCATTTTACTGAAAATACCAGAATGGTTTTAGAATTTTATCTTGTGCGTATTTAGGTTATTGCTAAAATCAATTCTGGTATTTGTAAGTAATCGTAACATTAACATCAGAATCACTGAAAGTTAGCATCCTGCTACAGTGGCATTGCTGCTTGATATTTGATTGTCCACCAAAAGGAATGATGTGAAAATTCTTATGTGTGAGACAAGCCCTGTAATTTATTGCCGTTACCATACTGTAAAATTCCGAAAATAAGCCCTGGGGCTTATATTTTTCAAAGGCCCTTTATGAGAGGTTTATTTTTGGAGGGGCTTATCTGCATTTCAAAATCGATTGGGCTAGCCTTATAGTTTGAAGCAAGTTTACCGTTTTTGCTTTGTTTTACTTTGTATTTTTTCCAAGCAAACTTAAAGGGGCGATTTAACGCAGGGTTTTTTGCATTACAAGTTTTGGGGCTTATATTTGGAAATTTATGGTATGTTGGTCACTTTTTTATTCTTTTGTGAAATAAAGCAGTAAAATGCACCCTAAATTTATGAAGCAAAGCATGTGCCAACATGCAGATATAGGAGGAGAAGATTTGGATCTTTTGAAATCATAAAATTGCAAAAATGATAAAAATAATTTTAAAAATGGAATAAAGATCATGGCTGTGATCTCAGAAAATTAATAGAGAGCTGAAAAGCTGTAGCATATGAAATCCAGGGTGACCCTGTAGACATATTTATGAGCGATTAAAAAGTTTGCTGAATTTGTAGTTTTCAAATGAGCTAATACAGCTAAAACAACTGCAAATATGAAAACTCAAAAAACTACTTTTCTGTTTATGAAAACCAAATTAAAAACTGAATGTTTTTAAAAGGCATCAGCCATGAAAAACTCACAAGAAAGAATGCATAGCTCACTGGATTTATTTCTTTTTGTAATTCAACTCCTTTGTTCCACTCAGTAAACAGCCAACTAGTTTGCCCCTTTGCCAATAGTCATGTGGATTCTCAACTGTGTTTCCCATTACCTTGTTGTTTATGATTATTTCAGTGGAGTGCCTGTTAGCTAACTGTTATTCCACTTAGCCTGTTCCTGCTGTTCAGATAGTAAAGCGCAGTTGAAAAATATAACAAGCACAAAAAATGAGGGGAGACTGGAGACAGCTCCCCCAATCTCCCCTCATATTTACCATATTTGTTTCACCCCAACTTCCATGTACTGTACTTAAACTGTTCATTTGGTTTTCAAGAAGCCGATTTTTTCATTCTGATGTTTGTTTGCAGCCCTGCTGGGACACTCTCTTCAGCAGTTCAACCTTGCAGTCTCTTTACCGTGCCTCGGCAATAAGGGCCACCATCTGGACAGGTCAGGAGAAGCTTGAAGATGATGACCCTGAAATGAATGACTTGATCAAGCAGGAGAAGGACAGACAAGTTAGAGGCCTGGAACTCATAGCCTCTGAAGTGAGTTGAATTGACTAGTACAACCTAGATCATCAGGAATTAAAACGAATGGTAGAGAATGGTCCAGGAAATTGGGAAATTTTGCTGTCATTTACTAACAAATTCTTAAAGATAAATGAACTGAACTTGATTGTGTAATTATGTTACAGAATTTCTGCAGCCGTGCTGCTTTAGAAGCCATGGGATCTTGTTTGAACAACAAATACTCTGAAGGCTACCCTGGACAAAGGTAGTTTTAATCACAAATTTGAAATAATAGTTTTTGTGTAACTAAGTAAAAACTGCAGTACAGAAGAGCTACCGAAGGAACAAACCCAAGAGTCCACATTACAGAGATGCTGGCTATTGTCTAGACTGGTAGCTATTGTATGTAGTTTGGTGTGTTTAGGACCTAGCAAACTGTCTGCTGTAGACTAGTTTGGGAGTAGATTTTGGGGTGTCATACATACCTACAAAGGGTTTGTCAGGCAATCCTCCTCTTACATCTGTGTGGGGTCTATCAAAAAAAATTGTATTATGGGAGCATAACATGTTATACTAAAAACTTGTGTCCAATACTATTTTGTCCCTGGGAAAGTAGAGCTTTATTCCTCTCCTCCTTTCTCTGCTCATTTGTGGTGCTCTTAAGGGTTCCACCATTGGCGCTCATAGTTGACCACAAAGTAGTACCCATTGGTGTTGCCTATGATATCCAAAATCAAGTGCTTGGCTCCACATCACAGTTGATTTAGCCTCTGGATTTGGTAGGGGTTCCAAATGTGGTACATAGAGAAGTGTATTCCACGAAGGTGTATATGGCCAGGCTGTCAGTTTTCACAGATTGTGGGATTTCTTTCACTGTGGAACCAACAGATAGTTGGGACACTGTTTCCCCAAATAAGATTGTGTTTGCAGGACATTACCGCAAACTTCGGTCAGCAAGAAACATAGTTGGAGGCACATTAAAACCTTCAGCATCAACCCTTTTGGTTATCTCTTTCAACATATCTGCAGGGATCCATTGCCATTATTTTTCCCCATTGAAGTGTTACATGCCTCCCCTTCTCTCCACATAGAGTGTGTCATTTTCTTTTTACTCTCACGCAGGTACTATGGTGGAACACAAATTATTGATAAAATTGAGCGGCTTGTTCAGAAGAGGGCACTAGAAGCCTTTCACTTAGATCCTAAGGAATGGGGTGTAAATGTTCAGCCATACTCAGGTAAAAACCCAAATACAAAGCAAAATCACTTAAAACTGGGAAAAAACCTGCTGCCTAGAAGCTGAGAGCCTATGAAGCCCAGGGTGCGTAGCCCTAGTATTGACATTTTGTGCAGAAGGTACAGCTGTTCTATTCCATTCACACCAACTAAACATATTTAATTATACCAGGTTCCAAATATAATGAAAACCAGGCACAGAAAACTGGAACAGAGGTTTTCACACAGGATATAAATGAAATTCAACAGTCAGTTACCAGTTACTTAAGTTTAAACTGTGTTTAACAAAACAGCTTTTAATCATGTTTTAGCTTTGGTGTGAATGGGACAAGATGTCCTTTTCATGACGGGGACAACATTGGACACATTGTGTTGCTTCAAGTCAGGGGTGACTGACTCTGTGGAGACGGCCATTTGAATTTTTCTCTCTCTCTCTCAGTGATCACTTGCACCCAATATTTTTCATAGTTTATTGCATGTGCATCTTTTTATGTTATTTGTCAACTGTCCTCTTTGAAAAAACTTCAATTTCTCTTTCATTCAACTCATTAAAATATTATCAGACTGTTTACATACAGAGAATAACTTTACGTGTTGTACTTACGTAGAGTATTTTTTTATTGACATTTATTTTTACTTTGGCAACCCACCACAACTGACTGGTCAGTGATGCTTAATTAACCCATCATTGTGACCAATATATAAAATAATATTGATTGATTGAAAAAGCTGTTAATTTAATTCAATCACTTTTGAGGACTGAAAAATGAATTTAAAAATTAATGCATATGTTACAGGTCAAATTCAAATTCAGGTTAAATTGTTTTAACCTTGGTTGATTTCCAATTTTCTTTGTCTCCTAGCCCTAATTCATGAGTAATCAGGGCTAGGAGACAAAATAATGAAAGTGAGAATCAACCTAGTTTAAAAAATTTTAACCTGAATTTAAGTTTGACCTGTAACACATACATTATTCTTTATTTCAAGCACATACATGTGCAAGTATTTGTAAAATTTCTTGAATTTCAGGATCTCCTGCTAATTTTGCTGCTTACACTGGTCTTTTAAAACCTCATGACAGAATAATGGGATTGGACTTACCCCACGGGGGACAGTAAGTTTGCTATAACTCAGAGTTGTTAACTAAAAAAGTGAATTTAGATGGAATCCTTTAGGAAACTGAGTAATTTTCATTTTCAGTGGACAAAACCCTTGTACCAGAATAATTTGAAGCATATTACATTCTTTTTTACACTTTTAAAGGGCTGTAGATGTAATGTTAGTTATCTATAATAACATCAAAGAAAATTTACTACGGGAACCCGAGAAAATAAATTTCATATAAAATGAAATTTTAACAACTTTTACCAAGTTTTCACAATTCCTGTAAAAATTTGAAGGAAAGAAAGAAAATTGTCTTTGGTGCATTTTTGACAACTTGCATTTTTGGCACCTGAAAATGCCGTCTGTGGTGGACGGAAGGCTAAAACAGTGAAAAAAATGTCTGGTGTTAAAATTATCCATCAAATATGTGTGGATGGAGCCTAACTGTAGGAACTGGAAGAAACGGAGAATGGAGCTTGACTTATCTTTTTGTAAGAGAATTTCAATCCCAAGTTTTTAAGTCAGTAATAATAATTCAGTAATTTCTGTGATTTCTTTCTTATGTTTTCAGCTTGACGCATGGCTTTATGACTGATACTAAGAGGATTTCAGCAACATCTATTTATTTTGAGTCCATGCCGTACAGACTGAATGTAAGTACAAACTGAATGTGTACAAAAATATAGGGTAACAAAAAGAGCTTTGTTCCTGCGTTTTTAAAGGTCTGTTTTGATCACCTGTTTGATAACCTTGAGTCTGGGAAAAGAAATTATTGTTTTGGAAAAACGTGTGAAAACAGTCCTGAATTTTGGATCCAAAAATCTTTAGGAACCCTGATGTTAGTTGTAAAAGCTTTAATGGTTGAGTTTGAAGAAAAGGATTACTTTTAAGGGGTAATGATGAATGTTTAGAGCTCAAATGAAAAAAAAAAACATAAAACAGGGCATTCTAAGAAATCTCCAACAAAAAATCAACTGTGGATAACCTATAGTAGAGATCAGTTTGGGCTCAGATTCAGGCCACTTGTAAGTTTACAGACTAGTTAATGGAACATGATGCTACAGCCCTATGGGGCATCTCCATGTGATGTATGTTAGACCTGTCACTGTATCTATTATTAGGTTTTTATCAATAGTTACATTGTAGCATTTGTCATCACTGTCGAAAGGCAAATTAGTTTGCCTTTTATGAATAGGCCTTTTTCAAAAATACCATAATACTCTATGTCGCCCCTCCCAAATTTTGCATAAGCATTGTTTTCAATTTCTCTTGGGACTTACAATCACCATGAGAAATTAAATTCAATGCTTATGCAAATTTTTGAGGGACAACAACGAGTATAATTTATGGTATTTTTGAAAAAGGCCTATGGCTAAACCAGTGAATACTACATACATTTATGTTTCCTTTGCTGCAATACATACAATCAGTGACAAAATTAATTAAGACACTTAGACCAAAACATTACATTGCATGAGCATATTTTTATTTAATCTTATCACAAATGGTGCAAAACACCTTTCAGTGGTACCCCTCCCCCCTTTCTCTAGTCATTGTTGTACCGCTTGTCATAAGGTTTGTGGGCAGACACAAACAACCCAACCTTGTTAAACGGGAGGGGTTGAGGGCTGTCTTGCTCGGGGTACCTCAAAACATCTCTTTTTATGAGAGTGTCTCAACAACTTTTTTCCCAATTGTAGCTTGTTGTAATAGTATTATACAATTCTGCTCTTTGGCTTTGACCTCATACATTGCAGTGTTCTCCCTAGCATTTCTGGCAGGCCAGGGGGTATTCTAACTGTGATTTTCAACAGTGTTTGTATGAAGCCTGAATAATAATAGAGAGAGCGAAATATAATCAGTTCTTAAAAGACTCTTTGACAAGCTTTAGTTTCGTCCTTCACATATTGGGTTGACCAAGTTCTCCATTTTGACAAAAGCAAAGGAGGTAATATGTAAGATGCTTGATGGGCCCTTGTGTTTCTGGGGTAAAAAATTTAAGATGGCTGCCTTTCAGCCAAACGACAAATTTGAACATGTTCATTCAACAATAACTCACTTTATAATAAATAAATTGCAAGAAAACACACAAATAAAAACACAAGACAATGATGTTTCACCAACTTTCTTGAGCGATTTCGTCTTTGAAATACCTGGCTCTAGCAGAAGCTTTCGTTGGGTTTAATTTAAGCCGGGCGGCTTGCCTAGCCTAAAATACCTAGCAATGCATCTGTGGTCAGAAGTTCTGAGTCACACTTTTGCTTATGCCAAGCCATTTTCTGTTAAGCTGTGTAAACTTGGGGATGCTAATAGGCGTTTGGGCTTCAGTTATAAGTATGTGCAGCGAGTTCCCCAAGCTAGGTTTTCTAGTTTATTTTACTGATTTTTCATGATACAGACTGTATTGACCTGCCAATATTCCGGTTTGACCTAGCAGTGCTGGCGAGATAGGTGAGGCATGAGAGGTCGTTCAGTTCGCTAGTCACTAAGTGCTGCTGCTGCAGTGTGTTGCTGGTCTAGGTTGCAGCTCATAGTGCTTGTAGTGACATTAATGGTTGTTTATTGATCTGTAGTGTGACGTTTTCCTAAATAATTTTACTTTGTTGATAAAATAATTTGATCATAATACACACCAAAAAACCCACATTTTATTGAAGCAATTTTTTATTAGTATCAGTGAATCAGAAACAAAAGTATACTTTAATTTCTCATTTTCAAACAATTCTTCTTAAATTCTGTGTTACAAATGTTTTTTAGACTGTGAGTAATTGAATCTAATGTGCCAAGGATAAAACATAAATATTTAGATTTGCTTTATTTCACAGACTGACACCACTGTAAATTGCAATTTTGTCATTTTATTTATTTCAGGAAGATACAGGGTTGATTGACTATGACAAACTGGAGGAAACAGCTCGTCTGTTCCGTCCACGTCTCATTATTGCTGGTGCTAGCGCATATTCTCGACTTTATGACTATGAAAGAATGAGAAAGGTACTTTCAATCCCTGAGTGAATAATAGAAACATCGGAGCCACAAATTAAATAGCAATGAATTAATTTTTTTACAATAGTTTATTGGTCATCAGACAATGTCCAGCAAACATTGGCCCCTAAACAATGAGGCTTTAAACTGCAGTCAGACATGATGGCCAAACAAATAAAATTTCCCTTGAGTGTATTTGAATTGTATACATACGAACAAAATTAATGTTGCAGTGAATATATGGCATTTGAAATTCAAGAATTTAAAATTTTACCACTCTTTATTTACATTATAGCACTGGTGCTTTTAATTTGAAAGTCAGTTTGATATTGTTGTTGTGTCAGATTGCAGATGAACATAAAGCTGTTTTACTTGCTGACATTGCGCATATCAGTGGCCTTGTAGCTGCACAGGTCAGTGAAATATCTACCTTTAAAAAAATATTATTACTTGTCTTGTAAAACATCACATGTGTTATTGTTACTGGTCTTAAAAAGGTTAACCTACAAGTTTTTGAATTGAATATTCAAGTAGTAACTGTGGTCTTAGATTTTTGAAAGATACTCACCAAAATCCAACCAGTGAAAGTGTCTCTTCAACAACCACTTCACTTTAGTAGCTAATTGTTTCTTCATTTTAGTACCCCTGCATCTTACTTCTTCACTCAAGTTTTGTTCTTAAAATCATCTCAGTGCATAATTTTCACCTGTGTAAATTCCCTTTGGTATCTTTATCAACCTTTTCGGTGCAATTTTTTTTTCACACATAATTTCCTGAACACCTTCGTATAGAGATGGGAGTTGAGGCCTATTAAAACCCCATGAAGTTGAGATAAAAATCAACCAAAACCTAAAAACTGTAGACCTTAATCATTGAAAGGAGACAATTAATTTTCACATATCCTTTGCTGATTTTGCAACAAAAGAACTTACAGATCTGTTTTACCTTTTGTACCTCTTACAATAATTGATCAACACAGATCAATACAACATTGCTCAGTTAATTGATCAACACAGCAAAAACCAGAAACCAAAGAAAATATGAAAACTTTTCTTATTGACACCCTGAAAAGAATTTCAACAGAAAAACTGAAAATTTCAAAAGGAAAAACAGAAGCTATAACGAGATAATAGACAATGAAAAAGACTTTTACAGGGTGAAGTGAAGTGACACCTATATTTAAAGAGGGTAAACATGGACAGTTTTGACCTAAACTGATAAACTTGTGGCCTTCAGTAAACATAAAATCTATAATAATTTTACAATGTAATTATAAAAAGATAAAAAATTTACATATGTAAATAAAATTTAGCTATTTAAAAACTATTTAAAACAAGTAAAATTAAAATGAAAATTTTACTCATTTTACTATCTTACGGAATTAAACCAGGGTGACTACTGTGCATCTTTATGTTTTGGATATTTAACCAAGTGGAAAACAATTTTTCATGGTCTTTACCCTTATTGACCATAAAAGTGACCTCAAAGTGTACAAAACTTAAGTGGAACCAGCAGCTGCGGGTAAGTGGTTTCATTGAGAAGTTTTGAACATTTTGAGGTGGGCTCATTTCCATGGGAATTTTTTTTCCCATTACATAGAGAGTTATTGACATCCATTTTCGTTGAAACTTTTTGGGAAACCACATGTGTGAAAAGAAAAACAAATTGTGCCATCACCACATCATTTTCACGGCCTGTACTCTTATCAGCCATAGCTCTTGACCAATCTGCACAAGATATCCCTGTGTAAGGTTTTGGTAAAATATATATTTTTATTGTTTTGCTTGTTAACAGGTCATTCCCAGTCCATTTGATCATTCCCATGTTGTAACCACAACAACTCACAAGACTCTTCGAGCTGTCAGGTAGCGTGAATTTTCTCAAAATTTACATTTTAAATATGGCTTTAATGTCACTGTGTTGCTTTGAAAGCTATGGTTGATTAATCTTCAGCCTTTGGTACTGATCCTTTCCTGTTTCAGAGCTGGCTTGATTTTCTACCGTGTTGGCGTTAAAGGAATCAACAAGAAAACTGGAAAAGATATCCTTTTAGATTATATCTATTATTTTAATAGAAGAGGTTTCTGTAAGGAGCCTTAACTGCTTATTCTTGTTTGAATTGGTTTGTGTTTGTGGGGAAGACTGAGTCTAAATTTCACCCCTTGTAGGGGAATCCAGGTTCCAGAATCCAGGGTCTGAAATCTGGGAAAGTTTTGCTTGTGGAATCTGGAACCCTGGCCTGTGGAATCCAGAATACAGATCAAGGAATCTGGAATCCCACTAACGACAGGACTTGGGAATCCAAGTTTGACTGACAAAGAATCCAGAATACATGGGGTGGAATCCAGAATCGAAGACTGTCGCGCATTCCTTTACATGGGGAGGATAAAGTCATCAGTTACTTCGATTATTTTTCACACACACCTCCATTTTTACTAAGCACTTTCAGATTGACATTAACGTACAATATTGTCCTTGACAATGCTGCAGACATCAAGTATGATTTTGATAAGAACATTGACTTTGCAGTGTTTCCATCACTCCAGGGAGGCCCACATAACCATGCTATAGCTGGTGTGGGTGTCGCACTCAAACAGGTGAGTAGCAAGTGTCAATCAAGCGACAGTATTGCCTTGGAAGGGTGCAACAAAAGGCTTGTCTGATAGCCCAGGGCTAGTGAATTCTGTTCTTAACTTATCCAACAGGTGTAATCAATCCTGGTCATTAAAAATTTGCTCTTTATGTCTTTATGCTTATAGGAAAAGTTGAGATAATGGCATTCAACAGATAAATTAACTTGTAGTTATGTTTCAGGCACAAACACCGATGTTTAAGGAATACCAGCAACAGGTCCTGAAGAACGCAAAAAGCATGGCCAAAGCTTTGATAGATTTAGGGTACTCCATTGTATCGGGTATGTTTGCTAGAAGACATTCATATTTTTTCACAATTAAGTTATCCTGTAGAAACTCTCCAGGGTTGCATGCTCTTTACATTCCTTTAAGAACTATGTATCTCCATTATTCAGGGTACTCACAGTCTTGAAAAGTCCTTGAATTTTAGGGGAAGCCCTTGAAAAGTCCTTAAATGTCTGTGCAAGTCCTTGAAAAGTCCTTGAATTTCCTTCAACTTTGAATGCAGTGGTCTGGAAAGTGTTTTTTAATGCATTTTGCTTGTCCAAGACCGAATATAAATCATGGCTCAGAGAAGTTAAAGGTGATTTACATAAGGCATCTTTTGTTTTATGCAATAATTAACTATCGATTTAAGATAAGTGAACTGAAAAATGTAGAGAAGTTGTTGGAGAAAACAGTTTAAGCCTTAAAGTTCTGTTAGAATGGACCACGAAAGTGCATTTTTGTGCATTATCTGTGAAATTACATTCCTAGTAGATGGTCCTTGAAAATTCCTTTAAAAAGATATGGTTGCTATTTTTTTGTATCAGCCCTGTTATTGTATTTCTCACTTGTTTGGCAGGTGGAACTGACAATCATCTCGTCCTGCTGGATCTGAGACCCAGAGTAAGTTTATTAGTTATCTTTGAATACTCAACTATGACGTCCTCACAAGCTTTTTTTACATTTAAAATAGCGATATCAAGAAACTTTTAGACAAAGTTTTTAAAATACGTCTAGACTGCTAGCAGTCTCGCTTTTTCTTCAGATTTAGTAAGCAGAATGCACGCGCGCGCGAGTGTCGAGGCGAGAAACGAGGGCGGCACGTGGTCATTTTCCCCGCGCGTTTTTTTTTTTTTGACGGACTAAGAAGAAAGAGAGACTGCTCGTAGTCTAAAATAGGCCCCAACAGGAATTGTGGAAGAACTGCTGAGGTGATTTCCCATCTTATGCAAAGTTACAGCTTGCGCATGTCGGTGTGGCAGTAAAAAAGAAATGTGGCGAAATGGATGAATGATAATAGGGAGCTTAAGCAGCGATGTTTTTGAGCGACGCACGTCAACCGGAAGTGAGGTATTTTCCCTCTTAACATGCCTTGATGATATAAAATTTGTATTCATTTAGCTTCTTTACTGTTATAGAGGCGATTTGGCTGAAAATTTGCGCGAAACCACCGTCAAAAAATGAAAAACGGCCACTTCCGGTTGACGTGCGTCGCTCAAAAACGTTGTTGCTTAAGCTCCCTAATTATTGTTACGTCTTTGTTCTTTAGGGAATTGACGGAGCCCGCGTGGAGAAGGTTTTGGAAATGTCCTCAATAACAGCAAACAAAAACACTTGTCCTGGCGATAAGAGCGCTCTTAAACCAGGCGGACTCAGATTAGGTAAATAAACTACAGCTATTTCTTAGTTTAAAGTGTCTAGCCTAAGAAAACAGTCTACATTTCGAGACGTCACTACTGCTTTTCCCGCGAAACGACTTCTGAGGAACGGCTGCAGAAATTCCATACCGATGACGTGTCACTACCCAGATCTGAGTACATCTAGTGATACGTCATCAGTATGGAATTTTTGTGTTCGTGCCTCAACCGTCATTTCGCCGGGAAACCAGTGTTGGCTTCGCAAAATGTCGGCTGTAATGTCAGGCTATACTTGTCCTGTTTATACCATTAGTCTAGAGTAAGCTCGAACTTACATCATAAGACTTCTACCGCGTAGAAATTTTCCCAGTTTGCCTGGTGTGCAATACAAAAAAAAAAAAAAAAAAAGCAAGAAGAACGTTAGCTAGTTCAGAACTATGCCTGCAGAATCGTAGTTGGTTTAAGAAAGTACGATCATGTTTCAGAAGCCCTGAAGTCCCTTAAATGGCTTAAGGTAAGGGATAAACAGCCTTTTAACGACCTAGTGATGGTGTACAAATGCTTAAAGAACTTAAAACCTGGTTACCTTCACAGACGCTTCCAATATCGCGCAAAAAACTCACCAAAGAGTCACTAGACAGAACAAAGACCTTACGTTGCCTTGGTATAGGCTGGCCACTGGCCAAAAGACTTTCAGCTACCGTGGGGCAAAACTTTACAACAGTATAGCTAAAGATATAAGAGACACAAGAAATTTTAACGCTTTTAAAAAGAGAATTTTTAAATATCTTTTTAATTCATAGATAGTTTTTTTATTATAGAGATGTAAATAGTCTTTAAAATTAATGTTCTATTACTATCATTATTATTTATAGAAATTCGTTATTTCATCATTGAAATGTAAAAAGTTTTCTAGTTTATTTTATTTTATTTTATTTTAATTCGTGTATGTATGGCGGAAGAGCCCCAAGGGGGAGCTATGCGATAAAGTATGTATGTATGTATGTAACTTCTTACGAGACTAAGATACCTGGTTTCCTTGTAGGAGCGCCCGCGCTGACATCGCGTAATTTCAAGGAAGAGGACTTTGTAAAGGTTGTGGAGTTCATTGACCGAGGAGTTAAGATTGCTTTAGAGGCTCAAAAATCAACAGGTAAAAATAGGTAACATGTATATGTGTTCGGTACATTTGCGAGCCTTTCCCAAAGGTTGCTGATCATTAGCGAGGAAGCTTTTGTATAGTTTTAATAGAACTTCAGCCTTAACGTCAGATTGATATCTGTTTTAAGTGGAAATTTAAAAACATTGTGGTTCATGTAAAAAGTTATAAGAACTAACCACTTACCAGCAATAGCTGACAAGTAAAAAAATAGCTTGTTATATATTGCTAAGAAATCGATTATTCCTTGGAATTAATATAATTCATTGTACCCTTAAGTTTCTAGCCTGCAAACAGCAGACGCATTTCCGGTCGTCGCTTCTCTCCCTCGGAAAAATTTTAAGCGACGACCGGAAATGCGTCTGCTGTTCGCATTTTTTCTTTTGGCTTTTTTCTTAAGGCTTCAGGAGGGAGGCAGTTATGCACAGTCTCCTAGAAAGACTCCCTTTGGTGGACTGAATCTTTTAGGAAGTGTAGAAAACCTTAAGGCACAAGTCATAACCAGAAGCAAGTACATACAGAAGGCCCTGTTAGTTTTATTCATTATTAAATCGTAAAGCGTACAAAATTAGGCTGCGTAGAAGGCTTTCCAAAGGAAGTAAACGCGTAGGGCACCCTGTTGCTTTGCAGGCCCTGCTGTCGGGCAGGCAGTGCACGCCGGGATACAAAACCACAAGTTTCTTAGTGCTGCGTACGGGTGTAATCACCAAATGACGTAATACAAAACATTGAAAATACATTGATAGATACCACATCACAAAACCAATGGTTTTCGCAACACCAAGAAACAGCCACAACTATTGATTGGTTGCACAAGGAAAGAAGTGATGTCCTTAGACGTCAGACCTTGATTAATTATTGGCTTCTCTTTCTCAGGTGACGTCATGAAAGACTTCTTGTCTCACATCGAATCCAATTCAGAAACCAAAGACAACATTGATACCCTCAGGGGAGAGGTGGAGAGTTTTGCCAGAGGCTTTCCAATGCCAGGATTTGACAACCACTAAAGACAAAAATGTATGAAGACAGGGAATTGAAATGGTGCAGAAAGATGACCACGGACAAGCCCGTGAATTCTTCTTGTCAGGGTCGAGTTGTTCGAAGCTCTGTTAGCTCTAATCCTGGGTTATTCCTTTACGAGATCCAAGGGCGACCAACATTGATTTTCTCCTTACATCGTCGATACATCATCAATAGAAAAGGTTAGGAGAATCAATAAATTGATCACCTAAGGGAAAATGCTGTGATCTGTCATCGAATTCTCTCAACTGATTCTTTAAGGAAATGTCTGGAGATCAGTCTTGAGAATCTGTATGTGGATATTCAAGGTTAATTTGTCATGGAAACTATATCTGGATTTGTGCTAATCGTCCTACGAGCAACTCGACCTTCCGTCAAGTAACTGAGCGTACATATCCTGAAACTACAACTTGGAGCTCAACGAGTCGGTATTTCAGTAAAATTTACAAACGAACAAATCCACGAATAGAAAAAATCCAAATCTTATTTACAAGTCTTTGTTGACAACAACGAATAATATATACCCTATGGAGGACCACGTATTTTTATAGACAGAGATTGCGAATAAAAGAAACAAACCGCGCTGCTGTGTGAAAGATTGTCACCTTACTCAAATATGTAGCAAACGAACGGTAGGTCTAGTTATTTTAAAGCAAACAGCATTTGTAGGAAATGCTGTGTTATTGCAAGCGGTTATTGCAAACTGTAATGCAAAACTCAACCGGTTTTTAATTTCCCTTGAATCTCAAAGTCTTGTCCGAATAAATAAAAGACTGTCATTGAATTTATTAGTAAGCGTTCTACTTTTCCTATTGCACTGACGGTCCGCACACGACGTTATCTGCTTCTGTTCACTAGCCTGAGAAACGGCCGACATTTCGCGACGACAAGACTGGTTTCCCTGCGAAATAGAGAGCTTTAGATTCTGAGACGAGTACGACTACGAGTAAAAGATTTCCTTAATACTAAGTAGTGCGCGCGTGAACCAGCGTCACTTTGGCGGGAAAACATGTTTGCCGTCGTTTAGATTTTTCCCGTCATCATGTAAATTATAAAGATCAGTTTAGAGAGGGTAATTTGTCAAAGATGAAAATTGTTACAAGTCAGTTTTCTTACCGTGGTTATCTAGGTTTGACCACCGGAATCCCACTACAACAATTCTCAGTCCACTGTGCAGTGTAATAGCTATTGCAGTCAAAAGATGCATGTTCATGCCAAAATGAAGTCGAAAAACGTTCATTTCAATATGACAAATTGTACTAATTGGGGGTTATTTTTCGTATATAAAACTGAAACCGTTTGCATTTTAAAGCGTTCAGTTTAGGGGGGAGTATTATTGTTATCTGGTTATCAAATCTCAAACCTATTCATATTTGCTCGAGAAAACGGTTATACATACATTTTTACATCGGAATTTTCTGCTCTTATTGACACCCGTATTTTGCTACAGTAAACAAACTAGAAAAAGTCTTTCATGCGCCGAGGAGGTCGCAGTTAGTTAGGGAGTCTCTGTAATCTTTTGTTATTACTTTTTTCTTTGTTAAAAAAACCGGACAGCGTCCCACGCTTTTGTTGCTAACCACTCCGCTAGGATCAGGAATTTGCATTCCCTGGACACAAGGCATCACGCCGTAAAATCTTTAGTGTTTTGCATACTTCAAAACCAACACATGACATATCATCATACCGATCGGATGGTTTTCGAACTTTATGCAACAATTTAATGCCCTGGGACAACTCAGGGCATATCACGTGGTTTTTCAGATATAACAAATGTAGTCTCAGTAATTAACCAAATTTCCCCACCCCAGGCTCTTTGTTCATCCCAAAAACCTAAGAAAGGCTTTAAATAAAACTCTGCAATCTTTTAAAACGTTGTATCACAAAAGATACATGTTCCTGTATCTCAAACCATTTGTCATAGTATAAACCATTGAAGACAATAACGGTAAAACAAAGTATTTTATTTTGTAAACGAGCCATACAGTCTAAAAGTCGGCTCGATTTCTTTTTTCCGTTTAGATACCAATATTAACAGGTTCAATTGATCAAAAACACCCTAAAACAAACGAAATTTGAAGACAAAACAGTGAAAGTCCACTCAGCCTTCGCTTGCTCTCATTGGGACTTCCTGATCTTTTCAAACCGGGGGTGCTCTGAAATTTTTCAGTCGACTACCAAAATATCTCCACGGGGGAAGAAAGATTCAAATATCCCTCCCCGGAAAAATCAGTGAACCAAAGACAATCAAATCCCCACCCTATGCCCTTCCCTTCGGCTTTACATTGAGGGGCGCTCAAACAGACTAAAATTTCAAGCTTCGAGTTTTCAATATCTTCATTTCCCCTCTTTTTCAATCCCGTCATTTATTGTTGAAATGAACTTTCCCCGCCATCATAGAGGAGCCCTTTCATCATTTTGTGGCCGGGAGATGGCTTAAGCTCCTTCAGTAAAGATAACAGTGCTAATTTTGTGGTGAAAAGGTTAAGTTAATTCTCGTACTCATGGTCGTTTTCGTTCTAGAATCTAAAGGTCGTAATGACGTCTGAGGAACGAGCGCAATCATTTCGCGGGAAAACCAGAGGTGGCGTCGCCAAATGTCGGCGGTTTTTTAAGGCTAACATTGCACACGAAGTAACCTTGCTGTCAACGAGAGGACGAAAGATGACCCTCGGGAGATTTAGGGGCAGCGCAATCTGAAAATGTGAATTAAGCATCGAAAAATCGTTTGTGAGAGAATTAACCGAATGTTACATGTTGCGTCCGTTTGCACACCCTGTTGCATGTTGTTGCGTGTTGTTGGGAGTTGTTGCGCAAAGTTTGAAACCTGTCAAACTGTCCAACCTTTTAGCTCCATGCAAACGGCGTAACATTGTTAGCCAACATTGTTGGGAGTTGTTGCGTCTGTTTGAACGTAGCTTGAGATTTTTAAGCCCTCAGTCTTTGAATTTTTCCAACCCTCAATCTTTGCAGTATTCGATTACTTCTGAACACCCCATTGAAGATGTTTTGCTTGTATTTCACCAATGCTCGCTCTAAATCGTTTTAAAGGAAAACAATTTCAGCAAAATGTAAATAACACTGTTGTGTTTTCAAGTAGTTCAAAAGTAGCGGGTAACTGGTTCTCCTTAAACAATGAGGTCTTAATGGGGATAAGCATGGCCAGCATATTTTTTTCTTCAATTACTAAGGTAAGACGGACTCGCTTGACAGCTATATGAAAAGCAAACGGTGACTCATGGTATGGATTAGGGGTTGACGTTTTAGTGGATCATATTTTTTTTAGGAAAAAGGAGATAAGTAAACTCATGATTTATTCGTGTTCCCTAATTATTATTTAATAAAAGTTGTGTCACAAAACGCTAAAAAAAAATTTAAAAAAATCAAAATAGAAATAAAAAATACAATGTTAGTGCGTAATAAACGCGCGATCATCATTCGTCTACAAAATTAAGAGCATATTGCTATCTGAGGACAAAAATAGTCAAATTATAATAGTTAAATACTAAATAAAGGAAGCGGAGCGCGCTTTTTAACGTGTAGGGAAATGACATTTTTTTTTTCATAGAGTAGTTTGCCTGAAACACTAATTCTAAAAATCATCGAGAAAGAAAGAAAGAGTGAAAAAGTTGAAAGAAACTCAAAAATTCAGCTTTTAGCTCTGTTGGTTGTATTTACTCGTCTAAATTTTTCTGAGGTTAGTTAACTTTAATTTCAAAATAATGAAACGAAGCAAAAGAGAGAGACTGAACATTCGAGAAAAAAGGGCAGGGGAGGGGGAGGGGGAGGGGGAGGGGGAGTGAAGTGGAGAATAGGAGAGGGGCGGCTTAACAAAAGCGCGCCATTCAACCAAGATGAAAAATTTCATTTAGTGTTCTCACTGCATGATCCTTTGAACTCCTTTCGCCGGCAAAGTCTATCTCCACAGTACTGCCTTAGTATTAGCATTACTTAGATAGAAATGTAACACATCTTGCGTAACATCCGAGTGATGATTGCGAGGTAAAATCGTTTCCTAAAGTAACTGGTTGTATAAAGCCTTTTTGCTTCTCAATAGACAGCTATCAACCAACCTGTTCTCTTCCCCCACCCCCAAGCCTACCAATATACAACTATCTGTTCTGCTTTTGTTCTTATTTCTTTAATTTTTTCCCCCTCTTCTTGCCGGGCGAAAACTTGTCTTAACTTGGCACGTTCATTAAATAAAAAAATAAAAATATTAAAAGAAATAATACAAAAAAGTGTTCAAAGGACAAATGACCATCTGAAAATGCGAGATGCCTATCCACCAATCCCGGTGCTGAGAGATTTCCAATCAAAGAACATTCTCTGATAACAGAAGACGCTTTTATCCTTTTGCTGGACTGAAAAACTTCACAACTATTTCCTGCTTCCATCTCTCCATCCAAATGTACTTCGATGCATGGAGTGTCAATCACGACTTTTTTTATGCTGGCTGTCCAAACAGCTGCACACGATTGTTACGAAAGTCTGCAACAATTATATTTCCCTCAGGGGTCAATGCCAGGCCATGAGGATCGTTCAGTTGCCCGTCCCCATCTCCCTTTGTGCCAAATTTGCTAATGAAGCGACCGTCGCTAGAGAACACTTGAATGCGATGATTGTCTCTATCTGCGACAATAATATTTCCCTCATGACCCACCGCGACACCCGTCGGGCGCATTAATTCTCCGACTTGGCTGCCTTTACGACCAAAATTAAACATAAATCGACCACGTGAATCAAACACCTGAGAAGAAAACAGCGAAGATAAAAACAGTAAGTTCTCGTTTTATGATCTTCTAGCCTATGTACCGGAAATACTCGAATAAGCATCGCAGCACTTAACAAATTTTCACGCCTCAAATGTGGCACATATTCGAGGACGGAGCTTATTTGAGGGCGGTGTGTACTTAAAGATTGGACGCGACAAAGAATTGTTTTAATTACGGTATTATCATTTTCCGTATTGAAATAACAGAATTAACGTCTTTTGATTTTGATTATATCCGGGCCGCGGCGCTTATTCGAGTAAATACGGTATACCTTTACAAGCAAGGCTTACACTACAGCCCTCAAGAGAGAAGCAAACCTGAATCCGATGGCTGTGCATGTCCGACACAATGATGTGTCCTTGAGAGTTCACGGCTACGTAACAAGGATAATTCAGCTCTCCGTTACCATCGCCAAATGAACCAAACTTGAACGATTGACCTGTAAAAAGAACAGAGAACAATATGTTACACGATGCTGTAAAGTCAAGTCATCAACTCTGGCAAGTCAAAAAACGGCCAGATGCGCCAAGTACACGCAGCCTGCAGAAAGTGCGGGAAAAAAAACACACAAACAAGTCACGAATGGGCTCTGTTTTACCCTGATTGGCCGAGAAAGTGGCTTTCCAATTTTGTCGCTGGATATTCGCTTATTGGTCTTGATCAAAACTTGAAAACAACGCGGAAAGGATCTATTCAAATTCGTGCCAATCCATAGGATGTCCCAAGGTAAATTAACAGAGAAGAAAGTGTAGTACAAACACCCTGGAATAACGGTACACCGTTCACTCTTCATAGCAGAAGAAATTGTAATGACCTGTGTCTAGTGAAATGACATGAATACAACGATTTGCAGAATCAGCGACAATGATCCTTCGATTGGCGTCCACTGCCAGCGTGGAGGCCTTGAGGTCAGGTACGGTAAACTTGTGAAGGAACATCCCATCACGGTCAAAAATCTACAAAAGAAAGGAAAAAGCTTGTATTAGTAACCTATTAGCGTTGTTGAAGGATAAATGCAACCACAGTGAAAATGCTGATTCTGGAAAGTTTTATAGTTATGCCGACATTCAAATCCTGCTGTTTAAGGGTTGACTTTCACTGTTCCGTAATTTTTCCGTGCTAACGCACCTAAAATTTACGCGCGTAAATGAAATCGAGGCAATCTATGAAAGGCCACGCGTAAACGAGGAGTTGAGCGACTTTTACCTTTACGCGTGACCTTCCATACATTGCCTCTAGTTTATTTACGCGCAAGTGGACATCCACCTTAAGACAAATGAATCATAACAGCAAAACAGCGAAGACAAATTAATTCAACGAAATTGATTAGGATCGGTGAAGTTTGAAACGGTACGAATTCACTTTTTAACAGACGTTTTGAGTTTGTTGTCATCGGAAATTTTGCTACCATGGCAACATGACATAACGACTTCTCCTCCCTATTGGCTTGTGGAACTCTTGGAGTAGTCTTATTCCGCTTCAGTTAACAGATACACAAATGAAATTCAGGCGGTATTGTAGCGCGCAGTATTCACTTCTTACCTGTATTCTGCTACCTAGTCTCTCACAGACTACAATTCTTCCATCAGGATCCACTCCCACCCCTGTGGGGCACTGAAACTGTCCGCTGCCTTCCCCCTTGCGTCCGAAGTGGAACATAAAACCGCCATTTTGATTGAACACTTGTACTCTATGATTGTGACAATCCGTGATGATTATACGACCTTCATCATCCACGGCGACGCCGAATATGCCATTGAATTCGCCGATTTCTGTTCCTTTTTTGCCAAACTTGAGATAAGCTTCACCAGTGTTGACGACATTAACTTTGAAAGGACTTCCTTGGATGTGTTTGTCTCGCACAGTGACTGAAACCTGAAGATAACACAAACATTAACCTTTTCGTTGTAAAACTATTTCTTCCGTAAATATACCGTCCAAATTCGCTCTCTTTTGGTCTCCCAGGATATTTGAGCGAAGAAAATAAATTACTGGGAGACCAAAAGAGAGCGAATTTGGACGGTATATTTACGGACGAAATCGTTTTACAACGAAAAAAGGAGTCCTAGGCATTAACTTTTACGGAACCAGTTCCAGTAGCATTTACAGATTTCCTGTTTCTCATTGACTAGAAAGTATTTTTTGGTCACGCAATTGCGAGCTTCAAATATTTGGATCAGTATGTGAATCTGGAAAATTGCCCCACCTACTAACCCCCCCCCCCCCCTCTCCTAAACCAAACTCAACACTAACTTCCTACTTAGGCCAAAGTGTTGGATTAGGGGAGGGAGGGATAGGTAGGAAGAAATGGTTCGAGGAGAGTTAGAGTCTCGATGAACCCAAGGCGTCTTCCAATCTTCTTAGAAAACTTTGCTAGATTGTGATTTCTCCTGAGAATACTTCGTTTGAATTGGGATTTTCCTTGGTCTGTCATCTGAGATATTTCTATCAGTACCAAATGACAAACAAAGCAGAAAAAGGCTGAGTATGGCCGGGTTTTATTCACTCGGGCCTTTCAGGAACATTTGGTGAACCGTACATGAGTTTGACATTTAACGTTCGTTCAACAACCAATCAAAATACAGTGTACCTTGTGCATCCCAGCAGTGATTGGACTATAGGAAACTCCATAAGAACCGTTCCTGTGGTCTTCAACCTTATAAAAGTACAATGAGTCAGTAACGAGAAACTGTGAAAAATTTCACCTCTAGTAGAACAGAATAAAAGCCTTACTACACTACACATATATAATTTTTTTCCAGGTCATTATGGCTATTTGCGCACTTTCATTAATAAGAGTCTACCAACAGGTGCGAACAAAAACTAAACAATACGAGCAACAACAACAAAAACAGCTTAGAACAAAGATCAATATCATATCAGTGTAGGACATCGTGATCCAACCAAGTCGACATTGAATTTGTGGAATGTTGACATAAGAATGATTTGTATTTCTTGTCGGCCTGTTCTAACAATTTTAAAGTAGACATAAAGTTGTCCGACATGGCCCCTCTCATCGGTTTCATACAATAATCCATCACATTGAAACATAAATGAAAAGGTGCTTTGACTATTGTGAAGTATATGTACTTAGTGTATGGGAAGTGGCCTTCGACGTTCCCCTGACTTGCCTTACCACTCCCTGAGGAGTTTATTAAGGCTAAACCTTTCGCCTCCCATGACCAAAACGAACTAATGAAATGCTGCACGCTACGTTAAAAAGAGTATGTTACACGTAGGTTCCTGAAGATGTTTCTTTTTTGACCGGTGCGCTTTGACAGAGCACTAGGAAGTAGAAGATTCAGGATTATTCAAACCCCAACAGGGTGTTCCTACTTGGTGGTTTAAGAGGATCCCAGAAACTTAAATACTTTCGTCTAGGGCACTTTTAGATGTTACACATGCCGTGAATTATTAATTAAAAAAACAAAAGGTGCATAAAATACAACGAAACAAACTGACATGACAGACAAACTGAAACAAAAGCGATAATTTTGTGCATGAATCATTATTACAATGCATGTCAGATTGAAAAAAATGCTAACATTTTGTGAGTTGTAACGCGAGACTGGGGCGTGTGAGGAGGAGGAGGTAGCGGAACCGTGATAGGAGGAGGAGCCAGCAAGCTGTCTTACTTCAGCAGGCACTGTTCTCCCGTCAGATGTGTAAACATCAACCAATACATCCTCGCCACCGCCGCTGCACGGAGCACCGCTATGATCTCTAAACACATCACAAACAGTTAGTTCAATACGTTAGGACTGGTTTTTATTAGTGACGGAGTCGGAGTCGTAATCAGAAGAGTAGAACTTAAAGATCTATTGAAAACAACGTTCTGACTCTGCTTACGACTTCGTCGTTTACGATCAAGTAAAAACTAGGTGGTCGGAGTCGTAAGCAGCAGCGGAAGAACTAAACCAATCACAAAGCGTGGGAACGTACATTGTGATTGCTTTATCGTTCCCCCTCTGCTTCCGACTCCGACAATCTGGTTTTCACTGGATCGTAAACGACGGAGTCATGAAAGAGCCATAAGCGGAGAAGGAGGAAAATGAAAACATTCTTATTCTTCCGAATCCGATTCCGCCGCGCTTATGAATCTGCTTACGATTCCGATTTTTGATTTTCACTGAGTCGTAAGCGCTCTTACGACCTCTGCTTACGATTCTGACTCCGACTCTGGCGCTAATGAAAACCAGTCTTTACAATAAGCGCCCCATTTAGGACAAAAAACTAAAAAGTTAATAAGTGCCAGCTCCGAATAAGCGCTGAGGCCAGGATATAATCAAAATCGAAAGTTTTAAAACGGAAAATAGTAACACCGTAGTTAGAACAATTCTTTGTCGCGTTCAACTTTCAAATAAACCTTGCCCTCAAATAAGCGCCGCATTCGAGGCCTCGCTTATTGGAGTAACTATGGTATTTTCTCTTTTAAAAGGCGATTTGTCGTAAGTTTTAATGCAACTTAAGGATGGGTTGTAGGACGACACCAAGGAAGCATTGGTTGAAGGAATGAAGTAAAAAATGCTTTTGGAACTATCTCAAAATCATTCAGGGTAAAGGTAATGAAAAAGTTTTAAAAAGGAGCTTTCAAAGGTCTCACAGTGAATATGCCCGTAAATTTAGCTCATTGGTAATATTTTTCTTTTCTCAGTTGGGATCGAAAGAGTACAGTGTTCACACAAGGCATTCCAGCTTGTCCTTTGGGCAAGCAGCTGTCTCATTTTGCTTGCCCGGGGCCACTTCTTGCTCCTCTTATAAATTAATAATTTCTTTAGATGTTGACTTGCTTACAGCCTTTGCAAATTGGGCAAGTAAGCTTAAAACTGCTTGCCCAGCAAGAAAATCTACTTGTCCCTAACTATCGGACGGACCTTTTTTCTTGCCCTGTTCACAGTCCTATTTTTTTCGCCCGCTTGTCGAGTTGGGTCGGTGGCCGTCCCCTCGGGCACTCAGTTGAACTCCTCTCATACAAAATCAAGACAGCGGCATCTCAATCTCGGTGACTGACCTCGAAAGCGACACGCAAAATAAGCGACTGTATTTTCAGTTTAGTGAGGAAGCTGAAATGAGTACTACACCCTTACCGAGTAAGAACGGTAAACTTTGATCGTTTTCCTCTAGTGGCGTTTTTCATGTCATCTGCCACTGTGCACATGGTGGGAAAGGCATTACTGGTTTTTATCTGTCCCAGGTTCTCCAGAGCCTTCAGCACTTCATCCTGATTGGCTGAAAAGTATATGACGTCATTTTCTTCTGGTTCGCCTTGGAATTTAGCGGAGATAAGTTCGTTCAGTCGATCACATAGCTGTTTCTTTATGACAAGAATTTCTACTGAATTCCCATGCCTCAATACTTCCTCTGAAAACAAGACAGAAAAAAAAACGAGTTAACAAACACTGGTACTACTTGTTGGCATTCTTACCGGCGTCTGGTGTTGGCTGCATTTCCTCTGCGCGCCATTAGCACCACTTGCATCTTTTCCCGCGCTGAACTTATGATTTCCTGCGTTTTTATGGCACAGGTTAAAAGTTTCCCAAGGCCTGGCGCCAACTAGATATTTTCCCGCGCCCCGGTTGCAGGATTTCCCGTGCTCGCCAAGGCTCTTATGTTTCCCATGCTTGACAATGCTTAAGTCATGTGGAACTCGTTTTAGTTGATTTATTTCATTATAACTTACCAGTAAAGTTACACGTTGTTGTAAGCCGTTTCAGTTCATTTTCCAGCCTTTCCTGCTGCATTCCCAAAACTTTGGATTTCCTTTGCACCATAGATTCCACCTCCGCCATCATCGCTTTCTCGCGATCTTGCAGGGCTTTCAAAATGCGCGGAAAACATTTCTGAATCTCAGATTTTGCTACTTCAGCTCGAGCTTCCAGACGGCAAGTCACCTCTTCCACATCTTTCGTGGACTGGGTGACAACGGGAACTTTTCTTTTGAGTTTATCAGCGAGTTGTGAGATAGTTTGAGTTTGTTTGTCAATTGTGTCTGTGAGCTGGGTATACTTGTGACGTTCTGTTGAGTGTGACGTCATTGTGCACTCGCGACAGATGGCTTGTTCACAGCTTTCACAGTAATACCTGCAAAGATTAAGTAGAACAGCTTTCCAAATGCAAAACTTTGTTTTTCTTAAAACAAACAAAAACAACAACAACAACAACAACAACAACAAAACAGAAAAGAAGAGGGGAATTTTTAACTACCTCTCAGTAGACTAAATGCTGTTAGTGTTTACGCTGAATACTTTGTATGTCATGGACACCACGATGACGGCAACAAGAACTTCAAAAATTTGTAGGTTGAATAAGCAAAACAATAACTCTGCACGTTCATCAAACTTTTACGCACATTTCTTTACCGTCCCAGGCTGAAACAACACGCTGTTCTTAAACTTAGAAACGGTCCTTTAGAATTCAGATCCAGAGGAATGCCAAATATGGCAAATTTTAGAGAATAAAACCCACGATAATAATTGACGTTTGCGCTGTCACCTTCGAATATCAAAAAAAAAAAATCTGTTATCAGCAATGTCAAAAGCCTCCCACAGGAAGAGGAAAATATCAATTTTGAACTCGCTTAGGAAGTAAAGAATACTCCCTTAGCCATTATTACATCTTTCGTTTAGAACCATTCTTACTTGAATGTGTAAGGTACCTTAGTTTTTCGTGGATGTGTTCCATGCAGAAAATTGGTCGGTGGAGTAAGTCTTGTGGCCGTGGACTGGATTTGAGCTCATCCAAAGATACAACCTGAAAATCCGGCAAATTAACGTCAGTGACAAGCTGAGCTCTGGAATCAAATATCAAGTTTGGCTGTAATTTATTGAAGTTTTTCTCGACAAAAAAAAAATCTATCGCTTTTCCTAAGTCACGTCTAAGTATTTTGATTGAGGTTCCATGTAACAAGGTCTACTAACACTAATGACCATGATCAAGTTTCGTGGATATTGGAAAAGTTCGTCGAAAGGTATTTAATGTGCTCCGGATATAAAAATCAGAATAAGACTACATTTGGCAACGGGAAATGAAGTTAGTCCCTGGCAAGGGCCTGGATCTTAATCAGGACCACATAGCTATGATGGGTAGGAAGGATTTTAAATTGGATCCTGTTTACGTTTTCCCCATCCTTTCCAAATTCTATTCTTCCTGGTAAGGGTTCACCAGTATCTTAAGAAATAAGCGAAACTAAACTTAACGTTTCTGCTCTAGTTACGCCTTTGTGAGGTGTCTGCTTATCCAGGAATAAAATTAGAGACGGCTCGGTGAAATTCGCCCAGAACCAGTCAAAAGCTCACGTCCATAAACAAGGGGTGGGGGGACGGGGGGTACACCTTCATCAGTCTGCATCGAGGGATGTAAACCGTGTAGATGTAGAATATTCTTCCATGCATAGCAAGGCTTCCTTTTCCCCGTTTCCTCTCCCCGTCATAAAATCTCTTATCAACTCTTAAATCTTACTCTGTGAGTTTTGGTTAAACGCAGCCTCATATGGGCATTTCTACAGTCATGGCAGAGGAAGTCCATACATTCAATACACCGCGCAGCCGCAGGAAGTTTGTCTTCACAGCTGCTGCACATGATTGGGTTCTTGTCATGCGCGCGCACAGCCGCCACGTCCATCATGGTAGTGACCACGAAATTTGGCGGGAAAGCGCCGACACCGCGCTCCTGAGGAAGAAATAAAGAAAATAAAAGTTAGTTTTCAAAAAAATGTATTTTAATCCTCAAACCGTAACCATTGTCGGTTAAGGGTTGTGTCGTGTACCGATGCATGCACTGTATAAGTAAGATTTAAATGTAATGAATTGTAATGATGGACTTGGAATGGGAAAAAAAAGAAATAAACGTTTTACTGCCCTAGATCGGAAGCAATCGGTTCCTTAATATCAAAGTCAAATATCAGTTGTTGCGCTGGTTTCCGTGCTACGATTTGCCGAACGGATTTTTAAAAGAAAATATAAAGCGAACACAAAATTCGACCCGATTTTTATTTTGGCCTTCCAAGTAAATAGAAAAAAAATTTCATCATGAGTGAATTGGCTGCCAACAGATCTCGTCGACTAATAGACCTTGTCACGGTTTTCGACGCCATCTTGACGAGTAGGCAAACGTGTGAGAAATTAGTGATTAGTGTTTCGGCGTTGTATGAGAATCTAATGTCAAATAATTCCCGTAAAACGGCTGTTCTGAAAAAAAATATGAATTGTAAACTAAAGGTACAAAGCAAAGGATTGTACTAAAACATTTTTGGGGCGTAACGTTGCTTAAATTTCTCCGGAGGCTTGCTTTAGATTTTCCATACCTTTGTCTATAATTTTTCCTGGGACTTTCTTACAAACAAATGTATAGAAAATTTTAAAAAGTTGTTCTAGGTCTTCTCGGCATGTAAACAACCACAATTTTTTTCAGTAGAATCCTTAGGAGTGAAGCTTTAGTCTAAAATTTATATTTTTTTCAGAACAGTCGGTTTACGGAAATCATTTTACATTAGATTCTCATACAAACACTGTAATTTCTCACGCGTTTGCCTACTCGTCAAGATGGCGTCGAAAACCGTGACAATGTCTATTATAAACGTGTCCTGTAAACCGGCCTTATGTTGTCCTGGAGACAAGTATGATCGTGAGTGGAACGACTGCTTCAAAAGTCTTCAAATTTTGAATTTGTGGATAGAGTCCCAAAACGTACCAATTTAAGCGAAAGCCATTGACTGGTACTTTCACGACGGTGCGGTCTTGTCGTGAACAATGGTTATACTAGCTTTAAAATATGATCATTTCATTTACAAGGTATTAGTGCTGTTCGTTTGGGCGTAGTACCTGGTGCCTGGTGTTCAATAGCAATGCAAGTTCAAGAGTAATGATAAGGGTCCCTATTTCACCTTAAAAACTACCTTGACGCAAGCTTTAACACAGGCACAAAGATCAAATCTTTCCCTTCCCTGGGCACTGGGTGCTTCGTCGTTGTTCGTCTTCACTTGGCTTGCTATTGCGTCGCTAATGAACACCAAGCTTCAAAATAAAATCACAGGTGCGCTTTGTTGTGTAGGTGAACATGAACTAGATCATCATGATAAATTTAAGAAAAAAAGGCAAAAAAGGCTCGACGCGTCAGTTTTAATGATAGAAAAGGTCAGTGCAGTTATACTGCGATCACAGTTTAACACTGATTTATCGCAGCCACACTGAGATCTAAACTTGACACAGCAACTTCGTTCAGTATTAACTAAAACACCACGTTGTTTTGTGGAACTGAGCAAAGTGATTGCCTAAAATCAAGAGAGTGCTGAATACATAAATTGGTGTAGATATCTGTTTGACTCTGCGGTTTAGTTTAAATTAGTATTCTTAAAGGCAAACTCCTTGTGCGACCCGCATTAAGAAGAAGCCTTTGAGAATTACTTACACGTGTGTGTCCCTCTGATTTTCATTACTCCTTGAAATATTGGATCAAATTTAATACTGGGTTGTTTTGAAATTAATAAAAGGCAAGAGAAAATCACTAAAACGTACTGTAAGCTGAACATCTGTTCTACAAGCCGGGCAGCTGAGCGTACTTGACCTCGGGACTACCAGATTTTCCAAACATCGCTTGCAGAATGTGTGCAGACATGGTAAAAGACGTGGATTATTGAACATCTCGTGGCATAGGGGACAAAATAAGTTCACTGAACTGCCGGTCGCAAAAACTGGATTATCCATCATAACAGGATTCATGTCCATGTCGTCTCGAACAGACGCCATCTTGTGTTCCTGAAAATATTCAAACTCAACTTTAAATTTTACACTAAGTGTAATCTTTAAAACACGAAAACAAAGAATCATGTAAAATGCTTTTTCCGGTTGCTTAAGAAACAAATTACAAGTAAAAATTTCAATGTTACAAATAATCTTTTTTAGGTACTTTAAGGCATACAGTAGCAAAAATTTACAAACAGTTTTCTCCATTAGTGTTCGCATACCCAACAAAATTAAAGCGAGTCTCACCGATATTTTCTCGGGTTTCGTTTTCTTCTCGTCGACAGTCTCGGCGGACATTTTGTGATTCAGAATGCTCTTCAAGTTGTCGTGGAAAATTTGTAGCGCGCTGCAGGAAACATGCGATGCTCCAATTCTGGGCGATTATTACTGGTTTTCTCCGACATTACACAGCAAAAATACTAATAATTTTGCCGTGACTAGCGCGCCATGCAAAGCCCAGATCATGACCCCGTGGCAAATGGAAGAGATTCCAACTGTGATATAAACGTTTAAAAATAAACTTGAACCTTAAAAATTGAAAAGAGGAAATAAAACCAATGGCTCACTCCTTTCACTCCGGCACTCCGGCATGTGTTGCAATTATCACAATATGTCATTACTTTTCAATATTTTATACGGTCGTATTGACGAACCAATCATCGGGGAGGTTTGCTGATTATATTGGTTATTTACGCTAAAAAAGAAAAGAAAATCAGCCGCAAAAAATGAAATTACTGCCTCCTCCCTATTAACATTCATCCATCACTAAAGACTTCAATAATCGAAACAATATTTTCCCTGAAGTAATTAATGCTTTCAAGCAAGGCGTTAACAAAAACACTGAGACAATTTCGATAGGTTTTCGATTTCAAGAAAAATTTCTGGTAAATGTCACTGTTTAATTAAAAAATGGATTTTACTTCGAGCGGAGAAAGCATAAAACAACGTCTTGTATCGTGTAAAAAAGAAAACTGATTCCTCCGGTTATGTTGTTATCGCAAGCTGTCGTACAGCAGCAAAAATTTCTTTGCGGATATTTAAACAATTTAAACAAAAGCGCGTACATTTTATTGTGAAAACACACTTTGCTTGGAAAGCTTTTGTCGTTTTCACCGCTCTCTTGTGAAAAAAACACTCGTGTTATAAATCCAATTCACGACTACGGGTGACTCTAATAATCTACCATCGCAAGGTCATCTCAGGAAATTTGAAAAATTGATTGCTCCCCATGAAAAATAAATGAAAATGAAAATGAATTTCCTCGCACAGGCAAGGTAGCTTGAACTGAAGGTGTGTTTTGAAGTTGTGATCGTCGAGTTGAGCTTCTTTACATAAAATGGTTAGCTGCCATTTTGATTTGGTAAAGAAGAGGGAAGTCTGGGGAAGAGAAAAATTTAGAAAGTAAGGTAGGCTAAGACTACTGCGAATCAGTTTAAAAAAATACTGAAAAATGGCCACAATACAGTCACAACAGCGAGGCATAGCGAGAGATTGCCGAGATCGAGCGCTTATACATTAGTCAATTCCAGCTGCGCCTAGCTCTCCTCCCCCCGGGTTGACCCCCGGGCATTAGGATTTTTTTTGCCACGGATGGCAAATTCCCTGGGGTGGGGACTCTTGAGCTGTCAAATCTCCCGGGGTGGGGACGAAAAAAGAGGGCAAATGCCCCATCCTCCATCAACACTGCAACATTTTGTATTGATTGCACAGTCGAATGGTGCCGTTTTAAACAATTTATGTAATCGTTAATGTGTGATTTTTTGTTTCAAGAAACGTCTTCCTTTGTAATAGCGCTAGGATTCTAATTAAGACTTCACGCCGCGACGACATGAACCAGTTTATGGTTTTAGTTTTAATATAAAATTATTGACGTTAAAATTAATAGAGCGCTGTCGGTAAAGTTATATGTTATGGATAGGTTATAAATATGAAAGGATATTCTTTAAATAACATCAACAGAAATTTGATTCATTCTTTGATTCAAATAACATAAGCAACAGAAATTTGAAAATCACTTTAACTAAATAAGGGTTGATTTTTTCCAGTAATATCCTCGATTACATTCTGATAGGAAAAGTTATATGTTATGAATAGGTTATAAATATGAAAGGATATTCTTTAAATAATATCAACAGAAATTTGATTCACTAACTAAAAAGGGTTGATTCACGTCGATAGCTCCCGAGTTTCGCCAGTAATTCTGGCTTGATAAGCAGTGAAGAAATGCATGCGTAAAATTGAGAACATGCCTTTACAACCCCCTGTCCGTGACAGATAAGCCAATCTGCTATTTTTCCAGTAATATCCTCTGTGTAGTTACATTCTGATAGGAAAAGTTATATGTTATGAATAGGTTATAAATATGAAAAGATATTCTTTAAATCATATCAACAGAAATTTGATTCACTAACTAAAAAGCGTTGATTCACGTCGATAGCTCCCGAGTTTCGCCAGTAATTCTGGCTTGATAAGCAGTGAAGAAATGCATGCGTAAAACTGAGAACATGCCTTTACAACCCCCTGTCCGTGACAGATAGGCCAATCTGCTATTTTTCCAGTAATATCCTCTGTGTAGTTACATTTTGATAGGAAACCGCGTGCGTGTCAAAAGCTCGGGACTAGCCCCGGGGTTTGCAAATGGCCGGCTGCCGGGCAGCGCAAAATGTGCAAATACCCCACCCCCGGGACTGAAAAGGCGGGAAAATGCCCCGCAGTAGCTGGGGGAGGCTGGGCGCAACTGGAATTGACTGATCCGTCCGGGCGGCCATCTTGGTTTCACGGTTACCGAGGGTGCAGGCGTTGGGATTTGCTCAGGCTAGACTTGGTACATTTTAAACCACGATGGCCGTTCGTAAGGGTAGGTGCTCGATCCCAATGATCGAACGGAAAATTAGGGGACTGTGAACAGTCTACCTGGCTGTCCTCGGTTCCCTCATCATATGGATCGACCAACTTCATGCGCCCAAGGGTCGATTCTCTATAAAACATGACCGGAAAGACCGTTGGAAAATTTCCTACATCCCTAAAAGCTGCCACAATCTTGTTTTGTGGGTGAGGAACCAGCCTCATTCCCAGGGCTTTCTCTTCAGAAATGGGCCGAGAGACCGGCCTGGGAACGAGTTTAGAGTACATGGTCGCAATCCAAAACACTGGGTGAACTTTAATTTCGTTTCTCCAGGTTGTGCTTCTCCAGCAGCTACAGCTACGACATTAAATATCGTTGTCTTTGTATCGATAAAGCAGGTGCCCGGGTCTCTTTGGCTTGTTCCTTTGGAGTCCGTTTTAACCGGCTTCCGCTATAATAAGTTCTGCTCTAGGCAGAAAGATGATATGAACAAAACTAATAAACAACGCATTATCAGTTCAGCCGATATCAAAGAAATGATTAGTTAGTTAGCCAGTAGTTAGCCAGTACCATTCAAATACGAGTCTTCTAAAATACCTTCACATCCAGCTTATCAGCAAAATATATGACACAGCTGGACGCAAACACAAGTAACAAGAAATTATGGTGACCACCATTGGGGGTCTTGATTCACAAAAAATAGTTTATTAGGGATGTAAGATCAAATAAGAGACTATCTTTGCATTTGTGAGCAAATATGGTTTTCTATAACCTGCAGCTGATAGGTCAAGAAGAACGGCCCATATGATCTGGCGTCCAAAATTACTTATTACAAAATTTTGTGTTAATTGAATAAGAAGTATGTTTTCTTAGCTTAATTAAATGGAGACAAAATTTTTATGATTTCCTTCGCTTTTGTTAGTCTTCGTTTAGAAAAGAACTTTTGACGTAAAATAAGGTTTTTTGGAATCAGAATCGCTTGAAAGTAACGAAACGGCTCGCAAAAAAATTGTAACCGATTATTTTAGTTATCCAATAACTTTAGCGGAAATTTTCAAGAATGATAAAGAAGGTTTATGGCTATCAAATATATCCCCAGTCTGCATCTCTAACTACACCAACGTTGACATGATAAAACGGCGTTTATTCGACATTCCTTACTCAAATGAAGTACCAGCTATACACCAAGCGCTGGAAATAAACTAACAACACAAATCTACAAACCTGATACGTAACCGACTGTATCTGTTTCTGGTAGGAATATAACCCGTCATTTGTCTTCCAACATATTATCTCTTCTTCGAAGCGAGTCATTGTGGTCGATGAATTTGAATTTGAATTTGAATCTATGCAGTAGACTTTGTAGGTACATGCTGCCGGGGAAAGCCCCCGGCATACCTCTGGCCACAATCCTCGTTCCGTTTTATCTCGGTGAGACTTTCACATATCCAACTTCTTGACTGAGTCTTTCTGGAGTCTTTCATTTGCATTACTTTGTTGCTGAGTTTATGTACCACATATGTAATAAGGGCAGGAAATGAATTTAATAACCGTGGAAGAACGTAGCCGAACTTTTCAAATCGTTCGTGGTTGTTATGAATCCCTTGGCTATTGTCTGTTAGATTTTATCTACTCTTATCAAACCGCATAGAAAAATGCGTTTTCCTTCTTTATTAGATGAAATATTGTTCAAACTTAAGAGCAAAATAAGATCCATCTAGGGTAATTAATAAAGATTTTTACAGTACATAGAAAGCATTCACTGAATAAAGACATGACGGAGATCAAATAAATGTGGCAATTGAGGTTGTTCTTGTCATTCACAGTTGTGAAAAATTGATGGATGATATTTTCGTTATGAATAAATTCAAACAAAAGAAAGAATACTGAACTGTACAATAAACGTAAAAAAATTAAATAAACAAATAAATCTGATATGTCTGCTAGCATTGTAATCGCTGTCTTGTATAGCGCACCCCTCGAAACAAGCGTTAACATTTTGATACTTTAGAAATCATTTGTTTTTGAAGCAAACATGTAATGACGCAAACCGTTTGATCTCCCACGATTTCATTTCCACTGAAAAATCTTTAGTTTTACCTGCAGGGGCGCCCAGGCCCCCACAGGGAATAACGTCAAAGCTCCATTGCGCATGTCCGAAGTGTTACAAAAGTCACGTGATAATTACAAGCCGAATTTTATTCTCCTGTCGTTTTTTCTTTTCCAATTTACATTACAAAACGAAAAACACAAGAAACAATACAAATAAATGAGTGATAAGTGTTTTAAGTGCTTTATGGTGAGGTTTTTTACCAGTTTCGTAGGCCTAAATGACATCGGAGTCGTTCCAGGCCAGGTATAACCTGACTAAAAGCAAAATTTTGAATCAACAGGAAAACTATCTTTAATCTGGCCCCAAAATCGAGTGAATAAGCCAAGAAACTCAAAGTTGAAAATGATATTAACAACAGCATTTTCCCACTGCACGTTGAGATAAGTCGCGCTTAAGAAAAAAGTCAATTATCTCCTTAACGTCAAGAATACCACAGACAACTTACAAATTCCGCCAGCTTTCGCGTTGTAGTAATTCGCCACATGGTTGAATCTTCCTTTAGAGCTTCAGCGTTTACGGTTGAGGGTTGTTTGGTTAAAGGAGAACCCTGTCAACAAGGAAAATGGACAAAGTTGTCAAGTCTCGGTACGCTGAGCACAATGATACCGAAACAGTATTTAACTTATTTTGTGGTTAAAAGAAGAGGCAGAATAGGCTGATGGGGCAACTCTGCAAGATTCCAAAGCCGTGGTCAGAAGAGAGATGCAACAGATTAAAATTAATCAAGATAAGAATTTATTGCATAATTCATAATCAGAATCTCGTGAAACGTCACTGCTAAAGAAAAAGCAAAATAGTGAGTTGCATGTGTGCTGTAGCCTATTGTATCGTGTCATTTTTTGGAAAAAGTGCTAACGTGACGTGTTTTAGTAAACAAAATAGCGTATTTTAATGCTTATGAATACAACCTAAGTGATATATTTTTCAAACAAAAAATTTAGACCACATGCCTTCATATCGAAAAACAAACACGAACCTATTTGAAGGCTCTTGGGGATTTGACGAACCTCTCTTTGAGAATTATCAACCTTAATTTAAACAGAAATTTAAAGACAATTCTAGAAAGCTCTTCTATTATTGCCTTAATCTAAACAATATGACTGGATTAATTTCAAAACGTAAAACATAAGCAAACTGAATAGATTATTTTCGTTAAATTTCCTTTAGAAATATGACCGTTGTCTTACCATGCTGCAAAAGAAAGTAACCCACTATTTTAGTGAAGCTTAACAAGAGTGTTATAAGATCCTATAACGATTCAGATTATGATGTTATAAATAAATGAGAAGATGATTTGGTGTTTGAACGAAACAAGGGCAAAAGGAGCGTATATTCATTAAATAATGGATGATTACTTTTATTTTAATATCTGGTGCAATAACCGTGGAAGAATCTTGAAGTTAGAGGTGCGGATTTTCTGACGAGGTTTCCGCCATCCTTTTGTCAGAATGTTCAATTAAGAAAAAAGTTAGAAACCAGCATAATGCTTAGAATATTCAGTAATTTCAACCAATTACGGTTTTCAAGGGCAATATTAATAGATAAGAAGTCAAGGTCGTCTCCGTCTCGTAACTAATGTAATATCGTCTGTAACTACAGTTTGAAACCCTTTCAAAACCAATGATGTTGCATCGATTTTAAAACGTGTGCACGCGAAAGCACTACACAAAGTTTGTTTGTTGCTGTATAATAAACGATAACTGTAAATACGGCCGACAAATACCCAAAATAGACAGCCGTAGTTTCGTGTCACGTTGTATTTTTCCATCAACGTAACTATTAATGAAAAAGCTGACAGTATGAATATAGTCTCTCAGGTTGTAGCCCTCAGGAGAATTTTAAAGCCATTTAACGAGACAACTTCAAATAGATTTTCGTTATGTAATGGTCTTAAAACTGACGAATATCCTAGTAATTGACGCTCGCCAAGCCTGAGGCCTTCTTTTGTCAGAAAGAGAGTGCTCTATAACGATCGATTTTTTCCGATAATACTCAAAGGCTAAAACGTCGGCATCACGAAAAGCAACTACAGGCCAAGATCACTGTGGTTTATTAGATTAATTTCATGTGAAAGAAATAATAGAACAGCTCTTTCATGTTCATAAAAGAAGAATACTTCTGTCCGAAGTAAATTTAAGACAAATTATCACAAGTAAATGAAAATGTTAAATTCATTCTTAGATTCACCAAAACTTAAACATCATTAAAAAATTTACTCCGTTTATGCTCGTGCTCTAGACATTATTTGGTCTAAATTTTAATTATTTTAAACGCTTCTTTGTTCTGGCGGAAACAATTTATTCGTGTACACGAAATCGACTTTTGTTTTAGTTTTGTTTTCTTATTTTCCCCTGACTTAATATGTTTTTCAGCCGTTGCAAAGAACTATTGTTTCGAACCACAGCCAATCCAAAGCTCGAAATAGAAGCGTCCGCAAATTGTGTCAACTGCGCAACAGTCAAAGCAAAAAAGGATTTGCGTAGGAAAAACTCTTTTTTTCCATACAGACTGTTGCGCAAAACGACAAGACGAATGGGCGAAGCGATATTTTCAGCTTGGGTAACCTGTGCTGTGAACTCGTTTTCATAATGAGGTTAAAGGCTAAACAGCTGTTTCATTCTAATGAAGTACGATCAGTGAAGAAAATAAATAAAAGCAAACTTATGTTTGACGTATATTGATGTGGCTTTATTGTTAAAACTGTAATCTATTTGAGATCGTCATTGTTTGCGGCTACGACCGATCACACTAGCGCATCTTACCTATGAGTGAATACTGTTTAATGAACACCACGATTATAAACCTGGCGAACGTTCGCAACACTTTCTGATGGACTTTTTTCTCTTCTGTTTGCAAACTAACAAATTTGACCATAATCATTCGGTTCGGTACATTTAAAAGGAAACAGTGAAACGATGTCGTTTGTTCCCAACTACATCAATTACGATGCCAGCAGGTGAAAAAAACAGTAGTTGAAAACGAAGCTGATTTACAAGGCAAAACACAGGAAAATATGACAAAAAAATATCAAAAAAGCGTTACTAGCTGTATCGTGAAATCTCGTAGACTTTGCGATTTTGCGGCTTCTTGCATTTATGTCGATATTCATCTCAATTTAATTTTAAGATAACAAAGTAGGAAATGTGACTTGCAAATGACTCACAGTTTTCATTTAGTGAAGTTAAACTACGTATGCTATGGTAAAAATAATACTGCTATAAATAATTCTCCTTGAAAGATCATCTCCTTTCGTATCAACATTTCTATAATTGTCTCACATCGGCATATCTGGGACAAGCCATCATATCACTTTAAAACGCCAAACGTATTCCTTTACATCGACGAAACAACCCGATATCTTGAGAACAGCAAACCATAATTGATGTCTGTAGTAATAACTCTGAGAATAATAAAATGTTTCAATTTGTTCCCTCAAAACTTAGTTTGACTCCATTTCTTACTATTTTGCAGAAAGCGAAAAAAAAAATTGAAAGGCGAATATTAACGTTTCAGAATTCCAGCAAGGCTTGTGTATACTCATTCTATATATCTGAAAATTTAATTTCAGCAGTTGTATGAGACATAGAAAAATCCACTTTGCCAAAAACGAATGCAGCTCTAGAAAAATGCTTTTTAACAGATTGGATGAGTGGTGTTTCGTGCATTTTACGTGCTTGCCTTGATGGTACGTTGTCATATAACTATGCAAACAAAACATAGTCAAAATTGAGATTGAAAAATATACCTTCACATTTACACAGCAGCTATTTTAGTCAGCATTCTAAAGATCTCAATTCCGTGGATAAGACTTCTCTGGTTTCACGGGCAATGTACAGTTATCCCACGCATTGTAAAACAGCGCTAACCATAAAGATTTGCGCTTTGATCACAAGCGGGCGATCAAACGTCTGCTTTGGCCGAGAGAACTCCGGTTACGGAAATTTGAATAACAATAAGTAATTTGAATAAAACACCGAGACAGGATCTCCCCGATAGGCAATTGCTGACAAAGCCAACTAAATTATGAAAAAGATTTAAAGCCTACAAAACATGTGTAATTATTACCAGGAGCGACCTATTTTTTCACATGAACTTTTATCTTAGGCGTAAATTAAAAATTTTATGGATTTTTTTTAAAATTCTTTTCTTGACATACGGAATCATTTATTCTCTACTTATATTTAACAGCACTTATTGCCAAGCTTAATTTTTTTTCCCGGCAAGCGGTTTACTGACAAAATGCGCGTTAGCAAACCACCTGCGCGAACTCTCCCCGTGACCGCGCGCGGACTGGGAATAACAATTCAATAGTCATACATATTCTAAACTTTTGAGGGGGGAGGGAGGGGGGTATGGGTGATTTGGTTTGTGTAAGAATTTTTTTCTCAAACCTCTGGAGAAGAATTTTTTCCAGCATTATGCACCAGAGAGAATTTTTTTTTCAGTCAAGGAATTTTTTTCCCCGGTTTTGATTTTCTTTCAAGATTTTTTCCCTCGAAATCAGTCTGCAGGGTATATTTATTCTGAAATCACCCTTACCCCTCCCCGCCCCCTTCCTTCAAAAGGCAAATGGTCGGCCCCTTACTGATAAGTTTCATATGTTTCTCCTCTGGTGTTTAATTAGAGTTAAAAGCACCCTTCTTTCTGAGGAAATTTATCTACAATCACCCAGAGAGGATTTTGCTCAGTGAAAATCAAAATTGAAAATGAACAGGATCTTCAACCCACGCTTCGGATAACCTCTACCGCTCCTTTCCTTTTAATTTCAGTTCATTTAACATTTTTTCTTTCTCTGTACTTTTCTAGGTTAAGTAAGGAATCCGTTTATGGATACAAGATAGCGCCAGTAAATCGACATTGAAGTAATCTATTTTTTTTTTGGAAAAAAACTGAGGGCCAATTTCAACGGAAAAAGCCCACGCACACAAGATGGCATTACTGTTGGCATATCTTTTTATGCCTTTTAGTTTTCAAAGGGCGTTAATAAGCGCCTTAAGCTCAGTGGAGGATTTATCCAGTTTATCATGATGAAATGTTCGTGTATATTTTTTTAATTAACGTTTGGACGGGCAACGGCAGAAACTTTTGTATAAATAATTGTCAGTTAAAAAAACTGAAGCTTTTCACTCAGCGAACGTACAATTTATCTTATCGCGAAACTATTTACATTTCGCAGAAAGTCTCAGTTTCAATGATAAAATGAATAGTAAAGCGGCAATATATTAAACTTCACAACCATGAAAACTGTCTTTGAAGTTTCAAAAGGATGCTTATAATCATAGGACAAGCATAAATTAACGTTACTGTAAATAAGACGATCAAAAGTTAACAGAATTTAAAAACATACTGAGTGATACCTGTGCAAGAAGTTATCCAGTACGGTTCCAAAGAATTAGGGAGAAAACTTGTAAAGGTGTTCTTTCAGAATACGACCTTTTAATATGCCAATAGCAGCACAAAAACGGTGGTAGTTGATGACTTCCAGAAAAGGGAAGGGGGAAGAAACCCACTTGGAAGTCGAAAATGAATAATATAAAAGATAAATAGCAGTAGGCTTCATCTTCCGGCGTCATGTTAAAAGGCTTGGTTGCTTATCGTAGAAATTTAAATGTACTATAGCTTGACAATCGAACGACAGCTGTAATATTAAAAAAATGAATTATTGGAACATAGACCTGATACAAATTAAAATCTTGGCATGAAAAAAATCCCGTGCACTTTTCTGAAGTAACATCTGCCTTCTTATTTCAAAAGGGAACTGGACTAAGCCATGCTCAGTGTTGAATATGAGCCTGGAAACGAATTACGGTAGGTGTCTCTTCATATCATCGTGTTTTCTCGGTAAGGTCGGTGGACTGGGGCCTATCTCTTGTACGCTTTATCAACAACTTTTCTATTACGTTTTGCTTGCTGAATTTTGAGGTAAAAAAAACCAAAAGCCAAAAATGTAGATTTAGATGGTTTGGAAGGTAAGGGAAAAAATTCTAAGGAGACGCAGATCTGTTTGCAGGATAAAAAATACACCACCAATCTACAGATTTGGTTTGATTCAGTTTTATGATATAACTCCGGATCCGAGGGGGATTTTCAAGAAATAGACTTCGAGTCACGAATTGCCTGTCAGTTCTCTCGACCCGGGATTAGAATGCTGGTATTTTATTGGTCTCAGGAAATACGCAGCCCTAGGCTGTACCAGGCTGTATAATAATTCGTGTTAAAGTCAGTCTTGTTAAAATGCGCGCTGAAAAAGTTCGGGAAAAACCAGACGTTTCGAGGGTCGGCTTCCTCAGGTTTGAGTTGCTTTCAAACCAGTGACTCAGGAACAGTTCTTCCCTCCTCCCTCAGTCCTCCTCTTCGTTTTTTGGTACCCGGATGGCGGAGACAACGCAGCCCCATTGTTTTAGGGACAAGGATCATTCAGAGGGCTCTACGGGGCCACTCGTGGACCATCCTCTAAAGGCGCTAACTGCGCATGCATATTAAGCGAAACCCACTGGACCCTCGTTAGTGTTCGCTTACAGGAGTGTCCGTGGAATACAGTTTTATGTAGCAAAAAAATAATAATAATAAAAAATAAAAACAATGGGTCTTAGCGACGCTTGTGGCCACTTAACAAGCAGTGTCCGCTGAAAACACAGCTTACACTGAAAAAAAAAATAAGTAAATGTCGAGAGAAATCTTGATCTTGCTCACCTCTTTGATGGCTGCTTTTTTGTGGTCTTTACTTTGAGCCTGTAAAGCGTCCTTTAACTTCACCAGGGAGGACAAAAAATCGCTTTTCTCGGAGATGGTTTGTTTCTGGGTCAAGAAAAGGAGCATAGTTAAAGGATATAGTTAAGTTTGACGGTTTACTACCAATCCATTATAACCGAAAGAATGTCGAGAAAAAGGAGAATGAAAAACTCGTGTTTGCGTAAGTAATAAGTTTAGAATTAATCTAGTATTCAGCGTAAGTAGCTGGACAAAATGGGTATGTAACAGTAAATTTAATTTTCTTTACATGAATGGAATTAAATATATGAAAGGACTCATATTTTTGAGCTGCGGATAAAGATGCGAAAGTGAAAATGATAATCGTAGTTAAGTGAAAAACCTAAGGGGGTGAAAAAGAACCTGAAAATATTCAGGCTTGACCGGGAATCGAGCCCTGACCTTTGCGATGACCAGACGCAACGCTAATCTAGCCAACTGGAGAGCAGATCATCGAGACAGATTGTGAGTTCGTTATATACTTGATGGCGGAAATGAATGGAAATATATAAAATGACTCAAATTTTCAAAATATTGAATTGATGAATGAGCGATCCTTACGTTTTATGGACTGTTCATACAAACCTGACATTTTGTTGCCCGTTTTTCGCTCTGCACCTGCTTAGGGTCTTTTGATGTGAGAGGTTTATCTCGTCTTCTTCGCCCTTCCCCTTTACTCTCAAATTTATCTACTTGTTTCGTGTGCGTTGATCTGTGCTCTTCTTCAGAAAATTCTTTCCTATCCCGGAACTTATCTTTGGCATTACTTGTTCTTTCTCTTCTTTCGGTGGGCATACATTTCTTTTCTTTGTGGGTTTGTACACTACTGCCGCAATCTTCAGTATACAGGCTTCGTTGTTGTTTGTTTTCTCTTTTTCCATGATGTCTCCTCTGTCTATGTTCCTTTTCAGGCGCATCAAGAGGTATTTTGTTACTAGAATCTTGTTGAATAACCTGTTAAGCATAAAAATTATTAACGTTGATAACACAGCGCGAAATTATTATATACCCTGTCCCTTGCAGAAAGGACACATTCCCGTATAGGCCATCATATGAGGGAGTACACCCCTCCCGAGCTTACAGTCAGATTCTCTTGCGGTCAGTGAAGCGGTACGTTTTGCTGCTGGTCACGAAAAGGATTCTGGGAGTACGCTTAAATAGCAGGTGGTATAGACAGGTAGAAGGAAATAAACAAATAATCAGAAACTGGTGAAATTTAAGACTACCATTAGATCGCAGTAAAGACGAAGAAAGCATACAAATGCCTAAAACTGACTGGTGTTATGCGCGGAAACAAATTACAAATATGCTGACTGAATATCATTAACTCCAAAGGGCTATTTTTCTCTACATATACATGTACCGGCTGGGCACAGTTTAAATAAGGCCGCGAGAAGAACAACACATGCATATAAAGGCGGAATCGAACACAAAGTACACCCACCTTGTCATTCTGTACAGGAGCAGTTTTTCTTCGTTCTTGTTGTGTTCGTGGCGCTTTCTCTCGATTCAAAATATTCACATTTTCGTCTCCTTCCTCAAACTGGGGGTTGTGAATTCGTTGACGTATTTTGGCGCGAAGTTTTTCCCTCACAGAATCTTTCCCGCGCGCTAATTCCCTTGGTCTTGAACTACTTTCGGAGGTTTTCAGCATGTTGCTATTTTCTGTATCTAATCTTTATGATTTTTTCTTGAGGACAATTGCTGTACAGACATAACAGGTTTGTAACCCTACACATGTGTTCAAACCCAATTCAATAACATGTGACGCCATAACACGAGTCTGCATAAAAATAGGGCGGTGGCGAATTTGTTTCCAAGCGCTCTTTAAATACTTTTGAGTTTAGGCAAAGTTTTGTTTATCCTCATTCCTATTTTTACCACTAACAAATCGTCTACATAGACAAAGATTACTGAGCACTTATGCTTTTGGTAAATCGATGAACTTTATGACACATCTCGATTTAAAAAACTATATATCGTAAATTTTCAACAAAGGCACCTTCGACGTTTTTACCACAACTATATAATTCTTCCTTTTTTTATTAAGCGCTGCAAAATTAGCCTACAAATGTGTGCCCCTTCACTCCATCGAGAAAATCCTCTAGGCGAAGAGAAGAGACATTTTTCACTTTTTTCGTAAATATATTTGTGTTAGCTGGCTAAGTAAAATTCTCTTACGGTGAACATTTCGCGCGGGATAACTTCACGGCACCAAGTTTGCAACCCTACACATGTGTCATTGGTGTCATTGTTATCTTAGTGACTAGTAGGAATTGTTTGTAAAAACTATAGTTACTAACTTTATTTATTATGTTTTTTTTGTATTGTTAGTGTTTTGTTGTTGTTGTTAGCTATTGCAGTTGTAAATTAGTTATTATATTTTATTATCTCCTGTATATTTTGTGTGATTAATAAATCATTCCAAAAGAAAAGTTTGTAAGCAAAATAAACTGTTTAAATTTTTTTTTCTAAGCATGGTAATTCATCGAGAATGTCCATTTGATCCTAGCTCAGCTGAATTCGAACCCAAAAAGTTCAAATAGCAAGCAAATGGCACGAAATGGAAGAATTCATATTTTTAAGAATCTTGTATCGGAAATTAAAACCTTTGCAGTTGTAGTCGTCGTCCTTTTTTTCGCGCTTCGCACTTTTTCGCTCTTTGCACTCGGTTTTCACACTCCTGGACAAACCCAAACTATTTCTTGGCGACATTTCTCAACTGCACTTTTTTTTTGGAGCGTTCACTGCAAAGAATACCGGTAACTTGCGATGAAACATCCGAAAAAAAAAATAAACAAAAAAACAAACAAACTAGGGGACGAAGGTTAGTGGTTCGAGCGTTCCCGCTAAATTTGAGAAAGACTAATGCACTTGTTTGATTTTCTAGCCGGAGATACAGAGTAAACAAGTAGGGGATAGAAAATGACAATTGATGGAAACCGTTTTACCATAATATTCTAAAATTTATTAACTCTTTTTTCCTTCTTAAACAATAACACCATACTGGATCTCCATTAAAATATGAAGCAGCATTTTTATTAAACAAGTCACCTTCCAAGTTCTCGACGATTATCACCACTCGGACAATTCACCTGTCTTAAAGTTCTTCAGCCAACGTATTCCTGCCACACAACTGTTCCTTGTGACAAAAATATTATAACGGCAAAAAACGTCTTCTTTTCTAGTCCTTATTTCTAACATAATCATAACATTACAATTTCCTCAAATTTGATTGGAGCATTAACTGCTTTAATTTCCACTAATTATTGCGTAGGGTTATAATTAGACCGTGTAATCGGACAGCAGGCTGTAATCGCACACCTCTTTGGGCAGTTACATCAACCAATCATATCAAGTGCACTCAGCTAAATCCACCAATCACAGAATATATCACAATAACCATAGAAACGACCACTTATCCTATCAAACTGGGATTTTCCAAAATTGACGAATTCAGTGTAACATCAGACAGTGTCTCCGCAAGTAATATTTTCTCTAATTTTGGATAATTGGTATTAAAAGCTCTTTCACCAAAAAAGAATGCATTTGTTTTCTCAGAAATTGTAATGGTTATGATTAATTGGTATCAGGACTTCGAGTCGTCCGTAATCATACTCGTGATTAATAAATCGGACTCCCGCAATTTTGTTAACCACTCGTACATTGGACTCCACTCAGTCCTATTACCCTTATACATATACTTAAAGCTATCTAACTAGTCACTATGCATAAATTTGATTATGACTTACCAGACAATAAATAATCTTTTCGACTAAGGAATCTTTTACTTTGATAATAGTACCCTTGAAACGTTTTTTAATGAAGGAAACAACTCTTACAACGATATTTTGTCGAAAACTGAGGCTAAAACAAGGTGCAAATTCTTGAAAAAAAATCACTTTACAAAGGAATTTTTTTCAACACCTCTGTTTACCTTAACCTGTCTTTTAAAAATCTAAAAAAATTCTGCCGTCGGCATCATCTGCTGGTTTTCGGAGAGGTCCGCAAAGTTTTATTCTGTATTGTCAAGAGAGAATAATGAGACATTATACTCTCTTCGTTTGTCGTGATTACAATTCTGCATTGTTTGCTTTGAGGTAGTCGCGCGTGGACTTGACGTTTCAAACAATCGATTTAAATATGCGGGCGTCCCAAGAATTGGACTTGCGTCAAATTACAACCCTCTCTAAAAATAACTTCAAGTGAAATTCACTTATCCCGGTCGACACCAACAGATTACCTCACTGTCCCATGATTCTTTATTGACTTTCGTAACATCAAGGATGTTTTTAGACGGCTAGAAAATGTCGTTTCAGGTAGCCCTGGTCCCTCAAAAAGCGCGTGTGGCTAGAGAATTTAGGGGATGAGATTTGCTCCTCTGAAATCTTCTGTGTTTAACACATCCACTCATATGACAATGCACTGGGCCCAGTAGTTCGAAGGCCGACTAGCGCTTAACCCGGGGTTAAATTTAACCCGTGTTTGTTTTTCTTGGGTTCAAAAGCATTTTCTCGGATAATTTTCTCTGTTATTTTTAGAGCTTCCAATCATCAACTTGTAGACAAAACGAATTAAAACTGAAATGCTTTTTAAGCTTTCAAATCTGATTCAAATCTCGCACTAACCCTGGGTTATCTTAACCCAGTTTTGAACAACTCGACCCTAGATTTAAAGACCTTAAAATTGAATGGAAAAGAGAAAGAGGCTATTTGAATATTTCCTTGTTGGGTTCGTCTCATAAGTAGAGACCTTTAGATTCGAGAACAAGAACGACTACGAGTACGAAATTTGACCGAAAGGTTTTTTGACGGAAAGTTTCATTGTACGATTGATTCACCAAAAAGTTATCACTGTTATCTTTTTTGAATGAGGTTAAGCCCTCTCCCGATAGCAAAATGATAAAACCTCTAGCATTTGATAACTTGTTTCAGCCAGTACGACATTCACGCTAAAATTCGTGGTAGAATGACGACGGCTATCACGTTGGTTCACGCGCGCGCACTTCTTAGCATTGAGAAAATTTCGTACTCGTAGTCCTTCTCGTCGTAGAGCCTAAAGGTCTCTAATGTTAAGAGCAACTGTTTTCTTAGTCTTTACTTATTTATAAGCTAACCAGTTATGGTTCCCTTTTCTTTATTTCTATCACCGTCCCTTGGTCTCGAACTTTTCAAGTAGAGCATTCATTCGCGCTTCTACTCTTGCGCAGTTGGCTTCAATGGCAGCTACGTTTGCTGTGAAGCTGGCTTCCAGCTAAAAAAAAAAAAACAAGGAAAAAATGTTTTAACAGGGCATTAAAAAAGACAGTTCACAAAAAAAAGGCAAGCAGCTATAATATGAGAAATAACAGCAGGATAAACGCCTTTTTGTGACAGTAGCCTGTAAACAGGCCTTCCTTTTGGGGGTCAGATGAGCGCAATGGGTATAATAATGTTCAGTTTTATTCCAGCCATCTCGTTGGTGACAATGCCAGGCTATACCTACACACTGGGTGGCGAGCGAGGCAAGCCAAGCCGCCAGAGAACACGCGTGCCGCTCGCGCGTGACTTCTCGCAAGAGGAAAGTTTGCTCGCAGTCTAACTTACACATTAAAAGTGCAGAAGAGGGAACTGCGCTCTCCCATGTGGATTGAGGGTGTTGTGTCTCATTTTTCTCGTCCTGTGTGTTGTATGGTATTTCACTATCCCTTACAATAATACACAATGCGTTAATGGATTTAACAATATTAACCTCGTTTAGCAGCTTTGCTTGATCCTGCATCTGGGATTTCAAAGTGGACTGAGACGAGTCAAGTTGGAGTAATGACTGACCAAACTGGCCAGCTACAATGTAATAACAACAAAATAACGTTAAATTGTCCACCTTTTCAACAACTGGGGCCATGTGGATCGTTGACGTATTAGGGACTTTAAGCAAAGGTGTTCTTTGAGAGACAAACGTCAGCCGGAAGTGGGCAGATCATCTCTACAAGAGCAAGGACACTAAGCAGTACAAATTTGTTAGCGTCAAGGCATATTAAAACGGAAAACGCCTTACTAACGGTTGACGTGCGTCGTTCAAAAAAGTCTTGGCTTATTCTCCCTTTTGCTTAAAGGGGCTGCAGTATCACGATTGTCTGGTTCATTTTGTCAATATTGCCAATTACGCTTCCTTATGCGCTATGGAACTTAACCTTATCAAAAAAATTACTTGTAAATGAGAAAATCACAACTTCTTGTCCAACGAATATACTTCCCAAGCATTGTATCAAAGTTTACAAACAACAAAATTTAACTTTGAAAAACTGTTAGGCTAACAAGATTTAAGAAATCCACAATTGCACTCCGTTTTAATCTTCTTCAACTTTGTCCATCCGTGCCTACGTTTGTATTTGCTGTGCTACTAATACGTCCTGTTAATGTTTTGAGCGGTTATTTTTATGTTTCACCCAATTTGGTGGCTGTTCATATTATTAGAATTTTGATAAAATTCGTGACACAGTTCGTTTAAGCTTCCGACTATCGGGGCCGACAGCTCTGCAATGGACCACCAACGATCCCGTCGGGGGGGAGCAGTAGTCCTAGACTAGACGGTTTATGCAACAGAAACTTGGTCTCACGGGTGCACGATTTTAATAGCTGATGAGTGGTGATTTTCGGTAAAGAAATATAAAAAAAGGGTCAAGTGCTTTAAAAAAAAACACAAACGTTTCGGGTTTATGACTTTTTTTCAGTGTGAGAAAAACTGTTGTGTATGGTATTACGTATTACTGTACAACGGTTTTTCACACATTGAAGAAGGGTCATAAACCCGAAACGTTTGTGTTTTTTTTATGTTTCTTTTCCGAATATCACCTCATCAGCTATTGAAGTACAAGTATCACGCATCCCTGATGGTTTTTCCGTTTAACATTCATACATGACTTTAAGCCCGAGGGAAATTGAAAACAATGCTTATGGAAAGTTTGGGTGCAAACGGAGTTTGTCATGGAACAACGTGTGAGTTGCGAATGAACTCATGGTGCGCCCAGGTTAAGATTCAGAATCATTTACCGGATTTTAGCTAAAAAATCCGTTTTAGAATTCAAGAGTCCGGATAAGAATTTTCCCGATGAAAACTTGAGCAGCTTAAGTTAGTAAGTACCTTGTTCATGGAGAGCTTTCAAAGTCTGCAGTCTTGTTATCTAGAAGTTAAAGATGTGAAAGACATATTAAGTCGGGGCCCCTTCTTTACCCCAATTTTTAACTTCAAAAGTTAAAAATGTAATTAGGGTTTGGCCACATATCAAGAAATATCAGAAAGTTCTAGAGTAAGGAAAAAAATTAACTTCAAAAGTTAATGGACAAGTGCGACTCGACTTTCCCTTGCCCAAACTTAAATCTATCGTCCTTACAGATAAGGTCTTCTTAAAAAATGCTTCATTCGGTCACGTTTCGTTTGGAAATTATTAAATGTACTGGTAATGACCAACGGTTAAGGAGTGCGGGCGACAACGATCGAAGGTCCAAACGCTTTCTTGCTCTAACGCGATTCTCTGCGTAAGTTTCACGTGACAGACGATCAAAACACGCGTGGTCAGATTACGAGTCGAAAGTCGACACGCGCGAGATCAAATTGCGTTTTGTGCATCCATTCATTCTTAGTGGAAGTCCAAACGAATGCTGGCTACATACATGTGACGCATGCGTAATAACAACCTCGACATTAGGAGTGCGGGCTCCTCTTGTCGCCCGCAATAAATCACTGCAATACTCAAAGTAAATTATATCAAGCTATTACGTTGTCTGAGTGATATGTATTACACTGCAAAAAACTTGACTGTGAACTCATTTTCCGTATTTATAGAAGGCATGGGGGAATGACATAAGACTCACTACCAATGTATTATACAAGCATATAAGGGTGAGTCTGGGGGCGCAACTGGCCGGCCGAACCACCGCCGGACCAGTCATTTTGACAATGAAATCGGCTTTTTCCAGGGGTTTTTGCTGAAAAACCATCTCCTTCCTGCACTCATTTTAGGATTTAACTTATCTGGCTGGAGAGTTTTGATTTAGAGTGAAATTCTCATTAAGGTCAGTTCTGGCAAATAGAAAGCGCCCGTAGCTAACTCGCCCCTAGTCTAAAAGACAAGTGTGGTTGACTACACTCTATCATTTTTCTAGCAGTTAAGTTAGTTGTGATGTATTAAGCCGTGCTAGATTGGAATACTGTAAGTATAACTTACCAGATCGGGTACTACATCAACAAAGGAGTCCCACTTATTCAAAAGATCATATAATTCTGAAACCTAAAAAACATTTAAAAACTGTAAGCCTTTTATTTCCAGGATAAATTTAAAATCCCGCAAATCCTGTTGAAAAATATTTCACGAGTGAGCGCCACAGTTTCTATCTCCGCGCGGCCATGTAATAGCCTCTATTTACTGTTTTAAAAAGCTGAATCCGCTAGCGGGTACAGGGCATGTAAAATTTGTTACTAAAGAAAGACAATCTTGCAACTGAACCTTCCACAAAATTTTTCTTAAATCACAGTCTTGAAGTCAATTAACTTTTCGAACAAGGCATAGTAGGACATTTAAAATTTGATACAAGGTACAAACAATCTTAAAACGGCACCTTGTTTTCTTTAGCACTGTTTTCAGCTTCTCCCTTCTTCTCAGATAAAGCACTAATGTGATGTAAAATACCCTATAAATAGACAAAACAATTAAAAATAGGAGAAGAAGACAATGAATGACTGTGACATGAAAAACGTAAACGTACAAGATTTATAAACCAGGGAGAGCCAATACGAAGCAGAGTTTCTTGTTACTCCAAACTCAAAATATTAAGCATAGAATATTAGAGAGACTAAGATTCACGTTTACGCCAAACGGTAATTGTCGTTTACTGTTTATTACTTCACAAGCCAGTTTTATCCATACGAATTGTTCTGGAAAGTTTTTATCTGCTTATTTTCCATTCTGAGAAATTCTCAACTTGAATCTGTCTTTTCACTACCTATTAACCTACCTGCAAGCGAGCATCAACGTGTTCAATATGATTGGCATCAAGTAACGCAACCTTTGCTTCAAGAGCTGATGCTGCAGCCTAATGTTCAAAAAAATGAACACAGGATTTATAGAAACCATTAATAATTACAAACATTTTTATATACGTTGCAATTGCTAACTTTTTTGCACCCCAAATTGTACAAGCATTAATGATGCAAAAGCAGTGTTTGCTTAATATCAGATGAAAAAGCAGAGGTTCCTTAAGGCCTTGTCCTGCATCTTTGGAACAGAAAATGGTGTGAGCTGATACAAGCTGCACAGAGTGTTTCACTGAGTTGGATACAAAAAACCTAACCAAGATACAAGATATTTCAGTTAAACCCTTTCTCTTCTAATAGCAGCCAAAGAAAAAATTGATTAAATTTGTTTTTCGGAAATCCTACTTTTTTAATAGCATAGTGCAACAGATCTGTTTCTAGGAGTGAAAAGGTTGCTTTTTTCATTCAAAATAATTCTCTGTTTCTGATTGGCTCAGATCCCCGGTCTAATCCTTTATAACCAGCAAGCATTGACCAAATTGGAAGACATTTGCAGTATCTGGTAAAATGAAGCGTTTCTGGATACCGCCAGAAAAGCCACAGCAACCAAGAAGCTCTTAGACACGGCTGTGTTAGCTCAGCTGTTTTGGTAGAACTGGAGAAATATATGGCGGAGAATTTCGCACATTTTGAGAAGAAGAAATTGCTAAACTTTTGCTTAAAAACGTACCAAGAACAATAAAACACAACTCGAAGGATAAAAACTGCTATTTGAAGAGTACCTGTTAGACTAAACAACCCATGAACTTAACGTCGATTGGGAAAAGAATTTTTTACAGTAAAAATCATTTTAAATTAACAATAAAACATTGGAGTCGGCTTTCATATTATAATCTGAAGATTTATAGGGATCTTGGAGGGTATTATCCACCTTGGCCTCCATGATCTGCATAAGTCTTTCAGATCATAATGAGCCTCATTCAATAATTGTTAATTATTTGATATAAGGCATAAGGTAATACAAACCAACAAATTTTTCTCCTTTATTTCAAGGTCAGTAGTTATTGCAGACTGTAAATTAAGACAAAAATGCCTCATGGTTAAGAGTGAAATCTAAATTTTTAGTGGAAAAAAACCTTGTACCAGAATAACCCCTACACAAATTATATAGAGGATATTACACGGTGGCGCGAAGATATGAATTTTATTTTCGAGTGGCAAAACAATATTAAATTTTCAGTGGAGAAAAACCTAAAATTCATATCTTCACCAGAATATAGACAATATGACATCGAAAAATAATAGAGGGAAATTACAAATTACGTATATAAACTCACGTGTGAGATTATGGAAAATAAACCACTTGACCAGTAAAACACTCGTGTCTATATAACAAATAAGATTACAGAAGACTGGTTAGTAGCAATTCAAGGTGAGATTCCCATGAAACAAGTATTTTTGTGAGTTTTGCTTTTAACCATCTTTTTTACACTTTTCAAGGGCTGGAGATAAAACTAGTTATCTGTAATAACACCAAAGACAATTTCTCATGGGAGCATGAGAAAATAAATGTCATATTTCACAAGAAATGTGAAAACACAGATAAAATTCTGAAAATTTCACGTGTAAGATGATCAATTTTCTACGGCTCCCATAAAAAAATTTTCTTTGGTGTTATTACAGATAACTAATTACATCTATAGCCATTGAAAAATGTGAAAAAGAAGGCAATATGCCTAAAATTATTCTGGAACAAGGTTTTTGTCCACTGAAAATTAAAACTAGTCAACTTCCTGATGGATTCCATCCTAATAACATTTACTCTACTTGCAGCTTTTGAATGCATACAATATACAGTGGAACCCAGTTAATACAGATACCAAGGAGACATGCCATAGAGTCTGTGTTATCCTGGTGTCCATATTAAGTGGGCTCTTAGAAAAAACATCAGGGACGCATGTTTTATCAATATAAAGACTAAAGCAGACATTTTTCTGAGAAAACGTTACTTAATTTCTTATCTGTAACTTAAACTGAAGTTCATCCTACAGAAACCTCAACATCACTGATTTATCATAGTTTCAGACTAATAAATAAAACAATGGTGTCGATGGCTTTACTTTGTACTGACGCTTTAAGTTGGTGACTAAGCCATGCAGTTGGACTGAACATTAGACAGAACGTTTGAAAGGTCATTTGTTGTTTCTGTTAGGTTTTCAGTGGTAAGATATTAAGTCATGGACAGTGCACAGATAACCAGTGGCCGTATAGTGGAAATGACGATATAATAGTATGAGAGAATGTGACTTGGAACATAGGGAAGTGTGTGTTTTCCATATTAACTAGTGTCTGTATTAACTGGGTTAATGTTGGAGAAAATGTATGAGCTTTTTGTCGGGACAAACAAAACTGTCGGTTATATATGGGTGTCCATAGATCGTGGTTCCACTGTAAGATTATTAATCCTGAATCAAATGCAGGTCCTACTCCCAGTTGGCAGAGTGCTACACCAGTATAACAGAGATCAAGGGTTCAACTCGCCTACAAGCCTGGCATCTATAACTAAGACGATCTTCTTTCATTTAGTTCTTCAAACTGCAGTTACTAATTCACCATTCTCATATAGACCATAATGAACCTTGTTAACCCCCCCAAAATTTTGCCTAACCATTGTCTTCAATTTCTCTTGGGACGACTGTAATACCCAGGAAAAATTGGAAACAATGGCTATGCAAAATGTTGAGGAGTAAATGAGGTGCATTATGGTCTAGGTGAAAATGGTAAATGTGTGATTTTCATATATTCATTATTTCAGTATCCTTATAATCAAAACCTTAAAAGAAAAAAAGAAAGTTGGCAAGTGAGCAAAGGGTTGAGAAAGTGCTCAAGCTTATACATAGTTGAAAAAAGGTTGTTGTAATAAGAGGATGGGTTTGCTACAGAGTTGTAAACAGACCTTATGTACAGGAAGGCAAGACAACAACAAAAAAATATGCCTTTTACCAGCTGACTTGGGTCATTGCCAAGAACCGTCTCAAGTTTCTGTACTCTCTGTTCCATTTCACTGATCTAAAAAAAAACAATTTTCTTAGTCACCAAGAGCAGAACCTTGCAAATACGTCTAGCATGCAATTGTGTCTATAATAGATTTTGTAAGGTAAAATGCGTACAATCGACTCCCCATAACTCAAAACTTCTAGGGAAATCAAAAAAAGTTTGAATTATCAGGAGTTCGAAGCAAATGACTGGAATAAGCAAATAAGCAAAATAAATGGATGGGGAGGGAATGCAACTATCATACACACGTCACTTCAAGGGCAGCAAGAGATGTAGATTGATTAAGCAACAAACCTTGATTAATATACAACAAAAAAACTTGACAAAATATACAAGGATGGGCACTGAATTTGAACTGCAGTGACAAAAAAGTAAAGACAAATATTGACAGGGATGTTTTGATATAGATTCAATGTTTCGGACTTCAGTACACTGTTTTTTTTCCTCAATTATACAGAAATTAGCTAAAGGGAAACAAAAATTACTTCAAGTTGGCGGGAGGTTCGACTTATTGAGGGTTGGAGTTAGCATGAGGTTCAAGTTATCAAGGGTTTGAATTAGCATGAGGTTTGAGTTAGTGAGGCTTCGAGTTATCGGGAGTCAACTGTAAATGTAAATGTAACAACAAATAATATTATCTTAGGTAATGTAGCATGATATGGATGATCCCGGGGCACCGTGTCAAGGATTAATACATTTCCTTAAAAAGTTAGTTAAGAGAATTTCCCTTTGGAGACCTTTTTTAAAATTCTCCTAACTGTTTCTCTTGATGATATATTGATGTTGTTGGGAGAAAATCATTGATCATTGTTGGTCACTCTGGGTACTTAAAGAGTAAAGAATTATTGCCGCCACTTTATTTACTTCTTCACACACCTTTCCAAAACTTCAAAAAACTTTTTCTTCATCAATACTTGTCCCAGAGTTAGTGGACTAGTATTGCTAAATTATAAAAACTGCACAAAGGGTTTCTCAGTTTCTTTTCTCTCTCAGACAATTGCAAATCTGTGCTCCATTTAAAACATTCAAATTTTAACTTGGACAATTTTAGTTTTAGTGTTTGACAAAGAAGTTGTAATTTTATGTATTACATTTTTTTGGTGGTAAATTTTAAAAATAAGCTTTGGTAGTATCTTAAATTTTGGGATAAAATTTCCATGTTATTTTAGAAACTGGCATAGATAATAAGCCGACACCAAGCCATGAATTTCTTACCATCTTCCCAAATTTGGGATAAAATAATTCATTTTTGAACTGTCTATGTTCCATGTTAAGATATGAACTCAACAAATTGACCTTTTGTGGCTTCATGCTTGGTATAGCAATGCACTGCATGGATAATAGGTTCGAATCCCAAAGCCCTGATTTTTTTCAGGCTTCTTCTTTCCAATTGCTTAAATTGGAAAATTTACTGCGATGATCATTCTTCACTTTCATCTATACATTATTCTTGTACTGGACATTAAACACAAGATATAACAGGTTCTGGCTAACTGACTTAAAGAGACTAGAAATTTAGAGAATCAAAGAATGCATCTTAACAGGTTGTATACTCCAAACAGCAAGCATATGACAGTATTCTGACAGATGTAAAAAGAGCAAAGACACAGTGAAATAATCAGGTGTTAAATTAGAATAAAGTCATACCTTTGAAAGTTGATTGAACTTAGCATGTTCTGGTTTTCATCACTCTAGTAAAACAGCTCACTAATGAATATTACCTTAGGACCAGTTCAAACATCCAACTTTTCATCACTCTAGCAAAACCGAACACCAGAAATATTTATGGAATTTATTGTTGTTAAAATTAAAGTCTTAGATAACTAAACCGCAAACAGCAACAGTAATTAGTTTGTGGTTTTGAGGTTTGCTCACATGTCCTTTTTTTTTGTGAGAACAAGTTCAAATTTTTCAACTTTTCAGTTTGACAGTACCAGACTTTTGGGTCAATGTTTTCATTGATGGCTGATTCAGACATTGAACTTAATTAGTGATACCATTGATTCAGTTGGAACTTAGTTGAATCACTATGTACAATGGTCTACAATGTTTGGAAAAAGCTAATAATTAGTCTGACTCAATCAACCGAAAATAAGCCCCTCCATGTATAAGCCCCTCAAATTTTCAAAATGTACAATGGTCTCCGAATGCTTGGAAAAAAAAAACAAAGTAAAATAAAATTATTTAAAAAGAATTTAGCCCAACCGATTTTATAATGACACTTGAAAAGTTCCATGAACTGATTGATCATTTAAAAAGAAAGTGGCACTTGAAAGTTCCAAAACTTATTATAGACTTATTTTTTATTTTTCTGCTCAACTTGGAATTTAAAAATGTTATATTTTGAGAAGCAGAGGAGACAGCCAACTACAACCTCAACCAATATTTGGTGTTGACGTGTCAACTCAATTGTGGGCCACCAGCATGAGTGCTCTAATCACCCCAACATCCCTGCACCCCTGTGTGACAATCTAACAAAGCTATTTAAAGGAGGATAATGCCTTTTTATTTTTTATTGACCTTATTACGTTATAGTGTAAAAACAGTGTGACACTCTTGGCATTAACAGAGAGGTAACATTGGTATAAAAATGATTGTCGGTAAAACACTGTACCTTTGCTTGCTTGCTACCTAATGCTTCTGCAGATTTAAAAGCTTCAAGTTGAGTCTGCAGACGTCTGGAAAAGAAGAAACAAAGATCAAAAGACACTAGTATTTCATTCACTGCCAGAGCTTATTTTATAATAAGTTGTTTTCTAGACCTTAACATTGAGACTGGGTACAAAACCTTGTGATGTGATCATTCACAAAGAAGAAATTTAGGGAAATTTTTATTTTTTGTAGGATAAAAGTTCACAAGTTTTGGACTTTTTTGTGAACTTGCAATTATGGGAATCTTGGGACTTTTAAGACTGCTTTTGTTCTACTAAGGAAGTGTCATATAATTATGTAATCTGGCCATATTGGCTAGCAACCAGGCCTGCTTTGGCAAGGCACGTTGAAAATAAACATGGCTCCCTGAATAACACATGTTTGCTTTAGGTTACAGGGAGTTTTACTCTGCATAACCTATAACAATGCCAAAACATACATGTACAGAATATCACATATTATCAGAATTTATTTTGAATAGAATTTTCACAATTTGTTTCTTTATTCTTGTCTTTTTGGAGTGTTGGATTTAATTCTAATTAATTTCATACTATTTTCTGTTACTCTATAAAACTGAAACAAAGAACTTACAGTTTAGGTCTACTCCCCTTCACCATTATTTGGACAGAGCTTTATGTGAATTTCTTTATTCATTTTAATGACTATACTTGACAACTATTTTTAGACTAACTCTGACAATCCTGCTTGAGGCGTTGATGCCACTGTCAAAGCCTGTAATAAACAAAACCAGTTAGAGCTAAGAACCAACAGGGAGAATGACTGGCTTGGGAATGCTATACAGTAGAACCCCATTAACTCAAGCTCTGAAGGGAAAAGAAAAACAGTTTGAGTTAGCAGGAGTTCATGTTATCAGGGTTGATTGAACGTCAAGTTTGCCATCTTGACCCTTTAAGTCACAATAGTGACCAACATCAATTTTCTCCTAACAACATCCACACAGTGTCAAGAGATCAGGTTATGAGAATTAACAAAATGATCACCTAAGAGACAATGCTTTTGTCTTTTATCAAATTCTCTTAACTAATTCTTAATTCTTAAATGTATAGAGATCAGTTTGGAGAATTTGTATGTAGATATTGGGGCTCAAAGGGGTAATAATATTAGTAGTTACTGATTTTTCAGCACTTCAGTGTATAGTAAGTGCAAATTTAACTTGGTTTAACCCAAATTGTGACACAATTATGCTTTTTATGATAAAAAATGACCTGTAGTTGCACCAATCAAAATCAAATTGAAGTAGTGTTAGTATTAGTGGATTTACCAATTTATAAAACAAGAAGATCGAGCTAATGACATAGCATCTGAGTGGAGTTACAAGAACCAGAATTCAAGTTATCGGGCTAAATTTCAGTGAAATTTTGATCAAGGGGAAGTAACTTTAGTTCGAGTCAGCGAGAAATTCGAGTTATCCGAGTTCAAGTCAGCCAAGTAAAAATGACTGCCAAGTGGGGTGAAATCCAAGAGAAATGGGACTTAGTTTGAGTTAGAGGGGAGTTCAAGTTATCGGGGTTCTACTGTAGTTGTGGTTTGAATTTGCCATTGACTCCTGGTTCTTTGGCCGTTTTGAACTGTAGTTGAAAAAATTTCAGTGCCTCCAAGACACATGCACAGAGGGCTTGATGATATAACTGACTCAAAGTCATTCAAATTGCTTCTCTTATTTGATCACTAGGTGGCTAAATATGGTTGCTACTTCACGTATGACATCCCTATGTGCATATCTCATAGCCAAGTGTGTATGCCTACAATCTGACACTTATTACATTTTGGACTTTTGTTTGCTTGTTTGGTATTTTCTTTTCTTTTCCTTTCTTATTTGGGTTGGAGGGCGTGATTAACATCCTGACTCACTAACACTATTAATTTCACTCACCTCTTTCCCTAGCACATTGACCAGATGTAAGTCCTCAAGCTGAATATGTGACAAATGAAAAACACAGATATGTAAATAAAACACTTAGAACACAGAACAAGTTGGCTGTCATTAAGAGCTGGGGGCCGGGGATTTCCTCCCGCTACTATGAATGTGGTTCCCGGGTCGCGGCTACTTTCATTGGAAAATGGAAGAAAAAAAGAACCAAAAGAAATCCCTGGCTGTTTGATTTCCCATTCACTTGTGGTATTTACCCGGCAACTTAAAATCTTAGTGACAACCCTGAAAGAAGTTTCTCCTAAATTTGATAATACCATCATCATCAGTCTGAAGTATGGTACTTAGTAATACACACTTTTGAAGAAGATAACCTTTGACATAATTCTTCAAGGACCTTTAAAGGACTATTAACAATTATTAAATTCAGCTTCCAGTTTTTCAAAGATGTAGGTAATTCAAGGACAACTTGAGGAATTTCTTTGATGAAAGAATTTATTGTATTCAATGACATTCAAAGAACTTCAGCTGAAATTAAAGGAGTTTTCATGACTGTGTGAACCTTGGAAAAGAGCATTTGCATGTACCTGTTTTTGAAGTGTTTGGACCTGTAAAAAGAAAATATAATAAACGACAATGAATGAATGAATGAATCAATTAATGAATGAATGAAGTTTATTCTAACACAATAGAGAAATTTAGAGTCAAGTCTACAGCAAACAGCAAATGGCAAAAAAAAATGTGACTGACTAAATTTTCCTTTTACTTGCTGTTTACTGTTAATATTATATCTACACAAAAATAAGTAGTTTCATGCCAGGCTTATCAATAAAAATTATTTTGCATAGTTTTTATCTGTTTATTTCCTACTTTGAGAAATTGTCAACTTCAAGCCGACAATTGCCGTTTGCTGTAAAAGTGATTCCAAATCTCTCTAATGAAAGAGATCAGCATATTCTTTCTGTTCTTTTCTCTTTGCTTTTTACTTATTACCAGGTAATATCTATTTTGAAATAGAATTAATTTTGGTCACCCAGGACATTACATGTCATTAATAGAATTTTTGATTGTTGTTAATAAATATCAATACCAATCAGTCAGTGGACATCTGAAATCGATAAAAGTCCATCATAAAAAATTTTGATTATCAATATTATGGTAATAAATGTCTTGTCTTGTCTTGGTTGTTCATAAAACAAATCAGTTAGCAAATCATTAAGATCTCTTTGAAAAGTTCTGCACCATATTAAATTGGACGAATGACTTTTTTGAAAGTCTACTTGAGCTGATGCAGCATTTGTTTGAACAGTTTTTATATCCTTTTGTAATTAGTATTATCCATGTGCATTTGAAGAATTACGACGTCCAAATCCTTCTCCTTACGCAGCATTCACCTCAAGTTTGCATTGATCCACAACAGATATTCTCAGTTCAGGTCTCAAAAGTCTATTGAAATTGATTACCTGTCCTGAGATTACTGTGATTTTTTACTCTTATCGACAAATATAACAATCGACAATAATTATTGACAAAATTAATATAGAATACTATCGACTTATTGACTCGGTTTCTGCTGATCGATTTTTATTGACATCTAACATCCTGCTTAAAACAGAAATTAGACACAGGTTAAGAATTACTAAAAACATGCATAAAATCTTCAAATCTAAAAAAAAACTTTTCTAGTGATTTTGTTCTTTGTTGGAGTTAAAATGGGGTTGAAGTTTATTTTCTTAGAGTCAAATTCACACAAAATGGAGACAGCTCTCCAAGAGGTTTCTCTCTGTGAATTCTGTGAAAAGAAAAATCTTAAAGGAATGACAAGGTAGCTCACAGCAAAAAAAGGATGGATTGCATGAGTATGACATTAAATGTATTAAAAATAAAACCTGAATATCAGGCAGGGTAGGGCAGTTCACCTAACTAATTTGATCCTTAAAGTATGAATTTACCTCTTGTACGAGTACAACTGGAGAGAGTTTCTTCTCTTCCTTTTCATCTTGCATTGTGTCCTGTAAAACAACAATTTTAAAATGAAGCAGCAATGCTCAGAGATCACGTAAGCTTTAACAGAGGTTTTTGGAATTACAGAAAACCTAGTTGAGCAAATGATGTAAAACAATGATACTGTCATTTAACATACAGTCGAACCTCACGCAAGCGACCAACCAAAATGCGAAGAGTTAGAGGTCAATTATGGGAGGTGGTCTCTTATGAGAGGCAAACTGCAGGAGGTCTCTCACAAGAAGAAGTCCTGACACATCTTCCTTTTGAAGAGAATGTACTACATGCAATTTTAATCCATGTTGTTCTGCAAAATGACAGATCAGTCCAGTACATGTCTACTGACAGTAGGTAAGAAGTTGTCTGATATGGGAAAATTCTTGTCAGTTGTCATTGACTGTTGTAGTTAGCTCCATCAAAAACAAAAAAATGGAAACACTTTGGCTTACTTCTATTACTTTATTTCTTAGGATTTTAAAAAAACAAAAACAAAAACAAAAACAATTTTCATTTGTTGTGATTTTTTTTACTTTGTCAACTATAAGGAGGGATAGGGATGATACCTTGATATGTTCAAGTTCCTCTGCAAGCTCTCTTATCTCATGCTGAAGTCTGTTGAATTTATTCTGTGGTGTTTCCTTAGTTGTTCCATCTCCTAGCATTTCATACTCTGTTTTTGTCACATAACCTCTCATCTGCCTTGGGCCAGATTGCCCTGAGAAATCTAAAGAATAATGGCAAAAAAAGAATAACCAGAACAACAAAGAACTAAAACTTTGTTCATGATTACCATCCGTTGCATTCAGGGGCGTCAAAAGAATACTAAACATTATTTACATTGCAACTCTTATTTTCTTATATTTCCTTCATAATACTAGGATGCCTTGCACGGCACTAAACATTTCTTGGAGGAATCACATCTCAAATAAAGATCTGTACAGTCACCTCTTAAAGCTTTCTAGCATGATCAGGGAAAGAAGAAAGAGATTAGCTGGGCATTGTGTTAGACACAAAGAGGATGACACATAGAAGCTTATGTTGTGTTTAGGGACCACGTACATAACACACATGGGTTCGCCACTATCGGAGAACTCAGAATAGCAATGCTGGACCAAAGTGACTGGAGAAGGAGAATCTATGTAGTCCCAAGCTAGCCCTTGGCCAAACTAACTTTAAGTGAGATGTAAAAAGCTAAAAACATTACTGTTCCCTAGTTAGCACATTTGGAAATGGGCTATTCTCTAGCGCAGGAGGCCAGGGTTACTATTAAGATCATATTGGCTGTGTTTGAAATCATGACTCTTTCAGTTGGGTGATGACGTTAAGTTGTTGAATCCTTCTTTCCTTAGTTAATTTAAAGGGGATGTATAGAATCTTCCCTCCTGTTCCAAAAGACTACAGGAAGTTCCTTGGTAGTGTGGTCTATTCTGTTATTTAAAGTGCCCCTAACCCTTCAATTTGTTTTCTTTTGGTAGATTTCCATATCTTTCAAGAACTCATTTTCGAAAAAAATTTTCAGAAATATTGAATCCTTTTTTTTACGAGTGCTAAAAGTGAAGGCAGTCTTGTCAATATTTTCACCTATCGTTCGTATTAGTCCCCCACTCGGCCAAATGTGTCTAGATATGGAGCGTGACGTAAGAAGAGGACATCGTGCAAAAAGTCAAGGCATTCTGAATCGTCTGAAAGATACTCTTCGCCACTTGTGTCGGAAAACTCTTCGGAAGAGGACATATACTCATACCAATAATCTTTGATCGCACTATATATACTTTCAATGCTTCGTGCTTTGGAGTGGTGTCCTTTTCTTACCTCACAGCTAAAAAGTGTCAAGTATCAGACAAAATTTGTCCAGCAGGGCTTATAGTGCGCAAAAATTTAAAAATTTCGGTAACTTTTAGCGCTCGTAAAAAAAAAGGATTCAATATTTCTGAAAATTTTTTTCGAAATGAGTTCTTGAAAGATATGGAAATCTACCAAAAGAAAACAAATCGAAGGGTTAGGGGCACTTTAACAATTATTCCACAAGTGCGCATTGAATATGAGATGGTAGATAGCCAACGAGGCAAGTAGCGCCCAGTTGGCTATAATCATCTCATATCCAACAAGCACCAGTGGAATAATAATTGCTTTATTAAAAACGCCCACAAAATATCGAGAATTCTTCCCTACTTTATTTATAAAAACAACTGATTTTCAGCTTGTTTTTAATTTTGGGCAGGTGTACAGTTACCATATTTGGAGAGCATGGTATAATGGCTCATATACCATAATGGCAAAGCTCTAGAATTGCATTATCAAATGATTCAGTTATTCATGAAAGAAATTATACAAGATCAAAGAAATGGGTCAAAGAGGAATGGAACTCATGAAACATCTCCTCACCAGAATCAGTAGAATCCAAGTATTTTCCACTGAATTTCTCAAATGCTTTACTAGTGTCAATTTTTAACAAGTGAACATTTTCATCTCCATTTTGGACCTGAAATTGAAAATTCACAATATCAATAATAATAATAATAATAATGGTGATGATGATGATGATGATGATGATAATAATGAGACATTTATAAAACACTTTTTTCCAAGGGTCCAAAGGTGCTCATCCTGGAGTGAGTTTATTCCATCTCCAAATATTTCTCTGTACTTGCTTTCATGATAACAAAAAAAATGATATTTTGTTCCCATACAAGTCATTCTGGAATCAGTTCATTCTGGTTTTCTTTCCGAATAAAATTCTCGTTTTGATATGAAATTTCATGCAATATGAAAAAAACTACCTTCAAAATTGAAAATTGCAAATAGTGTTATCTGGGGTGAGTGGCATGAGTGAGAACGTCTTAAGCGAAGCTGTTTGAGTTTTTCACTTAAATGCAGTACAAACTTCACTCTGGAACAAATCTCATAATTTCCTGAAGGAAAGTCATTCCGGTATCATATAAACAACTCCTAAGGTCCCATGGCGAATGTAAGCTTGAAGAAGATCTGTACTGTAAGTAGGAGCCATACCATGGACAGAGATAAACCGCAAAAACTGCTATTTACCCATTCGCCCCTGAACTGCAATTAACTGGCTGTGCAAATCCACATCCCTTCTACCACTTGTGACGTCATCAGTTTTAAGGGTCAACGGCAACTTTGTTGGCTAACTTTTGCAGGACAGAGATCTTTCAAACCATACCAGACTGAGCACAGTTAAGTCAAGGAAGCCGGAGAAAAAGGCAAAACCCACTTAACATTCACCAGAAAATTTCCGTGAAAAGCTTGTTCCACTACCCTCCTAACTTTCCTTCCATCTAATCCTAAGATCCTAAACGATTTTCTTAAAACTTTTGCCACCAAAATGAAGCCTACTTAATGCCCAGCAAAAGAAAAAATTTCTGCTACTTTCCCTCATAACATCTGCTCTTAAATCCTACAACCTTCTGAAATTCCATCTTTGTATACCTATTCTGAAATTCTCGTTAATTATAATAGGGAGGTGTGTATATAAAATCGAATGGCCCAGAGGAGATCACTTATGTCAGATAGGATAATCTTATATTAAACAATAAATACCGATGATCCGTCAACTTCATCTGATTTCTCCACAATATCTGGAGTCTCAAACACATCGGGTTGATTATCCTGCAGTACAGACCAAATACATGTACTGTGTAAGCTTATGTTTAGTAAGAAACACATAAATTTCAACTCAATTTCGCTTCGCATCAAGGTACTCAAGGCAGTGGCATAAAATCAGAGGTTAAAGCCAAAATCTATCTGGGTTATTCAGACGCTTAACTATGAAATAATAAAGAAATGATCATGATAGAAAAACTTACAATGCCCGGCAAATCTGAATATTTACTCCTCAGCGCCATTTTTTCTCTTCGACTTAGCAGCCTCTCCTCGTTAGCATACCGCTGCCCCAGTATGACCGAGTAGTCTATGTAGAATCTATCCCGGATGTAAGGAGCAATTTCCATTGGCAAAGAGTCAGACACGTGATTTTTAGGAAGACCACCGCTCCCTCAAAGATTCTGAAGGTGTTGTTCGAGTAGGCTGTTGTAAATTTTATATCACTTCGCTTACATTTAATAACGGAAAGCCATGGATCAGAAAGACAAGGAACTTGAAAAAGCGAAAATTGCTGAACAAGCTGAGCGATACGATGACATGGTAGAGGCAATGAAGGAAGTCGTCGAACTCGCCAATGGCGACCTCAAAGACGAGGAGAGAAACTTACTGTCAGTCGCTTACAAGAACGTAGTTGGAGCGAGAAGGAGTGCGTGGCGAATTTTAAAGAGCGTGGAAGAGAAGGCAAGCGAAGACAAGAAAAAACAATTAGCAACTGATTACCGCTTGAAAATTGAAGGAGAACTGAACGATAAATGTGACGAAGTCTTGACATTAATCGAGGCACAACTGTTTCCAAGCGCTCAAAAGAGCCAATCGGAAAATGCCGCCGAAGCTAGAGTGTTCTACTTGAAAATGAAGGGCGATTACTATCGCTACAAAGTCGAGATTCTTAAATCTGACGGTGGTGATGCTTCATTTACGGCGTTGAAAGATATGTCACTGGCTGCGTATGAGGAAGCGGGTAAGGAGGGTCAAACTCTTAAACCAACACATCCAATTAGGCTCGGGTTGGCACTAAATTTTTCAGTTTTCTATTACGAGATCGCTATGGAAGCAAGTAAAGCTTGTCAAGTTGCGCAAACGGCATTCGATGATGCATTGGCTGATTTGGAACAAGTAGCAGATGATACCAGTCACAAGGATAGCACTTTGATAATGCAACTTCTTCGTGACAATTTAACTCTTTGGAGTCAGGAAAATATGGAGGAAAAGGATGGTGAAGGCGAATGAAACCTCTTGTACATTTGTTTTCTCTTAAAAGTAAAGTAAAAGAAACGATGTGCTTATAGCAAAATTAATTATTATAAGAGGCTGTTATTGCTACACAAAAGCAAAGATGATTCTGAAGGCTGACCTAAATGCATTTAGATATTATATTTTCCCAGTCTATCGGCTGGTACTTTTTAAAACAAGTTTAGTTTGACTGAAGCCAGAATAATAGTGACATCTTTTGTGTAGATTGCTCTGAGGAACATTTACATGTAAACTCTTCCCTCCCCCCCCCCCCCCAAGAACATCTATAAATTTATTTAAAAGAGTTGTTCACATCATAAAACCGCCAAAGAACTGATGATTTGTTTTAAGAGATTTTATGCAAAAGTAAGGATTGGAATTAAGAAATATTAGAAGTGGATAAAAAGCAATATTATTGGTTTTTGTGTGATGTGAAATGAGGATCTCAAAGGTTGTTTAATTAAATTATGTGATACTCTGCCTCAAACATCATCCAATAATGTTCATGATCAACCAATGTAAATGAGTTTTTGTTTATAACTCACTTCTCCTCAATTGTATGCAAGAGCAGATGCCTTTTTTGGCTCTTGTGTTTACCTGCTGGGGCAAACTCTTTTCTCCTCGCTACTTGCAGTTGGGATTAACCGAGAGTGCCAGGCCTCCCGCATGGCTTTTCTTGAAGGACAGTTCATGTGGTTGGAGTTTTCTAATATTGTTTCTGTGGTAACTAATAAATTTTACTTGAACATAAAGGACACCATCTTGTTCCCAGAAGGCTGGGCTGGTGCACAGATTAGTTTTATGACCTGAAAGTGGCCTGAGTTAGATACTAATGTTGTAAATAGCCCCAATTTCTTCTCCTTCTTTCATATGAACACCAGTCACTAGCTTGACTTTATCTAATCAAAGGTAGTAATGTTTAGTGCAGTTACAACTTGTTACTGATTATTGTCACTAATTCCTCTAGGCACTGCAGAGGCAATAAAACTCTAGTAGTAGTGATTATTACTTGGAATTAAGTGTTGAAGCTTCATTCTGGGAATGTACAGTAACATTGATAGTTGAATTTGAGAGGTTGTATTACAAAACCCATACTTTCCCTGTTCATTTCCAGTTGAAGGACAATCTGTGTGGCAGTTAATTCAGTGGTCAAAGAAAGTAGTTTCCAATTGTCTTGGACAGGTTAGACTGCATCACAGACGGAATTTACTCTTGGTTAGTAATGTCTGTGAAGCAACACCGAGATCCTTGTTCTGAGCTTCCAGTGGACTGTGTTCAGACACCCCCTCGCCTCGAAAAAAAGAAAAAAAATGGGGATTTGAGAGAGTTTCTCTCCCCGATTTTAATGAGGGAAGGGAGGGTCTGTACACAGGCTAGCTATCCCAAGGGTAATGTATGCTTGCTGTTACAGAATTAAGCAAATGCCCGGGGGGGGGGGGGTACTCCCTTCCAAGAGGCTAATAGGGATATAATTAGTTTTGATGAGTTCTAGTGGAATAAGTGTGATGTCGTCAGGAGAGTGATCATTTGTAAGAAAGTGTTCTGAGACTGTTGGGTTTGGAGATACTGGATGGGTTGTCAACTGGTCTGCGGTGTTCGTTGAAACGGTCTTTGAGTCATCGTTTGGTTTCACCTAGGTATTGTTTGGAGCAGTGGTTGCATTGCATCATGTAAATGACGTTTTTTGAGTTGCACCCGATGTGATGAGTGATAGGCTAGGTCTGGTTTCATCTGTAGAAATCTGTAGAGTGGAATCTGTATGAACTTTGTCCCGTCGGATTTGCATTTGAAAGTGAGACAGTTTTTTGCGCATGGGTATGAGCCCCAGGGCTGGTTGTGTTGTGTAGGATTTCGAAGTTTGGCACTAACTATAGCCTGCGTAGCAAGCGTTTCCGTTTGGTTTCAGAGCAAAGAAAGACCGGTTTTGGCCGCGCGAGAAATCTGAAACGAGAGCCAAAAAATGAAAGAGGGGAGAGAGGGAGGGGAAGGAAGGAAACCTTCTTTCCTGTCTTCCCCACCCCCTCCCCGCTCTTTTAGTTGCGCCATTTTTTGAGCAGTCTTTGACTCTCTTTGGGTTCGGAAATGAGGTGACCCATCCCTGCAACGGGAGTGAAATTTGCTAACCCTCCCCTTGAGCTTGGCCTAAAATATCTGTGACCCTCCCTCTCTTGTACAGGCAAATTATGTTTATGGATACATTTGTCTAGAACACATACACGCTGTTTTGCTAGTCTTCCACTATTACACCATTACCATCCAGTCAAATTCGTCATAAGACATTGTGTTCTCTTTCAAATTCTTGTTTTTTTTCTCTTCTCACTCATAATTTCTAAATGATTTAAATGTTCTAGGTATTTTTTTCACAAGACTTTCTTCAACAATGTATCTGTTGCAAAAGGTCTGAACACTTGCATTATCCTCGATGATACTGATTTCATTCTTTTTGTGGACTCGCTGTGAACGTGCTCCAGGGTGACAATCATCCACTTCTCTTCTTTTACCGTCGTCTGCATTTGTGATGGGTGTTTCTGCAACAGGCAGTATAGTGATACTTTGGCAGTTTGTTGATGTCTGGAACTGGACGAAGGGTGGGATCCACTGACTCATTTCACAATACTCGTGAAACATTTCTCCAGTAATCATACACGATTCTATGAAGTCATCTAAGTTTTTGAAAAAGATGTGTCCTGGGACTTTTCCTTTTCTCGCCTCCGACTTTGAAGCATTGTATTGCTGAATATATTCGGTATCGAAAAGGAACTGCTGTTCTTTACGATTGGTAACAAAGGCCTTCATACAGTCACCAGCTGGTCCAGGCTCGCCATCGATTCTTGACACAACATCCTGGGCAACTCTCCCTGCAGTAGGCTCCACTACTTCTGCCTCTTAGCTCTTTTATTTCTTCAACTGTGAGTGCTTTCACGCAGTTCTTCTTCACTAATGAGATCGGTTGGTTGAAAGTATTCCCAGTGTAATGCTCTGCCATCAACCAAAGCTTGACCTATAGCAGCCTGGAACGCTCCGCTTCGTTTTGTCCTGAATCGTGTGGTGCCCTGTGAATCCTGTTCATGTTAGTCCAGGTATTAAATCCCTGACATCTCAATGTCTTGAAGGCACCAACCCTTGGACCAGCATCCGTTGCTTGCAAAATGTGGTCACAGAGTGGTAACAACTTGAGGCTGTTGATGAATGCAATCGCAGCATCACCAAGATTAACAGCCTTTTCTTGATGTTCCCAGAGAGTATTTGCACTTAATGTTAAGCTGGTCAAGGCGATTTCGTCATTCACTTCCTGGATGTTGTTGATAACGCCTATGAGCTCAGTTCCACTGGCATCTTCATGGTGGGTCAGTGTTTCTTTCTCTTCATGGAACTGATACTGACTGCTTCAGACAGCTGCTTTTTCAACCACTTCAGCTTTTTCATTTCATATTCTTTAAACTGACAATAGGTGTCACGTGTTACACACATGACGTCACTTCTGAGTGTGTAGATTTAGACTTCACAGTTTAGATCCACAATGTTTCGTTCTTCTTGTTTTTTTTTCTTTTTTACCAAATAAAGAACTTCCTTTATCTTCTGTGGGTGAGCCTTTACATTATCACGGGCATATATTTGCATTAACCCCCCCCTCTTTAACGGCCCATTTTTCATGACCCCTCCTTTTTCTGAGTCTCAAAAAGTTGTGACCCTCCCTCTGTTTCCACCCCCTCTCCACTGCTAATTTCTGACAAGTCCACGGCTTGGTACCTAACACTTTTGGGAACGCGGGGATGGGAATCGCTCGACATATCACCAATACGGTAATGATTCTTGGAACAACAATCACGGTAAACATTCCCAAAATAGCCCACTCTTGGAACAACAATCAATCAGTTGAAATTGCCTCGTGCAGACGATAGGTCAATAAGAACCTGAATTTTTCAATTTAGTCCCTTAAAAATGGTACATTTAGGCCCAAAAAAATAGGTTCCATATGAATTTACAGTATAAATCATTTATTTGTACCATACAGCAATGCCTAATTGGTTCAGTGCAGGTACAGATATGTCCTTAAAAAACATCAAAGAAACTTGTTGATATTTCATAACAAGCTTAAAAATGAAAACAAAGTCATGATCTTAATTCAGCAGTTTCTACCTATACACTTTTACAGCAACCCCACTGATAAGAACCTAACTTAAATTTTAGCCTAAATAGGTTTGTATGTGGAGGGGGCTTAAAATGAAAATTTTAGCCTAACAGGTTCTTAAAACGCAGGTTCTTATACGCGGGCTATTACTGTGACTAAACTCTGATTTAACGGAGTTAACCAGAGTTTAATTTCGTCCGCGCGCAGGCTAGTTGAAATTTTGCTGAAGCCAAAGATTGACAGAGTACATAAAAATTATCTTACACCCGAAATTTGAGAGGAAACGCATTTAAGGGAAACATTTTATGGCACTTTGATTTTTCAACAAAGGTGTATGATTTGTATTGGCCGCCATGTTGGAGGGCATACTCTTGCCCTCCAACATGGTGGCCAAAACTACTTCCTGCGTGTATCCTGTTAAATATTTTCTAGTTACGCTCAAATGTGCTGTAAACGTAACTACATCATCTTTTCAACATTTTCCCTTAAGTTTAAGTGTCCAGAAAGAGGTATTGTAAAAATCAGATTTTGGTCACGTGACCAGCTACGAACTTACTCATTTTAAGAAAATGGTGCGGGTTTGAAAAACCAAATCGCTATTATTTTGTTTAAGATGTGACCCACTAATCGAATTTCGAAGGAAAAATCATATAACTTTCATTTTCATAAAACGATGTCACTTGACATCTTAGTGCAACTATTACCGTTCCATGTTGGAATGTGTCGCGCCCTGGTTGAATAATTTCCCGGTTCATGAATACCCCGGATGTTTCTCATAGATATGATTGGTAGATTGCTCACGTGTACTCCACTCTGGAGTTCGAGAAGGCAGCTCCTGTCTGTGGCGTCCATATTAAATTCAAAGTTGTAGGTAGTATTCAAGGCGTCTTTATCGCGAAGATGAAAACAAGAGAAGAACTTGTACTCGAAGCGAAATTAGCTGAACAAGCTGAGCGTTATGATGACATGGTAAAATCGATGAAATCTGTCGTAGAAAATGCAGAAGGGGACCTTAGTGATGAAGAGAGGAATTTGCTGTCCGTTGCTTACAAGAACGTGGTTGGAGCGAGAAGATCTGCTTGGCGAATTGTGCACAGTCTCGAAGAAAAGACAGAAGACTCGTCCAAAAAGGACTTGACAAAAAGTTACCGTAAAAAAGTCGAAGAAGAACTCAACGAACAGTGCAAAGAAGTCTTGGAGTTGATCGATAATCATCTCATGAGCAAGATGGCAGATAGTGGCGACGCAAAGCAACGTGAAGCCAAAGTGTTCTACTTAAAAATGAAAGGCGATTACTATCGCTACTTAGTGGAGATAGAAATTGACGGAAGCGAGGCACGAAAAGAAAACGCTGACAAATCAAGTGCAGCATATGAAGAGGCAGTAGAAGAAGCGAAACAGTTGAGCACAACTCATCCAATTCGTTTAGGTTTGGCGCTTAATTACTCGGTTTTCTACTACGAGATCATGAATAATGCGAAAAAGGCCTGCGAAACTGCGAAAAAGGCTTTTGATGACGCCATTGCTGAATTAGATGGAATAAAGGAAGAATCCTACAAGGATAGCACATTGATCATGCAACTTCTTCGTGACAATCTAACGCTTTGGACTAGCGAAACAGATCAAGATGAAGATGCAACTGAAGATTGAGCCTTTCACTGAAGTTAGCCCAATTGCCCAAGTTTCTGTGCCTTCTAGTGACTCTAAATAGTCTTCGTTTGAAAATACGGACCATAAGATGTGAACTCTTATAATCCGCATTCAAGGTAGCTTTTGGCTGGTCGTTATACATTGTAGGATTCTCATAGTACATGACTAACTTTGTACATTTACATAGTTCTTTGATGATGTGTTTACATTGGAATCTGTCGAACTTCTCTAAAAGAAGTTGAAATATGCGGTGATGGAAATAGAATTACTAGTGTTCCTTTCTTATATTTAAATTGAAAGTAATTGGATAGGAAAAGAAACGTGTATAATTTGTATTGCTCGAATGTAAAGTGTTCAACGATTTCCTAGTGTACAAGATCTCTAATTCTTGCTGCGTTTGAAATTAAAGTTGTTTACACCCACAAAACTCAGAGAGGTTATCATTATTTTTTTTTCAGTTTTGTTATTCAAACGACTACGACAAGGCGTAAGAGAAACCGCCAACCTCAGTTTCCGCGTACACGTGTAATCAAATGTTTCGCAATTGGAAAGGATTGCGAAATATGTGTGATTTTGCCGCGCTTCAAAATGACTGACATTATCTTGGTCAAATGTCTATATATTTTTAAGGGGAATTGTAGTTGAGTTTCTTAAGATCGACTCCCAATTTCGCCCTTCGTGTTTCTTGTTAGCCAGGTGTCGATAGTGAATAAATTATTCTGAAAAAGGGCAATTACAATTTCCTTCTTGTCATTAAAATATCGTGCTGGATTTGGACAATTGAACAATCGAATGGAAACAATACAAGAGATGACCTGGAGATTGCAGATATAAAGAATACAACTGATTGAAAGAACTATAAATCTGGCTTTGTGCTACGTGTGATGTTGTAAGCATCTGTAATCCTGTTGTTTACATTACAGACAAGATTTAATTGCTATGCTAAAGGTCAGAAATCGAAGTATAAATTTGTTACCTTGCCTCTTCCAAATGTGACTTTTATTCAAAATTTGGTCCGAAAGTGATCCCTTAGTGGGAACCCATCGTAAAAGAATATGTTGGGTATAGGGGAAGGGGTACTCCAATAATTTGGATAGGTGTGTGCTGCCCAGGGCCAAGTTGTTCAAAGCTGGGTTAGGATAACCCAGGGTTAGTGCAAGATTTGAATTCAGATTTGAAAGCTTAAAAAGCATTTCAGTTTTAATTCTTTTTGTCTACAAGTTGACCATTGGAAGCTTTAGAAATAACAGAGGAAATTAACTGATGAAATGCTCTTGAACAAAAGAAAAAGACATCCAGGTTAAATTTAGCCCCAGGCTAAGTGCTAATCGGCCTTCGAACAACTGGGCCCAGGGTCCTAAATATGAGACAAACAAAAATTGATGCCCTTTTCAAGGCCCAACCTGAAAAATGGCTCCTGATTCAAAAGCTAAGAATTTAAGGGCAAGAACTCAAATTCTATCTTTTCACTCTAAGGGATCGCTCAGTTTTAACAGATGATTTGTTTCTAGTGTAGCTGAGCATTTTATGCACTTGAATTTTAGCTGATACAATGTAGGTCACCAATCTGAGGATCAAAGGGCAAACAGTCAATACCAACAAGGGCAAAAACTATACCCTATTTAAGGATCAAGACCCTGAAAATGACACTGAAATGGCAGAATACCCCACAGTGTAATCAAAAATAGAAGGGCAATGCCCCACTCCCAGTATCTTTTCCAATAAACTTACTGTGCCGCCGCAGTTCTTAGTCATTGCACAGTAGAGTAGTGCTACTTTCATTATTTTTAATGTACGATTTTTGTTCCTGTACATCGGCCTCTCCATCTTTCAATCATTACATTATTGTTTGTTTGTAGAGCCAGAACTAATGTTAACAAAGAATCAACAACAACACCACTGCATGATTCTAGATCCAAAATCCTTGATCCACACAAGATTGATTCCATAAGCAAAAAATATGTTGCCTCAAACTGATCGCTCCCAATCTCACTTTAAGAGCTCTGGCTTGACAAGCAGTGATGAAATGCAGAACATGCACAATGCCAGTGAAAACCACTAATATAAGTTTTTCTAGTCAGTGACAAACAAGCAAAATATATCTGATAGTCTTTTCCTTTTACTAAATTCCACCATGTTAAGCTATGTTTGGATTTCAAGTCAGAAACCTTGCATGTGTGAAAAGCAATGGAATGGCCCTAGGGTTTGCAAATGCCTGACCTGGCGGGTTTTTACAAAATTCACTAACGCCCCATTCCTGGGACTGACAAGGTGCACAAATGGCCGGCAGTCTGTGTGTGTGTGGGGGGAAGGGTGCACAAGTACAGCTGGAATTGACTGATGCACTATGTGGAATCGTGCAAATTATGGAGTCTACCCTCTCTTGGAGTCTATTACCTCTCTTGCATCCATGATGTGAAGTATAACAACTCCCTCACTAAAATGAAGGAGTGATGAAACACGGTCCTTAGTGACTCCCGATCTAATGTCAAATTCTTCCTTTTATTTACAAGTATACACAAAACAAATTGCGAGGAGAATCTAGCCATTTATCAAAATCACTTGGGGAAAGTCTACGTAGAAGCATTGATGTTAAGAACGTGGACCATTAAAGAGGCTGCATTGTCCTGGAAGGATAATTCATTTTGTTTATAATGCAAATTACACATCTTTGTTCACTATGGAACTTGAGAAATTTCTTATGAATGACAAAAGCATGGCTTCCTGCCTCCCAAAGTTACAAACAACAAAAACAAACTTTGAAAACTTAAGGCTGAAAAACCAGTTGCAATCTGTTTCAATCTTTTTTCAGTTAAATGCCCCCTTTTGTGCTAGTTGTGTTATTTATGTTACAGGTCAAAATCATATTCAGGTCTGAGTTTTCTAACCTAAGTTGATTCTCGATTTCCTTTCTCTCCCAGCACTAATAATTCATCAATAATAAGGTCTAGGAGACAAAGGAAAGCGAGAACCAAGTGAACCTAGGTTACAAAATTTTAACCTGAATTTAATTTTGAACTGTAACATTTTTTTAACCGACTCAATGTGAACAAATTTAGCTACAAATTTTGTGACTGCGCCTTTAAGCTGAATATTCTAAACAATATTATTCAATTTCTCTGTGATATCAAGAATTGAGGAACGTGATGTTTCCTGAGGACACAGGCCTAGATCACTTGTAAACAATATAGTACAGTTGAAACTCTCCTTGCGACCACTCTCATGAGTGACCAGCTCTAGTTACAGCCACCTTTGTTAAACTCCGTTTGAACTGTGACTTAAACTTTGTAATGAAAAGCTCTTGTAAGCTGTCGCTCCTGTAAGCGACCCTGATAAACCTTTTTTTTGCCATACGTATCAAATTTCATGACCATTCTTGACTTTTTCATCAGCCGCTGAAAAAACTGGCCTTGTCAAGAGGTTATTTTGGTAGTTGGGGGCACGCTTTAGTGGCTGTTGCTGTTATAGTTAGTGGCTGTTGCTGTTATATTTTGTCTGCCGAGACAAAATAAAATGGCCATTGCAGAGAGGTGACGGTTAGTGGAGGTTCAACTGTAACTTCTTTTGTTTTTTTCCTTATGAATTATTAATGAGCTTTTTAAGCTCTTGTAAGCGACCACCCTCAGTTGTTTTACCATGCGGTTGCTTACGACAAATCATTGTTGTAAGCGACCAGCTCTAGTTATGAGCACTTTTTTGCATTTCTGAGGTGGTCGCTTATGAGAGCTTCGACTGTAAAATATCCAGAACATTGGATAGGTGATTTTACCGAAGAACTTGAAATAAAGCTGAAAATTAAAAAAATTGCAGACGTTTAAAATGTAACTGTGATTAAACAGTTTTCTGTTTGTTCACTTGAACCCCTAGTTTGCCTGTGTTTTAGGAAAATACTTTTGAATTCCAGAACACTTTTTTGGCTTAGGTGTAACTTTATTAGTATTTAAGACCACTCCATGGCCAGTAGTTTGTTGTTTCCAGTGTTGCTGCAACTCCCTCTGCACTTCACTTGGAAGCTCAGCAAAAACTGAGGGATCTATTCCCTTGGGACAGTCCACACCCGCAGGGGCGCCATTATCCTGGGATTTCTGTGAACTTACCAGTGTGTTTGAACAGGAAGTTAGTTTATTATCCTCTCTATCGAAGGAATCACTTTGGCTTGAGTTGTCTTCATCTTCAAGAGATTCAGAAGACTTTGCCTTTGCTCTATTTCTAATAAATGCTGTCAGATTATAATTTTTAAAATCATTTGTTGGGTTGCTGTTAGCAGAGGATGTTGAACCTTGGTGTTGGGAGGCTGACTTCTGAAAGAATCTAGAAATGTCCTGGGACTGCACATTTGAAGATTTTTGGAAGTTTGTCAGTGTTATTCCCAGCAAAGTCAAGTGAAATGGTTTTTTTACATCAATGACCTTACTGAACAAATGCAGGCAGGTAGACAGGAGTTCTTCTTTTGCCTTTTCCTTGTCAGCAAAAGAAAAAGGATGTGGAAGTCTACACTGACGACTCTCTCTCTTATGAGAGTTGTCTGTTTGTCTTCGCACAGTGACTTTTACAGTGTCAGGCACATTACCATCACTTGAAATTCTTGGAAGCAATCCTTCAATGAGGTTACTAATTCGCTTCCTTGCATCTTCAACAGAAGAACATTTCTTGAAAGAATCCTCATCAGTAATTGACTTGAACTCACCAGAAGGTATGACGTTGCTGTCATCAATACCATGGCATAGCTTAGTCATCAACATAGCTTGGGGCTTCCCAAATTTCTGCTCCAAAACTTGGTTAGGACAAGAGAGTAAATCCTCTACTGACAAAACATTTATTGTTCGGAGTTTTTTGGCCATTGCATGTCCAATACCTGATAGAGTTAAAAATAAGATCACCACAGTTATTGAGATAAATTGTCATAGTATAGTTCTTCCAAACTAACAGTGCAGAATTATTATTTTTTGGAAAAAATTGTTGGTACCACAAATGTGGACCACTCATCACCAACCTTTATACTCTTTTAATTAAGGCTTCCGATCAAAAAGACATCATGACCGAGAAGCCTAAGTGAAACGGTGTAACTGGTTTGATGTTTATGTTTATTGATTATTTTCACCTTTTTTACTTATAAATGACGGGAAAAGAAACATTAAATTCCACGTAATATAAACATTTTGAAGAAAAAGAATCTAAAAAGGCGACGACTTCTCAAGAAGCCATGAAGACCTGAAGGTGGGACTCCCTCTTTACATTAGATTTAGTTGTTACGATAGCTATTAATTAAATATATACTTATATAAATAAAGAACACCATATAACAAAGTAATTTACAAATGTATAGAAAATATTAAAAGAAAGTTAATTATGTAATGATAATTTTAGTAATAAATTACAAACAATTTATTGATATTCTGTAAGTTAATTAAATATGATTTAAGTAAACGTTTAAAGATTGTCATGTTATTTGATTTCAAACTTGAGAACCTGAAAATCATATCCTGTTCAGGGTCACATAACTGCTTAGGCCAAATAAGGGAGTGCCCCCATCCCTGAGGGAGCTCCAAACCTCAAAGGCCATACCTTATGCCTTAGTGGTGGGAATTGGCCAATATTTCATGATTGATCATTTAGAGATAATCGTATTGACCCACCCTTACAGTCAAACCAGGTCAAGCGTTCCCGTCACTAACAAACTAATGAATTCATTAATGGAAAAATGATTTCGTTTGTTGATTCAATAATCCATTCATAAAATGAATAATCCAACGGTCAAATTAATTGTACCTCGAACCAATAATCAAATGTTGATTTGGTTTATGAACAAAATCTACCTGTTCTTTATTCTTGTCTGTTGTGTTCAATCGTATTTGCTTCCCTTTTCCTGCCATTTACGATTGTGTTTTTCATTGCCTTTAATCAAAATAACAGCTAGAATAGACAGACCGCAAACGCAAAGAAACTGACAAAGGCCGAGGATCGAAATCCACCAATCACCGCACATACACTGACCTCAGTTTGACCGTCATGTTTTCTAAGAGGTCAGGCCTAGGTCTGTTGCACTGATTATTGGCAGCAAACTGGCGTACATGTAACAGTTTGTTTGGGTTTGAACTTCAGAACTCGCCAGCACTTGACTCTCAGAAAAAAAAGAGGAAAAAACAAAATTCTGAGGTCAACTTGTGGAAAGTGTAATTCTTCAAAAAACAGTAATCGAATCAACATTCAATTATGGAATCGAGGCTAAATATGACTATTGGATTGTTCATTTTATGAATGGATTATTGAATCAACAAACGAAATCATTTTTCCGTGAATGAATTCATTAGTTCGTTAGCGACGGGAACGCTTGACCTGGTTTGACTGTAATAATTGGAAAATTTATTTAAAAGAATTCCATTATTTTATTTTTCACCTTTGAGCTGTTTTTTAAGAAGTTCAACACAAAAAACATTGGAATTCCACTTATTTTTCATTTTCATGCTGTGTTTAAAAAAACAAAACAAAGCAAATGAACAAACAAAATGCATCAGAAAATGGAGTAGATTCAACCCTGCTTGCCATAGAGTTCTCATAGCTCAGTGGTCAGACTGTCTGATCTAGAACTCATAGGATTGTGAGTTTGATTCTTGCCTGGAGCTCAGAATTTTTTTCTGTGTTTTTGGGTGATAATTAAAAACTCTATTAACTCTTTAGCTATATTATTGCCTTTCCCTCAATGAAGTAGTTAGTGTCAGCAAAATGGGAGAAATGTCATTGACGGCAAAGTTTGTCAATAAATTTTGTCACTATTATTGTAGTAAAAAAGTAAAACTCACCTGGAATCTCTCTGGCATTAAGACGTGACAAGAAGCTCTCAGCATCTTCAGGAAGAAGGGTTGTCTGCATGTTGGGTTTCTTCCATCCACCAACAAGCTTGGCAAGGAGTTTATTATAGGAAACTCCAGCACAGCAAGTTAGACCTGTCTCACAAAGAATTGCCTTCCTGACTTCAGCAGCAATGCTAGACCCAATCTTTAGCCTTTCATAGCAGCCACAGGGACAAGGTTTCTGCAAGAAATAAATTAGGCCTGGTTCAGACGCTGAACTTTTCATGAGCCGAACCTAATTCGAATTAAGGCCGACCCAAATTATTTAGACCGGCTGAATTGATTCAGATGCCAATCTTAATTCCAGCCGAACTAAATTCAAAAGGAGAAAAATGCTCATTTTGGTCAAACTGCCCACAAAATATGTTATAATAATTTATGCATTAGGTTCAGTAAATGGAAAGTTCGGCGACTGAATCAAAACCGTTCTAAAGTCGTTCCAAATACGAAATTCACGGCCGGACTAGGCTAAAAGAACCACTGAGCCGTTCCTAACTGATTCAGACGCCGAACTTTTCATGTACTCAATTCAATGTATTAGATTCGGCTCACGGAAAGTTCGGCGTCTGAACCAGGACTCAGACCCTTCCACGGTTTATTTTCAACTTTTGACACTCCCCAGTTGGGGAAAATCCATCAACACCACTGGAAACAGTGCCCCTGGGTCTCCATGGATACCCTAACTGGTGCCCACATTACAAATTAAAGTAAATTTCTGATTCTAATAAAATAAAGTTCTCATTCAAACAATAAGGAAAACTACTACAGTGAAACCTCTATTAAGCAGACCCCCAATTAAGCGGACACCCTCTATTAAATGGACACTAAGCTGGTCCCGAAATTAACGTCTTATATTTCCCTTAATTTACAATGAACTCCTATTCAGAGGGCGCCTCTATTAAGCAGATGTGGACACTAAAGTAAATTGTATTTGGCTCATTTCTATTGTTAAAAACCTCTAATAAGCGAACACCAGACTGAATTGACAACAGTAGTATTGGATTACGTCCTTGAAATACGTACCATAGTTGATTAATAAAGATAAATCAATACATTTAGCTGTCAATAAACTGTAGATTAGACCGATATCTGGCCGTATGATTGTCATCCGCGATCAAAGTTCACCTAAAAGTCTTTCACAAAGTATAGCACAGCTCCCTTAGCTTCCCTAACAACATGGAACTTTATCACAGTACAGAGTAACTGTTGAATGTTAATTGTTAACCAGTTTATTGAACAAACAAAAAAACGGGAACGAGAACTAAACATCCGTGGGAGACTTGAAAATGTACTTGACTTGTGGACTTGCTCTACTTAGGTAAACCAATTGAACCAACTAAAAACATAATAAAACGATCTATAAGTCTCTTAAGGAACTATTAAAATGACTCTGTCACATTCGCCCCTCCTTTTGCTCATTATGTCCTCATATGAGCGAAACAAAAAAAGCTAATCATCATCGTATTCAAACTAACCTTAAAGTTATCATTAACAATACAAACATACTAAAAGAATGTCAAGTCCATTTGCAAATAACTAAACTTAGGGTAAGAGTAAGAGTCTCTTCCGAAGAACTGATCAATCGTCCAGCTGCAGTGCTTCTAAATTCCTTAGGTTAGATCAGTTCCAAAACTGGAGAGGGCATTTTGTGCCAAGTGATTTTGTCAGAGTACAATCACTATGACACACCAGGAGACATCGTCACCGAATACTCCAAAATAAAACTGCAGTCACACAAACGCACAGAACCACAATGTTCAAATGAATGTAGACAAAACCAAAAGTACTGGGAAACAACATATCACAGCTCAATACAAACAAGGCAATTCAATTATTCTTCAGTCAGCCACTCAGACCATTCCAGCGACGATAAACTTGCGAAAATCCTGTTATGTTCCAGTGGAAGACGCGCAACTGGCAACAAACGCAATACAACGTAGGCACAACCAGGGCCCGGTGGTTGGCCTAAAACAAGTTCTACTTCAGCGAGAAGTAACCACTGTGGAAGTCCTGGAGCTACCCCGAGAAGAATTCTGAGCTTTAGAGGCTGGTTGCGAGATCCCGCTTGGGTGACTCTTCTATTCAACCCCCAAATTGAAGAGAGTACTGTCGTCGCAATCCTCAGTGCCAGAACTTACTCATACTGCTCCCAACATGAAGACTCCACTAACACACTCGTACTTGTTACCAGACACATCAGGGGCATTTAGCCAATCTCTCAGATATACTGGATTAGTATCGAGGTGCTTCTCTCAAAGGACATCGAGCTTCACACCACAAGTCTGCTATCGACGCAACTGCTCGTCTGCAAGATGATTCAATTAATCTGATGGCCATGGCGCTCATTTCTGCTCTGTGGGATCACGGCTGCGGTGAATCAGGACTGCAAACAGGAACACTGGAGATACCATGCCACAGAAACCCTAACACGACTGTGCTTTGTACAAGTATGTATCACATTCTCATTTTGAAAAAAAAAACCTACTTAGAAAAACTAGACTTTTGCCAAAAGCTATCAACATTCAAAGCCACTATTTTACACTTGCATCCCACTTCTGACACCAAAATGTAACCGAGCGGCGCGAGCGGTTCAACGCCACCAACGGCCGGAGGCCAAAGAGCAGTGGCACAACGACATGAATCCTTTGGATGCAAGGAGTGGGCTTAAATGAATGTTTAATACAAAAGAAAAACGAAAACCTAATTACAAACAAAACTAATGACAAAACGAAGTAAGGAAATGTTACGCAAAAATTACCAGAGGAAGGGTTTTCTGAAGTCCTTGGTTCGGCATTAGGCCGTTGCTGGAGCAGGGCACCAAACTGCGGAATCAGCGCCAAAACATTCGTCCCAAGGAGTCCAGGTATGTCTCTTCTCTGCTTGGTAGTGGCTGGGGTGTCTTTTAGGACCAGTACTCCACAGCTGGGTACTTTTACCCCATCAACCTCTACTGTCAGTTCCAGGTAGCCCGGGTACGGAATCTCGAGCCCATTTGCAGCACGGAGGGTCAGCATCCACCCATCTTTCCTCATGTGCCCGCAGGTTGGCTGGAGTTTCTTCTTATAGAAATCTTCCGTTCACGAAGGATACCATGGAGCCCGAATCTACCATACATAGCACGTCAACACCGCCAAGTCTTGATTGAATTGTTGGGGTACCACCAACCATATGTATTGGCATGCAGTCATCATTAGGTAGAGGTTTTGAGCCACTGTTCCCCTCCACGGCATGGCTCACTGCCGTGGAGCTTTCTCGTTTAACGCCGGCAGCTGCTTGTGTTCAGATCCTCTGTTCCTGCTGCCACCAGCCCGTTGGTTCTGTCTGTTATTACTTGGGCAGTCTCTGCGAAGATGGGTCCATGACCCACAGCCAAAACATCCAGGCTGCCACCATTGTTGATTACCCATGGAGAGCTGGGAGATGGCCTGTTGCTGCCTCTCTAGAGCAGCCTGCTGACATTGTATCTGCTCTGTCAGGATCTTCTGTTGCTTTTGGAGGTTCTCTGCCAGGATCTTCTGTCCCGCTACCAGCTCACTAATCACTTTCCGCAGGTCTGCAGCTCCCTTCACCTCATCACAGGTGACCTCGTTAGGGGGTGTCCTGTCGAGACCTCACGCACAACAGCCTTTCTTGGGGGGGTTCCGTCCTCGTCAATCCAGCGCTGGACCTCATCTCTGATCTCTTGAAAGGTTTTGGTGGGGTGGTCTCTGACCCAGCGCTTTATATCTCTTCGGAGCTGGGGGTCTGCCAGGTTCTCCAGGAACTGGTCTCTAAGGAGCTTGTCCTTATCCGTTACCGCTGCTGCATCCAGGCGCTCCACCCGTGCTAGGAGTAGCATCAAGGCATGGGAGAACTCACGAACTGATTCGCGATCCTTCTGTCTTCTTTCGAAGAACTTCCGTAGGGCTTGGGTGCTCGTGAGTCCCTCACTGAAACAGTCTCGCAGGACCTTGAAGACTGCGGCAGGGCTGGCTCTCTCCTCAGCTGGACGTAGGCGGACCTCTTCCTTGGCTACACCGTCCAGGTGGTAGAGCAGAAAGTCCACGGCATCAGCATCTGTTTGTCGAGCGATGGCCCGGGTGGCATCCCCAATCCACTCTTCCAACATGCCATTGTCACGGCCGCCAGCAAACTTCCGGAGTTTGCGCTCACGGGGCACCTTAACTGTAATGGGACCAGGGGTTGTGGAACTTGAAACAGTAGCAGATGCAGTCGCACCACTCTGGTTCTGGAGTTGCTGCTCCAATGCAGTCAACTTGTCAGTCAGTTCCTTTATCTGGGCTTCTGTCATCCTGTTTGTTAGCTCGTTCCCGTTTTTTCTCTACTTAAGATTTGCTCAAATCCCACTTCTGACACCAAAATGTAAGACGGCCAAAACGGTCAACCCAAGAACAACAGATTTGAGCTTAAGTTTTACGAGTTTATTGAACAAACAAAAAAACGGGAACGAGAAACAAATGTTAATATTGATAACTAAACATCCGTGGGAGACTTGAAAATGTACTTGACTTGAGGACTTGCTCTACTTAGGTAAACCAACTGAACCAACTAAAAACATAATAAAATGATCTATAAGTCTCTTAAGGAACTATTAAAATGACTCTGTCACATTCATTGCGCCCAATTTTTACAAACCTCTATTAAGCGGACACCCTCTATTAAGCGGACATTTGGGAAGGTACCGAAGGTGTCCTCTTACAGAGGTTTCACTGTAGAAGGCAATAACTATAAACTCTTGCTCTATTCTGGCTTCAACTGGGAGATTTCATGGATCATGTGTCTTATAGGGGTTGTCAACCAATGTATCGGCCGACATGTCAGTCGACTGTCGATTGACATGTTGGTTGCTGTATTGGTCAAGTGTCAATCAAGTCTCTGAAGAGTCTCGCCCTCTATGGTCTATCAATCGATTGATCTGTCGCTAGACGGTTGTTTTTACCGCGACGGATCACCGCCATATCACTAACACTTGGTTGATGTTAAGGCCGATACCTCAGTGGACATTTGTCAAGTTAGTAGATACATCACCCCATTCTTGTCTGACTCTCAACCAACATTTGACCAATAGAATGATCGATACCTTGACCAACAGACAACTGAGATGTTGGTTGATACATCGCCCCTAAGCCTATATATCGACCGACTCCCCAACACTCAACTGATATGTTGACCGACAGTCTATCTGATTTCATCACCTCTCAAAAATTACCTTTGCATCACTGGCATCAGTATTCATGCTGTATATCAACCCTGAAAAGTTTCTTTCTTCACAAGGACTGTTTTGCAGCCGTAAGGCCACAAGCTCGGTGACATCCAAAAAATTCTCATCCATTCCTAACCTTTCAACTTGAGGGGTGAATTCCCGGGTCAAAAGAGAATGTACCCTTAAGGAAAATTCCCTGTAAACTGTTAGGTCTTCACCGTTCACCAACACTAGGTCTGGGCAAGTCTTTTTGGCATCGCTGATGTAGGATAGCTTCGTAACACCGAATTTCCTTGCAACGTAATTACAAGTTACGACGATGTGTTTCTGCTGAATTCCCAAGGGTATATTTCGGAGGTCTGGGTTACGAATCATTTCTACTTGCGCGTAAAAACAGTCGATGTCCACGTGGATTATAGTTCTGCTGTGTCCAAGGCAGGGATCTGTCTGCATCGAAGGGTTAATTCCTGAGCTTAGATTTGGCTGATTTGATTTTGACACCGGAGCGTCAAGCCTTCGTTTCTTTGCAACGGAACTTTTCAAGCTGCTCGGAGATGGAAGAGAACCAAGCCACTCCTCTTCGTCCGATAATTCTTCCTCTTCCTCTAGTGAACAGCCGTAAGATGATCGAAATTCTTCCAAGCCTCTTTTGCCTTCCATTTTTTCTCTTTTCTTTTAGTTTAGAAATCAAGACAACCATCAAAACAGATCAGGACGAAAAGTACGATGAAGACTTCCCGCGCGTTTGATTTGGTAACCAAGCCTTTTCGACCCCCTCAGCCCAGGACAAAAAAATTAATGCTACAAGACTAAAATACATACCCTGTTTAGGACAACACCCTCTATTTTATTACCCTGTTAAGGACAAACGACAAACTGAGCACCGTCTTTTTTTAAAGTCATTTATTGGCAATTGCAATTGAGAGAATTCACATTACAGTCATTGCTTTTGTATGAAACAAATCAACTCAATCGTGCAGGCATTACCCGACAGTGACCTAACCCTGTTCACAATTATAAGACTTGCATGAAATTATATAGCTCGAATATACCCTTTTTAGGACAAACTCGCGCAAACTTATATGTCCTGTTTAGGATAGAGAGGAAAAAAACCATACCCTGTCCAGCGGCACATCCCCGTATAGAGGGAGTACCCCCGGGCTCAGCGGGCCTGTCTCTCTTAGGGCCTGTTTACATAGAGGTAGGGGACCCCAGGTAAGTGAGGTAACCTGCTTAGGTGAGTAACCCGCCTGTCCATATAATCTCTCGTTTTAATTTGATCACGTTTACATGATAGGTGGGGTGACCCGCCAAGGCGGGTAGCCCGGTCTGCCAGACCGGGTAACCCTCTCAACCGGGGTCAAATTTTGCCATGTAAACATTCAAGGTGGGGTAACCCGCCTAGCCGGGGTCTGATTCGTGAAACATCAAATTCGTGCAAAATTTACTTTGGCGGTGGTTTTGCAGCATTATTAAAGGTAACAATAGAAAGCCACAACACTGAAGATTCCAACAAGAGCAGCAACTTGAGTGTAGAATAGCATTAATCGCCAAAACAAGTGTTTTTCCAGCATTTTTCTTGTTCACGTGCTTAGCGCTTATTCAATAATCTTGAGAAAGTGCACCCCGGGATGGCGGGGTTGTAAGATTGCATGTAAAAGAGGGTTATTTTTCTACCCTACCTAAGAGGGTTACCTCACCTACCTGGTGTTCCCCACCTCCATATAAACAGGCCCTTAATTTTATCATGTTTCATCATATTATTTTTCCCTTTCAGGGGCAGATACTATAACTCATAAGGCCAGATATTCATTGGTTCCTGGAACTCAATGCAATACACGCCATGAATATCACAAAACCCAAACGCCGGGTTTTGTGGGGAATTTGATGACTTTGATCACTCCAAGACCCACCCCCAAGGATTGATGATTACCTTATTTGGCCTAAACTGATAGCCGCCGCAAAGCAGGGTACAGATTTGGGGGCTTTGAGTCAAAAACATGGTATACAATCTCACAGACTTAGCATTTGAACAGGATAAATTTCTGGACTTAGGCTATATGTTACCGGAACGAACTGACCATACCAGGCAGGGCTTCTGTTGGCGCGATTGTGTAACGGAGCGAAGCTGCATCGCACCGATCTCTGAAGCGGAGAGTCAAATATCGGATAAGTGTTCATATCCCTGATTACGGATAGCTTTTCGTGTGAACCTAGCCTTAGCCTGGGTAACAGGCGCTGGTTATTATTTTCATACACGACGCGCGAGGGGAACACGCGAAGTGGGGAGGAGGCCTCCTCTCCTTTTCACCCTTCGCGCGCGCGCGTCCTCCAAATTTCCTCCAACGTAGTTTTAAGTATGGTGGTGCAATGCTCTGCAACAATCTTTCTTACAATTCAAAGTAGACAGACTGCAAATTATATAGTTCCTAACAAATATATATCTACGTGTCGCAACTGTTCATCAGTAGGATGCCTAAAATGCGTGCAATTCCGCAAGGCTTTCCGAATTTAAACGCCAACTCACCTCTTCGCCTTCTGCTGGATCGCTCTGATTCCTTTATTTGTATGCGTCCAACAAACATTTGGAGCTTTTTAAGAATACATTTATGTAAAAAGACTCAGTTTTCATAATGTAACTCCTTTAGCGATTATTTATATTTTTCTGTCTTATTCTCTTCCATTGTACTAGTTTTTCTCTTTTTTTATAGCTTTCCTCTTATCGACTTTGTAACATTAGATACGTGTTTTTATCTCGTAATCAATAAAGATTACATTTATTATTTGTATGTGTAACTGTTTTAAACTTATATTATTCTCTAAAAACTCTAACCTACTTACATTGTAAAATTAGCAATATCGGGAAAATTTTTACGCAATTAATTATTCTCTAAAATTTTGTAACACTTGCATTCCGATAGTGAACACCATACTGCCTCTCTTTTTTGTGATGTGTTTACACTGTTTACCTAAGCTCTTCCTGGAAATCAGCTTTTGTCGTGTGTGACTAGGGTAGTTAAATAATTTTGTTGTTGTTGGACCTTGGAGATGTGCAGTTTACATGAACGGTGTGATGTGTTAATGACTAAAAACCTCTTTTACTCCAAATCTTAAACAAAGTGTTATATCGTAAATGATCTTATTGACTCCTAGCCTCGCTCTTTGTCTGTTCTATAAGACTATTTGACGTCCCATCTCAAAGAAACGCCTCTTGCCCAATTGACGGCCCCCTACGATGTTAATTTTGTATTGGCCCTCTCTAAAAAATCGCCCCTTGTCAAACTGGGTGACCGGTCGTTTCGCCAAGATGACAACAAAGTAGTTAAGTGGTCAAGCGTTTCGATGAACCAAAAGAAAAAATTACTCCAGAATAATTGGAAATAGCAAAAAGGGGCAAAATCATTGAATTTATTCAGTTTCTTGGTTGTTTATCACCCGGGTTATTGAGAGTTTGCGCTTTGTATCTTGTTAAATGTCAAGTTAAGAAGGGATGGGCTTACGATAAAAACACTCTGAAGGATTATTCTGACATCGAAGTTGGGATTTGAAAGAAACGATATATATGGATCTCAAGATGTAACAAGGGATGAACTGGATATTCTGGTCACCGGAAGCATATTCGTTTTGTTGAGCTTAATAAACCCCTCCTACCTATTAAAAGTCCACTACCGGGCAACAGAAATTAAATAAATGCCCTGGGCAGTATTTGGGCCGTGAAGGTGTAATGTATCCACGGGTAATTTTACACTTCCCAGTTTTTTATGTAGTGAATAGAAACCTGCGATAGACATCAAAAATTACACAGAGAAACAAAGCCTGCCTTGGTTTTGAAGCATGTTTTTGCGTAGCTTCAGCATTCTCCGATCAAAACCATTTGCTACCTATACAGGTTAGAGAAACATGGGTTTCAATAAAAAGGAAGTAAAAACACTTACAACCGCAATTTTTACAACATAACCTTACAACCTATTGTTGTACAGGTAATGGTAAATTCAAAGTGCTATGTTTCAGTCACCAAGTGTTAACCTACGCCAGAGAAATGGCAAAAGAATGAAAACAAAGATACATTTGAAATTAAGCTTTATTATTTTGTACAAGGTTGCTTTTTAGAACCTCAGCTTCTGGAAAAACCACTTGTTCTTGCCTGACTTGTATCTGAAAATAAATACAGAACAGTTTTAAATAATTATTAACAAGCAGGTGAATAATGAAAGTCGGTGCAAACAGTGAACAAATGTTCCCAAGTTGTGACCAGCAACAACCATCAATCCTCTATTATGCCCTCTCTAAAATAAGCCCCCCTCATTAGTCTTCACTAATAAATGATAGACTGTATTAATCAGTCATGACTGTAAACCTTTATTTGGACTGATCCGGGATGGTTTATTCATGTGATGGAAGTTCAGATTTGTCTTTGCTCCTCAGTTGCATGACCTCTAACTTCTTGTGATTGAGCTTTTCCACTTTGCATTCTAGTTCTTTACGGAGAACTGATACCATTGTCTTCGCTAAATTAATTAAGCCTCCCCCTTCTCAAATAAACCCCTCATCTCTATTAATGTACACCTCTATAAGACAGACACCTCGGAAAAATGGACACCTAGAGTTTGTCCATGCCTTTCTTCACACCCTTTATTTGACTCTCTACGAGACGGATATCTCTCAAAGACCGACACTTAGTTCCCTTCCCAAAGGTGTCCCATCTTATATTTATATTTATCTTATACATGTATGTATATTTATGTAGAAAATTATCTGTGTACAGTCTGCCTTGCAGTGATTAGCTCTTTGCTACATGCAAGCCAGCCTAATAGTCGCTTTAAAGGTTGAAGCTTAACACTCACATCGGTGAGTTGGTGAACTCTAAATCAAACTCTGGGCCTGTTTCTGCTTAATATTGGGTTCTTCAAATACAGTTTTCACTTTATTTCTAACAGCCCCTTACAAACCATGTTAAATAATTATGACGAAAGGGCAGTTCAAAGTTTTCCCTCGTTAACTGAATGAAATCTCCAGTGACAAGTAAAATATGCAATAATTGAAAGTGTTCGATTCAGTTTCACTTTAAACTAACTATCATACACTGTCATGTCAAAAAAAGGTAAATAAAATTACAACCATGGATAAAAATTAATCACAACATGTACATAGGAGCTGCAAGGAATGTACCTTTCTTCAAGCTTCATTTTAGCTTCCCTTTTGGCTTTTCGCTTCAAGGCTGGATCTCTGAAGACATCTTTGTTAACGACTTGTTTGTCAAGATTAACATCCACAGAGTATCTAAAATGGTAACAAAATCCCGTTAACATGAATCATGACATAGTTTATCAACTGTTCACACACATTTTATTGGTTGGTACCCATATTCTGTTTCTTTGATACCCGTTTTAACGTTTTGCAGCCATGTTTTTTCATTAAATGGGACTGATTTTTTGCAAATGGCAAATTCTATAACCTGTACAGAATTTACCAGTCCTGAGTTTTATGTACCATCTGCCCAAACCTTGATCTGACTAGTTTGCTCATGTGCTGGTCAATGGTAAACAACCATTTCTTTCAATTTTTTCTCATTCACGTGTGAATATATGCATAAATAATGAGAACACACAAAAAAACATTTCCTAAGATCATCACATGATCTACACTGGCAGAACAAACCATACAACGTTAAGGGGCATATTGAGTTAATAAGGTAAATAGACTTGTTTGGGCCATGAACTGAAACTAAATTACAACCGAGGTTCATAAGGGGAATCTTTCCACAGATGTATTTGTCATTATGTTTGACTTTATTAACATCTAGCGCAGACTTGCTCCAGTTTAATAACGTAATATAATATGGTGGCAACTCAATATAATGAAACCTATATAACAAAGATCCTGCTGCAATGAACAATAGATTTTCTCCCAATAATAATTTTTATTCTAGGAAGATGTACAGTATAGGGCATGATCTGACATGGTCGGAGAAAACAGCCAACATTTTGCAATATCACCACAGGTTTCCCCACAAAATGATGGGCTGATTTAGTAACAGAACGGGAATGTCAGTTGATGACGGCATGCGCAAATCAAGCTACTGGCTTGACCAAAGGCAGAGCGGCAAACAGAGCACCAGAAGTCATATTTAGTTCTTTCTGCATGCTTTCCCGTCGTCAAATGAAGATCCCATCCTGTTGCTAAATCAGACTGATGTCTGAGGAATGACTGCAGGAATTTCATACTGATGATGTGTTACTTCCAAGATCTGGGTAGTCCTTTTGATTGGCTGAAGCAAGTTTGCTGTGCAGCATGATCAATGCGAAGCACTACCAAGATCTAGGTAGTGACACATCCTCAGTATGGAATTTCTGTGGTCATTCCTTACACGTTATTTTGCAGGGAAACCAGTGGTGGTGTTGCAAAATAATGGCCATTCTCTCAGGTTAGATCTGACATAGCAAAACCCCATTTAATACAACAAACATATTTCACCAGGTCCAAAGTACTTTGATACACTTGAGTTCTATTGTATTTAAGAGGCAAACAGCCAATTGAAGGTCTTCATATGCTGACATTCTTACTACTGGCCCTTGACTCTGATGAAGGGCTAGTACTGATGATGTCAGCTTTTAAAACTGTCACAGCCTGACATATTTTAAAAGTGAAGCAGGCAGTTGGTTAGAATAGAGTAACCAACTGTAAGATTTGAAAGAATCTTTAATTACTTTAGGTTAGGAAACAAAGTAGCCTACTTCTCTGGGCAAGGAAGCCAATGCTTTTTGTTGGTGATTGGTTCTTTATGTATGATTACTTTTTCTGCCTGATTTTAAAAACACTAAGAATGTTGTCTGCTATGCATCCAACAAGAAGAGTCCATGTATTTGTATTTTATACTGTCTTGCAAAAAGTAGCCTCTGCCAACAATGGTCTTGTTTTCTATAACACATGCACGAGTTTCACTATGACAAATAGTACTAATTTTCTCTTTATGCATCTTCTCAGTGTGATAGATCAATTATATTTCTTCTGACATGAATGAGTGTGTCAGAATGTAGACAAGTTTTTCAGCTGTTTGAATGAAACATAAATTGCTACAGAATATCAATAAAGTAATGCTGTCTCTTAAAGGGGCTGTGTCACAGAAGTCCAGTTCATTTGTTTAATGTTGCCAATTACTCGCCCCCAATCGCTATGGAACTTAAAGTAAGCAAAGAAATTACAGGTAAATGACATGATCAGAGATCCGAGACAAACAAATATGTCTCCTGAGCATTATTTTTGAAGTTGCAAGCAGCAGGGATCAACTTTGAAAAACTGTTAGGCTGAACAGTTTTCAAAAATCACAATTTCAATTGGTTTCAATCTTCTTCAGTTTTGCCCATCCGTGGCATCTGTTGTTTCTGTTATGTTATTTTAACCTTCCTTTAAAGTTTTAATCGGTTATTTTTATGTTTCTCTTAATTTAACTGGCATTTTGTAATTTCCTAATTTGGTTGAATTTCGTGACACAGCTCCTTTAAGGATGAAAGACAATGGGATACAGCCACAGTTTATTTGTGATAGGTCACTAAAAATGTTGTATCTTTATGTCCCTTAAGTCTGAGCACTGGGCAATAGTACAGGTGCAACAAGACATTGAGCTGATACAACTCCCACACCAGTCTAGGTCTAGGACTAGACAGAAACCAGTTATTTTTAATTTATTTGATCACATTTGTGGACTGGCGAGTTACCAGTAGAGGCTACTTTCCACATCCTGCTAAGTAATGCTAAGTCGTCTCTGCTTGCAAAGTATATGTTTCTACAAACTCAAAAGTACAGAAAACACCCATGAAGCTATGGGTTAAGTCTGAACTTTTATACAAAAATGTTGCTGCACAACATTTTCTGTTTAACATCAGCTGCAAATTAGGCTTGAACACAACACAAACGAAAGAAATACTTGTTACCGTTAGGAGAAGGAGAAAGTGCAGAATTATTTACATTGACCGTCACAACTTGATTTAAAAATGAAGTACGAAAAATACCTGGTGGGCATGAGATGATTGTAGTTGTAAACTTTAACGAAGGGCTTTATTCTGGATCTTTTGGCCGTCTTCTTCTTGCCCATTTTCTTCGTCACTTTAAGTGGATAGCGAGAAATTCCAGCGACAAGAGCATGACCGAATGGCTTGTCTGTGGTACCATCGTCGTAATTCTTCACTATCACTGCTTTTTTGCCTGCATAACGCCCGCTTAAAACCAACACAACCTTACCAGACTTGATGAATTTCCCCATGCCTATGGAGGAATCTGTAATAAATTCGTTTTGAAAGCAATCAGATCAGTTACAAGAAAATACCCCAACAGAAGATAGGCTGAATGCACAAAATTTTCGACTTTGGTAACAAGTATAAATCGTCCAATGCAGACAGTTTTTCTTTTCATTTTAGCACTTATGAATACTTGAAAACTTGCTTCTCCCTTAAAGCTCGTAGGTTTGTAAAGAAGCTTTATTCTCGAGCCGATGGAAGTGGATTTTTGAAGAACATCAGGGCACTCACCAGCAAAGATGGCGACAAAAAGAGAGAGAGAGTGTGCGAAAGAACCGCTGACAGAAAAAACCGACGAGCACGAAAAACGCACAGGACAACCAGGTAAAAAAAATTACAGCCAAGCTCTCGTCAATTTATTCCACGAGGGCGCGTTGGATATGAGATGATAGATAGCCAACGAGGCGCATATCCAACAAGCCCGAGTGGAATAATTGTTTTATTAAAAACGCCCACAAAATCTCGTTGAATCGCCCCGACTAGAACAAACCGGAAAAGACAAGGGACTTCCGCTATTGACATGTCACACGTCTGTCAAAACTGTCAACGCGCGAACTGGGCTCGCCTAGACTGCATGAATGAAAAATCAAAACATTGTGCGATGAACATTAGTTTTTTAACAACTCATCGTGATTCTAGGATTTTACACAGCAGAACAGCTTAAAAAACCTGGCAGATAATGTGAAGGAAAGGAATTTTTAAGTGACAGCCGTCGAAATTACTATGAATATGGATTTTCGGTGCAGTTATAAAAGTAAGAACAACGGAGAAAAACTACCGGTATTACCTCGGTCGCTTGTTATGAAGTTGTTTGAAGCCACAAGCTGGTTTTGCTGAACGAGAAAAGAAGCTATACTGCCGCCTCGATTGCTCTAGTGAAAGGCAGCATAGCCTGTATTTGTAGCTGGTTACTTGTGATTTATATTCTTGATGTCGGATAAACAAGCTGCAGTTATCTATCGGCGAGTGACTCGATCGGCGAATGGCTTCGCGATCATGAAGAAACAACACTTGTCTTCTTTCGTAGCTGGTCAAGGTATTTTAGTTCCATGTGTTTTCATGTGTTTTTCGACAAACTTTCAAACAAGCTCTTGTGGCTTTTTTGTTTGTTTTTGTCTTTTTTCTTTCGTTGAAATTGCATTTCTAGTATTCTAAGAAATGAATTAAAACGATTTGCTTCGGGCGCCGTTCTATCCTTCGCGAAAAAAAATCCCAGCTAGCTTCCAATTTTACACTGACGCGTTTACCGACCATATAAGGAGAGCATGGTATATTAGCTCATATACCATAACGGCTAAGCCAATCAAAATGCTAGAATTGCATTATCCAATGATTCAGTTTTTACTTTTATACAATGATGTGAATGCTACGCGAGCTGTGATTGGTCGTGGCCCATGATCTATTAGAGCACAGATACATGGATGACGTCACGGGAACTTGTTTTCTTTGTTTTGTTCAACATGGCACGCGGTTTTGAAAATGTTTGTGAGATTATTTCGGATTGAGGCAAGTGAAAGCTTCGGGAAAAGTTTAGCAGGAGCTATTTACAAAGAAGAAAAATGGAGAAACGGAGACCAAAAAAGCTATTGACTACTTGACAATGCCTAAACTACAAGAAATCTTCACAACAGTTGCCATCGTGTGTCGTCGCTACGAGAGACTCGCTGTTTTGCAAAATGTTTTCGCTATTATTCTTCTTTGAGCAAGAAATGACGGTGAAAAACTTTTCGAAGAAACTGTACACAAGTAAGATATAGAAGAAGCTAAGGTGAAAAGTTGGGTCTTAAAAAATGCCTAAACTAGCACAAATCCTCAAAAGGTCAAGCGGTTCGAGGCAGGTATGTGTATCGGTCTTTTTCTTTTCTGATCATTGTATAAAACAAATAGATTCCATGTTGCCGTGGGTCTGTTCAGTAATAGATCACAGAGGACGTCAAAATGTGGTAAAAACAACAGTGACACACTCGCCTGCGGCTCGTGTGCCACTTCTTTGCTTTTACGACATTTTGACATCATCTGTGATCTATTACTGAACAGACGCACGGCAACATGGAATCTATTTGTTAAACAAAGTATAAAATCGTGTAATGCTAAAAGGCGACAGCAAGGAGAACGGCAAAAAATCAGTAGGTCTAATTAGCAAAAACAAAACAACTTCGCGGCGTGGAGCACACTTTTTTGTACATTTCTTTGCCGTTGTTTTACACTTGACGTGACACTTGCAGTTACATGTTTTATGGAGGAAATGTCTTATGTGTTTCCGTCTGTGTTTTTTTTCACTGCCACTTATTTTGTTACTTCTTTCTCAAGCTCAAATACAAGTTTTTCGATTTTAATTGACACGTTGCGTCGATCGTCTCATGTTTAGTTTTATTTTTTGTGAATAATTGCGACTTTTTATTACGTTAATACGGCTTATTTATATCGCTCGAGAGGTGCAATTTGTTTTAAATTTAACAGCCTTTCTCATCAAAGTAGAGTAGTATTGTCACTTGACCCTACCTCCTTAAATTTCATTGTAAATTTAAAGTGAAGGAATTCTCTTTCAGAGACTTGTCCTTTCGATAAGTATTAAGATACCGCAAAATTCCGAAAATAAGCCCCAGAGCTTATATTTCAAAGATCCTTTATGAGGGGCTTATGCTGGGAGGGGCGACTTAACGGAGGGTTTTCTGCGTTACGATTTTGGGGGCTTATACATTGACGGGCTTATTTTCGGAATTTTACGGTATGTATCTCTTGGGTGGCGAGATGGTTTGGTGGCGAGTAGACCGCATACCCCATGTAAGAAAAAAAATGCCCTAACAAACAAAAACAAAAGTAAAGTCAGTGGAGTGAAATAATTGTGGTAAAAATAAAAAGTTTTGGCTAATGATGGCTTATGGCAAAGAAAACAATACTGCAATCCTGGTCAAAACGTTTGCGACACTTAATCATTTACACATGATCTGTGCATTTTCCAATAATCCCCCCCCTCCCCCCCCTGGACAGAGTGTGGTGGTACAGGCCAAAAACTACAGAAGAATCTTTTATATTGTATGAAATTCAACTTTTTTCGGTGGGGGAGGGGGAAATCTAGGCATAGCCGTATTTCAAACTGTAAATTGAAGGTCACTCTCCAATTTCCTACCAAAAAGGAGAGGGGCAGAAATACGAGAAGTGTCTCAAACACTTTTGGCCAGGATTGTCCGAAACGTCAATTGCTCGCGAGGGTCTTTAAAACGGTATTTTTTTAACAAGTCCTTGGCCTGATACGTGTAATGTTTGAGTTTTTGGCATGTTTTGGAAATTGAAGTAGGGGACTGGAGCTCACACAGTGTTTTTACTTTTTAGACTGCACGCGGTATCTTTTCAGCCAGTCAGCACTCGAGAGAGCGAAGAGAGAACCGGAAAGGGAGCTGTAAAGAGGCAGGACCCGAGGAACTAGGATAATAACAACGACTAGTTTTAAACTGTCGAATTTATTGTTTTGCGCAATATTACACATTTAGTACCATGGCACAATGCACTTAATGCCGGAAATTGCTACTACGCTGATCGAGCTGGGATAAGATAAAAGATTCTAGTTATGGCAGAAAAACAGCGGGGAAAATAATTTACAATTTCAAAAAAGAAACTGAAAGAAACAGCTATGATTTTTAGCTACAACAGTTTTATAGCACTCTTCTATACATACTTAGCTTACTGTAACTTCCTCTATTAAGCCCCCCGGAGGGCTTATTTATTTCAAACACCTTTAAGGGGGGGATTAATAGAGACGGGAGACTTATTTGAGGAGGAGGGGGGGGGCTTTTTTAATTTAGCACGGACTATGGTATCAGTTCACCATAAAAACCTAGAATGCAAAGTGGAAAAGCACAAGTGCAAGAAATTGGAGCTCATGCAGCCGAGGATCAACAAATCCGAACTTCCTCTCGTAAATAAACCATCCTGGATCAGTCTACACGAAGTTTTACAGTCGTGATTAATTAATACAATCTATCATTATTTTATTAGTGAATAAGAAGGAGGGGAGGGAGGCTAAAAAAAAAAGATGGGGGACTTATCAACTTTCTTCCCCTGAAAAGGAAGGGCTTCTTAGAGAGGGGCCTTATATTAACAGAGGATTTACGGTAACTGTTTGAGAAGATTTGGCGGGGCTACTTATTTTGAATCTGCTGCTTTAAACGTTTGCCTGGACATCTTTTCCGTTTGCGTGGATATCTCTTTCGTCATCATTGTCAACCCTAGCGGTAACACGCCTGACCAGTGTCATCGATGCGGCTGCATGCAACATACTTGAGACGGCAGTCAGCTGCAGAAAGATGAAAGCAACCACTATGTACTTGTTGCTTGGTAGCATGTCTCCAAAGCCAACGGTAGTGAAAGACATAGCATAGAAATAGATGCTTCCTTCATAACTCCAGTCGTCTTCGACCCACATCTGTACACCAGCTCCGGCAAGTAGCAGCAAAAGCAAATAAATAAATCCAAGGACGAAGCATTTTCCGTTTAAGCGGTTAGGAGGATCGAGTTTCCTCGTGCACCGTGTCTCAATGGCTGTGACGAACCATCTCTGCCCTCGAAAGATGTATTGACCTATGAGCCTGAGGAAAAGGATTGTTATTGGAATGCCAAAAAACGCGTACACAACACATAGGACTTTACCAAGGAGTGTCACAGGATACAAATCTCCATATCCTAAAAGATAAACATATAAGAAAAATTCATAAAATTATTACAATATTCATGAGTTGAACCCTGATTTACGGAAAACCACTTTTATCCGGTCACAGCTCCCTATTCCGTTATTTCCCTGGGGAAAGCCTTTCATTTTCGGTGCATTTTAATGCAGACAACAGACACTTTAATTATCGAAAGTGGGAGCGAAGGGAGTGTTGGGAAAGGGAGAAAAAGCACCACTCCACGACCTCCACCACTTCCCATCTCTCCCCGCTCGCGCTCTGCACACGTTCCCATCATCCCCCACTTTGGCTTCTCCAACCTCGTCCCCACAGTTTTTCCTATTTCTAAAGGAAAATCCCTGAACAAGATCGGAAGCTTCTCGCTCGTCCCCAGTTCCCCGCTTTAAAAGCTTCAAAGTGTCGTGCTCCCAACCCCTGATGATGCCTTGAAAAACCTGTGGAAAACTTTCCTTGACAACTTCGTGCTGTGATACTGTAATCATTACATTTTCTAAAGCAAGAGATCGTCATATTATGGCTCTTATCTAAAGATAGACGGGATAAGATTTGAACCCATTTGAACCTGTAAATGTTCTTTCTCTCGGTATAGCTCTGGCCCTGAGGAGGGCTAATTTTGTTAGCTGAAATATTCGCCTGTAATGAACCAGACCTTTGCCGTAGTCCCAGCCTTGCATTCAGTTTTGTTTTATCATACACTTCAAGTGACGTCTGGCAACAGCATCTCTTTAATTAGAGATCCGGCAACAGGAACCAGTCAGTGATATTAGGACGGCGACGGCAGAAAAACGTGCTTGAAAAAGTGAATCCTTCTTTCAGTCTTAATCATTCACTAACTTTGTCAAATGTTCCCTCCTGTTTGAATTCAAGAACCATTTAAGTTCAGAAAGGTACGACGTCGCTTGTGTACTTCCTCTGTATTCAGGAAATTTTTTTCAGGGGTAGTCGTGCAGTGACGGCAAAGAAATGTACAAAAAAGCGTTGCACGTGCAAAATTGTTGTTTTGAAAAACCTATTGTTTTTGTTGTTCCCGGAAGTCAATTTCGGATCTTAAGGTCCCTATTTTCGGAACAACAGTTTTTCTTGTTCTTGTAAAATTTGTTGGTATAGTATTTCAGGTATTCAGGAGTTTTATTCAGGGATTTTTCGAAAATCTTCGGAAGAAAGATGGTTGTAAAATTTATTGCCCATTTTCAACGGATTTTTAACATCTAAAAATGGTAAAATTGTCACCTAGAATTTTCGGGAAAAGGTCTTTTTTTCCTGGCTGAAATTTTCGAACAGGTAAGTTTTGTTCCCTATAATTTTCGGATCACTAGACTTTCAGCTAGGAAATCCGAACAGATGAAAAATTTATAGGGGATAAAAATATGCCCACATCCACCGTTTAAATGGCGATAAAGATCATACGTTTAACAATGGACAATACCTTTTTAGGGGTTTTGAAAATATAAAGTTGGAACTCTCCATCTAGAAATTGACCAATCATTGAAAATTTTTAAAGGTTTACTAAAGACACATCTTTTAAATTAGCTTTTTATTAGTTCTTTTATTAACTCATATTTTACTTTTATTGTTTTCCGAAAATTGTAAATTATTATTATTAATATCATTATTTGGATTAGCCATTTATTACTTTAAGATTTTACTGTTGTAATGTGCATTCGATCATATCTTTATCGCATGCTAGACTGCGCAATATAAGAAATAAACATTATTATTATTATTATTATCATTAATTATTTAGTTTGATTGACTTGTTAGACTCAGGCTACAGTTTTACATTTCTGTTATCTTTCCTTAACCCAAAGAAAAAAAGCAACTGAATAAAGACGCTCTCAACTGAATCTCAGTCCGGGTGTGTTTACCCCTTAAGCTAAAGACGCGCAACTTGTTTTGCAGCATTCAGTGCTGTAAAACGAGCTGAATAGCGATGTTGCGACGGCTAAACCTTCAATATAAGTGAAATAGAAGAGAAAAGTGAAAAAGAAGTTTGACTGTTAGTGTAAGCCAACAGAGGTTAAAGAGCAAGTTCACTGTTAATAACTCTAGTGGTTTAACTGGTTGCTGGTCGCACCTCTTGCCTCGCCGTTCCCCAGTAAACGACACGAAGTTCGTTTATCAGTCGTCTCAGAATAAATTGAAGGCATGCAAAATTTGTGGGGGCCATTATTAGGTGCATCATGGGTAGTATACGGCTCAAGTAGACATCCAATCCCCAAGCCTCTAAAGCACACGTTCTGGGAGGCTATCCTTTATCCAAACCCAAACCCTTCAAATCGTTAAAATTCGCTGTTTTCAGCTACAAGAAAGGCAATAAACAACATTTCAGGCAAAATTAGCCTGTGCACAACGTCCCCCCAGTTGATTTTGCTCTTATATGTAAATATTCATTGCGGTATCGATCCTAAGACCTCTTCTGGCGTACATACGAACGGTCACAGTCAAGATTTTGACAAAAGCTTTGAGCCGTAAAAAATTATCGACAAGTTTTCTTTATTTACCGTTTCTTCGAAGGCTGAAATTCGCTAAAAAAATTCGTATTTCGATGACGTTTTCTGGAAAACAAGAACTGCAGAGTGTGTGTACAGAAGAAAATCTACGTTTGTTTTAATAAGCGCCCATACCATAAACGGTCGTTCAGTTATTGAGAAAAAAAAAAGTAAAACAAGTCGATTTTGAGACGATATCACTGCAGTATATGACGGCGGGAAAAAATAGTCCTTTAAAACTGAGTGGCCGTAATTGTAAAGCCGCAATGTCAAGTTAACAAGTCGAAGTTTACAATAATCTTGTAGTCTGCTTTCACCCCTCACGGACTCGAAGTGTTTTACATCTTTTCTTACCAATAGTCGTGAGTAACACGAAAGTAAACCAGAAGGAGTTTCCATAACTCCAGCGTCGCTCGCCATTCTCTTTTTCCGGCCCTGCACTTCCCTCCACAGCAGAGAACGCAAAGACACCAATCACAACATAAGCGCTCCATAAAAGCAGCAGAGCGAAAAACATCTTGTTCTTATTGCAAAATGCCATATCGTCGACAAACTGATACGGACACTAAGCCTATAAAGACTGCCGGAGAAGAGAATCCTTTATTGTACTGTGCCGCTTTTGTTTTGGTTAAAGAAAACAGGCTTATCACACGCACGTTAAGGTTATTATCACGGTAATAAGATTGGTATCTAAGAGAGCAGCTAAAACATTCAAGAAACGTTGGTCGAGGGCCAATGTGAACTTTCTAGTTTGTCAGAAGTTCCGACTTCACTTGTCTGTGTTCCAACTCATTGTGAATAGGCTATTTCCAGGTTCCAAAAAAACTCTCGCTTTCAAAACGGGGCTAAGTGCAAAACCTTTCCTGTTAAAATGACTTTTATTTGAAAATGAAAAGAATATCGTATCATGACCAATCATCTTCATATCAATGACTTCGCATTTAGCTTTCCTTGACAACAGAGGTTTTGCGCAACTCGGAAAATGGCCTAAGAGCGGTTCTTGCTCATCCTGAATCTACGATGCCTCTGTAATTTTCAGTTTGACCTGAGGATAAGATGAGGGCCCGGAGAAATTGGGCCCCTCCCTAGATGGGGCCAGGGGAACTTACTATAATGGCCTGTATGTCGAAGCTCCTCCCGAGAGGGGTACTTTTTTCTGCTCAGTTTTTGGAAACAAGGAACTGGCGTTACAAAATAGAAGAACCGGATCCTAACAGAGGATCTAATCAGTTATAAAATATCTGAACAACGGAAAGAAGCAAGGCTGATTTTACAGTTGGGAATATATGTAATTTGGGTTATCAATAGTTCGAAACGCACAGCCTTTCTTCTTCAACCCGGACTTTTGTACATTTTACCCACAATACATAAAACGGGGAACCCTGGCCGCCCTATTGTTTCCAGAAGCAGGGTGTGCAGCTGCACGCTTGCTCAAAAAAATAGGAAAATAGGAAACTCAGGATTGGGAAAATTGGAAAATAAAAAAAAATAGGAGAAAAATAGGAAAATCAATAGTACTTTCGTCGACATAGATAGCGTCCCCGCACCCCATCAGGGCTATAATAAAGGCTACGAGTCCTCAGCTTCTACGTTCGGAGGATTTCGATCAACTTTCACGGTTTAGGAGTGAAAATGACCAATATTGTTAGTTTATTCGTTCAGTTAAGCTGTAATCAGAATGATATGCTTGACTACAGGTCGAGCGCGGTTCTACAATCAAAGGTGATCATATGCAAATTCCCGTCAAGTTGGCGGCAAATCTTTGAAAAGCTTCAAAGAGTGAAATTTCTCAGGATAGAAATTTCTTACGATTGCGTTGTCATTGAAGGATGTCGAATTTAAAAGGACCATGGAAAGCTTTCCTTCCATTAATCTACAATCGGTAGCTGGTTGAGAATATGCTTCTTTGAGTCAAAAGACCGCATAGTTTTAAGTACCGAACCAGGCTTTTCACGGTGTGTATGCAAAATGATCCTACTGATCTATTTATAACGCAGAGATAGAGACATCTAGCACTACGATACACCAGCTAGTGGAAGGCATGAGAAAAAATAAATAAATGGATAAGTGGCTGCACCTTTGCTCATATGCACATGTTTGGCGCTTCATCTCTACCACACAATTTTTTGGCTATGGAAAATCGAGAATGGTTAAGGCAGGGCTCTTATCATTATCCTGCAGTGCTTAATTGGGATTTATTCACTTGGTCGACAGATACAGCATTTAAGCTACATATTTTCTTCATATCACTGACTGATAACTACACATACTGATCTTACTAATCATCTGAATTTTCGAGAAAATAAGGAACAGCTGACTCTTTTAATGATACTGAGTAATATCCTGTCGCCTGAAAACACTCTCTTTACTAAATGAATATTAACAGGAATATCATTAGAGCAGAATCTGTTGTTCATGTGGTTACAACTTGTGCCTACAGTGTTTATACAACTGCACTACAGTTCCCCTTATCATTCTGTGCTAATTTCACTAAGAAGATCTTCACAATCCTTCTTCAACTCTTCTGCAATCGCCTGCAGTTGGGTTTTGATTGCTTCATCGAGGGGGATATCGTCTATAATGTTCCAGGAACCTTGGCGAAACTTAACCGGTACAGAAAAGACAATGTCTTGTGGAAGATCATACCATCCATCTGAGAAAACGCCGAGTGAGTAAATCTCTGAAGATGATCCTTGCCACAAATCTTGAAGTTGTGATAACACTGATGAGCTGCCCGACAATGCAGGAATAGCACCTGGGTTTTTCACATTATCCATGGGCTTTTTTAATGTTTCCAGGAATTCTCCAGTCAGCCATTTATCATCATGGACCATCTCGGGTACTGACCGTGTGAACCCAGGGACATGCGGCCCCCAAATGGCTCCATCATACCCATGAACTCTTGAATTTCTGGGGTCCGCAACAGTGGTCACACCTAGATTGCCCCAGATGATAACATCCTTTATCCCTGCAGTGTTCACACTTAGTTTTTTGGCCAGTAACCCCTTGGCATGGTTTTCCTGTAAGCGAGCTAAGGCACAAATGTTCTGTTTGGGAATTGACGGGGCAAATTTACTAGTGACAAATACATTCACACATGCGGGGCCCCCTCCAATGAGAATTTTCACATCTTTTTTCGCATACTGGTCAAGTGCTAGACCGTGAGCTTTAAAAATTCTGGCACTGGAAATAAGCTGCTCCTTTTTATCTTCGTTGTCTCTAAGAGGTAGGCCATCAAGTAAAACAGCGACGCTTGCATCTTTAAAAGCAACAGCCGGGTCGGGGGTGTAAATAACTTCTCTCAAGAGAGGCCATGAACAATCTTGTATCTCCATAGCAGTACCTTTTAAAACATCCTGAGACTCAGCCGTGTCGAGCAGATATATGCTGACGTCTTGATCCATTCCAAATACGTCTCCTTGGGCTAAATAAGCTAACACACCATAAGCGAGAGCACTAGAGGCACCCGAAACACAAACTCGAAGAGGGGTTATTTCAGCCTTCCTTTGCTCCTCTTCGGCGTCAATCTCAATCTTGGTTTGTAGATTTTCTTTCGCTATGTTCACGAGCTCATCACTCATTTTTGCGGACGTGATACCGTAATACCCTTTCGCCATTTCAAGAAAGTCGTCGCATCCACCGAGAAGAATTCCTTTGCCACCACGATCAACCAATTCGCGCCAAATGAGAGGAGAACTAACATGCTGCCAACCTTTCTCTTCACAAGTCATTTTTAGCCAGATTTCCCAATCTTCAGGCTGCTTAACAATCTTATGGATTTTGAAATCTGGAAGATTTAGCGCCAGTTGGTCAGCAAGAAGTTCTGCTTTGGCATAGAAAGGGCAATTTGCCTTTCCAGCAATAATATACTTCGCCATTTTGTTTTGCGAATCTTCTTTACCGTCGTTACCATAGTAATTTTGAGTTCGATCCTGTATCGCGGGCTCGCAAAAGAACACGTGCTTCAAATTCAACATGGCGGACGACAGCAGTGAAGAAGAGGCCAGTCAATCAACTTTAACTTTAGCTCTTGATTCCAACAAGCAGAAAGAATTTGAAGATAAAGTTAAAAAGCTGAAAGCTCAGGTATGTACATTTTTTGTCTAGAAAGATGGTAAGAAACCGGTTCAGTACTTATAGTCCTTGTACCTTCGTTTAATACTTCTGGCAAATTTCATATGTATTTGTGTTGTTTTTCCAGGCTGAAGACTTAACCCCCGGTGTAATTTACCTCGGTCACATTCCACATGGGTTTTATGAGAATCAAATTCGTGACTTTTTCTCACAGTTTGGCACTGTAAATAAAGTCAGACTCTCAAGATGTAAGAAGGTAAATACTAACAATGATAAGAAATATTGCTAGAACAGTTTCTTCAAAGAAACTGTTTTTATTTTTGGAATTTACTGCATCTTGTGTAAATTTGATTGAATGACAGTTGTGCCCATACTGTGCTGATTAATTAGATCACCTGGAGCTCAAAATGAATGAAAAGAGATTTCTCCGAAAATCAGTAAAGATGAATTAACCAAGTACAGCAAGTTTTCACAAATGTTTATTATAATGCGACCACTCAATAAACCTACAGGGGTAAAAATCAACCTTTTTGAATTGATTCAACGTTTTAGTTTGTGGAAAGTCAGAAAGGGGCTGAGCTAGGTAAACATAGCCTGCATTGCAGCCGACCCACACATTGTCTAAACCATTTGTGTAGACCGTCTGCGAATGAGTGAACCAAAGCGCGTTCTGATATCCAGCATAGTCACAAGGATATATTGAGCGTTTGTGATAGGCGGGTTTCTTACGCACCTGACAATTGGCCCAATTGTTACGTTTGTGTGATGGTTGGGTGCAGTGAGATGTCAAAGTTCACAGTGTGAAGGGAGTTGGCAAGGAGCGTTTATGGTAAACAATGAAAGAGCGGTTCGAACGTGAAAGCCTTCTTCTGAACAAAAAAAAGATTGCTTTGAGAAATTCCTTCGAGGAAAAATATAAGCATAAATTTGCTGACTGGTTTTCCAGCATCCTCCAATCGCTGCAGCTGCATATTCTGCACTCTAGCCAACAGTTCTGGTGTCAAAACAAATCAAGAAATCATGATATTCACAGACAAAAAAAAACTAAACTCGCGTCAGACACATAGCTATTCAGGTCCAGGCATTTCGGAGAAAACCAAAGACACTAACCAGCTTCCTGGACTCAAAGCAGGAAAAATGATTTGCTCATTCAAAGTTTAGAATACTTCATGCACTGCATAAGCAAGAAAGACCTCTGTTGTTCAAGCTGTAAGGTCATGTTTCAAACTATCACAAGCTCGTTCTCTCTTGTCAGGAGCCATGAGTCATGTTTGGCCTGTGAACACTTTGCTTCAAATCAGACTAATCACAAACTGAGTAAGAAACTAGCCAATCAAAAACGCCAACATATATCCAAACACGATTTTGTGCACATAATCTCCATAATGTATATAATAATTTCTAAAACTTTCATTAAGATTGATTCACTGTATCACCTTGAAATTTCAAGACAAATCTATCCTACTTACCGGTCAAAAATCTGCATTACAACATTCACTGTTTTGACGTTATGCTAATTTTCCAAAAAATGCACACTATACATACCTCCATGACTAGTACATTTTAGTTTGAATTTATTGCATCTTTTGAACGTAAAATACTGACAATACTCACACTGAAATGTGCTAGTCATCGATATATGTATTAGTCATTTCTTGATTTAGAAAGTACCGCAGTTGATTATTTTTGTTAGCTTTTCTGGTTGAATTGTTTTGAGTTTTTACATTGTTCTAACCCTCAGACTGCAAGATCAAAAGGTTATGCCTTTGTTGAATTCGCTTGTGATGAAGTGGCCAAAATTGTAGCTGAAACTATGCATAACTACATGATGTTTGGAAAATTATTAAAATGTGAGTATAAAAAAGCAAAAGATTTTAGTTAACGTATAGAATAACAATGTTACTACATGTATCACTGTTCAAGGCTGTGCTCAAAAAAATTGAAGGGAGCCCAGATGCTCATGAGTTAACTGTTTAGTCTGAAAGCACAACTACTGTCAAGAGTAAAAGCACATTTCACTGAAGCCATATGCTACAATCATATTTCCTTGTGGCTCAAAAAGTGTGCAAAAGAAATTTGCAAAGCATTCATTTCTGTAATAGCTTGCTGATGTGGGCAAGAGGGTGTGAAATGTTTGCGGACATCTTGTCTCAGATTTCCTAGTTATTTAGTGATAAGGTTGATGCACTGTCATATACAGTAAAAACCTGTGACTAAACACCTCCATTTTCCCAAGTTGAGTATTTTATCACTTCAGGACATCTCAAATAAAAACTATATATACATAATTTATATTTATAATCATGTAATAAAAATTTAGAGATTTTAAGATGGAATCCACTAGAAAATTGAGTAATTTTAATTTTTAGTGGACAAAAACCTTGTACCAGAATAATTTAAAGTACATTGCATTCTTTTTTAAAATTCTGAAGGATTAAAGATGTAATTAGTCATCTGTAATAACACCAAAGAAAATGTCTGATGGGTGCCCTAGAAAATGAATGTCAAATTTCACAAAATTACATCTTACACATGAAATTTTTCAAAATTTTGCCTGTGTTTTCACAATTATACCACTACATGAGAAATTTCTGCAATTTGATTGGCTTAGAGCAGTGGTATTTCAGCTTAATTTGAAATACCTACATGTGAAAATTACAAACCTTTTGCAGGTAGTGGTATAAACAAATAATAGCATGACTTGTACGTGATATTTGGCGTAAATAGCACTTGTGATATTTCAAAATTGTCTCAAATTTTAGTCGCCAAACGGCTCGTGAAATTACGTATAACAATAATTTTGAAATATCACTACAAATCATGCTATTACCTATACTTATTGTAAAATTTAATGTTCATTTTTGTGGACTCCCATGAGAAATTTTCTTTGGTGTTATTACAGATGACTAATAAGATCTTTAGCCCTTGAAAAATGTAAAAAATAATGCAATATTCTTTAAATTATTCTGGTACAAGGTTTGTGTCCACTGAAAATTAATATTACTCAATTTCCTGGTGGATTCTGTCTTAATATTGTAAAAGGCCAAGACTAATGGCTGAATCGCTGTTTAAAACTTCTTCAGTTACTTGCTCGTGATTAGCTTTGAAATTCTGGTTCCCAGCTCTCAATAAATATTTCTAGGTGGCTTGGCAACCAGCTGGTCACAATTTTGGACCCTTTACATAACAAAATAGTAGGGAGAGTAAGGCAGTAATCCATGTGTCTCAATTTTTGCTGAATTGCTTTGAAATAGTTTCTTATAAGTTTTCCTTTTACAATATTCTATTGATACTTCCACACACTAATTTTGCTGAAAAATTACTGACTTTCGACTGTGGCTTAAACGTTTTCAAGAAATGTTGTTTTTTTCTTTCTCAGGCAAAGTTATTCCCAATGAAAAAGTTCATCCAAGACTTTGGAAAGGATCAGACAGAAAGTTCCGTTACATAAATTGGAAGAACGCTGAAAAAAAGAAACAGAACAAGGTGATCATTGGTAGCCCCTGAAAACAGCCAACATTTTGCAATGCCCCACTGGTTTCCCCACAAAATGACCCCTGACGAACGAGCACAGAAATTTCATACCGATGACATGTCTCTATCCAGATCTGGGCAGTGGTTCTGATTGGTCATGCTGCATGGGAAATTTGCTTCAACCAATCAAAGGAACTACCCAGATCTGGGTAGTAATTTATCGTCAGTATTGTAGAGAAACTGTATTTTTGTGCTTGTTACTCAGACGTCATATCCAGGGGAAACCAATGGTGGCGTTACAAAATGTTGGCCGTCTTCTCAGTCTAGATTATTGATAGATTGTAAATGCACGCTTTGAGCTTGAAAAGGTACCTCTTTCAGTCCAGGCTTTCCTGTATGGACCACTATAGACCCTGGGTGGAAGCTGGGTATAAACTATTCTCTAACAACTCCCCAAGCTGAACTTGACAACCAAGCTGAATGTAACTCATGGCAGTTAAATTAATATTTGTAAGTTATATACTGTCAGCTTTCTCTGAATGGAAACCTGCCATAGACACCTACATTGTAGCACTGGTCCCTGCTTTTTTTCAACATAGCCTGCGTGGCAGGCGCAGAAAGGGGACGGGGAGGGGGGAGGGAGAAAGGGAAAAGGGAAGGGAGCGCCTGCTCTAAGAGCCTATGTTTTTGCATAACGCCTACCAATTTTCTAGTAATCCGATTACGCTTACTGTCAATCAAGTGTCGCTACACTCGCCATTGCAGAAAAACATTACACCCATGGACTAAAGAAATTTGCTTAGTTATTCAGATCCAGAAGGCACTTTGGAGAAAATTGGAACCCTTATTCAGCCGTAATAAAAAAAGCTTTACGCTTCAAAAGAGGTCAAAGAAATTGCGCTTGCATCAGAGGGCAAATCCTACCGACCAGAAAACAATATTATAACTACAGTCAATCGATATGTATGTCATGACCTCTCAGTGTGAAATATGCGGCTAAAATAACATTTGCTCAGTATAAATGCAGAACCTTCCAGAGCATATTCTACCCAGCAGATGAAAACAACTTTATTGGAATAAGCAGCATTTTGGCATGAGGTAAAACCACCCTCTTTTATTGCTAAATTACATCGGCGAATGTCATCGTTCGATAAATTGGCTAAATCTTTCGCTGGGTAGCCCAACAATTCCATCTCCTGCAACTGCTCTTCGATAATACTTTTCAGTAGCGAAATGACGAGAATCGTCGCATTACCATTTAGCTCGAAGTTCTTCGCGCGTACAAGCATTTGGTAAATTAAACTCTTGCCGTATACCGGTCCGCAAAACCGCCCAAACATCTCTGTCGGCTAAAAGAGCCCTTACTGCTGATTCTTGCTCTGGTTTTAAAACAGTTTCTCTACCACTAGATAAATCCACATCTCTCAAAGCACTCTCTACGACATCCACGTCTACCGCTGCCATCTCGACTGTTTGTTGATTTGTGAAACGCGCATTTCAATATGTTACTCATTATGGCTCAGCCAATCAGGAATTTGCGGATGCCAGCGTCCGCAGATATGAACAAAAGGGGGTTCTTAGAGCAGGCGTCCCCTCCCTCTCTCCCCAATCCCCCTCCCCTTTTTCCCTTCCTCCCTATCCCCTACCCCCTACCCCTTTCAACGCCCCTTTCAACATTTATTCTCAAGACAAGGTTGTATGTAGCAGTGAGAAAATGAGAATTGCTTTATAAGGAGGCAGTGTGGCTGAGTGGTCAACATGTCGGACTCACAATCTGGTAGTCCAGGTTTGACTCCAGCTCTGGTGACTTGCTGGATTTTTTTCTCGGTCATCCTGAGTTCAAATCCTCTGCCATGCTTTTAAATGGGGGGTAAATAGCCTGCCTCCTGCCAGTTGGTTAATTTTAGTCCTGTTATGTTGTATTTGAATTGTTCATTTCTAAGGATTTGGGTGGACTGCCTGTGAACTAGGTGAGGTGGATAAGCTAAGTGTTCTTTCCACTGTAAACCCAAGCCTTTTAACCTTTTTAAAACCTTTTATGTCACTTGGTGTTAGTGCCCAGTTTCTATCTTAGAGATCAAGAGTAGTTAACTTTGGAAAGGGGCTTACATCAAGGTATTCACAAAGATTCTATAATTTTTATGCACACCTTTCAGGAAAAGACTGACAAAGAACATGGCAAGCAAGTGAAGAATATTCTCAAGAAAGAAAATAAGAAAAGGAAAAAGATGAAAGAGCTAGGAATTGAATATGAATTTCCAGGATATGTAAGTCATTGTTGTGTTGATTACCATGCAATTTAACAAAGTTATTAGCAATGAGAAGCTGGTTTGTTAACAGTGATCATCAGTAGCTGAATATTGGTGCATGTTCGGAGCACTTGATGCTCATATAGCCTTACAAAACATATTCCAGCATGTTGAAGGATGTCAGATTTTCTGTGGAGTGTTCATCCAATTATCATTTCATTTTTATGTCCCTTCCCAATCCCTTTCCTATGTTAAATCGGGGGTTGAAAAAAATTATCTTGAATTTTAGCTTGTCCTTTGGGTAAACACACATTTGCTTGTTCCGGGTCTTGCTTGGCTTAGGTAATGATTTTGTTACAGGATGACTTGTCGCACCCTTACCCATTGGACAAGTAAGCTTTAAAAGTTACTTGCCCAGCAAGAAAATGGCGTTCAATTTAGGTTTCTGGGAAACTGCCCACCTACCACTCCCCTAACCCAACATTTTTCCGAGAATGTATTGTCCCGGACTTCTGGACAGGAATTTTTTCAAAGCTTGTAAGTGAGTTTGACTGGTGCATGCCAATGTGGGGGCTCATGGTTGGGTTGGAGTTTTTGGTCATGGAAGTTGTCACTGTGTAAGGTTGCCTGATCCCAGTGGCTCTTTGGCATTTCCAGGTACTAATCTTTCATACACTTACAGTGTGATGCATGAATTGATTTATTTCATATATTTCAATAAACATAACTCTATAAACAGTCCACAAAACCAGATTTCGGAGAGCTGAATAGCCCGAATAGTGTCCATTGTTCTGTTTTAACCAATTGAAAACTTCTTTCTCATTACCTTTGCCCTTTTTATACAGGCCTCTGAGATGAAAGCAAAACGTCCAAAACACACAAGATTTGACAGACAGGAAAAGAAAGAGTAGTGAACAAGCCAATGTTTCTTATCTATAAAGAAAAGGAGTCCAGCTAGTACAACAAATACAGCAACCTGTCTGAGATTTGGTCAGCTTTCAAAGAAACAAAGTGGAAGTTTGTCTCTATTTTAACAAACGGTTTTGCCAATACCTCTCCAATGTTATAAGTTTTGAAAAATTGTCGTGCTCTATAACTGAATCAAAAAGAGAGCATTAATTATTTTAGTTGTCTGAGGATGTTTTATGGGGTTCTCGAATAGGACCTCTGGATCCTTTAAGAGATGAATGCCTGCATATGTGAGTACGATTGCCGTGCCTGAACTTCGGTAAAATCTCGCTTCAGAATCTAAAGGTCTCTTATCTCAATAATAAAGAGCGAAGTCCTTGTTAAAAACGACAGTTTAACACAATTATACTACGGCCAAGGTGTGATACTACTGATTATATGTTTATTTGCGATAAAGCGAATTTTTTTTTATATGGTAAAATACTTTATACAACAAACTGTTCACTTCACAGTCCCCTTTTTTTCCGTAAGATCGTCGGCCATCTTAGGAAAAATAAGAGACTGTGAATAGTCTATTGTACAGTTGTGTACACTTCTCATTTGTTGGCTGTTTCTTTTTATTGCCTACTCGCTAAACAAGAGAACATGTGAATGCTGACAGGGCTTAAACCCAAGACAACTCTGATTATACCCTGCGAGCAGAGGCTACATTTTTGCTGTGTGAGCTGTCGTGCGAAAAGTGGTCTCTGTTTACGGAGAGGTGCTATAATCGTAGCCTGTGAACAGAACTTGCTTCTTTTCGCCCATTTGTTCACCGGTCTTTTCAAACCGCAGAGCCACGGAAAGACTTATGGTATTTAAATTTACTGGATTCTCATGTGATTCAAGTCGTGCGCTAGCATGAGTAGCAATTCATAGCAATGATGCGTAAAACAAAATTAAGTATATCAATTTTTAAAATGGGAAATGTGCTAAAAGAAGATCATCGTGTCACGAGTTTGGGGACAAAAATTAACATGAAGTCTTAATTTTTAATATAGTTTTAAAAGCGATGATAGGCTTAGCGGAGTTTTACCAAAGCAGGAAATAAGTAAGAATTAAATCTGACGATGATGAAATATTTTATGTCGCGTCTTGGCGCCAAAAAAAAAAAACAGGGGTTACTTAAAGAAGGTTTAAACGGGGAGGCTCTGCCTCAAGGACCAACCTCTTACCCTTTTATATACCATTTTTCATAAAAAAAGGTAGCCCATTCGTATACCTTCTATTAACAATTGGTACGCCTTTCATATACCTTGTTTAGAACTTTGCTTCCCTTTTAACTGCTGTAACTGCTCCGTCTTTTCAGTATGAATAAATCTCTAAACCAGAAAGTTTTCTTGTCTCTTTCACATCCATAAAATGTGTCTGTTAGCCCTTTTTGGTCCTTTCAGAGACCCAAATGACAGATTTCCTTACCCTTTTATATACTTCAACGAGTGGAATCCCCACCCTTTCATATACCTGAAGTCTGAAAACGGTATCCCTTTCGGCCGGAGCCTTCCCTTATAGGCCATTATAATTAATAACTTATTAGCCATATATGGCTAGGAATTTTTTGTTGTTTGTAATTTTAGTTATTTGGAGATAGTTGATATACTATTTATTGTTTCAGACTCCAAATAAATAAAACATGTATGTATGTATGTTATAGGGAGGGAGTACCCTCCCCCCCTCAAGAAAAAAAAAACGAACTGAGCTCATTGTGTTATCTTTTGCCAATCTAAGTCCTGATGTTGCAAGTCAATAGATTTTCGTTCCATGCCGGGGATAAAACAGTGCTAATTACCCGAGAACTTTATTCTAATCTGCTGTGGAATTCTACCTGAATTTGTTCCATTTAACGAACTTGAATTCGGATTTACAAGTGCACGTGGTCAATCGAGGGAGCAAAGCCAATTTGCTGCATAGATCAGTATATTTTCAGTCTTTCCTTTGTTCCAGTAAAAGGAAAAGGACTCAATCATGAAATAAATCTGAAATTAGGTTTGCCCATAGTCAGTGGCTTGCCATATAAACCTTGTTGCCCGTGCTGACATTAGCGGATAATAGTGACCTTATTAAGACACACTGTTTCTGCCTACGGGTACGGGTAAGCGAACATGTTTGCCACTTTGTTATATAAAAGGTGGCCATGATTCCCAGGGTAAGAGGCAATCTATTTGTATTTACGGCTACACGTATGGGTATTTACCCGTACCTGTACACAGAAACGGTATCTTAAAAGGTCTCTAATGTGAGGGAGCTATTGCAATGTAGTAATGACCTGGGCGTCAAAGGGAAAGAAGGCCGTGGAAAAAGAGAGCAGAGAGGCGGCTCTTGTGATGAAGGTAATGTCCTTGTTGTCGAAGCCCTTCAAAACCTCTAATTTTATCCGTTCTTCCCGGAACGAAGCCGTATTATTTCAGGGCTAGAGTCCACTGCTTGACTTGTTCTTGTTGTGGGTTAATTGATTTTTCACTCAATCCTGTTAGCTGTTCCGATAGCTTCGGTCTATCCTTGGACACTCGGGGACAACTAACAGGCCATTCGCCACTTCCTCATTCATTGCCTATGATACACCTTGTCAAGTCAAGTTAAGTCAAGGCATATTTCCGGATGACTGGAAATGCGCAAAGGTCACCCCACTTTTTAAACAAGGCGATCGGGACGACTTAAACAATTATCGTCCAATTTCGGTGATCTCAGTTATGGCCAAGGTCTTTGAAAGAATCGTCTATGATCAATTATATGCCTACCTAGAAGAGCACAATATAATCTGTAAATATCAATCAGGCTTTCACGCTATTCACTCAACTGTCACGGCTCTCCTTGAGGCCACGGACACTTGGGCGTACAATATTGACCGCGGTAAAATCAACGCCGTTGTTTTCTTAGATCTCAAAAAGGCCTTCGACACAGTTGACCATGAGATCTTTTATCAAAATTAAGCAATTACGGCATATATGGTAACGCGCACCAATGGTTTAAGTCGTATTTAGAGAATCGTACTCAAATGTGCTCCATCAACGGATCGCTCTCTCAAAGCTGTTTATTAAGTTGTGGTGTACCCCAGGGGACGATTTTAGGTCCATTATTATTTCTGTTATACATCAACGATCTTCCAAACTGTCTTTCAAACTGTGAGCCGAGGATGTACGCTGATGACACCCACCTTACGTACGCAGGTGATAATGCAGACAATATTCAGTTGCATCTAAATCAAGATTTAGAAAATGTTCACAATTGGCTGAGAGCAAACAAACTTATTCTAAATATGACTAAAACCGAATTTATGCTTATCGGATCTAGGCAGAGGCTAAGTACTCTCACAGAGTCCCCGACATTTGCAATTAATGATTTTGAAGTTAGCCAGGTCACTACTGCAAAATCACTTGGAGTGACCATCGATGACAGACTTGATTGGAGTGGCCATATCGAGAAAGTAACAAAGAAAGTCGCTTCTGGTATTGGGGCCATAAAACGAATAAGGCACCTTGTCCCTCAGGCGACCTTACAACTAATATATCAAGCTTTAATACAGCCACACTTTGATTATTGCAACATTGTTTGGGGAAACTGTGGGATAACCTTACGGAATAAGGTTCAAAAGCTACAAAACAGAGCAGCCCGTGTTTTGACCTACTCAAGCTATGACGTAGGTGCTGGTCACCTTTTCAAACTTCTAGGGTGGAAAAACCTAGCTTGCCAGCAACAATTTCAAAGAGCTACGATGGTTTACAGGTCTCTGCACGGGTTGGCTCCAAACTATCTTAGTTCTAAATTTGAAAGGCGAGAAGTCGCATATAACCTAAGGGACTCTGAAAATAAACTCAATATTCCATTACCGCGCACAAACTATTACAAAAACAGCTTCAGCTATAGTGGCGCCATTCTCTGGAACAGTCTTCCTTGTAACTTAAGGGAAGCAGAGTCCCTTGGGCAATTTAAACGATTACTCAAAGAACTGTAAGGCACGGCATTCGTGGAAAGCAGCTTTTTTATTTAAATATTTTTATTATATTAGTATTAGGCATTTTTAAAGCTGACGAATTTTGTACCGTGAATAAATAAAGATTATCTATCTAAGATTATCTATCTATTCCCCGAAATTTTGCATAAGCTCGTTTTCGCTTTCTCTTGGGACGACTGTAATATCCAGGAGAAATGAAAACAACCTCTACGATATTCTATTTTTTTGGGGGGGGGGGGGGGGGGGGGGGGATGGGGTGGAGAGATAAACAGGGTGTATTTTTGGGCAATGTCAAAGTGGCCAGTTACAAAACACTCATTTTAAAATTGACGCCAAGTGCAAAACCTTCATTGACAATTAAGTCCCGGGTTCAGACGCCAACCTGCGAGCAAGCTCTCCATTTGGGGGATATCGTGAAAAGTACAAGGCTATTCACTGTGTTCAGACTCCGAACTTTTTTACTAAGTCGAAACTAATACCGATTTACTTGAATTTAATTACACGAAAAGTTCGGCGTCTGAATCAGTTAGAACGCCAAAGCCGTTCTTCCCTCTTAGCCCGGCCGGGAATTTCGACTTCGAAACGGCTTTCCCATTCATCCAGTCTAAATAATTTGGGTCGGCTTTATTCGAGTTAGGTTTTGCTCACGAAAAGTTCGACGTCTGAAACCGGCCTAAGGTTCATTTTCATATCAAAGACTTCGCACGTAACCTCGTTTTCAAAAAGAGGCTTAGGGAAACTCGAAAGTTGGTCTTTTGGGATGGGATATTTGGATCACATCAAGAAAAATAATGATAAACGGGAATGCCAAATGACTTTGAACTGGCTTGGTAAGAGTAAGTTCTCAGGGGCTTTAATGCTCTTGTCGCAAACTTTGCCTAACGCTTTCCACAAACATCCGGATATTTTTTGGGAAAGTTAGTAGTGTCGGAGGTATTTCAACAATTCTCAGGTATTTACAGTTTTTTTGGATATTTTTATTTCTATTGACTAATCTGAGCCCTATATTTTATGCTCTTTTTAGCTTATTGTCGTGAATTAATACTCAGTACTACATCTTTTATATCAGTTGAAGCAGCGGCCATTTTGCAAACGGCGGGTGATGGTAACATTGATGAGCCTGAAAACCCTGAGTCGTCTTCTTCTACTCGTTCTACTTCAAAACACTAACGTTATATATTTACGTAGACAATCCCATTACATACTTTCTAAATTCTCACAGGTGACCAGCTGGCCTGCGTCGCAGAGGTAATTTAACCCTGTACTTCACCGCAGATTTAGTTTCGTCTGTAGCGAAGGCTAACAAGATGAACAAGTGACAAAATTGGCATAGATACCTGTTCAAAATCGGTTATTTTAAACTAAAATAAAAGATATTTAGACGCCAGTAGAGGGGGTTTCGAGAGAATATTAGAATTTTCTTTTTTGACCATTTCCGGAAAGATATTTAAGCGATTTTACTTTGTCCAAAAAGATTGTCATCTGCCCGTGAATATTCTTTTCCCGGCCTCCTTCACGGGCGCTTTGGGACGCACCAGACGAAGCAAATCGAAAAGAAGCCAACCCAGAGGCATAACCGTTGTCAAATTAATTCAAAGCCACCCACATTCTTGTCCCAGGAGGAACGCGTGACGAAACACTAAGAACGACTGCGTGGAACACAACACACGTTTTGATCACGGTGGAGGCGAAGCCAACTTTCACCGTCCTTCCGTCCTTTGCGCATAGTAAGAGAGAGAGAGAGCCTGGGTATGAGGCTAGGCCGCCCCTGCGTCTCGGACGATGTATTATTTTATTTACATTGGCAAATCTCGTCTCTGACAAGTTTCCATGTTCAACACTTAAGCACGCCAGTTTTTGAACAAAGAAATACGGTATGTCGAGCTGGTTAATCTAAAACAAGACTTTGGTTAACTGTGTAGGTCATACAAATGTTGGAATAAACTATCCACACTCAACTTTGTTCCTAGGGCTTATTTTTTCTAGTTTCGCGCACTTTACATGGGAAAAGGCGTGGGAACAAGGTTGTATGGTAATGCATCACCGGGGAGCTGGGAGCAATTTTTATCCAAAAACGAACCAATAGACTATAAAAACTATAATTAAAAACGCGTTATCTTTAATAATGAGCGATATCTTTACATAACAGTAGTTTTCATGTTGGTTTCCGATACTTGCACTGAATCCAGATACGATACATTTTAAGCTGTCGCCCGCGATTTACTTGTAGTCTACGATCAACGTAGTTCTGCTCTTCAACTAGTCCAGCCTGTTTAAACATGCGCGAAAGGTCATCTGAAAGAGCAACGTACATGGCATTAGTATGGTTAGGTCTTGAATGAAAATGGGTATCGGGGAAAAAGACTTCACGTCACCTAGCGTCCATAGTCTTCTAGGACAGCGGGTAGTCACCAGAAAAGTCTAAGTACACCGTGTATGGCGAGCAGTGACGACGACTGTAAAGTTTGTAGTCGTAGTCAAGGATAACGTACACTAAACGTACCCATACACAACGTAACGCACCGGTAAACCATGGGAAAAAAAACAATTTGTAAACGGTTGTTTGACACTGCTTGAGACATAAGCTTGAATGTATTCAGTCATAATATTTTTTCGTCGGTATTTGTAAAACATTGAGGGTGGCCGAGTAAAACTGTCATTTTCACAGACTTTAAATCGCATCATTGCTGTTTTAAATCGCACCATTTTTGCTCTATTGGGTATCATTCTGTTTCGAATACAAAATAAGATTTAAAAGCCTTTTTGTTTCCGCTTTTCAACAAACCAGCTAATTGATCATTATAATATTGGTACTGACAGAATTCTGCGATTTTACAACGGCTGTAATAAAGTGGTAATTGAACTTCGTCGTGTAATTTTGGTCCCATATCATACGTGTGATTTCAGACAAAATTACACCCCACTCAGTTCAATTACCATTATAAACCAGTTAGTCTGCTAATGGGCTCCGAGGCACTTTGTTCTGGTGATCGACCAGTGGACAGTCTGGAATTTTTCTACCAGTTATTCACTTCTTATTTTTATTTTTAACCAACCCAAATCCAAAATTTTAAACACCGCCCCTTAATTTGTATGCATTGAAAACATTCGAAAAATCACCCAAAAATTCTCAAGAAATTATTGAACCAAGGACTCCAACTTAATTGAGTCATTTTTTGGTTGAATGAGATCTTGGCTAGATATTTAAAAGGGCGGAAATCAACGAAAACAATGCATTTAACCAAACTGCAACCTTAATAAAAGTGCATATTTATGAAGAACAAAAGTTTGGGTCCGTTTGTGTCCTAGACTACAAGACACTCCGTATTTTTGCGTATTCAAGTACGCGCGAGCAGTCAAACGAAAGGTCTGGAACAGAGAGCGAGACTGGGGAGAGACGCTTTTCTCTCGCGCGCTTCGCGCTCAAGACTCTTACGCCACGCTTTACCGATTTCTTTACTGATTTTGAGAAAAAAAACCCCGACTGTTTTGCAGTCTATTTGTGTCCCTTATCATTTAGTATTCTGTTTTATGAAGTGTTTTTATTTCTTCGCATTGCGACCTTGACCTTGCTAACTGAAGTGTACAGGTTAAAAAAAAGCTACGCGCGTAAAATTTTTGTCGAACTTGCTTACCACTGATATTAAACAAAAAAGCTGTAACTGAGAACAATAAATTGAACACGCATTCCGATGAGTCATTGGTCAAATTAGAGTTTTTGAATTCCTGCCTAGGGAGGCTGCGTTTTGTTTGAAACAGAGAAGTCAAGGTTAAGGTAAAAAAAACTGCGGAATAATTTAATCAGCACACGCACACAAAAAAATTGATTATAATATAACAAACTACTGCGGCTTGCTACAGCCTGAGGGAGTCTAAAACAGGATTAAGAAAACCAAGGATGACCCAGGATTAGTTGACATTTAGACTCAAATCTACGCCTTTTTAAAAAACGGATTCCGGTTGATTATTTTTGGCTAACATTTTGGCTTAAAACGTATTCTCGGATTGTACAATTAAATTAAGAATAAAAACCTTGGCAAAGATAAATCTCGGATAGCCCTTGTATCTCGAGCGACTTTTTTAGTCTTCACATGTGCGCACCGAAACCGGGTGAAGTGTCTAGGCGAATCCCGGCTCTAACTGCGAACGCTAACACATCATGAAAAGCTGCAAATCTCACAGCTGTAAACACCAACCAAACTACTGCTGAATGAACGCATAGCAGTAAAGATACTAGATAGTTATTGAGGTGCGTACTGCGAAAATCATCATTTTGCATGTTTGAGTTGTCACCTTGGCGTCAAAATCAGACGCAGCAGGTGCACATGATCGAAGGTAATGTTTTCATTTCTCCTGTAAAATCAAGAACAATCCTAATTCTTTTCTGTAAAGTACAAAATAACAATAGCACTGTGAAAAAGTACTGTGAAAGTGGTTTCATATGAATGGTAACATCATAAGATTTCGTGCACAGACTCAAACGTTAGAAGCACATTTGCTGTCTCCAAAGTTGTCTCTTGGGGTGATGAGGGTGTAACGGCTGTGTGCTATACACATTTTTTGGTATTTTAGCGTCGCGTAAGTATGAATTGGCTGAAATTAGTGAGTAAAAAAACTCGGTTTAAACGATTTTCCAACGTACACACACAATGGAGCAATGAAATGCAGTGTAGCCTAGTAAAGTCTATGGTAAATATGAAGAAGAGTCGTACAGTCTAGTGAACTCTATGGGTCACGAAATGTCGTGGTATGATCTTTCAAATAAAACCTTTTCTGCAGAACGTTTATGCAGTAATATTTATTTCCAGTATTTTTCAAGTCTCTTTCTCTCTAAAAAGCGTAAGTGAGCACGAGGGAGAAAAAAAAAACAGGGATCGGGTACAAAAGACGATTTGCTCTTTTTCAGTGGTGTAGACAAAACTCTAGCTTCATATTAGGTTTAGCTATGTTTGTTGCTAGCAAATATGCTAAAACACGCTATTGTTACAAAATAACGCCAAGCTATTTACTACTTGTGTCGACTCGTGAACGCTTTTTGTACAAAAGGAAACTTAAAGATAAACAGACGCTTACAAACAAATCCAGCGCTCTTTCAGTATCTATTCAAGCTGACTCAACACATGTTCATCACAAAGTACTGAATAGGAAATTTGCAAATTAAGAACTTGAAGAATTTGTCCATGGCACAACAGCAAATTAATAAATATGAGTCCATATTGATAACAATTTGATTTCATTAAGTTAATCACAATACTCGTTTTCAGTTTCACAGTCCATAGTCCGCACAAAGGTCATAAGTAAGAAGAGCTTTATATTGCTGGTTTAACGTACCAATGATGCATCAAGAAAAACAACGCAAAAAAAATCAGCCTTGCTGAGAACAAAAGAATTATGCCTGCGCGCGTCCAAACACAAGCAGCGATTCTCTCCGCAAAAAGAGCATCGGGTTGTTTTTCACCAATTTTTTTTTTTTAGGTGCAGGAAATAGGAAGTAGTTTAAACCTTCAGAAGAGAGTATTTCCGTCTTCGGACTAGCACGTTCTAAACTTTAGTCATATCCAAAAACGAACACACTGTGTTAAACGTATCCGGTGTGACTTAAGGTAACAACGATTTAAAAAGGAATTCTCTGAAGCCTGTTGTTGATGCCAAAACATCCGTTTATCTTCACGCTCAGCTGAAAATGTTTTAGTAACGCCAGGCGGCCACCAAGGATTTTTGACTGTTTTTTGAAACTAACAAAATAGGAATCTAGTTATATATTATCTCAGTGGCTGAACAGCTGTAATAGAAGTAAATCTTATTAAGTAAACTAGTAAAACCAGTCAAATAAAATCCACCATTTACAAAATTCTGCACCAGCTTTCCGCAGACATATAGAATTCGGGATAAGCATACCACCCCTGTCACACCATATACAACTCCTTTCTGTTTTGTGACTGTCTGGTCTTGGATTTGTGCAGAAAATGAATTGTGCATATTAAACCAATCACTATTCGCGAGCAGAAAGCCAAAGTTCTCGGGTGGTAAGGCAGCATCAGACACATTTCATACCCAAATTCTCGGCAATAGCTACCTGTTTGCGAGAAGCTTTCCACAGAGCCTTATGGCTACCCCCCACAGTACAATCAGCTTATAGCACCTGTATGGAACATATGACAAAGATAAATCTACTCTGGAATGGTGCTTTTCTAAAGCGGGGTTAGGGTTTTTTGTATCGGCAGGAAAAATTGCTGGGGTACGTGTACAAATATATTTAGACGTTGAAGAAATAAAGTTTTCAGTATGTATGAATGACCCAGAAAAAATGGGAATGAAAACTGAGCAGCGATTGAAATATGCACAGCTGCGGATGGGAAGAACCTCAAATCCGCTTTAAATGAATTTAACATAGCTTGGAGATAGTGAATCAAACCAGTGATAATTAAAAACAAAAACAAAATGATAAGATTTTTGTCAACAAAATAGGACTCATTCAGTTCTACCACTCATAAGAGAGGAACCGACCAAAGAATTTTACAGGAATTTAGCCTATCATATTACGATGGCAGAGCAACTATTTTGCTGGAGTCAGTGCTTCTTATCTTGGCATAGTTTACAATATAATATAAGATTGTAAATAAAATTCCTCGCGTGGTTTCAGGAATATCAACACGAAGAAGTATGTCTTCCTCTCCTCTCTAATCCTGAGACGGAAGCCTTGAGTTTGAAGTCCATGTCCGGAAAACAATGATTGGCCAAGATTGAAATGAAACTATTTGCCAGCGAACGTCACTCTAAATAAACCTGTACAAGTTAAAGCCACGGAAAACTGGTTTGACGGCAAGACCTCGCCTTGGTAATAAAACATTCCTAATACAATAATAGTTGGTTGCTTAGATAATCTTCGAAATCATTTTTAAACTTGAAAGAGCTTGCGGTTTCAACTGAACTTTCAATTTCGATTTCCTTCACCGATAAGTTCAAAACAGCTTTGGTTTATTTTTGGAGTTTGTAGAGGTGGGTTTCTCTTACAAGCAATATCACATGATATTAATGATTACTCTGCTGATCGCGCAGTCACCTGCTTGGACAATAGTTTACATGAACATCTAATGCGCTGCCGTCCAATAGCGAGGATTCCTTCAGAATGATCGAGAAAGAGTTTTGATAAAAGATTAGCTGTTGAAAATGGGAGTTTAAACAAGTTGGCAACTCCAGTAATTATAATCCCGACTGAAATGCAAATTTTCTAGGGTTTATTATCGACTGTGTTTGATTTTGACTTCTGGAGCGACATGTTTGGGATGTTATTGTCCACTGTGGTTAATTATGTTCTTGTATTGACTTTAGGGCTATAACAATGGGTCGAGACGCTGAACAATGGCAATAAAGTTCCATCACCTGTTGTTTTCTGCTCTTTAATTCAAACAAGAGCTGATTTGCTCTAAAGCTCATCTTTATAGCGACACCGGAATTCCTATCGGTCTGATTCCTTGAAATCGAAGGAAGGGCGAAGTCGGGAATGCGCACTTCAGGTCAATAAGTCTTTTATCAGCATGCTTATGCCAGCTAGGGTGTGAATTTAATGAGGTTTTACCCAGTTGCCAAATAAGACACGGTTGATATTTTGATACCAAGCTTGCCTCCTGGCGCGGAATGGCAATAAAAAGGTGTATTAATGTGTTACACCTGACACATGACGTCACGGGCAATTGACCAATAAAAACACTTGAAACACAGACGGGCCTGAGTCGCCCTCATCAAAAACTCCCTGCACTGAACGTTGCAAAGCACACGTATAGAGTTGTAATCGGACAGAAGCGAACTCTGCGGCTGTCAACCGGCAGAAAAAGCGCAGACGAAAATGCCTAAAGCGTTCCTTGTCAAGAAAAAGAGTGAAAAACTAAAAAGATTTCCCTCGAATCTGTTCGTCAAAAGGCAGGCAATCGGTGAGTGAAATAATGTATTGTGTTAATTCTGATGCACTTGTCATATTTTGGACAGGTAGCGAGGATAGAGAAAAATTTTTTAATGAACTTCGACCAAATCAAAGCATTTGCGTTTCTCGTGATTTGCGCTCGCTCTTTGCATTGACTTTGCCTAATTATCAAATGGCTGCTCTTTTGCCACGAATTTTTGATCGCTGGTTTGCGTTGCTAACAGTGCGCTGAATAATTTGTAAACCAAATATCTGATTCCTGCCATGTGTTTTCTGCACACGCAACAGGTTATAGTCAAGAATATGAACATGCTGCCCCGCATATCAAAAGCCCAAGAGTGCACTTACAAATACCCACCGAAATCAGGTGGGAGAAGAAAATATTCTCCTATCCAGCTGAAGTTTCTGGACTCGCAGTGCTTAGGGAAGCACCAAAGAGCGGCACCACAGAATCTCAGGAAAAACACAAACAACCTGACTATAGGAGCGTCGATGAAAACGGTAATGAGATCGCCCCGGGGCAGACAGCGAGAAACGAATTACAATGCCAAGAGTGCAGTAAAAGCTATTCATCGGTTACGTCGCTACTTCGCCACCAGCAATACCACTGTCACCCGCATCACAAGCGCCCGTTCCACTGCAAGTACTGCGATAAACTCTACATGTCGCTAGGAGCTCTTAAAATGCACATCCGAACGCATACACTTCCCTGTAAATGCAAAATTTGTGGGAAGGCGTTTAGCAGACCCTGGCTTCTTCAAGGACATATTAGAACCCACACGGGTGAAAAACCTTACAAATGTTCAAACTGTCAGAGAGCTTTCGCTGATAGATCGAACCTACGCGCGCATCTTCAAACTCATTCAGAGGTCAAGAAATACTGCTGTAGTTTGTGCTCCAAATCTTTTTCAAGGATGTCGTTGCTGCTGAAGCATGAAGAAAACGGATGCCCAGGAAACACTACTTGACTGATTTAATTCCAGAACTTTCGGTTCGACCGAAAAGTCCCATTTGCCTTAATTCGAAAAGTTTTAATGCCGCACCAAAAAAATCTCAGTTGTTTTTTGTTGGAAAAATGTTTTTGTTGAAATACGAAGCCACAAATCAAGCACAACAAGACAATACTAGTTCACCTTGTGACTAATGGGTTTGCAACAGGTTAAAAACATGGCGATAGCTGTCCATAAAGACAGAGAAACGCGATAACCGAACAATCAAAGCCTTAGAAATTCAAGGATGCAACCGAATACTTTACCATAACAACTGGATCACTCTAACTTTGCGGCCTTAAAAAGCGTTTAATGACCTCAGACATTTTGGGGAGCATACAGAGAGACAGGAAGCAGAAACTCGACCCAGTATAAAAAAGGAGCTAAAGTGTAGCTAGAAAAAATTATTATAAGGTCATAATTTATATTGACAAACAGAAAAAATGTACAAAGATGATCGTTTCTAAATAAAGCGGATTTTCATTTTCAGTGCTCTAGTCGTTGATGTAATCCTAAGACAATGCGACCGCTATAATCTGTTCAGGCATTTAACTGCGCTAAACACCTGTCGACCTGAAGTGAATAATCTCGCACGAAGAGAAACTCGCTCGAAAACACCTTGAATTCAGCTTAATCAGAAACAGGCTTGTTTCAGAAAAGAAGCTATTGGTGTTGGTAAAGATTTGTTAACAAACCAGCGAGTTCATAATACGCAATTTAAAATCACCTGTTAGCGCCTCCGGGGAATCAATATAAATAACTGTACAGCTAGCTTGTTTTGTAATCTAATAATAAAAGCAACGAATATAGGATTCTATGATTATGAATAGCATTAATTTTGCAAGAAACATTTGATTGTCAAGCAAAACTGAACTGAAGTTGCCGAAATGAGTTAAAACAACATGACTGATGGAGTTCCTTCGCGCAAAAGAAGCAAAATTAAGAAAAGAGGAGTATTGATGGTTGCGAGGTGCAACATCCAGCATAAAAAGAGTCTTTGATAAAGATTAGAAAACACAACAGGTTCTTAGACAAGCTCCACGGATCAGCCAATGGAAATCAGCCCTCAACCTGTCGCACCGAGACAGTTTTTAATCACAATTTACTAGCCATAGGCATGATTTATTTATCTTTGAGCGCGGGCGACCGTCAAATTCAATCAATCGCTTGTAATTAGTTTCCCTGCTGTTCCAACTAGCGGGTAAAACTGTGCATTATGTTTCCTCATATAGCTGTTGTAGCAGTAGCTTGGCAAATTAGATTTCTTAGCCCCAACAGCGAAAAAAAGAAATATTGCTTAAAAGTTACAAAGACAAATATGAATGCTGTTGTGTTGATCGAACGACTGGTTTGCAATAATCAACATAAGAAAAGTGCTTTCATTTTATCTCGCAAAACCTGCCAATTAACTAGTCAAATGTATTCACCATTTAACCTTATACAATATCTTGTTATTGAAGAGGGGCTTTATTTCGATAATCAATGCCAAATAACATCACGTCCCGGGGAACATTTCAGTCTCGACGACAGGGAATTAAAGTTGAAATAAAACCGACATATCCGGGGTACTTTCCCCTGTAGGTTTTTATAACCACCTGTTGTAACATTAAAATGTTTCTATTCACAATGAACACGCACAAAACTCCGCTAATTTTCGTGGTTTGTTTGTTAAATCAGATAATGCTGTTTTTCTAGCTTTACCTCAATCAACGCTAGTGATGAATAAGGACAAATGTTAAAGGGTGACGTTTAATGGAACGCACGTTTTTAGTGAAAAACTTGGCCAACGGTTTCAGTCGAATTAAACTACAAGAGGAACTCTAGAGTGGACTTCCGGACAAAGTGAGTTCACCATATCAACCAAAAAGTATTGTAGACCACCTATGAGTTTGCTGCGTGAAGAAGATAAACCTTCAGTGCTAAAAACAAGTTCTGGAGTCATGTGAAGATAACGTGCAACAACGCTGCCCATTAAAAGGAGTCAAAAGCCGTTTCGTCGTATTCAGTGTCGATGAAGCATACGAAATATTCACCTTATAGCATTGTCAAGTAATTCCACCTGTTTCCTTCAAGTTATGTACATTTGGCGTGGGAGTAAAGACGCAACTCAAACGAGTCTTCCGGGGGAGGCTGCCGTATATTGACGGGGAGTCCTGACAGGAAGATGAAAGGACTTGCAAGTTCAGTCAGACCACTTCTTTCCTACTTGAAACGTTTTTACATGAAATGTTGGATTATACACACACTTCAGTGTAACGAAAAATGGAGTTGCAGCTGGGTATTCCTCAATATCGTGTTAAAGGCTATCCTGCGGAAGGCATAGATTCAATCGCTTTACTTTGAAGCTTCGTTTTTTCACCCTCTTACGACCAGAAAAGGCTAAAGAAAAGATTGGACCCAAATAATAGACCGATTGATTTTGTAAAATGCTGAATAATAAAATAGTACTATAGTAGAAAAACTGCCACTTGAGTGGTGATAAACGGTCACAGGGGAAGATTTCGTCCAGACTCAAAAGTTAAAACTATTTTACAAGACACAGCCGCCATCATACACTCAACAGTGACTCTAGGAGAGAAAACGCTTATTATGAAAATGCAACCTTATTTTAGTTTGAGCTGTTACCTCGAAAGGCACATTCTCTCACCTCTATTACTTCTCAGCAGTGGCATTATAGTCAGCTCTGTTAGACAGTAAAAGAAATTTTCGCCACACATATTTTCAAAACACTGATAAATGAAAAAGAATGTTTGTTTATGTATTCGTTGAACGTTATAAAGCTTCCGATGGTTGACAACACTGTCAAAGTCGGCTACTGAAAAATACCTTGCCCGTAGATGCCTGTCGCTAAGCAGGGTTTGGTCAGGGAGCGCTGATATTGAAATAAAAATTCTCTTTATTAACGGCCAGTAGAAAAGAGAAAATATCATATTATCATATTAGTATACTACTAATACTTTCTACGATCGCGGCGGAGGCAGTTTGGTACACTAGCTGCATGTCTCTTATCTGGTCACGATCCTTCCTTGCTGCGCAAAGCTTTTACCATATGTCTTGTCACCTTCAATTTTCTTAATGTTCTTTGATTCATTAACATGATAATTTTAACGCTGAGTTACGTATTTTCTGCAACAAAAAGGCCATAATCTACTGCCTTTTGGAAATATCTGAGTTAGAAGAAAAGATTACCACTTACTTCACCTGTGCCCCCCGGAAAACGTTCTAAGATAGACAGTGGGTGTGTCTGACAAAGGACTCATTAAACCACAACAAAACGTCCAGCGAAGCACGAACATCCCACTATTTCATTTGTAATCTGTAATTTAAACACCCCGATTTAAAAAGTCACTTGACAAAAAAAAAAAATTCCTCTAAAAATATTTTTTAGAGGTTTTGGATGTTTGCGGCAACTGGACGTTGACAAATATTTAAAATAACGCGAGCATAATTTTGAGCCTCGTAACACTGCCCTTGAGCGCACAATTCAGATAATTTATTATCCAATTATACAAAAACTGTTTTTAGACCTTCATTGTAACTAGTCTGCCGGTCAGAATTTTTTTTTCTGCTTATCACAAAATATTCATGCTCTGTAAAGTGTTTTAAGTATGACTGTCAGAAAAAAATGAAAGAGACAAAAAAGAAAGGTCTTCGGATGTTACTCCAGCTGGAACAATACAGGAAGCAGTGAATTACGAGAATGAAAAGTTTGATATTAGCCTGCAAATACAGGCGTCTCTTATTGCTCCTCGCAGCTAGGGAAGAAACGACTATATTCACAGGCTCGTTTGATATGTTCTTTAATAATCACTTCTTTTCCACTTTTCTCGTAGACTTAAACAAATACGGATCACTTGATTACAACTATGGTTACTACTTATCTGGATCAACAAATAACTACAACAACGAGCCAACCAACAAAACAAACTAACTAAACACAAACAAGGATGTAAGTAACCTGCTGCTCTTGGCTGAAGTTTTGTGGAGAAAGCCGGCTTCCTTAATAATCATCGTTGGAGGTCAGGAAAACCCTCCTTGACTTCCCAAGGTCGTATTCACCAGCAGCTCATAGAATCAAGCCAATTAATTTTTTCTAACTTTAGAAATTGTGGTTAAATCCTTGAGTGGACCGTGAAAAAAGGCCACTAAGAAGGAAAGTTCTGCGCTCTCTTTCTTTGTTTTAAAACTTCGACTTCCAGAGGAGGAAATTTTTCGCTCCATGACTCAATCTTTCTTAGCGTTTTTAGGGTCAAAAGGTTACTTTCGAAGCCATCACAATCGAGTCACGTACAACAATTAACGAGAAAATTTTAACTTCCATTAGCCGCAAGGCTATTTGTTAAGTTTGGGGCTTGCAATGTTTTCACTACTTTCAGTACGTGTAGAAAATCCTCAAGCAGAATTTGAACCACTAGTACTGCTCAACGTCCAGCATTCTAGCAAATGAAATTTGTCCCATTTTTCGAAATTTCTAATTTTGAGGGCTTAATTTAATACATGGCTTTCAGTTTCCGCTCCGCCTAATTACGTGTACTGCTTAGCAGGTTTCTTTACTTTGACGAGCACGTACTTACACAAAAAATAACAAATTGTTGCAGAAAAGTCTTAAAAAGGATAACAAATACCACCCTGTATATTACCCACCGAAATCTTCGTGTTGGAAGTCATGTTTTTGTTTGAAAGAGTATTAAAACACAAAATGTTCAGTGAGACTTCACATGGAACCGGTAGCGCTTATCGGAGCATATTTAAATCAGGAAAGAATGAAAATGTAATCAATCATTATTAATTTCTAAAAACGAATATTCCAGGGTGGTCATGGTACACTTCACTTTTCGTAGCTGTGAGAAACTTGAAAAGCTCGTCTTACATAAGTGACGCCCTACTAAAGATTGCAGGGATCAAGATTTTCGGTTTAAAAGCGATCGCAATTTTCTAATATTTTTTTCATAAAACTACTGTAGTAGCTAATGCAAGAGATGATTCCATCACGTACTGTGAATTATAGCGATTAAAAATGCTCAATTCTGTAAAAAGCGAAATGACAGTGATTTTACTCACTGGTATGTGTACCACATGACACCTTATGGCGGCAAAGATAAAAAACGGACATAAAAGAGAGAACTGAATACGAAATGTAAAAGCAGCACCGTGGGAAAGTACATATAACTCCCGGAAGTGTACTGAAAACTGTCATTTGTAGAAGAATGGGTACAACTTAGCTGCTATCTACAAAAATTCCAGTTAAAAAACATGAACACCCGTACTTGCCCAAAAGGAAAAACACCTTAATCGTCCCGAGGAAATGAGAAACTTTGATCCAGAGTCCCAAAAGGCGGAAAAATAAAAAGACTTTTACCTCCCATTCTGTCCTCCGCAGCAGTCTGTCAAAAATCATGACAGTCGACATACAGTCGATATATCGATCCCTTGTGATCTGTTTTCTAAGCCGGTATATGACTGTTATTGGGTTAAAGTGTCAAGCTAACGAGATTTTTGAGAAGGTCTTTAAAAGAGTAACAGAAACCTGGTATATCATATTGAACAAGCTATCGAAAGTTCTTATCTACTAATTTCAGTGGCAAATAAAAAGATAGGAAAATTAACAACAATGGCGCCGTGAAATGGTGAAAATAAAGCGCAACTTGGTACGTTTGGCACATAGGCTGTATAAAAACACTGATATCGTATAGATAGGGAATGCAAAGTTGGCTGGCAAAACTTGGCTAGCTTAATGTTTACGTCTAGACACGAGAGTGGCGCCCCGGGGGGGGGGCACTTTAGGAATTTCTGGGTGGGGATGTGCCGCTGGGACCCTGGAACCCTTAACCTATACCAGAGCTAGTTCAGCTGAGTTTTGCTACCCTATACTAGAGTAAACTCCCCAAATCCACCTATCCTAGAGTAGCTGTTTCCCCAGTCTAGATAAAATCTTCAACCAACTGATCAGCTTCCTGAAAAATCATACCCTATTCTAGACCCAAACGCTCTGATTTATATACCCTATCCTAGAGTAAACTGCTTGAAAACCATACCCTTCACAGCGGCACATACCTATATAGCCCATATATGGCAGTATCCCCCCGGGAGTGGCGCATCACTTTCAGTGATTCACCAGCATTAAGAGCTTATTTCGTACATAAACCGCGGGGATCGATCGTAAGGGTACACGGGTTTCAAATCAAATCATCGCCTCGGAGCGCCACTTCTAGCCCTACTCTGTAAAGCAGCAACTTGAAATGATGAAACAGAAGATTTCCTGAAGAATGTGAACTCCTAATGATCAGAGAGCGAAAGAAACAAACTGGAAAAATTGCGAAGGATAGTGAAAGTACATCCATAAAGGAAGTGAACTGACCAGCGAATTCCTTTTTGAATTTGAATTTTCGAAGTATCGTTGTTCCTCTGAGCTGCTATTCAGACAGTATTCAGTCATAAAGCGAAAGAAACAAATTGGAGCAATTGTAAAGTACGTTACGCGAATCAGTTCTTTTTCGAAGTATCGCTGTTCCTTAGCGCCGCCATTAACACGTCAATTACAAAAAGCCAATACATAATTTACCCATAGCTGCACCATTCACAACCGCGCCAGAACTAGCTCTGTCTGCAGAAGAGCGCTTGACTACTATACGGGAGGTCGCGGGTTCGATCTCCTGGGCGGGGCCAATACTCAGGGTCCTTAAATAACTGAGGTACAGCCTTTGCCGTGCAAACAGCCAGACCTTCGCTTGGCTCGGATGACCACGTAAAAAAAATGGCGGTTCCGTCTCCAGTAGGAGACGTAAAAGTAGTCTCCTCAATTTGTACTTTGGTGCTAAAGTAAAAATTGACTCAAATAAAGTGCGTTTCTTTTTTCACATCAAAATACCTTGTGTAAAGAAGTACACCCTTGTTCCATCTCCACGGACGTAGAAATTTTCTGCTAAGCATTTTCCTGAAAAAAAAAATGAAAAAAAGGGACACTTTTATGGAGAAAGAAACAAAACAAAACTAACAAGAGCTAAAAGTTAAGTACAATCGACCTCCGAAAGAAACCCCTTTTGTTGACAAGATGCCTTATAACGAGAAAAGAGGTTTATCAAAAGTTATAAATCATTGAGATGTTGTGATAAACTGAGACAATCTTGAAAACAGCAGGCTTCGGTCCGCTAGATTCAGGCAGTCCGTTTAATCTTCCTCAGTTATGGCCATACGCGTGCTCCTTTTCTGGCATTTCTGTTTCTCTCTTGCGTTCCTCTAAAATAAGTTGCAGTTATTTTGATTTAAAGGGTCTGTTTAGTTCATTTTGTTTACAATCCCAATTTCGCTTCCATTTTCAGCATAAGAGTTGAGAAATTACTTGTGAATGATAAAATCATAGCTTCATGTCAAACAAATGTCTTTCAAGCATTATTTCAAACGTTCAAAACGACAAGAGTGAACTTTGAAAAACCGTTAGGCTAACAACTTTTCAAAAACCACAATTGCAATCCGTTTCAATCCTCTTCACGTTTGTCCATCCGTGCCCCCTTTTCAGTGTATTTGCCGTGCTTTTTATACCTTCTTGGAACTTTTTGAGCGGTTATTTTAACGTTTCATTCAAATTTGTGGCTGTTTCGACTGTTTGAATTTTGGTAAATTTCGTGACACAGCTCCTTTAACTGACTTGTAAACGGTTACTTTAGTCTCCCGAGAATCAGATATGTAAACGAAGTAGCGGTTAACGTTTACAGGGCATTTTACACTCTAACGTTATAGATAAAGTCAACTCTCTCGAAAGCGGCCACCCTTGGTGCACGACAAAGTGCGCGGAAAAATCAACAAACTAAGCTCAAACTGAACTTATTTGGTTGGGACGGACCCAGTTATGGGGGTGGGGGGGGGGGGGGAATATTTTTTTTGTTATCAAATTCCTTGTATGATTTTTTAAGACGTAGCATGAATATTTTTTAGGATTAAATGGCGTGCAAGAATTTTTCTTTTATTTAATTTTCCCTTGCGCGACTATTTTTTTTTGTACTTCGCCCCCCCCCCCCCTAATAAGTTTTGTAATGGTCCGTCCCTCAACGTAATCACATAAAGTTATTACCTAACAAGTTAAAACTGAGGCAAACAGACAACTGGCAATAATGTTTCACATCGAATAGCGCTTGGAACTGTTGAGACTTTGTACAAAACATTTTGCATCAATGTTACAATCCACCGTTTTACCTCCAGATCATATTACTGCGATAAACCGCTATAATCTGTTAGCACGCTTGGTCCGCTCTGAGTCAGTGCCTTAAAAAAGTAAACTTTTGTGACATTCAAGCAATGGTTTTCTTACAATCATACGTGTTGATACTGGTTGGACGCTAGCCTCCCACGCAGACGTTTTTAGGGGAGCTCGTTTTTCATCCCCTAAAAAAGCCTGCGTGGAAGGCTAGGTGGACGCTTACGAGAAACAAAAAACCCTGACAAAAGAGTATCAAGTTTCGAATTTCTGGTTTAAAAAGTGGTCGCGGTCGTTTAAGAAAGTTACGAAGTGGTAGCTTACGAAGGAGTTGGCTGTATTTGCGATGTTGCCCGCTCAGAATTGGCAGGAAAAAGTTTCAAAACTAGATGTAATTTAATTTGACCTCGAAGTGTCCACTGACTGTCCAATGATCGCCGAGTCGTGAAGGTGGTTCTCACTTTTGAGTCTGCAGATGAAATCCTATGGTGTGACCATTCAAATGAAATCATTCGTTTTTCAACATTTTACAAAATGCAAAATTTGGAAATTAATAGCAATTTACCGACTGTGATTATACTATTTCAGCTTGTGAGGTTGTGAGTTCCAGCCTTCGTTTAACTACTTTATTTCCCCATGTTAATCTATCTGTTTCATTGTAGATGAGTAAATTTTCCGAGGAATGTGTCCTTGGGTTTCTGCTGACATTTTTTGATTCATGTTATTTCTTGTTTCACACCTGTTATAAATGTTTTGCAGGATTTTAACAATAGCGTCAAGAAAGAAAAATCAGTAGTTTTATGAAGACAGTCAATGTTATTTTAATATCATATCAAAATATGTCTTATTATTATATAACTTAAGGATAAAAATTAGCGGAAAGAGTTTAACACAACATTTCGATGTTGCCATGACATCCGTATCAAGTGAGAAGATGAAAAACTAAAATTTGATTTTAGTTTTTTTTATTCTTGAGTGTTTAAAAAAATTTATCGTATATTATGTAATTACTGTGTTACTAGGTCAGCTTTCCCGCGAAAACAAAGATCACCATTGCTAGTGCTACATAATAAATCGCCCCTTTTTGCAGGAAAAAAATAACCAAGTAAAATGGTTTGGTATTTCATTGGTGTTTATATAATAAACAGTACACACTACATTGGCACTTGGAGAAACGAAATCTTCTCAAGTTCAAAAATTAACATTTTCAACTCTCAAAGAGAAATTGCGTATCTCCAAGTGGTCATGTAATATCCTCTACTACACTAGCCTTGCCAGTATTTGTGTAAAATAGACAGTAACCCATGTGCAAAGCTGGGGTGACAGCTTCATTAGTCATTCCAATACCATGCTCCGCCTTCAGAAGTGCGGTGCTAGAACAATAATGGATGCTCCCTGGGACGCTCCTTCTACGGCTCTTCTCAGCGAACTTAATATTAGGGCCATTTATACGAGGAAAAATAAGACGCGTCTTTCATTAGACGCGTCCTAAATAAGACGCAAACTATCCCGTATAAACGGCACATTAAGAAGCGACTTAGCAAAGACGCGTCTTATCGAAGAACAAAACTTAATAAGGCGTCTTAAAATTTCAAACGAAATGTTTTATACGGGATAGTTTGAATTATTTAGGTCCTGCTTAGACTCGTCTCATTTTTCCTCGTTTAAACGGCCCTAATCTCCTATTTCAAGAGCAAGTTGCAAAACTAAAGTAAGGCATTAACTGGTCTGCTGCCTGGCTACACTGCCTAGAAGTTTTTTAAGATTCAGCGCAGTCTATGCCAGGAAACAAGAAACAGCAAAAGAAATATAAAGTTGTCCAGAGTTAAACAGTCAAACGGACAGCAGTCATTTATGTTTAGTGCTGCAAGTTTGTGGAACAGACTTCCTGAGGAGTTGAAAGACTGCTCTACCTTGACGTCTTTCGAAACCAAACTTAAGCGAATTGAAGTTTGTAAATTGTAATGAACAATCCTTAGTAATTCCTTAGATAGTTTATCTTTAAATTCTCACCTATGAATCATAGCTTTTGATTGATTATTGTGTTTCTTACTTTATTTTTTTTTTTGAGGGCCATGGGTAGATTATCGAGAGATATTACATGCTACCCTCAATAAAAAACGTTTTATTATTATTATTATTATTAAGCTGCAAGGACAAAATGAAAAAAGAAGAGTTACCTTTTTTAAATCTGAGCTGCGCCATATCAAATCGACCATAGTCTCTAAACAGAATCAGCCCGCCTGGCTTTAGAAGCTGAAAAGACAAAGCCAAAACTGTAACAGCTGGAAATTGATACAGTAAAACCCCGTTAATACAGACACTGAGGGGGCCATGGAAAGTGTCTGAATTTACCCTTTAAGCCCCAATATCCACATACAAATTCTTCAAACTGGGTGTTCGTTTTTTAAGAATAAGTTGATTTTGAGAAAAAAGTAAATGTGATCATTTTATTAATTCTCATAACTTTTCCTGGGACAAAGTTAACTGTCCATCATAATAAGGTGTTCGTATTAAGTGGGTGTCCATCAAGCAGGATTTTACTGTACTTGCTCAGGCATGATTATAGATACTAAGAATTTGTGCAAAATTTTAAGGGCTTTGTTTGTTTTTAGTGTAAATTTTGTAAACATAAGTGTAACACAATAACCAACCTTTGAGAGTCTGTAAATTACATCTTGCATTCTGAAAAAAAAAATGAATAAACCAATAAATAAAACATTCGTTACATTGAAAAACACAGAGGTACCGGTAATGACTTTTGAATTGGAAGCCGCAACAATCGTTATCCTCACTTGCTTTCTTGATTTTACACATTGACAACAACAACAACAACAACAACTTATTGCATATGAAACAGTTTACAAGAAAATATTTCACCCAACCCGCAGTTAGCTTAAGCTAATCAATGCAGAAGGTGAAGTGGACAAGAAAGAAAAATAAGAAAAACTAAATGTAACAATAATTTTATGATGAGAACAAAATTTGATACCCAGCATGGAGTAATTATTTGCTAAGTTCATTATCAGAACAAATTCATTTCTTACATGTATCATTTCTGTAACAAAGAGATTTTACTCACTTGTCTGGGTGAACAGCTGAAAGTACAAAAATCAAGATGACAATGTCAAGACTGCCATCAGGAAATGGGAAAACAAATGTGCTGTCTGTTACATCACACACAAAGGCATGACACCTCTCAGTACTAAAATCTGGATGTTCCTACCAGGAAATCAAATGAAATGATTAGATTGTTTGTTCTCACAGCAAAAAACTAGCCAGAATTTCAGCCACCTACTTGAGTCACAAACTTCTCTAAAGCAAAAGGTTAGTTAGCTGTAGTAGTAAATGTCACTGGACAGCTTTAGCAGCTGTTGATTCAGAGCTTGTGACTCAAAGAGATGGCTAGAATTCAGGCTAGGGAGTATCTACTAAATTTAACTTAATTTTAATAATGTGCAGTAGTTTTACAGTGTTGGGTGATTGACCCCAGCCTGGAGATACAGCACTGAAAGTTATGAACTTCAGGCACAAGTCTGGTTCTTGGAGGTTTAATTCTAGATAAACTCTCACTTACATATTTTGTGGACATTAAACTCAGAAATATGAAGTTTTAGCAGCTAAAATTTGATATACAAGGGAAGTCTGAAGTATGTATGAGGAATGACCATTTCCAAGCAAAATTGTAATTTCAACATATCTTCAAAAATATTTCCCTGATGAAAAGTTTATTTTCCTTTATATGTTTTCATTTTTGGCACTGTGCTAAAAACAGTTTGAAACAAAGGAAGAAAATCGAAAAATTCCATTAACATCAATGGAACCATAGCATCATCAGAAATCCTGGAATTTACAGGCTCACAGAATAAGAATATTATTATCCATATGCCTGTGACAAGAAGAGAAATACTTGCTACAAAGATCTATGTCGTATTTCAAGCTAGTTTGATCTTCCAGCTTATTTAGGTTGGGGTTCGGCTATGTCGAGAGCCAAACAAGATCAAAGATTTAAATCCCGGATTTTTATTTTTAAACTACAACATATGGTATTCTCAGAGGTTTTGAGGTTACTTGTCAAAGTGAACATGACTAGGACAATGTTCTTGAAAGGTTGCCTAAACACAGTTTCAACAACATGAAATACAATACCAGCACTTCAAGATTCATTACATTGACTAGTAAGTTAAAATAGTAAGGTTCTTTGCTCTACATGCTCTACTCACCTTCACTAAATTAATCGCATTTGAAGAAAAATCACAGCAGTAAACAAATAAATCTGGATCACTGAAAAATAAAAGATTGCTTTTAAAATGCAATTGTTTTAATCAAATTCATTTATTTAAAGCAGATAACATTAATGTTGTCTTACAAATTCAGTGTTACAGATAAGAGATGGGTCTTGGGTCAATGACCTGACAGTTGAAATGTTAAGACAAATATAACAAAAAAAAATTAGCACGTGATCTGGGTGACATGTCAGATGGTCTACATGACCCTCCACTTGAAACAAATACAAACTGGAACAGTGCAAATTGCTATAAGGTTTCTAATCAGTATATTACAGGTAGTAAATTACTCCTGAATTTTGGCGTAAAGAGTAAACATTTATTTTTGAATTTCACAGCAGAAAAATTGAACACGCTATAGAAAAAATTATAAAAAGGAAGGATTTTAGTCACGAGTTTGCCTTGATCAACCACTTAATTCATGGATTCGTGAGGTGGTTGCTTACAACATTTAACTGAATAGTACTTTTAACTGGGAATTCTGATTGTGATATTTTTTCTTTTCGGTTTCTTATGAGAGGAAGGTGGTCACACATGGAGGCTCTACTCTGTTACAGTCACACAACAAACTACAAAATCCTCCTTTATCCACTTACTAAGAACTTACTTGTTTGCTTCCAAGATTGGAAAGACAGTGTTGCCAACACCACAACCAACCTTAAAAAAATTAATAAAAAAAACCCTTCTTCAAAAATAAGACACATTCTTCGATCATTGCCTCAAAATCAAACAATATCACATGCATTCTTTGTTGCTGGCATGTGACATACCACATATGTTCTCAGTTGCCTAAAAACCATGTCATTTCATGTAAGAATTGAAACCATGACCAAATTTAATGTAATTGTGTGATTACTACTTGTTATGAGGGTCACATTTCTAACATCCCTGAACTCTTTTGCTTTCCCTTCATGAAAATTAAACATGAGATTAGCAATAGGAAAAAACAATTTCATACATATTAAAGAGGAAACACTCCATCAATTTCTTCACCTCCAGAATCCGTTTCTTTTTCTTATGTCCAGGATAAACTTCAGAGCAATGTCTTTCACTTTCGGTACCATTATCCTTCAAGACGGTGGTTGACAAATTCTGTTTCACACTTGCATGGCATAGAGTATTATCAAATTCCTTACAACTGTCTCCCATTGTAAAAGAATTAGCAGCCACATTCTTAGAGCTATTTGAGACGTTCAAGTTCTCTAAGAAGTTAGATAAATGAGTCTCCTTTGCTAAATCCCTCTCATGTCCTATGGCCTGAAGATTTGTTTTCTCTACATGTTGAGGGTTTACAGAGCGTGGTGACGAAGCCTCATTGTTTTTTACTGCCTGGAGATTTGTTTCTTGTTGTAGTGAAGTATCATCTGAGCTAGGCTTTGATCTTAAAGCTTCTTCATGTCTTGATGCCAGAGAATTTGTTGTCTGTTTACGTTCAGGTTGTGGTTTTAAGGAGTTTGGTCCTGATAATTCTGGAAATTCTGTGAATAACCAGTGACGGTCTTTGAAAAACCTTTATTGACAAAAAAACATTCATTATCTGTCTAATAATACACCTTCATTTATTTATTTATTTTAATTTTTTTGAAAAAAAAGGATAAAGAAAAAAGAAACAGGCTACCTAAAGGGGAGCTGTAGGACAGGTGCTTCCAACTGTAGATAACTATTAATTTTTTGGCTACAAAATAATTAGCAATAATCAATTATATTTATTATTAACCAAATAATGATACATGATAAGTTACTTGTTTCCCGTAAGATATCTACGATAATTTATTATTACTTGGCAGGGCTAAAATATCATTTTGATTCTTAAATTTTAAATTTCATTTCACCACTCTAAACTACATGAACCTGTTTTGATGTTGCATGTAAAATTCATTCCAGAAACAATCTGCTTTCTCCTCATACAATTCTGAAAGTTGAATTAGAGGGAGAAAATATCAGGATCAGTACAAGATTCTGGCAAACTGTCCATGCACCTATCCCTTCCTTAAACCAACATTGTGCCCCAAATGAGACATTAGTATTAAAGTTCTGGTTTAAGATCTTTACCATCGATCCAGCCCTCACACATTACGACATAGTCCATTGTGATTTACTCTCACGGCATGTACTCTCAAGATGTCAACAGACAATGTATGGTCAAAATGACCATTTGTCTGGACCAACATTCGGTTTGCCAGTCATTTTGACAGGAAACGAATACAGTGTAAGTGACTGTAAAAAAAAAAATTTTCTTACACCATTAAATTTCCAGAGAACAATCATCCTTTTTCCCTTAATGTTTTTGCTTTTACAGAGGTTAAGTTTCATGTTTACGTCAAATGGCAACACGAATTTGTATTACCGAGCAAGTTTCCCCATAAATAAGTTTTTGTTAACTGTTTATTATTTCTTCACATAAATTAGCAGTTTCACACAATTTTTTATCCATAAGAATTATTTTGAACCATTTTTATTGCTTATTTTTTATTTTGAGAAATTCTCAACTTGAATCTCAATGTTTGCCGAATGTGAAGCTTTAACTCTCTATTTTTAACATTTTGACTGAAGAGAAAGGAGACTTGATCAAGCTGAAATTTCTTCAGCTGATCAATACGATTGGCAAACGTCCAAATTTGTTTTGAGCCCTGTCAAAATAATCTGAAATCATGCAAGTTGAAAGAGTAATAATAATATTATTGTAAAAGAGGGAAATATGAGAGCTACCTCTCTTTCAAAATTTAGCCACTGTTTTGTTTTAGGAATATTGTCAATCATAGTGTAGACAAAAGCCATTCTCAGGTTATAACCAGGAAGTCCTTTGTCTCCTCAATCTTGTTCCCACGGTTCTCTCTGCCATGGAAACAAGGTTGTTGTTTCCTGTTGGGGCTCGGAAAATAATCTGTTCTCTCGTTTAAAGGGCTAGCTGCGTCATAGCTGATGTCCAGTACATTTTGTAAATATTGCCAAAATTACCCTTCTTTATTGTGATTGCAACTTTGTCCCCCAAGAATTATATCAAAAGCTACAGACAAAAAGAATTTGGAGGCAGTTTCCACTGTTTGAATTTTGATAAAACTAATTTTGTGACATAGCTCCTTTTCCTGGATATTTTACCAATGACATGAAAACCAGTTCCCCTGGAGAGTCACCAAAAAATTGGAGGGAAGTTCTCAGTCTCCTAAGTAATACTAAAATCTGCAATAAACATTCCTAAATAAGTTTACAAGTATCAATGCCCATGTCATATGAGAGCCCTTCACACGTTCCCTGCTCTTGGGGTATGAATACTTTAAGCAGCATAATTTTTTATCACATCAACACAATACAGCTATGAGGGTAAAATACTTTGTTGATCTTCTCCAAGTTTAACTCTGGAATTTTCATTTATCTTTTGTTGTGCGGCTTCCTCCTGTTCAGTATCCCATTCCACACTGTCCCTAAATATAACAAACATTCAAACAAAACAAAAATAAGCATGTAATGGAATATAGACTGTCGGTTTCATTTCTTGGTGGTGTGGACTGAAAAAAAGAAAACGCAAAAGAGAAATAACTGTTCTAGACAACAAATTTGGATCTGAGGTTTTGCTTGTTTATTTGCTAAAAGTATGATTCTAACAAACTTCTCAATCATTCTTCTTTAGGGGTTTGTCTAACTAAACCCAGGGATCGGAAACCCCATGGGGAACGCTGAGTAGCCTGTTCTACACATTCAGATGGTGGGGAGAGAGTTCAATCATACGAGGGGAAAAAAACGACGGGAGACCCCTTTTTCACCCTATTCTTTCCTGGTCAATTTTTTGCCTGCGCCCAACTATCTGAATGCCTGGAACAGGTTAAACGCTGAATTACTCTGAAGTTTATACTTTGGTGATTAGCTTTAGTGCCAACCATTGCCTACAATGATCTTTTTCTTTTGATTTAATCATAACTAATGTCTGTTTTTTTTTCATCCTTCTTGTGTGTTGCCACTTCGTGGTTCAAAATGGTTGAATGAAAAAGGACGTGTTGGAAGAAGAAGACTTTTGGAACTAGCCTGCGAAAACAGCCATTTCTCATCGCTCCTCACCGCTAGGGATGTTTCATGAGGAGGAAAGTCTGCAACTCAGTGACAGAAATTCTATACTGATGACGTAAAGTCTGTCTGGAATCCGGTCAGAAGCGCTGATTGGTCAACAGAGTAGTCACATTGTTTCAGCTGTTGTTTATGAATGACAGAAAGACAAAAGACAAAAGGCCACAAAGGTCAAATATAAACACCATGAATCTATAGGTGGTTCTCATACAGTCTCGGGAGACAAAAAATAACAATGGTGAAATGAACAAATGCTGATGGACAAACAAAACGAGCTAATGAGCGACCTTTTGTTTACCGTCCACCAGCATGGTGGCGATGATGTAACGTGAAAACCACCTATAACAAAACAGTCAATATTTGTGGAATATAGTCTTCTTTAGAAAAAGCATTTAATTTTTTCAGGAGCTCGTTCGCAGATTAACACAACACTTTACCAAAATCGACCAGGAGAGACGTACATTTTGTAAACTCGAAAAAACTGGCACTTGGAACCCCATTACTACCAGATTTATTATGTTAACGTTGATTTACGTCATCTGTATGGAATTTCTGTCGCTGAGAAGCAGACGTTCCTCCTCGCGAAACGTCCCTGGCCCTAGAGGCGAGGAGCGAGTAGAACAGCTGTTTTCGCAGGCTATTTGGGAACAAGGTGCCTTCATGCAACATATCGATCATGTTTCAAGTTAGTAACCGCTTTTTTTGTACAATGATCACGATAAAAACCCCATCCACTAGATATAAGGAATATTAAACGTCTGTCATTATCTTACCAAGCATTATGTTCAAAAACCTTGCCCGGATCGGAGAGAAAACGATTACCAAACTGGGGTCTTGAAGAATCCTCGCTATCCGCCATCTTAGAGTGGTTATTTCTTACATCATGTACTAGCCCTCAAGGTTGGCAAATCGCAGACCAAACAGCGCGGGCTCATAGTCACAATCGAACTAGGGAGATTTAAGCGACGGACGTCAACCGGAAGTGGACTTTTTGAATCACTGGGCAGTGTTTTGGTTGAACCTCTCGGGTAAACAGTCCGGGCTGTTTTTAAGAGAAAAGAAATTCATGCAATTTTACAAATTTGTTATGAATATGTTAAGGCATTTTAAAATTAGGGAGAAGTTTTCCTCACTGTCGTTGAAAAAACCAAAGTGTCACTCCAAAAAAGTCTTTGTTTTAAAACTCCTGCCAAAACCTCCACAATCTTTCCCACAGGCTAAGTGGGGCTTCTTCAAAATCAGTTTTCACGCGATTATCTAGGATTCATTTGATGATGGGAACGAAAGTTTTTGCAAATAATTGCGGGATGATGGGAAGGAAAAGTTTTAAAAAACTAACCCCTATCGTCCCCGTCTTTATAAGAATAATTAAACTTAAAATATTTGTTGGCCAAGGATCGCGAGCGACTGGGGACGAAATGGTCGCTCAAAAACGTCTTTGCTTTAACACCCATACCAGTCTCCAGGCAGTCTTCGTCAGGTTTATTGGGAAAATTAGGATTACAGATCGAAATATACAATGGGAAGAAGTGACGTACTACGGTGTTTTGGGGCGCTGATCTGGCGCTTCGTTTTTCGCCCATAGGCGGGAGCGAAATGCGAGGGACTGGTGTTGAAGCACAAGGGACCATGGGAAGGAGGCAGGGCGCGGATACCAATAGGGAAGGGGAAGGGGAAATTCGCGCGCTCCTCGGGCTCTTGGGCGCCCAAATTCAGCGCCTGCCACGAAGGCAAAGGCGCGGAAGGGTATGACAAAATCTCTCTTTATACGCACCCGTGACCAGACTCGCGATGTTTGGAAGTTAATTATTCTCGGAATTTTGGTATAATAAGGACTAAATCGCAACGACGGGAGGCAATGAGAATATTTTCTCTTATTATTGATTATTCTAATCAAAAGAAAATAAGGTCACTGCCTCCAAGACCAAAAGTAACCTCTAAAATTATTTCTTGTCGGGATAATACTCTAATTCCATGGGGATCAATTAGAAAGGCATTGAATTATCACGCCTTTGCTGAGCTTAAGACCGGTTTAAGACCTCGATATGCTTTAGTGAGAAAAACCAAATAACTACTAAGCTATAAAAGTCTCTAAAAAGAACACTTCCACTTTTTAATCGAAGTTTTATTCAGCGTACAGTGTGCTGACTCTGGTGCTGCCTTAAGCCACTTAAGCCCGACGGCGTGCCGATCCGTAGACCTGCACCGTTCTAAACCTTTTATTTCACTGGTCCTCTTTAATTTGCCTTTCCATTGTTTTTAAGGATAGGGGCATTGTTATGTGACAATCCCTATTGTTTTCCCAGCTACCTTCTACTGCTTCTATTCCTTTTTTAAAACCTTCCCAGTACTGCTGGCGAAGTTCGCTGTTTGCCAGGACACGGAGGGGTTTCTTGTGGGCGCAGAACAAGATGTATAGCCTGTCATAAGGTTCAATCCTTCCTTGCTTGGTTGTCTAGCTTGGCGGCAATATCTTGTTATTCTTATCTGTCAACATGGTTTTTGTATTGTTGACAGTATTGGGAGCGCATACCAAAACTACTACGATGTGTCACTTTTTCCGTGCGATACACGAACATAATCGAACGCACGAACATATTCCAATCCTACTTGAAGCGTGCGAACTGGTCACCTTTAGCACCAATTCCAAAGCAGACTGGACTGTTTTGAGTTTGATCCAGCGAGGGCGGGAAGCATTCACGGAACTCGCCTGGGCCGTTTGGTGAACAAGAATTTCACGTAAAACGGCTAATCAGGAAAAGTTTGACTGACATCACAACAATCTCCAAGAATGTAAAAAGAAAACGAACTATCAAATAAAGCGTCAAAATATTTATTACACAGCGATCAAGACAGACAGTCACTGAATTTCTGCGGCCAAGAGTAGAGTTGTATAGCCTGAGGAAACAGCGCACATTTCGCGCCGTCACCACTGCATTGTTTTCCCGCGAAATGGTGGCGTCGCGAAATGTCTGCTGTTTTTTAAGGCTACGAGTCTCCTGAACTTTCTAAAGGTTGAAATCTTTAGCTAAAAGGCAATAAAATATTAGACTCAGATTGTAACTAAAGGGAGAGTTATAAGAGGTCCAGAATGAAAGCCACCGATTGGGTAAAATCAAAGCCATTTACACCTTTTTTCAAAACTTCTTGCCATCACTGATCCACTACTCGTGTGGATTTGAAGCTTTGAAAGTTTTGAGGCGAGGGCCTGAGGGCTCTTACTGGAAAAGTGACCAGAATTTTTCCTGTTTTGGTGCTGATCATAACTCCCCAGCCTCCTCCTCAGGCGCTTCGTTTTTCGCAAGGTAATGGCGAGCGACTGGCGATGAGCCGCAAGGGACCATGGGAAGGGTACAGACTCCTTCCCGCCTTCCTTTGCGCGCATATTTTCATCGAGAGAGAGACGTCTGGGTACGAGGCAGATAACTCCCGATAACTCGAACCTTCGAGGCAAATCGAAAAAAAATTCGAGTTATCGGGAGTTCGAAGCAAATAACCAGAAATAAAAAAAAAATAAAGAAATGGGTGGGGAGGGAATGCAAGTAAGCAAAAAAGTATACAGTGATGGACACTGTATTTGAACTGGAGTGACAAAAAAGTAAAGACACGGTTGTTTTGAAATAAATTCAACGTTTCGGACAAAAACAAAAACGGCTCCGAGGAACTTGGGTCCTGATAAGGGTTTGATAATCTGCATATTAATAAGCGTACTTCTGAGGCGTGTGTACGAGTGACAACCTATTCGTCCATTTTTCCGAAAATTCCCGATTATTTTGAAAGATTTCCGAAGATTTGCGAAAACTGCTGAAGATGTCCGAAGACTACCGCGTTACGTTTGTACTGCCAAGTCTACTAAGATACTTAGAAATGCGCAGATTACCGGAAGAGTTTATTTACTCTGTGTCGATGCATAATTTAGTTTGTCAAAATAGAACGACCTCTCTTGTTTTATCATGAAGAAAATACACTGTAGCTCCCCATATTAACCCATGACGTGTACTGGGTAGCATGCATTGAAGCCTTAGAACCGAGCTGCCGCAAGTCGAGTCGCCGTTATATCACGTTATATCACAATGAAACTGATAATGATTTTCGTTTTCTCTTACTCTCTCGATGTTCTGACGCTGATGGCTGATAAAACTCCAGAATTTGATAAGACCGAGACGACGACTTGGGACTCCTCATGGCTAAGCGAGCAAAGTTCAGATTTTTTGGGTCTGCAGGATTACTTTCCTTCTCGTCAGAAGAGAGGACTGATCAAAAGTTGCACAGGTTATTATTAAACCGAGCTTACCGCATTCACACAGTGCCATGTACAAAATATTGAATTCCACGTATAGTTGGCTTGGTTGAAGCTGTCTACATAAATTTTGAGGAGTTGATGACGATGATCTGTACACGAACCGAACAGGCAAATTATTAAAATTACGCGTGTAACTCTGATCGAATTTCGTTGTGTGCTTTACCTTTGGGTCGCTGGCGCAAGGTTAATTCTTCTCCAGTGTGTTTTGGCGCCAGAAATCATCAGTTTGGAAGGTTCTTTATGCCATCTAGTGGCAGATTAGCCGCCATAAAGCTGGTTCACCTGTACGGTTACGTGTCCTGTAATACAAATGGGGATGCTAAGCATTGGTCTTACTGGGGCTGTGGTTATTCCTACAGTTCGACGAGAGATAAGGTGAACGTAGTTATAACAACTTCATCCAATCGCATTATTCTCCCGCCAAACCAGTTTCTAACTCGAAGTGGCTCTCTTGGAAGTGGAAAATGGCACGAGATTCTTGGTTACAATTTGTGGTCCCCAGAGCTTGTCTTCTCAGTTTTCTCCCATCCTCTCTGGGTTTCTTCAGGACAACCGTTACGCGTGTGGTACGGCGAAGATTTGGTAGACTACGCCGAAACCGATAATGCAGGAAGAGTGTGCTGTGATGTTTACGCTCGCTATGTTTGAAGAGATTTACTTCCTTGTTGTAAGGCATAAATTAAAGGACTACTGAAACTTTAAAAAACATTTGTTAGTCTCATAAAAGGCTGGAACAGTTGTCTTTTGTTTATCTTTCCTCAGTTTAGAAGACCTCATGAATGGACTGTGCTTGACTGTTTGTTTCAGCTTCATGCGAATGAAAATAATAATAAAAATCGTAAGGAATCATAATAGTAAATCTTAATGAACGAACAAGTCTAAATAAATTTACAAATCGGAGAAGCTGTCTCGCATTATGATTGTATGCTTCTCGTCAAAACACCAGTAATACAAATGGTCGTCACTGTGTATTCGTATAGATATATTTAGGTTACAAATAACAAAAAATTTGAACCACTGAGTAGGGTTTCCACAGCTGTTTCCATGGATGCGCTCTTCTTGAAATTGACGTTTTTAAGGAAGAAAAATTTCGGTCTATGCTCCACTAAGATTTGGAGCGATTGGAGCGCATGGAATGAAGGTAATTTTTGTAGCTTTTTCTTCAGGCAGCGTAGGGCAGCCGAGTTTTCCCTTGTCTTCTTCAATCTTCGGTAGGTGAGAAACCAAAACATCAAAACTTGCTAAAAGGGCGTTTATAGGGCCAGAAACATTAAGAAAACAACACAGACTTGAGGTATGTACAATTTAATGGCTTATGTGCACCAGTTAACCGTTTTATTGATCTTGAATTCCTATTCAAATCTGGCTTTCAGTAGGCTATTGCGAGTCTGGGCCCTCTGTAAACCTTCTAGAGTTTGAAATCAGCTGGAAGGCGATAAAATAAGCTAAGCGATTCAGACTGTAACTAAAGTCAGAATTATGAGAGCTCCAGAATGCCGGAAAGCTACCTTTTCGGCAACAATAATCAAAGTCAAAGAAAACTATTTCCGAAAATCTCTTGGTCAAAATCGTTTCCTGAGCGCTCATAAGCCAGTCGTCAATGAGAAGTGCTGACGTATATTTGGAGCTTTGAACTTTTGAGACGAGAACCGGAGGTAGGTTCCTTAACCAGAATTTTCTTGTTTCTATCCTGATCTTTTATTTCAATGAAATACTTCTAAGGAAGACGAAATAAAAGCGTTCTCAACCTGATTTTCAGTTCTCAATCTTCTGAACTTTTAAAAATATCGAGATAAAATGAAAGAAGTAAAACGCATATTGACGTTTTTCACAACAGAAGACATACCCTGCTAGCAGAGTCGCAGCGTACAGAAGACACAGTTACGGCTAATAGGCTTCGCGGTATTTGTCGACGAAAATATCATGTAAAGTTTATGTTATAGATATTAAATTAACGTTATTATTTTTTTTTCTGTGATTTGAATTTTCTATATGTGGGTATTGAATTTCGCGGAGATTTTTATTCGCGGGTCTTTCCACAATTGCGAAAAACGCGAAATTAAGTACCAATAAGGCGGTTGAAGAGGGGTGAGATCCTTCCTTGATCATTTTACGTAGAATTTTCAGAACTACACAACTGTAATATAATTTTAACCATTTATACTAAAAAAAATAATTTAATTTGCATAGCTCAATAACCATAAAATTAAGGACAACTTTTTCCACTCAGTTTCTATTCTTTCTTGTTTCAGTCTTTTGTTGGGCTTTTTATAGGCTGCTGAACCAATTATTATTTTAGGTTATTTTGGATACTGTGCTTTCCTGTCAACGCCTTGCATGAGTGAGCAACGTACTCGCTTGTCAGGCGAGATTGAAATCAGCCAAGATTAGGAGCCAAGAAACTAAAATCGAGCAAAACGGACCTTTTGAGATTTAGGCTTGAATGGGAGAAGGCGGATTTTCTGTAATGTCTTAAGGAAAACAGGTGCTTCTTCGTTTAATGCCAACCAAATTCTTCGTCTCTTAAACGGAAGTCTGGGCTTTCCTATTTCATGTACCCCATAGCTATTTGTAAACTTAGCCGCTAAAGTTGATCTAAATCCTGCAAACGTAGAAGCTGAGGACTCTTAGCCTTTATTATAACCCTAATGGGGTGCGGGGAGACTATCTTTGTCGACGAAAGTCGTAATGACTTTCCCATTTTTCTCCTATTTTTCAACACAAAGTTTCTTATTTTTCCTATTTTCTCAATCCCGAGTTTCCTATTTTCCTATTTATTTGAGCGACCATTCCACTGATCTATTTAGTACCAGTTTGTAAGTGTGTCATGGTTAAGGTCTAAGAAGAACTTAACAATCTGCTTAGCTGCGACTGCAAGACCGGTTTCGGGACCAAAATATCCTTTCTCAGTTAGGTATAGCTGTTAACAAGAGCTCACCAACAGAGCTAGTGCCGTAAACTAAACTTGTCTGTCATCTAACATACAGACTCCAGCTAGTGATTGGTTCTTTAATTATACAAGAAGCTGATTGGATGATATACCTGACCTGTGTTGTGAGCGGTCATGTTGAAACGCAGACCATGCAGACTGTAGACTGCCCTGAGACTGCAGACTGTGCAGACCGTGCAGACTGTGCAGAATGAGTGTTATTTTTTTTACTTGTAGCTTAATTTTCTAGTAAAATTTTTACTATAGTTTGCCGCAGGAGCGAGCACGATCACGAGGAAGGTAAGCTGTTTCTTTCTGTAATATTATATTGCCACGATTATTTAAATTTTTTTAGTAGAAGAAGCTTTGTCAGGTTAAGTGACTTAAAACCCTTTTCGGCTTCCTACAACGGCTAGGAGGAGACATTTCCTCAATTTCCTTGATTGTTGATGATCGTCTTTGGTTTCACTCTGTAATTCAAACCGGTGACTTGTGGTCATTTCTTCAAATCTTACAGATAACGATGTCATCGTTGTTAGCTCGGAAGATTCGTGTAAGACTTTTGTTTATGTAGTTTTTTTTATTCGATTCTTAAGAGTGTCCTTCTGAGCGGGTTTTCACTTGGGGATCGACAATTGTATGTTTCCATATGCTGTTGCAAAGAGTACCTAACGGTTAGGCTATTAAATACAGAATACAGGCGTTTATGGATACATTAAACTGCTTTAGAACGCGCTTGTGCTAAATACTAGCTAAAAATTATTTTAATAAACGGAGTCCCAGAGTCCCAGAGTAGGCCTGGAAATGCTGGCAAGAGATCCCGCAAGTGAGAGGCGCATGCTTTTCACAAAATGGACTGGGGCAAGCTTGGCAAGAAGTCTCTCGTCGATGAAAGGATACAATTATTCGCTCGTTTGTCAAATGTGGCAACGACTGGGGAACGAGATAACGAAATTAACATTAGTGGGCTAGACAACTGTTCAATTTGTGACATTTGTCAATCCAGTGACACTGAGGAATTATGATTCCATTGCGAAAAGCGATGATGCATGCGGTCCATGACTCAGATGACTGAACAATGAACACCACTTTTCACCAAACCAATTGATATGTAAAGTTCCTGTCAGTAAATCACTGAAGTCGAGAGTTACAGAATTGTTACTGTTCCAGTATATAGAATTTTCATGAGTTAAAAATGCTTGTTAGAGTGAGCTACCTCCGTTTACTTCGTTAGTAAGAAATAACAGTAAAGCTGGTTTCATGTTTGGCACTGACATTTGGTACACTAAAACATATTGCGTCACAAAGGGCCAAAATAGGGAATGTGTCAAATATGGCCGTTACTTTCGGGAATTACTAGAAAGGTCCGAAAATTAGCCTTACTTTCTTGTAGCCGCAACGGTCGAGGGGGGGCGCTACTTTCGGAACTCTACGGTATATTTCAACGCAGCCGTGACGAAGTGCTTCAGGATAGCTGGGCTTTCGATGCAGTTTTAACGTCCGTATTCGTAATTCATAGATGGGTATTCAGAGCTATGGTACTGATTCCGGATACTTTACAATGTAGCTCTGATTAACAAGCCGCCAACCTGACATTCGACGTAATAAAGGGGTTGGGGACTGTTGGGGGAAGGGGGTTACACTGCATAATAATTAAAGCATCAATATAAAGAACGAAGGAAATGTAATCGTAGGTTATTGTTTACTTCAAAGGGTAGTAAGTCTTTCATTTGCTTTGGGATCATTTAGTCCCATTTCCGGCTCTAATGTTTGCCTCGATCTGACACGGTAACTTTTGCCCTTAACTGAGTCATCAACGGTATAAAATTTGGCTTAAAACAGGAGCCCATTTATTAACAGAACAAACTAAAGTAGTAAGGGATTATATATACAGTAGTCTTTCGTGGTGGAGATAAAGCACTGCTCACAATGCTGTATGGTCTAACCCGCGGTGAACTCTCATCGTCTGGCCTCGCGGGGGAGCGTAGCGGGAAACAGGCTGCAAGAAATTTTGAATAAGGAACGTTTTGCCCTCGGGAGGCTATAGGTATTCTTATTATCGGAAATGACAGGAGACAGGGGCAATTAAGCAAGTATGACGTCAATAAAGCGACGAGACACACGAAATCTGGAACCTGGTTGCAGATTTTGTGATAGGCGGCCCAAGCTCAGTGTGTGAGTTTCATATTGCGTAATTTAAAATGGCCGTGAATATAAAAGATTTGTACGGGAATTCAGGTAAAAGATTCAAATCGATAAATACTCGCTAGAATGTTCAATAAAATACAGCTCACCGTATTTACTTTGCTTGTTTTTGTTTGCTGTGTGGTTATTTTTCCGATCCATTGCGATTTAAGCGATTTCCTTTAACCCCGAGTTTCCACTGTAAGAGAAAGGTCCTTTCTCTTACAGTAACGTTATAACATAACAGGGGGGGGTTAGATAGATAGATAGATAGATAGATAGATAGATAGCCTTCATTTTAAAACGATGAGTATAAAAGCTACATGAGCTTGTGGGGTCGTTTGCAATTAACTAATTACAAGTAAACTAAAAAAACAGACAAAACGTTTGAACTAAATTAGCGCTTACAAATATGAAATTATGAGCATAAATTTAAGTTTATACAAAGTCATCTTTTCTAAAATTACAAGTGGTTAGAACTAATTTTTTTTGTTTTGGAGGGGGGGCGGGGGTACTGTCTAAGTTTTTGCTAGATAACTCTAGTTTTTCAGCCCCCCTCGTCCCCTCACCGATCACATAGTGCACATTTTCCCCCGGCGCTCTATCATTTTATGAACTAAAAGAAGGCCGGGTTCACGCACTCGTGCGTCTTGTTTTTTTAATATTCAGTGTATTAAGTCTTGATTAAGTATATGATTGATAACTCCATGTAAGGTTCTTTTTTTCTTTCCGTGTCTGTCAAATTTATTTCATCTATTAAAATTGTCCCATATTCTGCTCTCCTACGTTAATCACATTAATAGATACTAGCCTCTATCCTACGCAGACATTCTTAGAATTTCTTCACGCGTTGGGAAGGAATGCATTGTGAGGAGGTCTAGGTCTTTAAGGCGACGGTGTGTCTGAGATATGCTGGTCTGACTTCTCAATTAGAAGATGGCAGCTACCAAATGGACCAGTTTCAATGCAGAACCCAATGAACATTCTTCTGATCGCATACAGTTACTTGATTTGCAGTCCTCACCGATGGAAGACCCAGAAGCAAAGCAAACTTACGAAGATGACAACGGACGACTGGGACGACAACAACCGGCACAAAATATTGTGATAGGTCGGCGTATGTTACCCGCCTTAATGGCTGTTCTGGTCTTATCTATCTTGGCAATGGTTGTTACACTGACCTTAACTGTAACCATGTTGTCTAAAAACGTCCCTTATTCTATGAAAGATGTTTATGAAACCAAAGGAGCAGGTAAAACTAATAATTACTAATTGAACATTTGATAACTTGTCTCTTCTGATACGATGTTCTCGCTAAAACTGACTCGTAGTAGAACTAGACACCAGAAGGTGTATACTGGGCTACCATAAAACCTAGACTAGACAGAAATTATGTATTGTATGAAAACGAGAAGTTTACCACAACAGACAGCTGACAGCGTAAGAAAGGAAGAAGTAACCCTGCTAAACCCATTCCCATGCCGGACACCACCCCAACCCACGGGTCTCATTAAACTGTTTGAACTGAAACGATAAATAAATGAAAATGATAATTGATGGTCGATACAAAGCAAGCTAGGTGGGTGTACCGTGTGGCACGAAATTTTTGCGTTTGTTTATTTTTGCGGATTGGGCATTTTTTCTGTTTCGCGGAAACTAATTTTTGCGACTAGGTGTTATGAAGCAAGAGTGTAACGTGATTGTGAGATGGAGTGATTTTACTCCTTTAAACTTTGTTATTAACAGTTTCCCTCGTCTGTCAGATTTTACTGATTGCGGGGTTAAACATTCGAAGAATTCAATTAAATTAACAACATAACTGGGCGAAAGATAACTTGCTGATCGGATTAAAAACCAAAGCTTATAGATTCAACAACAACAACAACACCAAATGCTTTATTTGCACGACCATAAAGGAATTACAGTATTGCAAAAGCTATTAGTCTAAATTTAAGTACTAATTAATTAGTACGTGCAAAACATTACAAAACGTTACAGTTCTCATTCATTCATTCATTCATTCATTCATTCATTGATATTAATTTGGTTCTTAATTTAAAGCATTGCGAGATAAATGAAACTAATTGACAGTTAATTAAGTAATCAGAAGAATTCATAAGAAGAGATATTAAAGTACCGTGTGAAAGTGAAGTCAGGTATTTTAGTTTCTAGTTTGGAGAAGAATATGTCTCTGATCTGAGAATGAGCCTCATAATCTAGTAAGAAATGATTTTCATCTTCAATTTTGTTACTTGTACAAAAGGAACATATCCTTTCATTACGAGGGATTTTCTCGTATCTACCTGTTTCAATTCTAAGTTGATGACTACTTATTCTAAATTTAACTAATACTTTTCTCGAAGGGTTTTTTCTTGTTAAAACTAGGTACGGCGAGGGGCTATAGTCGTCTTTGATTGTGCAATAAAAACTGAGTTTTTGTGATTGTTGAAGGGTCTGATTCCAGTAAGAGACGTATTTATTTTTCATTATGCCGATATACCTATTAACTATTGAGTCACTCAATGAATTACAGGAAAAGTCATAGTTTAGATCGTAGTAGTCAACCATCTTCATGAGATTAGAGTAAAAGCTAGTTTTTCTGTTAAGATGAAGGTCAATTGAAATTTGTACGGCCTGTTTCGCTATAGAATCTTCATCTTTACCTATCAAATAGCCTAAGTAATTTAGAATTTTTTTATTTATATCAATGATCATGGGGAATTTACCGAGTTCAGCTCTACAGGCAATGTTGAATGCCTTGTTATGTACTTGTAAATAACGTTTACAGAATTGTAAATGGGTCTTTTCAGTTGCAGAGCTGTCCCAGGATTTAAAATCTGATTTAACAAAAGCACCCCAAACGTCACTGTTGTAGGTTAAAATTGGTGAAATCATCGAGTCAAAAATTTTACACGCAAGTGAGGGCTTAAGACCATTCAAATCCGTGTGCCGCCTTAATAGGCTGAAGAGCGCGTGAAGAGCTTTTGGTCGGAGGTGTTCAAGCGAAAGTGTAAAATTTCCGGAAGATGTGATGCGAGTTCTTAAGTAAGTATAGTTTTGGACAACGTCGATTACTTCATGTTTACATTTTCGTGTGCATCGTTGAAAAATCATTATTTTGGGTTTCTTAGGATTTATTCTAAGCATCCATGAGTTGCAATATGAAGATAGTACGTTAAGGCAGTTTTGTAGTCCAAGTTTGGATCGCGATAATATTAGGGAACTTAAGGTAGAGACGTTAGGGACCTTAAGATCCGAGGACGGCGACGGAAGAGAAAACGTCGTTGAAAAAGTGAATTCGCGTTCTTTCAATCTTCATCGCGATTACTCCAAGTCACTAACTTTGTCAAATGTAGACGAACCCTCCTAAAGTTGAATTCCCAAGAACTATATCCAAGTTCAGAGAGAGAGGGGAAATTTCGTCGTCGCTTGTGTATTTCCTCTGTACATCGTGAAATTAGGCATTTTCACGTCGTAGTTGTGCAGTGACGGCAAAGAAATGTACAAAAAAGCGTGATGCACGTGCAAAATTGTTGTTTTGGTTATTAAACCTATTGCTTTTATGGCGTTCCCGTTGCCGTCGCCGTCGTCGGATCTTAAGGTCCCTGTTTTCGGGGCGACGGCAACTTCAACCGGACGTGACATCATCATTTGTTGGATATTGCGCATGTTCGTGCTCACCACCTTGCCGTCGTGGTCCCGTCGGCGACGTGAAACTGGTCTGTTTGGCGTTGTGGCGAAAACGTGAGTATTTAACTTTCATTTCAATCAGGTTTGTTGAGTTTAGCAACCAAAATTTTACAGATTATCGTTCTTAAATTGTCCTTGTTTTCTTTGAGGAACATTTCAAGCTCGATTTCCAAGCTCTGTTATCTAAACTTGCATCTTTGAATGTTTCTATGTTTTCATGTCACAGGGTCAAGATCCATCCAACTTGGCAAACAGCCATCCGTAAGTGAGCTTGACATGGACAAAATTTTCCCACGAGCCAAATAAAAGTATCCAGACAAAAAATATGAACTCCGATATTTTAATTGTGTGTTTTTAGTTCGCTCTTTTCGTTAGAATATCGTATAAATGAAACGCATTGAAAATTATATAGAATAGTACGTCATGCCATGTACTAACGTGGGAATACTGAAATAAAGTTGTTGCCGTTGTTGTTGTTGTTGCATGCAAGTATTTCCCGGGAATTATTTCAATACCAAACTAAGAGTACGGTTCCTTGGTAGCATTTTAATGTTCCTGGAATTTGCAAGGCTTCGGCAAGCCTGTGGAGATCTTTTTTTTTTTCAACACGAAATTCTGCCTTGCACTCAGCTGCAGCCCGCATGTTTTTTAGCGCCAACGGATCGTAACTGTCCCGAGGAAAAGCGGGATTTTTGGACTCATAATTTTCCCCCAAAACGAGAAACTCTTCATCCGATACATGTTGTCTGCATAGCAAATATTTATTCTCTTAATCCTTTATGTAAAGCCATATTTTCCTCGTTGGTATTCTTCCAATTAAAGGCGCCGTCCTTCTGAGTTCACTGCGATCTTAATGTTCGATTTTTGACGGGAAGCGACGGCTGCCTTAGTTCCAGGCTTTCTCTGCCAGTCCGGTCGACGTCGCCCAGAAAACGTCTCCATCTTAAGTTCCCTATTATCAAGTCATCGGCGTAAAGGAGAGAGTTGAGTCTGGTGCCATTTGGTAACACGAAAGGGTCTGACAAAACATTGTCAAATGAGAACGCTAGATCGTTAAGGTATAAGTTAAAGAGCAGAGGGCTTACATGTAAAATGCAGCCTTGCCGCACTCCTCTTGCGTATTGAAAAGATCGCGTTCTGTTATTTCCAATCCTGACAGAGCAGGTAGAATTCGAACATAGACTCTTAATTAGACTATAAAACTATCCTTGGACATTGATTTTAGATAACTTATAGAGAAGCCCATCATGCCAAACCGAATTTAAGTCTTTCCTAAAGTCAACAAAACACGCATATATTTTCTCCTTGTGACAATGGACATATTTGTCTCTTTATAATGTTTGAAGTGTGAGGACATGATCTGCTGTTCTATTATTTGCTAGAAAACCAATTTGAGACTTGTGAAGTATATTATTTAAGTCAACGTGCTTTAGAAGTCTCTGATTGAGAATAGAGCAAAATAGTTTTCCAATACAACTAGAAATACAAATGGCCGTTTTTATGCTAGAGACGTTAAAGTTGTCTAGACGCATTTAACGTCTGAGACGTTAAAGTCGTCTGTTAAGTGGGTCGTGCGGACGCACTTAACAGAAGACGTTAAAGTCGTCAGACGTTAAAGTCGTCTGCTTTATTTACCGTTTTTATACTAGACGTTAAAGTCGTCTTAGACGACTTTAACGTCTCTAGCATAAAAACGGCCAATTCCATGGTAGTTTAATGGATCGCTTTTAGTACCACATTTAAAAATTGGTGTAATGAGGCCATCACACCACATTTGGGGCATAGTTCCTACCTCGAGGACCGTGTTAAATAGTTTAGATAAACAGGCATTAATTTTAATTCGTTTAGGCTAGATTTGATCATTTCGTTTTTGATTTTGTCTGAAAGAGAAGATATGTTGTTTTTGAGTTTTCCAGCTGCAGTGCGAATTTCACTTTCAGTGATGAGGTAATCCAAGCAGTGAGATCGTGTTGTAATATCCTTTGCATTCTGCAACTCATCAATAATTGCCTCTTGCTGTTCATTCGAGTGCAGAGATTGAAAGTGGGACATCCATTTTTCTTTCAGAAATTGGAGGGGTGTAGGTTTCCTTCATAGTGTCGTCCATTGACTTCAAACAGTTCCAAAAGCCCTTATTGTTCGAATTTTCGACCGTATTTTCAAGTTCACAGATCTTATTGCTATAGTATTCTGTTTCAAAAGGTTTTTATATTGCTTTAAGACGTTGTGATACTCTTCCCTGAGGGTACTGTTTAGAGGATCTCTGTGTTTTTGATCAGAAAGTTTCCGCAGTTCATGTCTTTTATAGCGGCATTCTTTGTCGAACCATTTTTTGTTCGAAGATGTTTTGCAACGTCGCTTTTTTGCTGTTTTGATTTTCAAACAGCGTTTGGCGGTTGAAATAATAATATTTTCCACTGCATCAAAGTTCATGTCAACATTTCTCGTGATTGTTGTAGTATTCATAAAATCGAGGATCATTCTTTGGATGTCTTCAGACTGTAATGTAGCTCTAAACTTTTGTGACGAATCGTTTTCCCAAAACAAATGTTTTGGTAGAGGAGTCAAAGAATCATTTATAATTGCCTCGTTTGATGAATCATTATCTAAATGACGGTTAACCTTAAGCAATGTTATTATTGGACTATGATCTGATAAACTGTTCGGCTCTTTCACTATAAAAGATATATTTCTTAGCAAATCTTGCATGGTCACATATGGCGTAATCAATGACACCGAAAGAAAGAAAGTCACGATTTCGTGTAGTGTGTGAGCGAGCCATTCAAGGTATGTTTCTGCTTAAAACTGTGATATCGTGAAGAACGGCCGTACGGCATTCAAGACACTAGGTCACATTGGTTTTTGTTGCTGAGAATTAATTTTCAAAAAGTACCCAGTACCCAGTATTGATAATATTTTCGTTCTTGTTAAATACGTGCAATCAAGGTGTAATAGAAATACAGATTTTCAAACAGTACTACGGTACTACATTATGTAAAACAATTCATTGTATACCGTTTTGTTTCTGAATTGAAGAGGCGAGTTGTAATTGAACAGACACGATTTCTTAGTCAGGGGCACCCAATGGATCTGTTCCTCAAAATATCTGTTCTTCATGCAAATTTTTGCTGGCTGGGAGATGTGGAAGAAATAATAGTCCTTGAAAGGAAAGTGTTGCTGGGAAAAAGATAATTCAGGGTGTCAGAGGGGATTTGAAGTCTAGAATAGCTGCTACGGGTTACTTGTATGGGTTGCCTACCACTCAAGATCTGAATTGTGCCCTATGAAACTTCCCAGTAAGTCAGGTTGCAGGTTGTAAGGTTGCTCGCTGGGAACTCTTCCATCAGTCTTGCTGGGAGTGAGGAACAGATAATTTTTTTCCAGCAATCTCCCAAAATGCTGAAAATAGTCTCAGAAAACTTTATTCACGCTTTGTTGTTGTTTTTAGGTCTTTTTCTCAAAATTTCCCGTTGGGTGCCCCTGCTTAGTGCTGTATTTTTGTGTAGTAAATTTTAGTCAGAGTATATTTAATACTCTGGAATAAATTTTTGCGGGAAAAATGTTTTCGTTAATTTTGTGGGGGGAAATTATTTTTGCGGATGGCTGGAAAAATTGCAAAAATCGTAAAAATTAGAACCCGCAAAAATTTCGTGCCACACGGTATCTCTAGTTTATCTGAACTTTTTTGTTTTGTTAACAGCTTGTCTCTCTATTTGAGGACAACGCATCTCAAATTTAATCGCGTACAATATTTGAGCTGTAGTTAGGGCGGCGCACAGAGTTAAATTGTCTAAACTTAACCAAACTGGTTCGACATGGACAGAGTTTTTAAGCGAAGAAAACGTTTTTTTTTTTAGTTTGTTATTAGTAGTATTTTTATACACTGTGAACCGACCGGATAAAAATGAACTCATTCAGTTTTTTTGAACTATCATAGAAGGGACGTCTGTACACGGGCTAGCGTGTGCATAAGATAAAAGTGTTCATTCCGGAGGTCATATATGGGGCCAAGAATGGGCTACTGATGGCGCTTTTTATCATGGGGCGCACTCCACATAATGACCTGTATGGGGAGGCTCCGCGTGAAAGGGGTACCTTTTTTAGGCTTCAGGTATACAAAATAGTAGAGATTTCACTAGCTGAAGTATATGAAAAGGTAGGAAAATGGGTCAATTCGGTCAGTAAAGAGGCCCAAAAGGACTAGGCTCACGATCACGCTGTTTATCTTTCCTAGCAAGAAAACATACTTTGCATAGCAAGATTTTATATCTTCTTTCACCTTTACTGTTGCCTCGGAATCGTTTTAAACATTTCCGGTCAATTGATTTGTTTTATACATATTGAAATGACAACAGCCTCTGTAACTTCCTTTGTGATTTGAGCATTTTTGTAAGTTAACTGCAGATTTCGGGAAAACACAACCCGGGATACTACAGCATAGACAGGTGCCGTGACCCAACGAACGTTTTTCGCAAAATTGATTATACAATCGTAAACGCTAGCAAAGTGCTTTTACGTTAACCTATGTTAATATTTAACTTTCCTGGGAAAAAAATACCCGCTCTTCACTGCTAGCCAGCAAGACTTTCAGAAAATAAAAATCCCAGCCAGCAATCATGTTTGACGGTTTTTTTCCAGCCAGCACGGTTAAAAAAACAAAAATTACGCAATCCCAGCCAGAGTGAAACGGAATTCGGTGTTTGCCAGCCAGCGGTAGCAGAAGCAAGTTATGAGCCAGCCAGCAAAGTTTTATTTAACACATTGCCAAGAAAAACATGTAAGTCAGTAGGCAAGATCTGTTTTACGTCAAATTTACATAATATAAAAGAAAAGCGTATTTAACCTGTTTCACCCTTTTATCTAGTTGTCGGTTTTTTTTTTTTTTGAGATACAGGGAAAAGATCAGTGTATTGCTTAATATATATTATTCCCTATCCCTAAGTATTACATAACAATAACATAACTAAAGACATTTAGCGGTACTTACAGTTTTAAAATTTGGACTTGAGGAGTAGTCTTGAGTTTTTGCCAGGTAAACGATAAAAAGGAAGATCCCGAAATTTGTCCATAACACAATATATAACACGTAAAAAAGTGATCACCGCAAAGCCTTAAGACCAATGCATATTTTCCAACCATTATTGACTGAGGCGAAACAAAGTTTAAAAATAAACAGCGTAACAAGTAAGCTCGAAATCTACGTGTGGTCTCCTCTGCAAAATCACCCCAAATTCAGTGTAGACACATGCTTATCGCCAGCGTTGTATGCCGTGCTACTGTTACTCCGCAAAAATTTTACACCAGAAATGATAGAAAGTTTCCAGTAAAGAGGCTTTCCGTCGGAAACTTCTAACCGCTACGGCTGAAAACCACGAACCCACAAAGTAAGGTAACGTTTGCGGTCTTTAACTCGAGTTTCAACGTGGTGGGGGGAATGGTTTCCTCTTTCGTAACTTACGTAAACGCCTGATGATGATGATGATGATGATACCTTTATTAAAGTGTCAAAACTGTGATAGCGGTGTATAACCACTAAGTGGGGACACTAAAATAAATTTTTAAAAAAACAAATCAATTAATAAATTAATTAAAATTAAGAAAAACTGTGTACAGTATAAGCACCTGAGAAATTCGAGAGAACTATATACAATATGTACAAATGTATCCATTATCTTATAAAAAATAAGAAATAAAAGATTAAGAAGTGCAAAGAGAGCAGTTAGAGCAGTTATTGTCATCTAATAGCGTGCTAAGATCCACTTTTCTTATGTTATATTTGAAGGAGGACAACATGGAAGCTTTTTTCACGTTACTAGGAACAGAACTCCATACCTTTGGGCCCATATACCTGAGCGAGTGCTTTCCAAAGGAGACTGTGCATGTGTTGAAGTCACGATTGCGCAGTTCATACTTAATTGCAGGCTGTTCAAAGAGAGTGCTAATGTATGTTGGGCACATATTTCCTGTAGTCGCCGGTTGTGTAGAGTAGATAGCCCAGCCATAGATAGTAATTGACCATAGTACGAATGTTTATCACAATTTATAGCCCTAAGTGCTCTTTTCTGGATCGCTCTAGCTAGTCGTCTAGAATCACTAGCACGGCAAAAATGCCATATAAGATGACAGTAGGTTAAATACGGGAGAACAGCTGCCTTATATAACTTTAACTTAATTTGTGTGGGTATAAGGTTCCTTAGCCTCATGAGAACGCCTACCCGCTGGGCGCTCTTCTTATAGATACTACTTATATGTTCATCAAAACGAAGATTCTTATCAATACAGACACCTAATAGCTTGAGACATTCAGTGGATCTGACTTTATGATTGTCAATCATAATACTGTCCATAGACTTCCTTCCGCAACCAAGTGCCATTGTCTGGTACTTGTCCAAATTTCCCTTTAGTAAATTAGCTCTGTACCATGAAGATGCTGACTCAGCGCAAACAGCAAGATCATCATGCACATCAGAGAGGGTGCTGCGAACGACATAAAACTGGTGGTCATCTGCATACATATTCATGTTCGCATCAACAGTATAAGTCAAGTCGTTTTGGAAGATGTCTAGATGAGAGGTCCAAATGCAGAACCCTGTGGGCATCCCCTGGTCTCCCTCTGCCACTCGCTCACTACAGATCCTAGCTTGACCCTGTTATAACGGTCTGTGAAGTAGGAGCCCATCAATCGCAGACTTCTTTCCTCAACACCATAAGCTTTAAGTTTTGCAAGTGTAAGTGGATGGTAAAGTGAATCGAAGGCTTTGCTCATGTCCGTGGAGAGAACACCCACAACGTTATGCTCATCCAGAGCGAATTTCCAATTTTCAGACAAAGACAAGAGAGCTGTCTCACAGCTATTGTTTTTCCTGTAAGCTGTTAGTTTGTTGCACAGTTTGTTATTAAAACCATAACTGAGTTGCTTGCTGAGTAATTGTTCAAAGAGATTGTTTACAGTAACTTGTACAGTTACTTATGGGTCTGTAGTTTCCCTTTTCATGGGGATCTTCCTTCTTAAAAACGGGTGTCCATTCACCCCTTTTCCATCCCAAGGGCCACTCTCCGAGGGTTATACATGAATTAAATAGTGACGTCACTGGATTTGTTAGCTCAGTAGCTCCAAGCTTGAGCGCCATGGGAGGGATGCCGTCCATGTTTTCAAATGTGCTATGGCAACAGTTTACTTCTTTAAAAAGCCAGACTGATAACGTGTTCTTGTAGTAACTTTCTCCGCACCAGTAAGAGCTTGTCATCATGAGTTAGAGTATTTTTGCTAGTTAACTGGATACTTCAGGTATACACTACCCAGGATACTACAGCGTTGATTAGAGCATTTTTGCGAGTTAACTGTAGATTTTGCGTGACCCTGTCAAGAATATGATATCACCAGACATCATTGTAATGTCCTGTTTTAGGGGCTCGGGAAGATCTATTTAGGACATTCAACTCTTTTTCAAATTCTAACCTCAGATTTCAATCAACAACGGCCCCACTAACAGAGGAGGGTCTCCCTTTTGTTCGTCATATCGTGTTTCTACTTTAGCAAATCCAAAAAGTGTTACATCTTCTACCATATTTTTTCTTGTAAACAGGAGCTAATATTTAAAAATTCAATTTTAAACTAATCAACTAATTTAGTCTCATTTATTATTTGATGAAGTGAAAAAACAGCTGACCGAGTTAAAACAAGAAATAAGGGCTACGAAAGTAAATGAAACTGGAGAACCCAGAGTATTTGATGAGGCGATAAGACGGATGACCGCGGAGTTAAAACAAGAAATAAGGTCTACGAAAGTAAATGAAACTGGAGAACACAGAGTGTTTGATGAGATGATACAACGGATGGCCGCGGAGTTAAAACAAGAGATAAGGTCTACGAAAGTAAATGAGACTGGAGAACACAGAGTGTCTGATGAGATGATACAACGGATGGCCGCGGAGTTAAAACAAGAAATAAGGTCTACGAAAGTAAATGAAACTGGAGAACACAGAGTGTTTGATGAGATGATACAACGGATGGCCGCGGAGTTAAAACAAGAAATAAGGTCTACGAAAGTAAATGAAACTGGAGAACACAGAGTGTTTGATGAGATGATACAACGGATGGCCGCGGAGTTAAAACAAGAAATAAGGTCTACGAAAGTAAATGAAACTGGAGAACACAGAGTGTTTGATGAGATGATACAACGGATGGCCGCGGAGTTAAAACAAGAAATAAGGTCTACGAAAGTAAATGAAACTGGAGAACATAGAGTGTTTGATGAGGTGAAACAACAGCTGACCGCGTTAAGAAATGATTTAGTGGCTTCTTTAATAAATCAGACTGGAGGAAAATGTACAAGCAGAGTGTTTCATAAAGGTATGATGAAGTAAGTTTTACTAATTATATGCACTGGGAAACCTCCATACAGAGGGCACAAAGTTTGGTCCGGAAAAAATGTTCACATAATCATTGTATCTGTTAATTGAAGGGACATCTCTATTCAGGGTGAAGGGACTCTTTTTCTGGGTCCTGAAACCTGGGTTTCAGGGGACATCTTAGCACCCAAAAACAGTCTGACCACAAAAAGCGCTGCTACGTTGGAGTGTATACTTGTCACAATGACATCAGCTTTCACGACATGAAATTTCCTACTTCAATCGATATACTACAATTCAACACTAAATATCGCAGCAGAGACAAGTTAATCATGATTTTATACATTATCTAGCTGCTTGAAATAATGATTACCGAAGAAAAAAAGAAAAAGAAAATATTCATTGGTTAATATTTGACGAACTCCATTGAGGGGACACTTGCTTTGGTCTCGAGGGTGCCCTCTTGATAGAGGTTCCACTGTATAAGCTACTGTAATAAACACTGTTCTTCCAATAGTTATGAGCTGTCTGTGCGCTTTTTCCTTTGGTAGCTGTAGCAATCCTATTCATCAATAATTCAGGTTCTAGTTTATAGAGAGGCGAAGTCGTTACATCACGTTGCCATGGTAGCAAAATTTCTGGGTGACAACAAACCGAAAACGTCACTTAAAAAGTGAATTTGTAAGGGTTATATACCTTTCCCTCGGGGGTATGTGATAAATTCACCTGGTACCGCCCCGAGGGCGCATGCATACTCTTTTGGACTTTCCACCGCGACAGATTTTTGTGTCAGATGTCCGACGAGTCTCATTGCAAACCAGGATGTTTGCAGGTCACGACGTTGGAGATGTTATGTCAAATTTGTTTAAAAGCGACGCGGCCGATGATGCGAATTTCTAGTCACTGTCGAAGGACATTGCCGCTATGACAACTGCCGACGAAGAAAATGAAGTCCAAGAAAATGTGGCAAGTTCATGTGTTGTTTTACCAGGACGGTTAAACATGTTGAGGGGAATATGAGCAGTGGAAATATGTACTGAATACTTTTGTCTTTGTTATCAGTTATTGTTTCAGCCCTACACTCAAACTCCCCTGTTACAGTCAAAGCCGCCACCAACTTTTCGGACAGTGAATAATTATAATGAGGGGTTATGTGATGTATTCCCCGGCTGTAATATATAGATTTAGCCAAGGCTAAAAGCGAAGCTCCCGTTAATAAATTTATAATTTAAACCAAACAATAAACTTGTAATCCAAAAATCAGTTAACTTTAAGGCAGATTCATATGACATAAGAGGGAATGGCTGAATGATTTTAGAGAAAAAATAATTTGCAAACAATCCAAGAATGAAACAAATCTTACACAGAGTTAAATAAATTTGCACCCAAAAGGTAACACTTATGCACCTTTGAGCACAGTAGGATTAGGCTTCGAAAACAAGTTATTCCCAAACAAAATAACCCATTCGTCAGTCGCCCACCAGCACCACCTTTATGTTATAAGGTTAGTTGGACAGCCCCGGCAAAAGGTCAGTCAGATACGATAGTCCTCGGTGGCAGCCAATTTACACGTCACAATTTATCGGTTGTATTCCTCTGTATAGAAGGGAGGCTAAAATAGAAAAAAATCAGGCCGGATGTTTTGTGTTCGACAAGTTTGCTTTTATTACAAAATCTTGCCCACAAATTTGGTGGCATGTAAATCAACCATTTGTACTTTTTATACATCATATCTGAGGTGAACAGTACAGTATGTGGTCCTTGGTCCGGACGAAAAAGGCGTAAATGAGTATTTTTTATCTCAAAAGAGCAGTAGTGAGCTAAAATTTGGGATCTTGTTTGCTGTGGGTAATGTCGACTGAGATATCGGTCGACATAGCGGTCGATATAGCGGTCGACAGTCGGTCGATATAGCGGTCGACAGTCGGTCGATAGTCGGTCGACAGTCGGTCGATAGTTGGTCGATAGTCGGTCGATAGTCGGTCGACAGTCGGTCGATAGTTGGTCGATAGTCGGTCGATAGTCGGTCGATAGTCGGTCGATAGTCGGTCGATAGTGGGTCGATAGTCGGTCGATAGTCGGTCGATAGTGAGATAGACTATCGGCCGAGTATCGGTCGATATTCCGTCGACGCACCTCAACTTACTATCGGTCAACTGTCGGTGATATATCGGTCAACTGTCGGTGATATATCGGTCAACTGTCGGTGGTATATCAGTCAACTGTCGGTGGTATATCGGTGAACTGTCGGTGGTATATCGGTCAACTGTCGGTGGTATATCGGTCAACTGTCGTTCGAATATTAGTCGTGTGTTAATTTATCAGGTGAGTCCAATGGCTTTTTTTTAAGCAAAGACGTCATTAATTACTGTTATCATGCGATGGGGAACATGTGGCAAAAGCAAGGCGCGATTACGCTATGAAGAGAACCGAAGAGCACTGGGAACTAAGGACATGATAACCTTTTTTTTTTTTCCAGTTTGTATCATCACCGATCGTCTGAGTTTTAGCTGTTAAACAGAACCTGTCTCAGCCTAAGTTGAATCTGCTGCTCCTGTGGTCCCGCAAAAATGTAGGAAAATGTAGGAAATGCTAAGTGTCGACCGACCATCGACCGAGTGTCGACCAATTACTGACCGACACATCGATCAAGTATCGACCAACTATCGACCAAGTATCGGCAAAGTGTCGGCGAAATGTCGGCGAAATGTCGGCGAAGTGTCGGTGAACTAAAAGCTATATCGGCCGAGACACATCTGGAACGACTATCGGCCGTGTCTCGACCGAGTGTCGACCCACTATCGACCGACTATCAACCGCTATATCGACCGACTGTCGACCGAGTGTCGACCGACTATCGACCGAGTGTCGACCAAGTATCGACCGAGTGTCGACCGAGTGTCGACCGACTATCGACCGAGTGTCGACCGCTATATCGACCGCTATATCGACCGATATCTCTCGGTCGACATTACCCACAGTAAACAAGACTAGCTTGTGAAAATGACCGCTTCGTTTGAAGGTCCCTGATCCGGCCAGTGGTTGCTTGGTCCGGCCACTTTGGCCACTTTGAAAGCCGGCATGCAAACTGCGCGCAACAAGAAATGTTCCAAGCACCAACTGAAGTAAATTCCTGTATATTTTCTATAGGCATCATTTAAACTTCGAAACCAAAATGAGATTTCTGTGTTTATACTACTACATGAGAAATTGCTGTAATTTGTTTGGCTTGGAACAGTGGTATTTCAGCTTAATTTGAAATACCTACCTGTAAAAATTACAAACCTTTTGCCGGGCTGGTAGTAATATAAACAAATAATAGCATGATTTAGTGTACGTGGTATTTGGCATAAATACCACTCGTGATATTTCAAAATTTCTCAAATTTCATTCGTCTAACTGCTCGTGACATTACCTATAACGTACAATTTCGAAATATCACTCGTGGTATTTATGCCAAATATCATCCACTACAAGTCATGCTATTACCGAAACAAAAGGGTATTAATAGTTTGGTCTCATGCATGCATTATTATTATTTTCGCTTCTGTGCGTATGTGTGCCGTGCAGTTACGATGCGACGGCAGAAAAATCACCACTATTTTCAATGAATTCAATCAAAGTTTAGAGAGAAAAATTGGTCGTCGATTGTTTAGGTTTCAAGAAATTTTTATGTCTTAGTCCTGTAGCAAAAGCCAAGAAATCCGACCGAAAAGCGTGCGTCATCATGCACGTGCAGAGTAATGTTTTGCTTGTTAAAACCCATTGCTTGGATGTTTTGACTTTGCTAAAGCTCCCTGTTATGAAGCCAATCGGACGGATATAAGCTTCCTTTTTATGGCCTTCTATATCATTACATGTGTTTTAAATATACGGCGGGTCAGCTGTCATCAAAAAGTGATCTCTTTCAAACTAGTTTTTCAATTTTGAACCGTTTGACCTGAGACTATGCACGACAATAGAACTTTGTATTCCCAACAATCGTACATTTTTGGATTTTTGATTTCAACGGTTTTTGGCACGAAAATGACGTTATAAGACTGACAATAAAATATAACTTTTACTTTATGCCATAACAGGTTAGCAATATTGAAAGAGTACTCAGAGAAGAACTTAAATGTGAAAATAGTTTTTGAAATGCGTGAATTTAAGATATATCCAAGTAATTTAAGGCGCCATAAAAAAGACAAAAATAACATAACAAAATTCAGCTACGTTCTCGTTAACTTGATTTTCCAGCTTTGGCTAGCATCAGGAAAACCTCGAATCGAGCTTAAGAAGGTAAACAGATCAATAAACACTGGGAAAGTTTCGTTGTATTGCAACCTTATTTTCTTCCTGAAAATTACATCACAAAGTTAAAAACCGGCTGGACCAAGAATCACATACTGTAATATCAGTCGCTGTTTGTTTATCGTACAGACCTCAGGCAGAATTTATGTTTTTTTTATTCTTATTTAAACCTATAATTCTGCAGATCACATTATAAAACGTTTTCATGAAGAGAATTCCACAATGTCGGGACTGTTCAGTCAGATCAATCTGCTCCTATGTAGTATGCAGGGTAATAATTAGCGAAAACTCTCGAAAATTTTTCAAAATTACCCATACGGCCAGCCTGTTCTGACTTTTGACAAGCGCCAACTTTTCAGAGCGAGCTGTTGCGTGTTTGAATGAACAGTATTAGAGTTACGCTTCAACATAATAAAGAATTAATTATGTTACGTGATACGTGCGGCATCTTGAGTACTCCCGCATGCGATGTTCATTTACGACTGAAAACCACCGGCACGGACATTAAAAATGCGAAAGAGACTATTAACAATCAAGACAAGAAATATCACGGCGACAAGTACGGAAAGTGAAGACACTGTGCTTGATGCGCGTGCAAAGTTGTTTGGCTATAATATAAACCCATTGCTTCTTTGCCGTTTTTGTTGCAGTCGCCGTCGTCTTTGCTTAAGCTCCTTGTTGTTGTCATCCAAAAATAGGCAGCTTAAGCAAAGACGATGGCGACGGCAACGAGAATGGTAGCCTGCGTAGCAGGCGCTAGGAATAAATGGGCGAGGGGAGAGGGAGCTCCCTCTCCCCTCGCGTGTCTCCCTCGCACGCGCCCGTTCTTTCTTGCATCCATTTATTCCTAGAGCCTGCTACGCAGGCTACGAGAATGTCAAAAAAGCAATAGGTTTAGATTAACAAAACAACAACTTTGCACGTGATCACGCTTTTTTGTACATTTCTTAGCCGTCGTTGCACAACTGCAACACCATACTTCCTAATTTCACGAGCCCACTTTATGGAGCAGGTGAACACAACATAAAAATTTCATTTTCCTTTTTGTAAACTTAGATACCGTCCTTTCTGATTCAAGCCCAGAAATTTCGCCAATATTTGACAAATTAAATGAAATTAAATAAAATCAATGAAGTTTGAAACTGTGCGAATTCACTTTTTAAGTGACGCTTTCGGTTTGTTGTCATTCAGAAATTTGCTACCATGGCAACGTGACGTAACGACTTCTCCTCTCTATTTCAAATGAATTTAAGATTATCTTTCCCGAATAGCTAAGAACTGTGCTGAGCTGTACGAATGTGGCAAGAGGGTCAGCGGTGTGTACACAATTGACCCTGATGGTGAAGGTGCGTTTGATGTGTTCTGTGATCAACAAACAACCGGAGGGGGATGGACAGTGTTCCAGAAGAGACTGGACGGCTCGGTTGATTTCTATCGTTACTGGAATGACTACAAAAATGGGTTCGGTGACCTGAATGGCGAGTTCTGGCTTGGACTGGACAAGATTTACCGCCTGACCAATAAAAAATGCAACCGGCTTCGAGTTGATCTAGAGGAAACTACAGGCAACACTGCTTACGCTGAATATGACATGTTTGCAGTTACAAATGAAACGACTAAGTACAAGCTCATTCTCGGAATGTACTCAGGTATCGTGCTTGGAATGTAGATGATTTTGATATACAGTATTTTGTCCTCGTTTCTTAATTATTCGTTGTATGTTTGTTCAGGTTAGCGGTTTCTTGCAAACTTGAAAACTTCTCTAGTCAGTTTCAAAAGGAGCTCAGTTACTTTCCAAACGTAGCCATTATCTTGCACTTCAATATTAGATTATATTCAGGCATTCTGCTCCAAACATTCCTGGTAAAATTACCTTGTATGACTCCTAGGAACTGCTGGTGACTCATTAACAAGGACGCATCGAAACCAGCCGTTTACCACTAGAGACCAAGATCATGATGCCGCCTCAGGAAACTGCGCTGTGGTCTTCAAAGGAGCCTGGTGGTACCTCAATTGCCATCATTCAAACTTGAATGGTTTTTATTACAACGGTTCACATTCATCATATGCTGATGGTATCAACTGGTATACATGGAAAGGATATAACTACTCTGCCAAGAGAGCTGAGATGAAAATCAGACCGGCCAACTTTTAGAACTTTTACGGTACCCCTGGACGTCTTGTTTCCGTTATAGTTTCCAAGTAACAAACAAAATTTCATGGTAAAATGCCGTATTTACTCGAATAAGCACCGCCCTCAAATAAGTGCCGCAATTTGGACAAAAATACTGAGTTAATAGGCGCCTCCCCCAAATAAGCTGCGCGGCCCCGATGCAATCAAAACCAAAAGACGTTTCTGTCATAAAATAAAATAATATCGGTAACTGAAAAGAAGCAAAGAAGTAGCGTCCAACTTTCAAATAAGAGCCGCTTCGAATAAGCACCACATTTGAGAAGTGAAAATTTTAACAAGCATCGCAGAGCTTATTCGAGTAAATAAGGTTATGTCAAAGGAATCGGTGATTATAAAACAACTTTGACCCATTTTCATGCCATCGCATTCTAAGGTGTCTTAGTAATACATCAGCATGCGATATCCAATGTAGGTTCGGGCATATGATAACGCCGAGAGGCGGGGACTATCACTGTCATCCTAGGTGAACTTGAGTCTTCGAAATTACAAGGGCTTCAGTATTATTTTCCCGAAAATTTTAGATGCAATTTAACGTATTACGAGGGTGAGAATTTTTCTGATTCCTCTCTCTATCGCACATTTTTGAATCCGAAATTTTAGGTCTCCTTTTTTCTACAAAAAATAGCCTAACCTAGGGAGTTAAGGTGACTCGATCCGGTCATTTTGTGTGGGTACCATCCTACTTTGAAGCCCTCTGGTATCCCCTCCTTTACTTTGATCATAAGTCTAACATATAGCATGGATAACATATAGATCAATCTACAATATAGCATAAAATTTTTGGCGATCGGAGTAAATGTCACGTGGTAGTATGAAGTAGTGATAACGAAAGAAATAATTTTCTGATTCCTCTGTCCATCACATTTTTTAATCAAAAAATTTTAGTTTTCCTTTTTTGGGCGAAAAATAACCTAACCTGGTGAGTGAAATGTGAAAAATTAAACTTCAGAAAATCGTAGGAAAATTATAAGACATAGCTTCGAAAATTGCACGTGAATGGAACGAGTGGATCATCTGGATATTTTTAGATTCTAGGCAATATTTGCTTCTCCGAACCTGCAGATATTTTACAGAAATTAAAACAGTCGCTTTACGGACAGTTTTCTTTGTCCCTGGGGAAAGCCCTTAGTACATTTTCTCAATAAAATTCAACCCATTCAGTAGTGACACCCGTTAATGCGAACAATGGACACTTATTTCTTGCCCAATCAACAGATTCTTATTGAAAGCCACCATCAGCTAATGCGGACACTTCATTATAAACTGTGTGCTGTAATTGACCTTTCCTTTTTGAAAATAAAAAAATCCTTCAGTTGACAGCATGTTGATGTTCCCAGCGCTACCATACACCAAATAGGATGATTTGTAGACGTCAATTTTTTGGCATCAAACGAGTTATGCAGAGAAGGGTTTTGATTAAGTAATACCGTATAAATGGGCGAGTTTTAAGTGTTTCCGTCAGACTTTAGCCGCGTACGTAATGACGGCTTTGTGAAGCCCTTAGAGATGTTTAATCAGAGGCACCCAGCAACCTTTTTTCTGTAAAATAACTGTTCGAAGGAGCAAATGTTACCTAGAAATTTCTAAAGGTCAGAAAAGCTAAAAATTTCTTAATAACCGTTCCATTGGTCTAAAATATTCGGAGGTTTTCTAATAGCTTAACTACGATTTTCGAAGCTCGTGTTATTCACATTTTAATACCAAGATATTGCGATTATTGTTAAAAAAAGGTCCCCTAAAACTTTCGGTATAAAGACAAAACGTCCCCTATAATTTTCTAATGAAAGCAAGGCTACTTCGTGTCCTCAAGCTTTCGACCGGACCCGGAAGGGTAGCTAACACTTTCGGATGAGACGAAAAAGCCACCTAAGACTTTCGTGACAACCAAAGTTCCCCTAAGACATCCCAACAGATAAACCGTTTTTTTAGGGCAACTCTAAATTAATCAAACAGGCTTCTAAAGCATAGAGAAAACCATCTGAGAAACTTCGGGCGTATTTGGAAACATTCGGTGGTTGGATGCCCCTGTTTAATTTGACGATGATTATGTCCTCTTTTATTTCTTTGGTATTTTGTTCTAGTCCTCTTGTAAAAGAGGTTTTTTTGACTTTTGTTGTGAAGTATTTTGAAAGTTATTTTTAAGACGGATCTATCTTTTCTTAAGTTTAGTTTTGGTTTCATTAAGTCTTGTTTTTGTCCACGTACTGTTTTGAATTCCTGTTTTGATCTTTTGTTTTTAATTGTACTTGAAGTTATGCTTAGCTAGCGAATTTACTTATTGCCATATTAGGAATGTTATTCGCTTGGCATTGTCAGATGTTAGTTTTTTACAGGTGGACGTGTTTGTGGTGTTAGAGCTGACGTTGGTTCTTTGGTACTTGTCAGTTGCGGCTATGCGTAGGCTAATCTATTCCCTAACAATAGCAAACCTGTTGCAGTGTTAGTGATAAGATATACAATAGAAACTCTTCCGGTCAGCTAACCCAAACATGTCCAGCTTTGGCTATTAAAACCGCTACTATACTTGAACTAGTAAGTAGAGTAAAAGTAGGGAAGTTGGTAGAAGTAAGTTAGTGAAAAAGTGGAAGAGTTAGAAGATTAAGAAGAATAAAAGCAAGATGTAAATCAGATTCCTGGTACCTCATCGTGTGGCGAGCGAGTTGCTCGAATACACCCACACACTTTAATAACATAACCCGCTTAATACGGACACTTTCTGTTGTCTCTTTAGAGAAAAAAATTAACGGGGTTTGACTGTATTTTCTTTCTTTTCACAACAGTCCCTCTATAAAATATTGTCTTAAATGCGTTTTGACTGACGCAAGCGTGGAAAATTCTGGAGACGTCGAGGGTTTTTTGATGAAACAAGAGATAATGACTGAGCTACGTAAATCGACTTGACTCAGCGCTTGGAATCTTGCGTTTTCTGCTTTTTTCTCACCTCAGTCATGTATGTTATGTGTGAAAATCTTCAATATGAATCGGTATATTTCAAAGAGCTACACAAAGGCCAAGGCTGCAATTGACCGACAACATACAGAGAGGGGGCAGATGAAGTGTCAACTATTACTGGTTAAGGGCGTGCATAGTGTGCGTAGAACAGCACTCTCGGAAGCTCTCAAAAAGCTGTATTGAGTTAGAGTGTATGCCCTTTTTATCAATAAAAGATTCTAAACCACCACGCACACACGCTTTGGGATCTGACAGTCTTTATTACAACAAGAACACTGAAAGGCAAGACCATAAGACTGTCCGTGGGAGTGGTGGGATGGGAAAATTTGTATCTGCACTATGCTTACAATCTTGCTTCTGAAATCTGCTTGCTTATGCTATAAACTGCGTGTATACCCGAGGAGTTGTGCTATTAGGACTAAATTTACAAAACCTATCGCTATCTGATTGCTTACTTAAACTCTTGTGACCATCAGCTATATTGTAATAATTTTACATCTTTAGTGTATTTTGCCCTCGGGGGGGGGGGGGGTATACTGCCTTATAAGGGCTTAATGGGGACTTGCGGCCAGCCATGCCAGGGTATGTTTTTCGGGATTTTTGTCTTAAACAGGGTATCGAATTTATCATTTTTTGTCTTAATCAGGGTATCGATATATCAATTTTTGTCTTAAACAGGATAAGTGTCTTAAACAGGGTATCAAAAATCGGAATCAGAATAGGAATCAAAAATCGAAAACAGGGTAGGAAAATCAGCGATATTTGTCTTAGACAGGGTCAGGGTATGAGGGGCCGCGCTGCACCTCCCCACTCAGGGATATATAGAGTACCCCCCCCCCGGGATTTTGCCGATGGCTAGTTAAAACCCGTCAGACCCCATGTACGCTACCCTGGGGGGGTGGTCTAGATTTATATTAATAAGAGTATCAATGCACCTACACCACCAAGTACACACGCTTTGGTATCTGACAGTCTTTATTACAACCAGAACACTTAAACGCAAGAAAATACACCCGAGAGAACTGATTAAAACAAATAATTAAAACTACAGTCAAATCATATAAAAGCCCTAACCCAAGTGAGTAGTGAAACATGCCATGGTTATGTGGTTATGTGGAACAAGATAAAATGGATTTACAGAGCAGGTAAGCTGTTTTTAGTCGGATAGTTAGAGGCAGGGTGAGGTATATATGAGGATGGTGTCCGAACGCCAGTCGCCTAATGCCTTTATAGGCTCTATGAGAACGCCGGACTGGTAAGCAACGGATACCCCGCCTCTACGAAAAGAGTGCCCTGCGTATAACGTAGGATTATTACCTATGAGGGCAAGATGATCCCTAAGTTTGCAGAGAAATTGATTATAAGTAAAAACCCGCGGTTTTGAGGTGGGGGCTTCAACCCAATTGAAGTCTTGACTGTCAGCGGCAGGAGGTGTAAAACTGAAGGCATGAAGAATAGCGGCGGTAGGGTATAATTTGCTAAGGGGAATACAAGGGCCGGAGGGATTTCGACCACCCGTTCACGAAACTGAATAGTCTTTCTCCAGCGAATGACAATGAGGTACCTCAGGGAAAAAACCTAAACTCTGCTTTGGTGAGCTGCTTGCTAGAATCAAACTTACCCGGGGACGTAGGAAGCAAGTGAGCCTTGCGGAACATGCCATAAAATGAGACAAATGAGGAGGAATCAAGGCTTAACGTAAAGTCGTATGAATCTTTAACAACATTTCAGCAGTTATAGGTAATTTTTTGATTTAGCGGGGTGCCCACTGCGCGCTTAATGCCGACCAGTAAAGATTTGAAGGGCCAGTTGTTGAGCAAAGGGTGAGGTAGCCAAAATTCCTTGTGAAAAAAACCGATAATGTTGAGGTAGGTACGTATAGATGATGGTTTAAGAGACCTAGCCAAAAATGCAGCGTATTGAAGAAGGTGCGGCGGGTGAACGGGCACGGGTGTGTAGCCGACCAGATGGAAAAGCTGGACTGGACTCTGGACACCAATCCAGTCCAGTCCTGTCCTGGTTTTCCATATGGCCGTGTGTAGCCAATGTAGTGGCAGAAGCCAAGGTACACGTTTCGATGCGTTTTGTAGGAAGCTTTTGTGGATTCTGCAAACAGCTGCGACCGATAAAACGTGCACTTTGTCCGACAACCTTTCTCGAAATAG